CCCCCCCCCCCCCCCCCCCCCCGCACCACACCGTTTCCGTCCCAGTTATGTACTCTCCATTCAATTCAGCATGCCCAGGTACCTCGTCGTGACGACGCTCGCCGCCGTCGCGCCCCGGACGGCGATGCGCACCGTCTCCCCCGGCACGACGTCGACCATGTTGTCCTCGAACCGCACGGCGTCGTCCTCGCACTCGAGCGCCACGCCCTTGACCGGCACGCCGGCGCTGACCGCCACCTCGGTCCCGTCGGCCGACAGCTCGGCCCGGAGGTCCGCCGGCCGCGGCAGGTGCAGGTACTTGAGCGGCTCGGGCCAGTTGACGTAGCGCGCCAGCTGCTGCTCCCCCGCGCCGCCGCCGGGCCGGACCAGGTACGCCGCGACGACGGTGCGGCCCGCGCAGCCGACCTCGCCGTCCCTCTTGGCCGCGTCGCCGACCTCGAGCGCCGCGATCTCGGTGGACCTGTTCTCGCGCAGGACGACGCCGCGCGCGACGCGCTCGTCGCGCAGCAGCGCGCCCGTCTCGACGTCGAAGGCGCGCACGACGCAGTCGACCTCCACGTCGGCGAGCGTCAGGTTCGAGCCCCAGACCTCGGCCTCGGTGCGCACGTCGACGCGCGCCCGCGTGTACTTGCCGCGCGGGTGGCGGTGCACCCTGCGCGCGACGCCCGCTGCCAGGGGCGCCATCTCGCGCCGCACCGTGTGCCACGCCAGCTTGGGCCGCAGGTGGTAGTCGACGATGGACCACGACGTCACGGGCCAGCAGTCGTTGATCTGCCAGACCAGCGCGCCGGCGCAGTACTCCCTGCGGGGGCCCCGCCACTGCCTGCGCCAGAGGCGGTAGGCCGAGGCCAGGCATTCGCCCTGCATGAGCTGGGTGCAGTAGACGAACTGCTCGAGGGGGTCCGGGCCGTACCGCATGTTCTCGACGAGGTAGAGCGCGATGCGGCGCTCGTGCCCGTCGGCCTTGTTGTGGAAGTCGACCGTCGCCGACTGCGGGTAGCGGTCCGGGTCGCCCTTGCCGAGGGGGAGGTAGCCGTCGATGGTCTTGACGCTGGGGAAGGCCTGCATGCCGAACTCGGAGACGAAGCGGCCCGACAGCTTGTCGAAGTTCTGCCACTTCTCCTGCGTGCCGTGCCACACGTTCCACTGGTGGATGTCGCCGACGGTCGGGTCGTGCGTGTCGCGCCCGGCGCCCCAGGGGCTGCCCGGGTGGTAGAAGACGTCCGGGATCAGCGCGGCGCAGGCGTCGGGCAGGAGCTTCTCGTAGATGTAGCGGGCCGGGAAGTCGGTCTTGAGCCAGCTCTGCGGGTCCTTGTCCTCGTAGTCGTAGGTGAGGCTGAAGCCCTCGGCGAACTGGTGGTCCTCGTTGTTGCCAGCCCAGATGACGATGGACGGGTGGTGGCGCAGCAGGCGGATGTTCTCCTCGGCCTCGCGCCGGACGGACTCGAGGATGGCCGGGAAGGTCGGGTAGTTGCCGCAGCCAAACATAAAATCCTGCCAGACGAGGATGCCGGCCTCGTCGCAGGCGTCGTAGAAGACCTGCTCCTCGTACAGGCCGCCGCCCCAGACGCGCACCATGAGCTGGTTGCCGTCGGCGATGCACTTGACCCAGTCGCGGTACCGCTGCGGCGAGATGCGCGGGATGAAGTTGTCGGCGGGGATCCAGTCGCTGCCGCCGCAGAAGACGGGGATGTTGTTGATGCGGAAGAAGAAGGACGTGCCGGGCTGGCCGTCGAGGGGCCGCTGGACGACCTCTGCCTTGCGCAGCCCGATGCGCTTCGAGGCCGTGTCTGCTTCTTCCTCGCTACTCGTACTACTTGTGAGGAGGGTAGCCTTGACGGTGTACAGCGGCTGCTTCCCGTAGAGGATCGGGTACCAAAGGGCGGGCTTGGCGATGTGGAAGGTTGCAGATGAGGTGCCGGCTTTGACGGCGACCGTCTCCGAGGCGACGGAGCTGCCATCGAGGGAGACGTCGAAGCGGACCTTGCCCTCTCCGCTGCCTTCGACTTCGGCGTGCGCGACCACGGTTGCTGACTGCAGGGAGTCATCGACGGTGGTCTGGAAGTGCAGGTCTGCGATCCGGGACTCAAAGATCTCGAGGTTGATCGGCCTCCAGGGGCCGCAGGTCATTAGCGTCGGACCCCAGTCCCAGCCCTGATATGAGATAGCCGTTAGAGAAACATGTCAGACAGAAAACGGGACCCTGCCGACTCACCCAGTGGTACTGCGCTTTGCGCACAGGCAGCCGGGAGGCGTCGCCGTTGGCCAAAAGGTACTTGTGGTCTGGATACTGCTCGACCAGCTTCCAGCCCCTGAGGTACGCGCTGTCAAAGGTGATGACCAGCTCGTTGTCGCCCTCGGCCTTGACGACGGGCGTGATGTCGACCCGCTCCGGGGTGAACATGTTGTCGCACTCGAGGATCTTCTCCCCGTTGAGCAGGACAGTGGCGAAGGTGTCGAGGCCGTCAAACGCCAGGACGGCCTTGGCGCCGGATGGGACGGCGGGTGCCCGGAAGGTCGTCTTGTAGGTCCATGCCTCCTCGCCGACCCACTGGACGTCGAGCTCGTTCTTGCCGATAAAGGGGTCCGGGATGAGGCCGTGGGCGAGCAGGTCGAGGTGGACGTTTGTGGGGAACTGGGCGACGGGCAAGTAGCTGCTATCGTCCTTGTCTGCCTGCTTGAACCGCCAGTTCTTGTCGACGGAGATGACCTGTCGGGGTGCCATCATGGTGGTGTTGGGGATCTTATCTTGTCCTGTGCGCCGTCCGGAGGAGTGGTGAGGCCTCGAACTGTCGGGAATGGCGGGGTGTCAAATCAGTGCCAGCAAGACAGACACCCAAAGCGGCACAGCTCCAGCAATGTGAATGGGTGACTACCTAGGTAGAATGAGAGGAACACCGCGATGCCCCCAGCTTCTCGAGCTCCTTTTATACCTATTCGAGCGAGAGAGTCAACAGGCCAAATGAGCGAGCAATCGAGCAGGCCAGCTCACTTTAATGCAGAGTCCGCCTAGTCCGCCTCGCTCGACCGCGGGGCAGCCGTCACCGAGCTCTCTTACAGCGCAGTTGCCCTTGCCGCAGCTCCAATCCCAATCGAGACCCCGCTGTGGCAGTTCGGGAAGAATTCCGGCTGGGCCACTGCTAGTACCTGGGTAGCTCTTTCGATCAGAACCGCCCAATCAAAGCTTGAACTGCAATCCTTGTGCCCAGGTCGTTCCTGCGAAGGGCTAACGAGAACATATGACAATCGAGAATTCTAACAACGGAGACATGCCGCAGCCTGTGAGAAGGCGTGAAGTCCGCGTCTCGCCCAACCCCGAAGCCCCCGGCACCCGCTATCGGCGCCGCAGGACTGGGGTCTGGCTCGGCGAGCATCCCTGCGCTGCGGAGGGAGCCTCTCCGGGTTCCCCTTTTGGGCAATTCGTGGGGGTCAGTCCTGGGCCCATGCTGATTCATCAATTCAAGGCAGGTAGTAGACTATCGAGACGACGTCTTCACGAAGCGCCAACTTTGCAAGGTCGGAAACTTCCCAGGCGTCTTTGACTTCTCATCCTCCTGTTTCGGTGAGAGTACGTCAGTTCCACGCAGTTCACCACCGTTCACCACCTCCCCCGTCCCACAACCCTTTGTCCAGGCCTGCACGCTTGGCGCGCAAGGCTCCGCTTGATCCACTGCATCTCCGGAGTATGGTCTCACGATGGACGACTTATCCATAAAAACGAACGGAATAGGTTGCTTCAACTCTGAAGGAACAAGCACCAGACTGGCCAACGGTACACATCTTAGGCAGCCATCTTCTTCGGGATATTTGGCTTATTGATTGCCCTGACACAGTTGACTACACCGGTAATCGCGCTATGTTATTAATCACATTCTCTGGATGCCCTCGCCTAGTCCTTTAGAATTAGACAGCTTAACGAATGGAATTTGATCTATCCGTCCGGCCTTAACTGACAATTCCAGCTCTCAATTTAAATGGAGCTATAGAGAAGTAGGGAGAGATAGCTCCTAGTAGAAAGACCATAATTAAGAGCTCAAGGACAATTGGAGGGCAGCTCCGCCGAGTTGCACCAGTGTCTGCTAATAGTAGAACCGAGCCTCAACCTCATGTATTCCCCCCCCCCCCCCCCCCATTGTTAAAAGGCTCTACCTACCTAGCCAGGCGAAGCGAATAGAGAAAGTCTGGGATTGTAGAGGGAATCTCGATGTGAATATGAGGCTGGTGTGACTGACGTAGGTGAGAAGCAAATAACAATACACACATTCACATACCTTGAGCTTGCAAGACGAGTGTCACAATACCTTCCTGGCCCTGCGACACACCGTGTCAGGGCTCAGAGACTCCTCAAACCCTTGATCAATCTCGCCACTGGTTGGCAGGACGACCTACACAAGCTAGGGGCGTCCTAGCACCTAGATAAATAGAGAGACGGGAGGACGTTCTTGTAGAGTTAGAGGGAATCAGCCAAACTTCATTCTGATCAAAAGGAGACAGTGTTGTTCAAGTATTGGAGTGCTTGAGCCAGATCTTAGGTTGATCAGCCAGTTGAATCTGTTATTCGACTAGGTGAGTTGATGCTTCTATATAAGAGTTGACGATGTTTTAGATTGGTTTTGTTAGGTGCTTTCCCTCCTCGTTCTCAACACCAAAAACGGAAAGCAATAAATGTGAGCGCGCCCACCTCAAGCCCGTCCACGCAGCTTTTTTCTAGAGGTGCTTCTCCCATACACTTCTCCCACACACTTCTCCCACAGGACCGCAGATCTCGACGAGCTGAGCCCCTGACACGACCTTGGATCAGGAGCAAATACCGCCTTTTTCACATGGTCTTGACCTGTTATTTCCCACAAAGCCGCCAACTCAGAGCTACCAACATAATGAAGCTTTACGAGATCGACCTCACAGCGTTCCATTAGGCGTCTGGTGAGAAGCCGGTCTTCAAGCAGCACATCTCATGCAAGTTAGGTGGCACCGAGGTAATAGAGAATGCGATGCGTATCTCTACTGTCATTCGGCTTGGACAAATTTCATACCTTTACGAGGGGATCCTGATTGTGAGGCAATCCGCGCCGTTGAACTATGCCATCTCGGCCAGTCTGGCCAAGCAAGAGCCGAAACACATCTTGCTTCGCCATCTTCGTCATCGCGGGAAGAGACTTCCGGACAGAGAAACACACAAAGACAACAGTTAAGGGTGGACACAAAGACAGCAACAGCTAAAGACGGCGGGATTCTCTTATCTGCCTTAGGCTTTTTGGGAGCCAAGGTGCTTTCCCAGACTAATAAATTCCCAGGGGAAGGAAGACCACCAGGGAAAGAGCATTGTAGGAGAAGGCAATGCCAAAGATAGGTTGACATCATTGCCCTCTTTGATTGAAGAGCACCTGTCCAATGTTTGAGGCCTTTTCCTGGACGCTTCTCCCGATATCTGGCTCATCGAGAACCGCCTTCCAAAAAAGCTGACACATTGCACGCAATCCATTCCTGCAATGCATTCTTGAATTAGACAAATACACTTGATGCGAGTCTTCATCCGAAGGGCTCTTTGAATGTAGAAAAGTTGAATGACTAAGAAGGCTAGATATACTAGGTATGTTGATGCAATGAGCATCGGGCCAACATATCCGGTCCGGCTGTCATGAACTTCAGCTAGGACAGAGCCCCCCACCCGGAAAACCCCTCACGAGCTTTCCGCCACGGAAGTTCAGGATGGGTGGAAATATCGTGTATTGATAGATTCTAACTCTTGTTCACCTCCAAATCGCAATATTGCCTGTTTGTGAACATACTAGGTTGGCTCACCAGGCACAACACCCCACGGTTCCCCCGATCCAGCCCTAGGCTTGAAGTAGGCCGCTGTCCCCATCAGCATCCTCATCATGGCCTCGTTCCATGGCAAAGTCATCGCCATCACTGGCGCCGCGTCTGGCATGGGTTTGGCGACGGCCAAGCTCCTCGCCGAGCGCGGTGCCAGCCTCTCGCTCTCCGACGTGCAGGCCGAGCTGCTCGACGCCGCCGCGACTGAGTGTCGCGCCGCCAACAAGGACTGCCAGGTCATCACAGCCGTACTAGACGTGGCTGACGCAAAGGCCGTAGAGGCATGGATCAAGCAGACCGTCGAACGCTTTGGCAAGCTCGATGGCGCGGCCAACATTGCCGGCATCTTCAAGGCCAATCTGAAGAACAACGTGGCCGAGGAAGATGAAGGTACCTGGGACCTGCTGCTGGCTGTCAACTTGACGGGCGTGATGCACTGCATGCGCTCGGAGCTCAAGGTCATGACTTGTGGGGCGTCCATCGTGAACGCGGCATCTGTGATGGGACTCGAGGGCGGGGTGGGTTCTGCCGCATACGCCAGCTCCAAGCACGGCCTCATCGGCCTGACACGGTCCTCGGCCAAGGAAGTCGGCCCTTCGAACATTCGCGTCAATTGCTTCTGCCCGTGAGTCTTATCATCCTGAAGAGAGTCTAGCGAACGGAGATTAACTTTGCAGCCCAGCGGCTTCATCGACACGCCTATGGTGCAGAAATCGTATGAGGAGCGAGGCGGCGCTGAGAACAACCCGCAGCGAAAGTTCGACACAGTTCCGCTGCAGAGAATGGGCCAACCTTCAGAGGTAGCGTATCTGGTTGCGTTTCTGTTGAGCGACGAGTCAAGTTTCATTACTGGCCAGGCTATCAGCATTGACGGCGGCTGGAGGACGTAGACGTAACACGTTTCCGCACAAGCCCAAAATCGCAGCTGAAGGAGGAACTTGGACTACCAAGTGGCGGGCATAGTAGTTAATAGGCTGTCAGCAGAAGTACTTGAATATCCGTAGCCGTTTTTAGGAAGTGGGATAGCCCTTCGTGAGTCCTAGGGCAAGGTTAAGCATTGTTAACATGGAGATATCTCCTTTGAAAGCTTCCGCCAACTGATTTGACTCTGAGTTGTTTACTTTACCGCCTGCTTTGATCTAATATTAACTGCCGTCACTAATGTATAAAGTGTCTCCAAGATTGGAGCGTCCACACCCAACTCCCTTGCTTTCCTCAAGGGCTTCCCCAGGATGGGCTCCACCTCCATCGGCTTGCCAGCGACCAGATCGTTGAACATGCTACTCCCTACGGACGCATTGTTGATCATCTCCTCCAAAATGAGGCCCGGGGTGTTAGGATCAAGATCGACGCCAGCTTTCTGTGCGATCGTGACCACTTCCGTCATTAGCTTGCGCGTCAGAGGCAAAGCGTCAGGCGAACTCTGCAACCAAGCGTGCGTCTTCATCTGCGTCAGGGTCGTGATGGGGTTCCAGGCGGCATTGGAGACGATCTTCTTCCAGCGAAGCTGCTGGATGTCGGGCACGACTTCGTACCTCGTGCCTCCTTGCTGCAACAACGCTGCGAATATGTCAAGGGACTGCCGATCCCGAGACTCGTCGCAGGCGCTTCCGGAGTATAGCCCAATCTGCAACCCTTCCCATCGTTCTAAATGCTGGACTACACCGAGTTCGATTTGCTTCGCTCCAGTCCAGGTCTATACATCGAATGCTCGTTGTCAGACAGATGCGGTGTGTTGTGTGAGCCCGAAGCATACTAACCACGCAAGATATGATTGTCATTGGCGGAAATGCCTGGCGGAACGGCTCTTCGATACCTATGCCGTTCTGTATCAGAACGACTGTGATCTTCTGCGGGTCGATGACACATGCTAGGCTGCCGGCCGAGTTGTCCTCGTCGATAGCCTTGTGAGCGCATACCACATAGTCAAAGGTGCGCCCAGCCTTGGCAGGCGAGCTCAAGACTTTGGAGTGGTATGTTTGTCAATAGTCAATAATGTCAGGAGCAACGTCCACTATGGAATGTTCATACCTCGGTCGAAGCGAACAATGTGATCCCCATGGACTATGCTGTTGAGCTTCAATCCGTGAGCCTTGACTGTCTCATAGTTTGAGCGTGCGACGACAGTGACATTCGCATCCTTGCAGCGGCTGAAGATGAAGGCGTAGAAGGAGCCAATTCTGAATTCTGCATGTTAGTTCGTCGACACGTTTCTATCAAGGATAAATTTGACTTACGCCCCGAGGCCATATACGAGAACATTTACCGAGGTTGGAGAAGTCATAGTCGAGAAACTTCGGCAGATCTCGATGTTTGCGTCCAGGGGAAGAGTCGGTGTTGTAAGCAGGCGGTGTGATATCGCTTGACATTTTCCGTGGTGGGGCTTCGACTTTGCTCAGTAAGAGAGGAGGCTTTCCGGCGGCCAAGACTAACACACAGAAGCCTCGAGAGTTGGTTCTATGCCCATTGGTATACCTCAAATTGTACATGAATCAAGAAGAATCCTGAAGCTGTTCGTTCTAGCAGGCTGATTAATTTCTTGTTCACAGTAAACAGTTCTCCTCACTCCTAGAACAAGAATCGCCAAGAAACCGTCTATAGCTGACTAATTTACATCTCACCCGTGTGTCCAGAGGATGTTTCCAGGCTGGGCTGTCATTGGTTGACGATTTGTGAAATGGCTCGTATCGTGCATTCAGGTACAAGGTGCATCTTCAGGTAGTCAAGTGCCGAACTGGAAAGGAGGGAGATACATGGCTGCTGTTCGAGTCAGGACGAATTGTATGCTAGATATTAAGAATTGAATTTAGCAGGCATCATCCTCGTCAACTGCGCTGGCCACCAAGTTGCTTAAGCGCGTGTGCACACCGCCAGGCCGAGATCAACTGAACGAATCTTCCTCGTAGCTTCTTTGTGCACCCGCTCTGCGCACCTGGGAGGGTAGACCGGCGTGTTATAAGTATGGGTGTACGTTCTACTACGATGTCGGACTGTACCCTTATTTCACAGGCCCGGGTGGTCCCGGCGAAGAAAGATGCCAAACACCTTGTATAGGTTTTGGGTAGTATTGAAATTGGAAGAGAGCCAGACCGAGTGGTTCCCGAGTTTACTCCGCAATTTGAATGCAATCAGATGCCTTCTAGACTCGTTGAACAGCATTGAAAGGGCCACTGCCAGGACCCTAGCCAGTGCATGCAGGGAACGGGCGCGGCAGCCAGGGGGGATCGAGAAGTGTTTTAGCCTACGCAAGCCCCAGGTGGCAACAGAATTTATATTGGAACAAGATTACGTGAAAGAGAGTGACCTAAGCCAATTGAAAATTGCCGGCGCTAAAAGCCCACGTCGGTTTCGTTGCCGAAGAGTAGCTGGCTCACCTACGTGACCAAGTTACCGCGCCGATATACGTGAGACGATGGCGAGATTGCCACCCATCAACGGCGACGCAGTAGAGTCTTGCCTGGACAAATTTCGTATCTCAGCACCATCCTATAGCCTCGCCTTTCTGAGAGATAAAAGGATGAATGAATGACAAGAACAGTGACCAAGGGCCGAGATGAGGATTGTTTTTGGTGGAATGTAGCTTCAGCCTACATCCAAGCAGCGACACCGGCCATGGGTAAGAATTTAATCAGCTGTTCTGCAGACCGGTATGCTGCATATGTGAAAGATTCCATTAGCATATGTATTTCGCAAGACTTACACGTGCCAACTTTAGTATCCAGGGACTAGGCCTCAAAGTATGGTCGCCGATTCCAACACTGTATCTGTTGAAGGTGTAATTATGGAAACTGGGACCCTAGGCTTGTCTTGTATGCAGGAAACGACCTGAAAAGAACAAGAGTCCAGCTGAGAGTCAGGTAAGTCGATATGAAGCCGAGCTCCCCGACTGGTCCAGGTTCCCATTGTGGTGTGGACGATCAGCCAATTAAACCACCTGGAATCTTTTCATCTTAGCTTCTCTATCCCAGTCTCTATGACGATCGTGGTCTCTAACCGCAGGCTAGTGGGTTTCCCGCATCGAATAGCTAGCGCTTCAAAGAACCATTTCAAATAAAATGGGAGGTAAGGTTTGTTAGGTCAGTGGCGGGGCCATGTCTTAATGCAGACCCGACGCAGTGGCCAACACCCTCAATCAAGAAAGTCGCCGGGATCTGACTCGTGACCACATGTCCGTATTGCGCAAAGCCAGGAAAGGTTTTCAGTGCTCAATCTAAATACGGAAAGAGCTCGGAGATCGAAGCGACAAAAGGGTGTGCCATGTGTCCGAGTCAAGGGGGGGATTGGGCCTCAACGGTTGGCGGGCCGTTGTCTCTTGTTGCCCCGATGTGTTGCTTGCCGGGTCGCTTCACTGTGATCGCAGTGGCGTCTGGCTCTTTTCGGCACTATGACATATGCAAACACGACTGGTTGGATACAGGCCCAGGGCCGAATGGACCATCTAGTGCATCCCGGCGTCCGGGGTAAAACGCCTGGGACTAGGCTGGCTGGCCCTATTTGATGCCCACTCCCCCCTTGTTCCCCTTCCCTGCAGAAGTGAGCGGTGTCAGACTTTTTAGGTTTCCTATTTCGCATCATGCCTCGTGTTCTGACGTGAGAGTGCAGCACGATCCTTCCCCGTAGCCCCGAGAACAGCAGGTTCTTCCTCACGATGGGGGCAGGCTTCCTTATTCCGCCGTGGTACGAGGCGGACAAACCCTCGGAGGCGTCGAAGTTGATGGTCAGCTTCATCTGGGGGTTCTCGACGGCGATCGCGGCGTTCATTGTCGCCAAGGGGCTGAGGCAGACGTACCAGATGTGTCGGCGGTTGAAGAGGGTGAATCCCTATGTCATCTTGATCTGGCTCGAGCTCGCGACATCGTTCGCCATGTCGATTGTGTGCTGGCTGTTCCTGAACGGTATCCTACAGCCCAGGTGGGTTCTCAGTTCTCCCGAGGAGTGTATGTGTTCCGTGCATCGCGAGTGCTGACTGCGTTGATAGCTTTTGGGTGTACTTTGCCATCTGTAAGTTGCAAAACGATGCGTGCCCTAGACCGAGATGGGAATTGCTCACACTTCTGCCAAGGGTTTACTTGGGTATTCCAGGTTAGTCTGAACGCTCACCTTTACGATTCGGGTGGCGAAGGCTGATATTCAATGCAATCAGATCCAATGCCTCCCCCAGATCATCATCAATCGGCTGGGAGTCCTCATGACCGACCAGACCCGGACGCGAAGGCTCAAGATCATATGCGCCCTCATCGTCGCTGTCATCAATATCAGCGTTGCGTGCATTTGGATCCCGGCCAGATTGGAAATAAGCGATACCTACATCGAGGTGAACAAGGTGTGGGATCGGATCGAGAAGATCATCTTTTGCATTCTCGACCTAAGCCTGAACCTCTATTTCGTCTACCTCGTCAAGTCGAAACTCATTGCGAACGGGTTGACGAAGTACAAGCTCTTGTTTCGGTTCAACTGCTGCATGATCTTCATCTCGATATCCCTCGACGTGAGTGACTCTTTTTTTGATACGTTGTGGCCGAACTGACCAGGTCGCATGAATATGCTAGATAATACTTATTGGTATGATGTCGGTCCGTGATGATGTCGTGTAAGTAGCCCTGTTGTCCTACCTTGTATCAGCATGGCAGTCTGACAACCATGGCAGATACCTCCAATTCCACCCACTCGCCTACCTCGTCAAGCTGTACATCGAAATGAACATGGCCGACTTGATCCGCAAGGTCGCCAGGGCCACCAACAACATGTCGTGCTCGATTTTCGCGGGACCGATCATGACCGAGTGCGGGCACGACTCTTGTCTGTGCCAGAACTTCCGGACCATGATCTCGGCCGAGCCCGGCGACAGCAACAACACCCGGAGCCGGCCGGCGAGTGGCGTGGTCTCGGCTCAATCGCTGCAGGTGGACCCGTGGGGCATCCACAGGACGATAGAGACGGAGGTCGTGGTCCACAATGCCGACGGGCAAAAGGTCGACGAGGGCGAAGCGAGGTCTTTGAGCGAGGCGAAGGCAGATGTGGACGACGTCGAATCAGGGCTGCGTCCTCCCAAAGTTATGAGCAGCACTTCAAAAGAGCAAGGTTGACAGCTCAAATATAGACCATGTTTTACCGCATGAGGAAGGTCATTGGGTCTCAGAATAATTTCCTCTTGGGGACGCATTCTGGGGTGCCACTGCGAGAACGTTGACGTAAGACGGGCTAATTTTGGTCCCCAGTGTGGACATAAGCTGTTGACATCAGAGAACTTCTCGGTTTTCAACTTTTCGCAACCAACCCACGCTTCAAGCACCAAGAGCCAAAACAAATGCGCAATGTCAACACATGAAGCAGAATCGGAAGCAGTCGTGATCGAATCGGAATGCCTCTGCAAAAGACACAAGTTCACCGTCAGCGTGCCCCGAGCCGAGCTGCCCCTCCAAGCCAGATACTGCCACTGTTCGTCCTGCCGCCACATCACGGGCAATCTCTACTGTAGCGTCGTGACGTGGCCCGGTTCTCCAGATGAGATTGCCAAATCGGATCTGGCCAGATACAAGTTCTCGTCGAGGTTCGACTTTCTGTTCTGCGGCACCTGCTTCACCCCGCTCTTCTTCGAGGAGCCCACAGAGACGCCCGACGGCCCGCTCGCATGCAATGTCCTCACCGGCTCCCTGTCACACCATCCGAGGTTGCCTGACCCCGGCTTGGTGCGCGTCACCTGCCACAAGTTTGTGCAAGATACCGCCGACGGCGGCGCCCTCCCGTGGCTTCGCCGACCCAATCTGGACGTCAGCGACGCGCCCCGCGTCTGGGCCGGTCAGCAAGACGTCAGCGAGGAGCTGCCCGACCCCTGGCCGCCCACCGCCCCTCCGCCAACGCCAGGAGGGCCCGACGAGGTGCCCATCCGGTGCCGCTGCGGCGGCGTGGACCTCGTCTTCCGCCGCGCCGCCAGCCTGGCCGACTTTGCCGGCAGGCCCCGCGACGAGGTCCCGGGCTTCTTCGACCCGGAGACGCACCAGCCCGCGGCGGCGCTCGACGCGTGCGACTCGTGCCGCAAGTCCGGCGGGGCGGACGTGTTCTTCTGGACCTTTGTGCAGCTGCGGCACGTCGACTTTGCCGACCCGGACCTCAAGGGCGGCTTCCCGACGCTGTCGGCGCAGCTCAAGGAGGCTGTTCTCAAGAACGATGCGCGGTTCGGCACGCTGGCCCTCTACGCGAGTTCGCCTGACGTGCAGCGGTACTCGTGCTCGCGGTGCTCGGCGACGGTGATGTACGGGTGCGACGACCGGACGAACCTCGTGGATCTGGCGGTTGGCTTGCTCGACGCCCCGTGCGGGGCACGGGCCGAGAGCGTGCTGAGCTGGAGCTACGGCGGACGGACTGGGTGGAGGGAGGACGTCAAAGGAGGATGGAGGGAGGGCCTGCTGGACGCCATGGAGCGCGAGGTCGAGGAGTGGAGGATCGAGAGGGGGTGCCCAAAGAGCTTTTGGCGGATACGGAGAGAGGGAAGAACAGCGCCATTGTTGTGATATATGGTAATTGCGAACATGGGGACTTGATTCGTCCGCGTATGGTCCAACAGACCAGGAAGCTTGGCTCCGGCAGAGGAAGTGGATGGCGTCAATTAGCAATGTTTCAGGCCTTCGCATTAACCGAGATAGGACTACACAATTAAAAGCGAAGTGACATAGACTCCTTGATAACGCGGATCCATTGTCGCGTCCATTGGGAGCATGATCGTTTAGAATGTGCAACGCAGTGGCCTTGATGATAAGGATGACAATCTCTTCAAATTACGGCGTGCACGAGAAAGGCTATTTCTTCAGTCCGTGTAGAGTTGGCCCCACCAAGTTTTTCGGTTTCCGAAGCTTCTGGTTTGCATTCTCACCCCTGTTTCCGTGAGACCCGCATCAATTTTGACATCTGTGTGTTGGCATAGGAAGAAAGTGATGGAAGATTGCAAGGTTCTAGGCTAATGAATATTCACGTTGCTTTCGCTACGCGGGATACCCTTTTGCAATAGTCTCTTCAAACCTCTCTGGAGAACGCTGTGGGTCTACCATGTTGCCCTCGGGCCCGACGCAATTACATGGGTGCTTACAGACAACCCCAAGTACGTACGTTTCATATGATTAGAGCTTATCGAAAAGTTGGGGCAAATCAATTAGGGTTGGCTCAGTAAAATGGTGTATGTTCACCCTTCTTAGGATGCGACAAACACGCGTTGACAGTGGTCGCGTATACCACACCACATTGGTGGATACGGAGGGAGGGGAGAGCAGCCTCGTTGCTGTGATGTGTGGTGAGCAACGAGATATTACAAGTTGAAACCCGCACAAGTTCGAATAGCCCAGAAGGGCGGCAAAAAAAGGACAAAAAGAAACCGGTCTTTCAGGTCCTGCCTTCCACCTACAGGACGTATCCTATGCAGGTTTCGTTGGCTACAGCACCCCGCTTCCTCCTTTCGAAGGCTTTTAATCGCAGAATTTGTTTGCAACCACTTGACCTCGCCACACCGGGGAGTCGAACTCCTGTTGCCGGGGGCAGGGGTCGAGTGGCCGTGTCTGAACCGGGGGAGTTAGGTTGGTGGTTTTCACAGGATAAGCAACGAGTTGCTTTTCCAGCTACACCATCTCCCCCCGTTGAAGAATAACAGGGTCTAAACGATTTTATCAGGCGTATCTCACCTCGAGGTTTGGATTGGCTCCTGATATGCAAGGCAAAAGATGGTCGGGTTGACTTCAGATTCTACGCACGTCGCATGCCGAAATTGGAGGCATCGCAGTCAACACCTAGGGACGAGCTACCAGTACTTGCGGCTATTCACGCTATTATACATAGAAGGGCCTGCTCCCGCCTACTCAGCCAGGCAATTAGGACTAAGAAATGAAGCAGTATTGCACCAATTTACGCATCACACAGAAATGCTATCTAGCCGTTAGTTGAGGCTCACCACCGGAAATCTATGGTGCCGTCATTACCGTGAGCCAGTTGTATCATTGCACTTTTGTCACTGAAATAAACAGTCAAGAGTACTACTGGTTGCCTTGCTGCTCTCTCTACCTCAACTATCGAATATTCCCAACGATGTATGTGCCTAGGCGTTCCCGGGAAATCAAATATCCTAGCTCAATACGTCAAAGTCAATCATCGCGGCATAGACATTAAGCGCAAAGTGGGGCTATCCAGGTGGGGAGATGACCGATCTTCGGCATCGACCGGCGGCAAGGGAGTCACCACCAGGAAGCTGGTTCGATTAGACTCAGAGAGAGCTACACCTCGAGAGCTGTTCGACCAAGGCCGTGTAGTATTTCATCGCTCTGCCAGAACGTCCAGTGCTTGACTTCCACACGTGCATCGACATACTTGCTTCCTCCCGGATACACCAATCAAGGCACGGACAGAAAACTCGTCAGCAAATCACGATGTCACCCCTCAAGGTCGCAGTGCTCGACGACTACCAGGGAGCCGCAGAGCCGCATTTCAAGGCCCTCGACTCGTCCAAGTATGAGGTGACCATCTTCCGGGACACGCTGCCGGCGTACAACCACCCAGACACCGCCGACCAAGTCAAGGAGGAGCTCGTCAAGCGACTGGGCCCCTTTGCCATCATCTGTGAGGAAAAGCTACCTGGTCAGTAATGGCCGCTTCTCGAGATCATCTGCTCACTCGAGCGACGCTAAGGTACTATGCGGGAGCGCACTCCGTTCCCCGCGGCACTTGTCGAGCGCCTGCCCAACCTGCAGCTGCTCCTGTCGACGGGCGTCCGCAACGCGTCGCTCGACCTCCCCGCGCTCAAGGCGCGCGGCATCCCCGTCGGCGGCGCCCACGACTCGGGTCGCAAGGCCGTCGAGGGCCCCGACGGCACGACGCAGCACTGCGTGACGCTGATCCTGGGCGCGGCGCGCAACCTCGCGGCCGACGACGCGGCCGTCAAGGGCGGGGCGTGGCAGACGGGCTTCGCCACGAGCCTTACGGGCCGGACGCTGGGGCTCGTGGGCCTGGGACGGCTGGGCGCCGCCGTGGGCAGGATCATGAGCCTGGCGTTCGGGATGCGCGTCGTGGCGTGGAGCAGCAACCTGACGCAGGAGGCGGCGGACGAGAAGGCGCGGGCGATGGGCCTGCCCGTGGAGCGGCCCTCGGACGGGGAGAAAACCTTCCGGGCCGTGAGCAAGGAGGAGCTGTTCCGCGAGGCGGACGTGGTGTCTGTGCACCTCGTGCTGTCGGAGCGGTCAAGGGGCATTGTGGCCGCGCCGGATCTGGCGCTCATGAAGCGGACTGCGATCCTGGTCAACACGTCGAGGGGTCCTCTGGTCGCGGAGGAGGATCTGCTGCAGGCGCTCGAGGAGGGCAAGATCCGCGCCGCGGCGCTGGATGTTTTCCCTGTCGAGCCGCTGCCGCTGGACAGCCGGTGGAGGACGACAAGGTGGGGGCAGGATGGCCGGAGCCAGGTACTGCTGACGCCGCATATGGGCTATGTGGACAAGGATACCATGGACGAGTGGTACGGGATACAGGTGGAGGATATCATGCGGTGGGAGAGGGGCGAGCCTTTGTCGTTGCCGTTCTACTAGAGGGTTTGAGGCCTGAGGAACCGGGAAGAGCTTCTGATCAACTAAGCTCTGGATGTCTGATAAGAGTTGGTTACATTAGTGATGCAGCAACGAACTGAACAATGGCTTGAGCTTCAAGAGTTTGCAATAGCAGTGTTGAGTAGGGACAGGCCCAGTTCTTTTACACACCCAGGTTGCCCTCCAATTCACTGCCTGTTTGTTCCAGTCTCGCTACCTGAGAACTTGGTCTTTGGTCAAGGAGCCACAGGACTCAGGATCCGTTCGGATTCAATTCAGCCCAATCTCGCCCGCGCTTCACTCTCTCAATCACAGTCGGTTGACTTTGATTGCTTTAAAGACGCGACACATAAACAAAGCAACGCGAGTCAAAGCTTCTCTTTGCTGCGCGTCTTCTTTTCCACAGCGCTTTCGCACCCCGTCACCATCACCGTCACCATCACAACTCCAGCCTCTCTCTCTTTGGCTTCCAACCTGCTCCAACCACAGAGAAAGAAAGCGCACTTCAAGCACAGGTATGTTCCTTCCATTCCCTACTAGCCCTCATCCCTCCCGCAACAAGCACAATCCAGGAGACAGTGCTTTTCCATACGCACTCCTTCTTTTGCACGATCTCCTGCATTTCTTTTCTCACATTCTGCAACTTTGACCCTGTGTCTGGCCCTCATGGGCGACTGTGCATGGCAGAGATCAAGACATCTGCCATCATCAGTCAAGCCGCAGGGCCATTAATCAAGATGCGGACTGACATGCCCGGTTCAGAGACCGCCTACCAGGATCTGCTTGCGCGCATCGCAGAAAATCAAGGTGCGTTTGGCGTCGCTGCCCATCCAGTCGGCGAAGGAAACCTCATGCACCGACAGAAACTTATTCCAACCTAGTGGTCATCAAGTCCATCAAAATGGACATTGAACGCCACCTGTCCAAGAAATCTTCTTCCAAGAAGGCCTCCGTCAAGACAGAGCTACCCATCTTGGGTGGGAAGACCGCCGTCCCACTCCAGTCGAGCCAGGCACGCGCTCTGAATGCGCCCGCACAACGTCCCTCTTCCGGGTCCCGCCATTCTCCAGGAGCCCTGGAGACCTATCTTCGTAAGTGTCCCTCTTGTTTCTACGATGCAGAAGCAAGAAATACGACTAACCATACAAAGCTCCCTGGAACCCGCCTCCCCCTCTGTCCCGGAAGGACCCTGCCCTTACCAAGCCAGAGCCAGAGTCAGAGCCAGAGCAAGAACCCGACCAAAAACCCTTGCCCTGGCATCGCAGGTTTCCGGAGGCGAAAATGACACAATATGTGACCCCGGTTACCGAGCTGAGCCGGGAGTGCCAACTGCGCCACTTCAACCCCAAGTTCACCAGAGTCAGTCCCAAGGGTAGCAACCGTTTCCAGTGGGAGGTCACAATCAAGGACCAAGTCATCCGTGACACGGAGACACATCATGATAGCTACTTGGCCAAGATGCACGTGGCCAGGAAGGCACTTCACATCGTGCTGTCTTGGCCTGTGGACAAACGCAAGGAGCCGGGCGCCGGTGTCCTGCCGAGTCTGAACCCCTCCATTCGCCCATATGGTGGTAGAGGTCGGACCGTTACAAGCCCTGAGCTTCTCGCTAGTCTCATGCGCTCAGACGTCCGTCAGGCCTCCGGTGAGGACCATGCCCTCGAGACCGCCGGCGAGGACCATGCCCTCAAGACTACCGAGAAGGTCCAACCCCAATCTGTTGCCCCCGAGCCGGCTCCAAATCCCTCGAACCCGATCCTCGAAATGGTCCAGAAACTGGACCGCGAGGGCCCTGGATACCATCTTCCTTCATTCCTAAATCCCGAGGCATTGGACTTCGAGACTCGGACCGCGATGACCACCCCGGACCCCACTCATGCCACCTCCTGCCCGCCTGTCACTCATTACGGAGTCCCGCCGTTTATCCCCTATCCATACGGACTTTCGGCTGGCGCGTTCAGCGGTGACAATTCTTTCTCGAGGAGCGATGTTCCCTACACTGGTCCCATTGTCCCGGATGATAGAAGCCAGCCTTCTCCGAGCGTGATGGGCTTCCCTCCTCCTGATGTCCACAGCATGGCGCCACCCCCTCCGCCTGTGGCTGTCCCCCATCCTCTTGCTTACCCTGGTGGAGCGAACTCTATCCCCGCAGTTCACGAGACTGGCGGCGCCTTTGCTCATGCAAACGAGCTGTCAAAGGCCGTGATCGACCTTGGCACCCAGCCTCCCCAGGGCTCTCTGCTGGATGCAGAGAAGGAGAAGCTAGAGGACGTCCGAATTCTGCGCCAAGAGATTGAGCAGGTGATTGGTGAGCCAATCGATCTGGAGATTACCCATGCACCCAACCTGGTGGCCATCTACCTCCGGGGCTTCCTCTCGGGAGCCAGGCGCGGCATGGCAGTCTCCGAGAGACGTACCGGCGGTGATGGCCGCGTGTCGCGACAGGGATAGGAGCATCGCGGCCACCGACATAAGTCCCGCTCGTCTTCACGACGCAGGAATCGCTCGCGCTCGCGCTCGCCGCAACCGCAGTCCACTCCCGCTGACCGACGACGACGTTCTCCCTTGCCGAGATACGAAGGGGACTTTTATAACGGTCGGTACCCCGATAAGCACCGCCGTGGTCGGTTCTAAAGATCTGGGGAGTTGTGTGCGAGACGATTGATCACAAGGCCAACGAGTGTGCTTTTCGAGACTCTGCGTATTTTCTTTTCATTGCTTTTCTTTTTATCTGGGCTGATGCTGCACATTTATGGCCTATTGTTTGGAGGCTAAAGCACGAGGGCAATTTGTCTTGGTTGTTTGCACGAGGGCCAGAGAGGAGGCTCTCCACAATGTCCCGGGTTTGGCTCTCTCTATGCATTAATTCATCTTTTGTGGAAGGCTGCTATACTAGCTGCAGTTCGCTTGTTCTGGCCGAGTGCCTGAGACGACTTCTCCCATTTCACGAGAGAGAAAATAAGTAGTTGCAGTCATGCTTTATTGGCTTCTTGTACTTAATGATTTTCGATCGTACATACTTTCTATAGGTGACGGAATACTACTAGTTGCCGAATTACTGTCTTAATTGAACATATTTGCACGAGCTTCATTCTACTCTGCATTAGGTCAGAGGCATGTGCCCACTGTCGAGAAACTGCCGATCTGGATTGTGGATGTAGCGGTGTGCTGGCTAATGGCTACTGGGAGCAGAAGATGGGATGCGTTCTCTTCTCCTGCCAGGGGAGAAGATGGTACTTGCGGAACTAGTGACCCTCAGTATATGAAGGTATCCTGACTCGATACCCCTCGTATTTCCACTCGGGCCTGTGAACAAAGGCTGCTCAAACCAATCGACATCAAGAGCACGGTACTAAAGAGGGTTCCCAAAGAAACACTGGGCATGACTTTTTAAAATGATAAAGCCGGATCCGAAGGCCAGAATAACCATTGGCTGAATTGTGAAACGTTCATTGTGTCCACAAGAGACAGACTGTCGGCGCTCCTTGATCTTGGGCCAGCGCCGGGTTTCTGTTTTACATGTACATCTAGCAGGCCATCAAAGCAGCCAGTGGCGAGGCGAAAGTTGATATAAATACAATGAAGCTCGCTTATCGCGGGTAATTTAGGGTTTACCCGGTTCAGATCGCCCTGGGGCCTAAACTTGAACGTGTGAGTGTCTTGAGGGATGACAAATTGGGTTGCAAATTCATTACAGCAGACCCATCGCCGCAGTGTCAATGGATGCATACTACAAAGCGCTTGCATTGAAAGATATCGAATGCTAGAGGACCCATACATATCACAAGTTGTTACCAACTCATTCCACACCAACGTCTAGGGGTCTCTGCTTGTGAAAGATGATGGCTCTGATCTCAATGCTTGCCCTCATGACTTCCTTTTCATTCAGCTCCGGAGGCTCTCGTCTGTGAGAGGCGTGTGGGCACACGTCAATGGAGCGATGGTCAGTGAAGAGTTGCAACCCAGGGTATCGAATCACGAAAAGATGATGATGCAGACTTACGACGAGCTCGGCCATCAGTCATGGAATCGAAGTTCTTGAAAAGAATGGCCTCATTGGCTTCCATGCCATCAAGAAAATACCATCGCTGCTTTGGATTGTACTTGAGCTGAAAGTTTTCCCCCACATAATGTGAGTACACTAAGTCGTGCGCCATGAGGTCGTCGCGCTCGACGGTGCGGGCATCACAGACACTGAGTAGTGAATCAATCATTCAAGGGACCGTTGAGTGCCCTCCAGAGACTGGAATTCAACAGGTGTAAGAAGATAAGGCTGATATGTGGCCACATTTTGACTAGGGGTACGAGAATGAAACTTACTTCACGAGCTGGACCCTGCCATTGTAGAGCTCAGTAAGATTTTCTTTCTGCTGGAGAGTCAACCTCCTAGCAGCAGCATTTGGCGTCTGGTCTGCATGGCTGTCAGTTGGCCATGACCGGCTGGCATGTGTCCAGAGTTCATGGGAATCATGACGCATCAGTGTGAGCTCCCTGTGCCGGAGGCCGAGGTTCGTTGTCGCTATATGAATATCTGAATGGCTTAGCCTGCCGGACCTGCAGATGGGACACGTTAGCGTATGAAAAGAAGGAGCTACACAAAAACAAAGAGCCAGCAAGGCATACTGTATAGTCAAATACTTGCACCATATCAGCCTGGGAAAGGAGAAGGTGGACGCCCTTGCTGCCCAAGTGACAGGAGTATTCGAGGACCAGCCATGGTATGAGCTCAAAGACCGTGGACCGTGCTCCTGTTGTGGAAACAGCCCCTGTACTTGCAGGGTCTTTGAAGGTGGCTAAATTCAGTTATTCCTATCGTCCTTGCTGGGGCGACGAAAAAGGCTGGGGACAGTTAGCGGGAGGATGTGGACACTCGCGTGCACCTCGAAACTAGGAAACATGATCAGAAAGATAGGCTCGGATTTCTCTCGCCAACAATTCTTTGATCCATGCTGTACAAGTGCTCCACCATTGATTGAATTGGCCGCCTGAAGCTGACGATTCCGAGATGTCACTGCTCCTTCCTCCTTGAGCATTAGACACCTCAACGAAGAGAATCCGATCTGTCCCGCCATAGTTGACAACTCCAGCTCTCAATCAATGCTGAACAGGGTAGTTCAATCTCTCGATGTTGTCAAAAGACCATTTCCTCTGGGTAGGCGGACCTGCCAACTTGTACGCTTGTACTAGGTCCATGTTCGGCCAGGAAATCGTGTGCGAGACGAAGAATCGATAAATCGGTGCCTAGAACACAATCATCAAATTTGCAAATCTCAGAAAAGTAAATGTACTTACCACGAGCCCCTACGATCGAGAGGGTGACTGGGAATACCTCCTCTCGCTGTGAAATCTCGGATTGAAAAGGTAGTTGCCCAACTAGATTTGCCGATCATTGGTTAGCTCCTTTTGAAGCATATCACTGTCAGGGCTGAGACTTGGGGCCAGTATACGTACTGGGGATCATGAGGTCTGGATAACCTCCAATCGATGCATGCAGGTTGGAGTCCCAAACCATCCATTCACGTTTCCAAGGGTCCCTTCTTAGATTAGCATTTGATTCCGCAAAGCTTCTGAATCTGGGACTCTCACGGCAGATATTCATCGCGGCGATCGAGACTGAATCGCGGAAGAACCATAATGGTTTCTTGATCGATGATGTTCTGTGAGAACCACTCATTGTGTTCTTTCACTTGCTGAAGAGCTGCGAGATATTCGGCGGGGGGTACCGAGCCGCCCTCCCTATGGAAACTATCAGTTCAGACACCTCATCCGTAAGAGGAGACCATACCATAACCACCGTGTTGTCTGGGCCACGAAGGGAGCAGCATCAAACTTGCGGTGGTAATCCTCTCTGAACTGGGAAGTGCCATCGAAGTAGTCTTTCCTGACTACAGTCATGAAGGTCTAAGGGTCACAGTTAGATGGATTTCAGTATTCATTGGTTTCATATCTTGCCTTAGCGTAGTGTGAGTGAAACCCTTTCTCGGTTCCAACCGGTTTAGTGCGCTCCCAGACCTCTTCTAGCGAGACCTTGACAAGCTCAGTGTTGAGCCACTTGGCCAATTTCTCGGCAGTCTTGGTGAACAGTTCATCCACATCCACCCTCCCGCTGGCATACTCAGTTATCGTAATGACTCGCTTCGGCCGCTCCGACTAAGACAGAACTTTAGCCATGATCACATACCGGTCAGAGGGGGTATCATCTCACTTCCGAGCCAGCAAATGGCAGACGGATTGCGTGATGCGTAAGGTCGTAGAGCATCTTCAAATCTCTGGCGAGATAGCCAGTTCGTTGGAAACGCCTGGTAGTAGGGTGTAGTTAGCGCACGTTGGATATCTCTGCAGGGCTGGGAGAGCTTTGTGGCTCTGGTTGATCAAAAGCTTGAAACGATGCTTACGGGCAAGGCACCGATGTATTCTGCTCCTGAATTCCGTCATGAGAGGCTCGAAATCCAGGCACACCAAATACAACGGCAGGATCTCTGATGCTACCGCCGCAATCGCTTCCCAAGGATCCATCCAGCCATGGGTAAGTTGCCATAGCACTTGCGCTTCCGACACTGCTTCCCGTGGCGCGAAGATATCCGTCTGCTCGAGGGTTTTTTGGATACCGGTAGTCAGCCCAGTCACCTTCAACTTCCTGGGCTCCGGCAAACTCCACTGAAGTCGCCTTTCCGACAATGACTGCTCCCTTGTCGATCGCTGCCTGGACGGCGGCCGAGTTGGCCGCTTGTTCGCCATACAAGGTTTCAAACGCGCGATTTCCGTTGGTTGTAACCACACCCTTTAAGTGGAATACATCCTTGACGGAAAGACGGAGCCCGCCGAGAGGCAGCTCCTTCGTTCGCTTGAAGTAGAGGCGAGAGGGCACGGCAATACAGCGCGTGCGATGGCCGTACGCCAACGCGCTGATACATTGGTATCTATTGCAAAGTTTAGTCTTCTTCAGGAGAAGTGAGTTGAGAGAACAACGCCGGACTTACGTGTTCTTATCAGACGGGTTGGGAATGACGCTCGTTACGAAGGCATCGTGTGTGTCGGGATACAGCCTGAATACCCGGAAAATCCCATTGCAGGAGTAGAAGTAAGGCCCCTTTCCAAGGTTTGCACCTGTAAGAAACAGCCTCTTGCAACCAAATGAAGATAGTACTTCGAGCGTTTCGAGTTCCAATGATGTCTCTTGAGTTATTAGAACAATTGATTTCATAAAGGAGGAGCATAAGACGTCATCGTCATGCAAGTCCTGTTTGATAACCTTCTGCAACGACTGGCATGTGACAGGGCCCTTGGGCAGGATGAAGGCCGCCAGTTGCTCGATAGCAGAAGACTCTGTAAGCCTTAGAGAGTGCTGTTGTGGAGTTAACTGTCTGCTGGCTAGTTCAACAGTGCGGATTGCCTCACAATCGGGATCCCCTCATAGAGGTATGAAATTTGTCCAAGTCGAATGACAGTATAGATACGCATCGCATTCCCTGTTACCTCAGTGCCATGTAACTCGCACGAGGTGCACTGTTTGAAGACTGGCTTCTCACCTGACGCCCAATGGAACGTCGAGAGGTCAATCTCGTAAAGCTTCATGGTGCTGACAGCTTTGTGTTGGTGATGGCTTTGAGGAAAACAACAGGTCAAGATCATGACGAAAAGGTGTTAGGTGCTCCTGATCCAAGGTCTCACGTCATGGACTGAGGTCGTCGAGACGTGCGGTGCTGCAGGAGAGAGGCGCGTTCGCGCCCGGCAAAAGTCTGTCTGGACGCGTGTGTGAGGCTCCAGGCAGGGTGAAATCGCAATCATTCCTGTCCTTCCATGTGGTGTCACGGACTGCGATAGGAGGGACACCAATCGTCTCGCAAGTTCAAGGTGTGTGTGTGGGGCGCGTCTTACCTGCTCAGTCACAACTCACACCTGCTTCACATTCACATCCAGACTCCCTTTTTAACCCTCACTCTCCTCGTTCGCTTCGCTTCAGAGCATCCAGGCATGCAGCTTGTCCTCCCGGGAGTCACATGCAGTGACTGTGAAGGGCTTTCTAGCCCCCAAGGCCTTGATGACCTACCTAGGTAGGTACCAGTCAGCGCGCATAGGGGTCGATGGGTTGTAGAGGATGTTAGGGACACACCCTACCCGATAGCTTCCCGGCACCCAATCACTTCACACTAGGTACAGCCACAGAGACTGTTTCCGTATACATGATACCCCCGTCCGCATTTCCATAGGTTCCAAATCCTTGTCACTCTGTGGGTAGCCTGACTCTTGAAATGTCAGTGGCCTGCCCGAGTTGTGCAGTTGTGACAGCACACCGCCGGTGGAACGACATATTAATTACAATCCACCGTATCCGACGAGGGCATTCAGGGAACGTGACTATTTGTATAGCGCGATTACTAATGTGGCCAACTGTGCCAGCGCGATCAAACAACCCAAGTGTTCCGTAGAAGATGACTGCCCAAAACGTGTACCACTGGCCAGTCCTGCGCTTGTCTCTCCACAACTGAAGCAAACTCTTCGGTTCTTTGTGGATAACAACGTCGTTGAGGAGGTCCAGTTTAGATCGCATCAGTGGAAAGTCCCTGGCAAGGTAGTAGATCGGTTTGGGTTCATACGTTGAGTTCTGAAACGGCCAATGGCCCCGGCAAAGCGTGATAAGCAACTGGTCTTGATCTGCCTGTGGCCAACCCTCAAATGCTTTCTTGGGGCTGAAATGCTGCCGCGCCCGGCTCTCCTGGCCGAATATCATGTAGAGTGACAGCATGATCTCGCACATCAGATCCTCGCGACGGTCACGATCTGCTGGGCCTTCCGACTCGACACATCTTGAGTTTCAACGTTAGCTGATGCAAGTAAATAACATGAAGAAAGAGTGCAAATGGGAGTCAATGCATATTTACCTTTCCCATATGCCCGCGCCCCAGCCGTGTCTGGCAAATGTTGAGTTCATGGCGCAAAATGTCGCGTGTCTGAAGAGAAAAAGAGTATTGGTTTCGGCGTCGTAGTCGAGATGGGTATTGAGGATATCCGTCCACGCGAGGTTCATTTTCAAGACAGAGCGAAACAGCCGCGCATTGAACTTGTCTGCCCTTATTGATACCGTATCGGCCTGGTGAATTCGTTGATTCCCGTCAATTACGGGACTTAGTTCTCCAAATCCACGGATTAGCCTCGCAACTGGCATTCGCGCTTCTCTCATTAGGATCTTGCTGGACAGAATTGACCAGCAGCGATGTGACGATCCAGGTACACAGTCTTCGATGATGAACATGTTCTGTGCCAGACCCTTGGGAGACGGTTGGAAAAGGTGGGCGGAAATGCCAACAAGGCAAAATACGTAGAAATTATTTAAGAGAGTAGTTGCATCATCGAGGTGAGAAGCCTGAGGCTTGAGAAGCTGCTGCGTCCTCAGGTAAGCCGTGGTTGTCTCAAAAGTGAAGTATTCCTCAGAGGAGACATGGCCTTGCAAAGCGGCCACTGAAGCCAGAAACCATGCGTTCCGCCTTGTGTTATATTCATCGGGACAAATAGCATCAAATGTCTGGCTTAGACGGCCGAAGGAAGTCGTGATATGCCGTATATAAGACCTCGCCGACAGATCGTACGAGATACCCGGCACTGGAATGGGCTTGAAGACACCTTCAAAGGTCGAAAATACGTCTGGATCGATAATTTCATCTGCTGTCACACCTTTTAGCCACCGACACCAGAGTCTTTATGCAATGGCACGTATCAAGAGGCAAGTTTGGTCCGTTTCTGGCGATTGACGCAGTCCGCGTCCGCAAAGAGCTTATCGGTCGTTGGATCGGGTGGGAATTATGTGCCGACATTGCTTAGACGTCTGATCGGTGATCAACTGAGTCGAAGGCAACATTGAATACCAGATCACATGAGGATCGAGGGCAGGCTTGCCAGAATAATGCGCCAAGTGATATAAGCCGCAGCATTTGGGCTTGCAGGAATTGAACAGGCTGGGGGGAGGGTGCTGGACGCGATTGGACTGCCCAGGTATCTACATGCTGTCTGGTTGGGGGCTCGCGGGTCTGGGGCGCGAACCACAAGGAGCAATAGATTTGAGCCTCACCCGCTGGCTGGAAGATTTGCTCGTCGACCTATCATCTGATGTTCAATTCTCGCTTGGGGGTGCATGTGTTGCCAGCCACCCATCTACCGACGTGATAGGGGGACGGGCCTCGTTCAGATGTCATTGCATTTACTAATACATTTGTCAGGCTGAGGAAAACCCCTCAAAGCCAAATTACTAGACACCCCCGGGGTGCGGGTTCATGCTGGCCGACATCAAGAGTTGTCACTAACTGGCTTGCAATGTCTGACGTTGTCCCCCTTCATAATGTCCCACCATGCCGGTCTCGAGAAGCAGAGCCAAGACTAAAAGACAATATTAGACGTGCCCTAGCATTTGCAGACGGAATTCCTGTATCATTTCAAGCAAACCATGCCTTCAACCTCACCTAGCTCGCTCTTCTCGCGATGAGAATAGTCACGCAACTATCGCAAGATGGTATCTGATCAGGTTGAAAACGCCATCCTTGGCGTCGAGAAAGACTTCTTGGCCTCTTTCCCAGGATGGGAGGGACAAGATATCCTCAAGCTCACTGATTACGAGAAAGTGATGCAATGGATTGAGAAGTCTGCAGACTGGAGATCGCCATGGGTGAGCCAATCTTTGCATGTGCGTATTGACGGCATAGGAAAGACATGCAAAGAATTCATCAGTGTCGTCCATACATCACGAATCGTTCCTGACGAGGTCAACAAGTTCGGAAGGTGGCCGGCCCTTGTCCTTGGCAGCCTGGCCCTTTGCATTCGCGTAAGTGCTGTAAGAATCCAATCAAGCGACCGTGGATTGACCAATTACTAGGAAATTCTGCGGATCGGTGACTCAAGTCGGAATCCCTTTCTCCCTCTACTCGAAGAACTTACAATCAACACGTCTTTACCTCTGCCACCATTCAACCGGCCGAGCAACGACGACAGGCCTTTCGCAGAATTCTTGCTCCAGCTTTTTGTCCAGCTCGCTCACAGCCTGCTGAAGCTTGCGTTGTTCATGGTCAAGAACCAATCAGGTCTGCTATCTGAAACTTCTTTCTGCTGAGGGTGCGTTTGCCGGCGGCCTCTGATGACAGTCACAACGCAGAGCATCGGAAAGACAAGCCCACCGAAGGGTTTACCAAACTGAGTGACGAGAACCGAGAGGCAGTTCGGCGACTCGGAGCTTTATGCGACAAACTCAGGGGCTGCATCTTGTCCAACAGCTCGGATACTCGATCTGCTCTGCCACATCTGGAGCAACAGACAACAGGAACCAGCCTCAACACTTACCATTCGTTTCCTGCTCGCTTCAGCAGACATTTCCAAGGGAGGGGGACATATTTTACCAGGATCGATCAGATCTTTGCTACTTCTCCTGCGCGGCCTGCCCTGGTATCATTGTACGGCTTGCCAGGCATCGGGAAGACGCAGCTGGCAATGCGATACTGCAATTCTCAGATCGCTCAATACAAGGTGATTCTATGGACTGAAGCGGACACGCCCATGAAAATTCAGGAGGGACTTTCCAAACATGCTGTCAACCTTGGATTGCCTGGAGCCGAACTAAGAGGAGACAGTGCGTTGAACTGTCGAATCTTGGTGGAGTGGCTTGAAGTGATGAGTGTGTAGCCTCGTGGCAGGTGGGATTTTGACTTCTGAATGAATTGCTGAGGCCGGACATACAGATGATACTTGGCTTCTGGTGTACGATAATGTCGACGACAGAAACATACTTCGACAGTTTTGGCCCGAAGGAGGCAAGGGCCACATTATCGTCACGACCCGCGATCCCTTCACTGCGAATTTCCGTGCTTCCGACAGGATCTCCGTCTTGCCCCTGAACATGAAGGAATCGAAGAACCTCTTCTATGATGAGATTGGCAGGTCTCCAATTCCGCAACAGAATCCGAGGATCGAAAAGTTGCTGGGTGAGTGGGAAGGCGTTCCCCTGGCTATCAATCAGATGAGCAGCTTCATCACCCGACTTGGAATGGACCTAGATCAGTTCGTCAAGCTCTACGATACGAGTAAGCCCCGTCTTCTGCAGAAAGAAGGTTACGAGGAGTATCCCCACAGCGTTGCGACGGCGTTCGCAACCGAGCAATTGCAACAGAACCCGAAGGCTGTCATGCATGCCATGTGTTTCTTTGACCCAGATCGGATACCGTGCGAAGTGATCCAGTCGAGCTTCGATTCGGATGAGACGCAAGGCTTCAACTCGGTCATGTGCCAGATGGAGTATGTAATGTCAATACCCTAAATGTCAACCTTTGTCAATGATACTCATCAAGACTGTGCAGCTATCTAGACAGTCTCGAGACACTCATCAGGATGTCCTTGCTTACCAAAGTTGACAACGATATAAGTATTCACCGCCTGGTACAGGATGTAGTGTATCTTTTCATGTCCAAAGAGGACCGCCAAAAGGCTTTTGACGCTGTTCTCTCGGTTCTCAGCAAGAATTTCCCGACCAACGCAGAAGGTCAGATGTGGAAGGAGTGGCGTAAGTGCGAAAGATATTTACCCCATGCAGTCTTTCTATGTCGCCGCTTCGAGAAGGACTTCTTAGGGCAGAAGTCTATCCAGCTTGCCAGCTTGTTAAACTCTGTCACATGGTGAGATCAAGATATGGCTCTGCATGAAATTTGTCGCCCTTCGCTAACGTCTGGCTCTGGCCGCGGAGGTTCCTGTTCGAGCGTGGTCTTTTTGCCGAGATTGATGCACTAGTGAAACTTGGCCTGGCAGCATGTCCAGACGATGAAGAGAGCTTAGTCATTGCTTCGATAGTCTGGCCTCTTGCTGGCATTCTTATTGAGAATAACCGGATCACAGAGGCACTGCCACTGTTGATGAAGGCTCTCCAGATTCGCGAGGCTCTCCTTCCAGCAAACGATCCGGCCCTGGGCATCACATACTACTCCATCGGCCTCTTTTATATGGAATACAACCAACTAGAGAAGTCGCTCGAGTACAACCTTAAAGCCCTTGATGTCAGACAGAGATGCAGCGATCCTGACGAGGGGCCTTTGGCGTTCACATACGGCAATCTGGGTTTGATATATCGGCGCATGGGTGAGCTTGACAAGGGGTCGGATTGCATGGAGAAGGGCGAGGAGTTGTGGCGACGGAGCTACGGAGATAACTCTGACAGATACGCGATGTAGGTGAAGTCGAAGGCTGCATGTCTCATGGAGCAAATACTGACGGATTGTTGCTCAGATGCATGTACTACCTCGGAAACCTCCGACTCGACCAAGGCCGAATCGCCGAAGCACGGCAGTGTCACCAGAAATCATTCGATATATACTGCAAGATACTACCTCGCAACTTCAAGACAGGGCTCTGCTGGCATAAGATGGCCACTTTCTTCCGTCGCGATGATGATTTCTGCAATGCCGAGTCGGTCTACCTTTGGCTCGGATTTCGAGAACGTGAAGCTGATGATAATGAACAGAGCATACGTGCGGAAGGCGCTGTCCATCTTTGAAAAGTGTTTTGATCCAACACCGAGACTTGCTCGCTCCACTTACCTGTTGTCAGAGGTGTTAAGAGATAGCGGTCGTATACTTGAGGCAGACGAAAAGCGACAAGCGGCTGAGAGACTGAGGGAAAGTATTACAACCTTACCCTATGAGAAGGACTCAACTCCCGAGGCATTTGAGAGGCTTGTTCCATATTTCCTACGTTAATCACAATCATCCTGTCGTGTTTTTTGCAGACAATAGGTTCCTCAAGTGAGGGACCAAGGTGGTAATGTTGAAGAGAGGTTTGCTCAGGCAGGGAAACTGGAAGGACGATATATGAACAATGCACTTCTTGCCTGATAAGACTCGTTCGAATGCGTATCGACATATTATATGTGAAAATCGCTACGATCAAAACAGTAATTCTGAATATGCATGCTAGCTGTACGCCGTTATTTTGCCCTCTATACAGGCGTATTACCTCCCCTGCTCTTTCTTGAATGTGGTACTGCCCCAGTGCCATGCATCGATTCGCTCCCTGTAGACGTGAAGAAAAAAGGTAGGCGAGAAGACAAGAAAGAAGTAGCCCTGACGGAAAAACAAGGGTGCAAAACAAAAAGCAGGGGTATATATCGAATCCATCACCACACACTCTCTCTCTCCCTCTCTCAGCCCCTGCAGCTGCATCAGCACCCGCAAGGCCCTCCCCTCCGCCGATTAGACAGTGTAAACACCTCCTCCCACTCCCGCAGCGCCATGCCCCGGACCCCGCGGCCCTTGCCGCGCCGCCTCCGCACCCCGCCAACCTCGTCCGCCGTGACGCCGCTCTTGACGCTGCCGCCATCGCTGGCGCCCGCGTTCCAGGGCCCGCCGGCGTCGCCGTACTGGATGCCGCTCATGGGGTCGTCCGGGTCGATCTCGCCGAGCTCGATCTTGGTCAGGATCATGCGCGCCAGGCGCGCAAAGACCTCGTCGACCCCTTCGCCCGACAGCGCGCTGACCTCCATCGTCACGGGCACGCTGACGCCGCTGGCCCAGCGGCTAGCCTCCGTCGTCGACACGTCCCGGCCGTCGGGGGCCACCGTTGCGCGCATTTGCGTGCCCAGGCCGGCACCACCTCCCGACGAAGACGATCCGCCGCCGTCTCTCCCTGCGATGGGCGAGCTCGCGTAGGGCACGCTGGCCGAGGACATGGAGCTAGGGGTCGGGGGCGGGAGGCTCGTGTCGACGAGGTCGGAGGCGAGGTCGAGCTTGTTGCCGACCAGGAGCATGGTCAGGTTGGGCGAGGCGAGGGCCCGCGCGTCATTGAGGAAGGGCTGGAGGCTTGCAAAGGACTTGTGGGAGGTGATGTCGTATACGAGGATGGCGCCGGCGGCGCCGCGGTAGTAAGATCGCGAGACGGACCGGAAGCGCTCCGTGCCCGCCGTGTCCCAGAGCTGTGGCCAGTGTCAGTCGTGCGTCTCTCTACATGAGGAATAGACAGTCGTCTGTATTGGGTTCGTTTTCCGCCCGTACCTGCAGCTTTATCCTCTTCCTCCTGGCTCCCGTCCCGACTTTGATAATCTTGCTCGCAAACTCGACGCCGATGGTCTGCGACGACAGCACGCGCCACTCGTTTTTAACGAAGCGGTGCAGCAGACATGATCTGTGGCAGAGATGAACAAGGTCAGCGGAAGTCGCCCTCGACATAATCCGGCCGCTCCGGTGGTGGTCCTACTCACTTGCCAGTCCCGCTGGGCCCCAGAAGTATGATCTTGGCTAGATAGTCGTACATGCTCCCCAGCTCCTAGACACACACGTCAGCCCCGCGGTAGTTGTCTCGATAAGAGTCCGTGTTTACCTGGTCGTGAGCTGTCGCCGTGCTCTCCTCGCTCGCCGCAGAAGAGCGGCGCGGCCGTGTCATCGTGGGTGGTGATGGTGGTGGTGGTGGAAGCAGGCGTCGGAGATTGTGGCGGAAAACAACGGTGCCAGGGGCTTATCAGCTCCTGCAGCGAGAGCGCGTAGAGGTGTCGGGTCGGATCGCATGCGCAATATAGCAGTTGCAAACAATCACCTTGTTCTCTTGGGTCGGTTTGCGTTCAGATGTGTGCTGTCGTCACGCCAGAAACAGGGCAGGCGGAGAGACAAAGGGTTAAGTTAAGGTTGTGTGGGCGAACAGACTGGACTGGCTAGCTGGACTGTGCTGGTCAGGCGTTGTCACGGCCAGTGTTTCGGGCCTTGGCGCAGGTCGATTGGGGCGTGATCACAGGGGTCCCTTTCCAGGTGTGGCTCAACTTGCAGGCCTGTGCGCGTCCCCTGTCCATCGGTGTGATTGGCACCCGCTGTGGCGCATTTAGTGAGCCAGATCGGCAACGATAGCGGGTGGGTCTGGGGAAGCCGAGGTCTGCCAGATTGGGTCCAGCCAGGACAACGTCGCATTGCCTTTGAACGTCAAGTCATTTCATGCGCTGCTTTCACTCTTCTCCCATCCGCTTTTTGCTACGCTCGCGCATCTGATCGACCTTTGGAAACATCTTGAAACGAAACATCCTTTGGTGTATATAACTCTCTTGCATCCATCTCATCATTCCTCTCTATTTCCAAAGGACAAAATGAAGATCGAAGGCCGGACCTTTATCATCTCAGGCGGGTAAGCTTCATTCCATCGAATTATCACATGCTCAAACACATTCATCACAATGTGCACAACCTGCGCTCCAAACAACAACATCCAAATCAAAAGCATCACAACTCAAACCCCTCTTCCCAACCGCAATAGAAATACCAGGCAGCAGAACTAACAGAACCCCCCAACAGAGCCTCCGGCCTAGGCCGCGCCACGGCCCTCGCCCTCGCCGCCCGCGGCGCCAACATCGCCATCCTCGACATGAACGAGGACACCGGCGCCGCCCTGGCCGCCGAGCTAGGCGGGCCGTCCCGCGCCCGCTTCTACCAGGTCGACGTGACCGACACGGCCAGCGTCGCCGCCGCCGTGACCGCAGCGGCAGAGTGGTCCCGGTCCGCGGGCGGCGCGCCGCTGGGCGGCGTCGTGCCCGCGGCGGGCATAGGTCTGCCGGCCCTCATCATGGACGGCAAGCACCGCCCCGCGCGCCTCGACGCGCTCGACCTCGTGCTCGGCGTCAACCTGCGCGGCACGCTCGACCTCGTGCGCCAGGCCCTGCCGCACATCGCCGCCGCCTCCCCCGACGGCGGCGAGGGCCCCGACGGCGAGCGCGGCGTCGTCGTCATGGTCGCCAGCTCGGCCGCCTTCGACGGCCAGATGGGCCAGGTCGCCTACGCCGCCAGCAAGGGCGCCGTGGCCGCCATGACGCTGCCCATGGCCCGGGACCTGAGCCGCCACGGCATCCGCGTCCTGACCATCGCCCCCAGCCTGTTCGAGACCAACATGACCAAGGCCATGTCGGACAAGGTGCGCAAGAGCCTCCTCAACAGCCTCGAGTTCCCCAAGCGGCCCGGCAAGCCCGAGGAGTTTGCTGCCTTGGTCATCCACCTGATCGAGAACACCATGTTGAACGGCGAGGTTATCCGGCTGGACGGAGCGAGCCGCATGCCGGCTAGGTTGTAGCGTGTGTTTTGGGGCGTCACTGGGTAGTAAAATAAAAAAAATAGAAGCTATGGGTTGGGAAGCTTTGTATGAAGAAATCCTCTTACAGAAGTCACATTTCTGATGTGTTGGACCCCGGTCATGATGTAATTCTGAGTATGCATACGACATGTACCTGAACGAGTCTATTTCGCAGAGACTCGATATACAGGTGAAACTTTACACGATTCCGAGAGCAAATAGGAGATGGGGAAGTGCGCAGATAACAGCTATGTCTAAAATACGAACCTTGTCATCGAGGACTTCCTATCTCGTGAGTGGACTGGTGCAGCTGGAGCTGCACCGGTGCATGGGGGTGTGATGGGAGGTGCAGTGAGTGGGTCTCCGGTGTGAGGACTCGCACTTTCAGGCAGCCTTAGGATTGAGCAAAATAACCCCGCGGTGAGTCAGACTGCTCAATTATCTGACTCTAGGAGATCTCGTGAGCACTTCATACCTTGCCACCATAACATCTCTTCTTGTTCTATTTTCGCATGATGGCATCCCAAGGTGCTGTGCCCCTTCGTCCAGCGTTCCAGCTAAAAACGCCTAAGGGAACTCGAGATTGGAGTGGCCGAGAATTACATCTCCGCGAGTGCATCTTCCGCACCGCAAGCGAAATTTTTGAGCTTCACGGTGCTATTCCTCTCGACACTCCGGTTTTTGAGCTTAGGGACATTCTTGCCGGCAAATATGGCGAGGAGGCACGCCTAATCTACAACCTCGAAGACCAGGGCGGCGAGCTCTGCTCGCTACGGTATGACCTGACAGTGCCATTTGCTCGGTGGCTCGCCATGCACTCCGACGTCAAACAGGTCAAGCGATATCAAATCGCCAAGGTCTACAGGCGGGACCAGCCCGCAATCTCTCGAGGAAGATTGCGTGAATTCTACCAGTGCGACTTTGACATTGCCGGCTCGTACGATCCAATGGTCCCTGATGCGGAGGTTCTGCGCGTCGTGGTAGACATCTTCCACGCCCTAGAGCTTGACATTACCATCAAGATCAACCACAGACAGATCTTGGATGGTATCTTTGACATTGCAGGGGTACCGGCCGACAAAACAAGAACTATCAGCTCGGCTGTGGACAAGTTGGACAAGTCGCCTTGGGATGAAGTCAAGAAAGAGATGGTTGATGAGAAAGATCTGCCCAAGGATGTTGCGGATCGTATTGGGGAATATGTACAACGCAGCGGCAGCATGTCTGAAATGCTGGCAAGCCTCAAGACTGTCACAGAGTTCTGTGACAATCCACTAGTCAAGTCAGGGCTCGACGATATGACTCTCCTCATGTCTTATCTAGAAGCTATGAATATCATAGACAAGGTCAGTTTCGACCTGTCGCTTGCTCGGGGTTTGGACTACTATTCGGGCTTAATCTACGAGGTTATCCCTCAAACCAACGGATCAACCATCCAGGTTGGAAGCATCGCCGCGGGTGGACGGTATGACGGCCTTGTTGGTATGTACGGTAAACAACCCGTACCTTGTGTTGGTGTCTCTTTGGGAATCGACCGCATCTTCACGATTCTGGATGCGAGGGAAACGAAGAAGAAGTCCCAAAAAATGGCCCGGGATGCCGAAGTCTTTGTTATGGCCTTTGGCGGCAAGGATTTCGATGGCCTTCTACCCGAGCGCATGGCAATCGCTGGCGAACTATGGAAGGCTGGCATTAGAGCCGAGTATCTTCCCAAGAAGAAGCCAAAGCCTCAAGCTCAATTCAATGCCGCCGGAGGCGTGCCAGTGGCTGTAATGCTCGGGCAAGACGAGCTGGCAGCTGGCCAAGTGAGAGTCAAAGCAATTCAAGCTGAGAAGGAAGAAGGGGCCACGAAGGACCGGGGTACACTCATCTCTAGATCTGACTTGGTTCAAGAAGTGAGGATGCTGCTAAAAGCAGCGGGGTTATGAGTTTCTATGTGAAGGCTGCAAAACCAAAACCTTCCAACACCAACTTTATACCTTGATAGGTTGTTCAATGAAGGGGATATATTCTAGGAGTCTTGGTGAAAATATGATACAATTCAAGTGAAGTTATTCGCAGTCGTGGGGCACAGCGTGTCAGCGCCGGTGCCAGGCTGTGTAGCGTCGGTGCGTCTTCTAAAAGGGCAAGTAGAAATCACGTAGAGCCTAACTAGGGTTAACTAACTGAATAAGTGTTTCATATTAGGAGGGCACGGAGATCGAGTCCCCTGCACCCCAATGTTTGAGGACTTTGAAATCAAACTTCTCAAACAAGCGCCCGATCAGAGAAACTCGCAGGCGATATCGCTATCGTAGATGCACATAACTGGCGCAAGTTGCCAAGAACATTTCAACCAGAGATGTCACTGATCCGGTTGGGACATCGGAACCAAACTACCTACCTAGGTACCTTACCCCTCGACTTTGGCTGTACGTACCTCCATAATATCACCACAGACACATAGCTCGCAAGAGCTTCTCCCACCTTCTGACTTCCTTCCTGGAGATTTCGCACTGAACGAATAACGCACTGTCTGGGTGGACACCTCTGCAATCTCAAAGTGTCGCGGCAGAATACAGTCTCTGATATAATAATACCGCGACACGAAGACAAGCAACATTCAATATTCGCAGATGGGCTGGGGGACACTTTCTGGAATGATACACACAGAGAATAGCACCACTTCATACGTCAATTCAATGTGAATTGTTTTTGGCACGTCGTATTGTCGTGATTGCAATCCCTTCCATCTGTCGACTTGCCGTTGATCATGTCATAAACATGTGATGCCCACATGGAACAGCCCCCCATACCAAAGCCAGATAATGCGCGTGCCATGTCAGCACAATGCGGCTGCGCACTCTCTCAGCGCAAACAGATCCGTCTTGAGCATCTTGCAGAGAAGGAGATTTTATTGTGCAGGTCCCTTCATGCCTTGGGTGCTTCAATCTTAACACCGAGATCAATTGGGTTAAGCAATAAATAATCCGATCAGGCCCTGCTTGGTAAGCTTCCTTTGGTCAGCACTCGCTATGTCAGACCAGAGCGCCATGGCGAGCCGCAAAACGCGAAGAGCCGAGCTTTCCAATCACCGTCCCGTAGCTTACGACAACACAAACCTTGTGGTACGGCATCCCACCTTTCCCTCGATGGCGCCATCATTAATAAGGCCGGTATATATAAACCCAGCACAAGGTGAAGCTGCGATCCTTGTGTGCTTGGCTGCAACACGCACGCACAGCATATACCTCACCACACACAGGACGTAAAACCATCAATTTCTATCGATTTTCGTATCCATGGCCGCCACGCAGAAAGCCCTTGTCGTCACCGCCCCCGGCAAGCTGGTCCAGGTCGACGACTGGCCCGTCCCCGAGCCGGGCGCGGACGAGGTGCAGGTCAAGGTCTCGGTCGCCGGGATCAACCCGCACGACGAAAAGGCCCGCGACTGGCTCCTCTTCATCCAGGACGACCTCCCCGCCGTCGTGACCAACGACGTCGTCGGGACGGTTACCAAGCTCGGCCCCGGCGTCACCGGCCTTGCCGTCGGCGACCGCGTAGTCTACCAGCCGGGCTTCACGCCCGGGTCGCGCCAGAACGGCCTGCAGGAGTACGCCGTGGCGGATACGTTCGCGCTGGCCAAGATCCCGGACTCGGTCACCGACGACGAGGCCGCCACCCTGCCGACCAACATCATCGCGCCCCTAGTCGCCCTCTTCGAGACGCTGCAGATCCCGGCGCCGTGGTCGCCGGCCGCCAGGGACTTTGACTACGCCGGCACTTCGCTCCTCGTCGTCGGCGGCGGCACCAACTGCGGCCGCTTCGGCGTGCAGCTGGCCAAGCTCGCGGGAATCGGGCGCATCGTCGTGGTCGGCGGCGACGAGAAGGAGCTGAAGTCCTACGGCGCCACGCACGTCATCGACCGGCATGCCGGGTACGACACCATCCTGTCCCGCATCCGCGACGTGGTAGGAGACGACCTGTTGTATGCATTTGACACCATCAACCCAGTCGAGGGCCTACCGCTCGGGCTCAACGCCCTCTCGAGCCACAAGAAGGGCGCTCTGGCGCGCCTGTTGCCGCGCGGCGACGTGGATGCGTCCAAGGTTGTGGGGAAGAAGGCAGGATATGATGTGCGCGGTGTGTTTGGCAGTTCGCACCAGTACCCCGAGCTGGCCAAGGGCTTCTGGGCCAGGGTGCCGGAGTACCTGGAGAGCGGACAGATCAAGCCGTTGGGTTACGTCGTGAAGGAGGGGCTCCGGGCGGAGAATGTCAACGAGGTGATGGACGCGTATAGGGACGGGAAGCGGGTTACCAAGACGCATATCCATCTGTAAGAGAGTGAATAATGAGAATAATAGTCCATATTCCAAAGCCATCTCATAATTACCTCCATTTCCATATTGAATGCAGAAGCTGATGGCAGTTTCTTGGTCCCATCAGGAGATACCACAACAGTAGCAACCCATCTCCTTACTCAAGAACGCATAAGGGCTATCACACTGCCTCAGCCCGATGGGCTTGATGGATTAATAAGTGCTTCTGCTAGCAGCTCGTCGCTCAATCTGAGCATCCCTCGCCAAGTCAGGTCTCGTTCGCAGCGTGAATCTACCCTCTGCAATCTGCGATTGTGACAAGGATGGACCGGATCCCTGTCTCCGGCGGAGTTGACTCCAACTCAATGCGGGACCGGTTGCAAGCAACCGGTCACCAACTTCACACATTCGCTCCTGTAGGACTACCGCGCCACGGGCTGAGCTTATTCCTCTTGTGATAGGTGAAGTTGGATAGACGCTGACGTTGAATTGCATTGATTAACCAATAGCACAACACGCTGGGCTCCCAAGGGCCCGTAGTACTCCAAGACTTTTATAGAACAGACAGTTCACCCTGTCGGGACTGATCATCCGGGTAGCCCAGCTTCGCACTGGAGTATGGACAATTCCCTGCAGCTGCGAGCCATCTCCTGCAGTCTTACAGAGCGTACTTGTAGAGAGGACTCCGGTCACCCATCCGCTCAAGCTCCTCATCCGTGTACCTGGCCCGCACCTCCACCTCCGTCAGCTTCTCGTTCCTCCTGTTGCTCCTGAGAAGCAGGTACTCGAGCAGCAGGGCGGCGATCAGCCCCGCCGCCGCAAAGGCAAGAGAGTTGCCGAACCCGGTCGGGTACTCGGGCGCCTCGTCCTCCTTGTAGATGTACGAGCCGATCACGCCGCCGACGTTGCCCATGGCCACGAGGTAGGCGATGCTGACGGCGCGCTTCGTCGGCCCGGCCTGGTTGGCCACGTTCCACGCGTTGACGCCGGGAAAGATGGGGTACATGCCCAGGCAGGCGAGGCAGACGCCAAAGTAGCACACGCCGATGTTGTGCTGGATGTCGCCCGCCTTGACGAAGAGCACGGCGAAGGCGACGACGACGCACGCCTGCGGCCCCAGGATGAAGGGCATCCGCCAGACGTACCGGTCCGCGAACAGGGACAGCACGTAGCCCGAGACGGCGCCGCAGGCGTAGGGCGGGATGGTCAGCAGCTGCGCCGTGGCCGAGGCGAAGCCCATCGACCTGACGATGCTGGGCATGGTGAACTTCATGGCGTAGTTGGGCACCATGTTGGACCACTGCGCCAGCACGAGCAGGTAGACCTTCCAGTCGCGCAGGACGGCCCAGAGCACCGACCGGTCGAGGCTCTTCTCGCGGTAGTCCTCGGGCCGCGCGGCGCGGCGTGCGACCTGCCGCAGCTCGAGGTAGCGGACCTCGTCCGGCGTGAGCCACGCGCTGGACAGGGCGGGCGAGTCGACGAGGACGAGGAGGCAGACGAAGGCCATGAACACGGTGGCGAGGCCCTCCACGATGAAGATCTGGAATATTCCGCTTTAGCTACGCACAATGTTCGAGGCGAGTCTTGACACGCACCCATCTCCAGCCCTCGTAACCGGCAATGCCGTTCATCTTGGCGATGCCGAACGCCAGAAGCCCGGAGAACGCGCCGCCAGTGGCTGCGGAGGTGTAGATCAGAGCAATTCGAGTCTGCACCTCGTCTGGGACGTACCACTTGGAGACCAGAAGGATCGCTCCGGGGAAGAAGCCGGCTCTAGAGAGCAGGTTAGTTTATGACACGGTCTTAGTTGGTCGCCGTCGAAGCTTACTCGAAGAGCCCAAGGAGGAATCGTACGGCGCACAGGGTAGAGAAGTTTGTCACGAAGCCCGTGCAGACCATGATCACTCCCCACAGAAAAACAATCAGGGCGATGTATTGGGAGGGCTTTTTGAACTTGTTCAAGATCAGGTTGCTAGGAATTTCTGGGCATGTCCAGTCAGCATTGTAACGGCCACATAAGGCCCGAATGTTCGAGGAGTACTGACCGGCTAGGATGTAAGGTATGAAGAAGATCGACAAGGCAATGTTGTACTGATTACCCGTCATGTGGAGGCTGGGTAGCAACCCTTCAATCTTTGCATTGCCTAAAGCCTCATGGTCAGTACTAGCGATATTCTCACCATTGCACTCAACGCACCGATGTTTGTCTTGTCCAAGTACGAGATAAGGAACAAGAAGAGCAGCATGGGGATCAAACGCCACTGTGAATGTCAGTTACAAGTATCCTTCCAGCGAAAGGAAACGCATCAACACACGTCAACCTTGCGGACGACCTTCTTGCGGGCTTGCTCCGAGAAGTTGGCCAGGAATTCGAGTTCCTCCTGCCCGAGTGCTCCAAAGGTTGGCAGGTCCTTGGCCTTATCCATAACATCAACCGCTTCAGCCGCGAGTGTCTCGACATCTGCCTTCTCCTGGGACGTCCTGGGAACGGCCATGGTCAAGTACAGTTGGAGTGAACAATTCGGGTGGTCTCTGCGGCGGCTGTTGCTTACTGCTCCCAAACCACAGGCAAACTGCATATCTGCCCCTCCCTTTATATCCACGTCGTGCCGGGAGTGGCTGAACCAACCCCGAAAAGCCGGTAAAACCGGGGTATGGGGTTGCGGGGAGAAGTGCCAGTCGTCATTCGAACTGCATGAAGGCTCTTGCGCTGTCATTGAAATCGAGTCCAAGAAGGCCCCATTTGACAGCTTCTACCCAGTGCATTCTTGGTAAAGTCTTGTGTGGAGCCGGATGCTTGCTGCCGGGCCCATATGGGCGAACCTCCTCTGCTCATTTCCGGTTTGAGCCCGGCCACGAGAGGGATCTGCAAGATATTGAAATGTTGGCAAGAACACCACTTGAGGAAGTTTGTCCTCCTCCTTCAAGTCACAAAAGACAGCAGTGCGAAGGACATATTATACCAGGACCCAAGCTGTCATTGTACTGTGAAAGGCATGATATCTAACCCCCGAACTCATTTGTCCGTGAATAACACCATGTCTTTGCCCTTGCGACACCCGACGCGATCAAAGACCGAAAGGCCACCGAGAAACCTAGATCCTTCCTAGCTGGTATATGAAAGCCGGCCTCTCCTCCAAACATCCTTCTTGATAAGAACCCAAACCCCATCCTGAACGACAAGTACAGCAAATATGCGTCAAGTCAAACCCCCGTTCCATTCCGTTTGGTCCTCCTATGCCTCCGCCTTGCACGACGAAAGATCCGGGCCTCAAAAGGCGGGTTTGCCACGGTGGTAGGGGCTGAGCGATGGGCTGAAACCCAGCGGATGATATCTGGGTGCAATTGCACTTCCAAGGGCGGATTGAGAGCCGTCTGTACAGGCTTGGTCGATACGGTGTTGGCAAGAGGCATAGCTGCTGCCTGAGAGTGCGCGCTCGCGGTGCTTGCGGATCCCTTTGGTCGTATTGTCAGGGCTTGTGAGTTGAAGCTCAGCGTCTTCGCCCGCGCCGGCAGTTTGTTTTCTTTGCTATAGATCTCGTTGGCGAAATCAGATGCAAGATCACTGCAGATGTATTCCAGAGCTTCCGCGATCGTCTCCGAGTATCGGATCCTGTGTATTCGGCCCACCGAGATGGTAGGCAGGATCTTCGATCCCGGGCGATTCTATCCCCTGGGTTCGAGATTCTGGAGCTCATCGAGGCACAGCGCGGCGAGGCAGGCGATGACGAAGTCGCCAGCATTGGCCGACTCGGCATATTGATCAATGAAGAGATTTTTGCACAGGCGCCATTGGAAGTGCAGATACGTCTCCTTGCTGGGTTTGTTGGCTGAGAGCTGTTCTCCTTGGCTCTTGGTGTAGCTGGCGATCTCAGCGAGCGACTCGACGATTTTGGCTTCCGTCATGAAGGAATCACCTTTAAATGAAGCCCATTCGTACAGGTATTGTGTGAATTTGTCTGCATCCATGACTGCAAGCTGGAAGATGGTGATGTTGATCTGAGTATCAGAAGGTGATTGAGGCTGATGGAGCAAGGTGCCTCTGCAGGGGGGAGGACTTTCGAATTGAGGTTGGTTTTTTTCTTCTTTTCTTTCGTGGAATGAGGAGGGAGAGAGGGAGGGAAGGAGAGCACTGATCTTTTCAAATCATTCTCGAGCGTGCTTTTATGCCCAGGAATTCTGATTAGGTCTGTAGCTCCTATTGTGCGCAGTTTGTGCGCAGTTTATTTGGAAGCCATTGTGTGATGGCTCGCTCCAGAGGTGGCTGCTTTTTGGTACCGACGGCTGCCGCCAAAGGTGGCGAAGGATTGATATCTGGATAAGAGTGGCAGGCACCTGTCAACCGGCTGATTCACCCAGAGGAAAGACCTGACCCGCTAATCCCTGTGAAGGGAACTGTTAGGTTGAGCCTCACGAAGTCACCAAACCATCATCTCAGTTTCATCTGAACTAACGGTAGTTAGATCTAAAATCAAGGGAATCAAACGTCACTACGAAGGATGGACTCTTTCGATGCTCACCTCCGCACCGCAGTGTTGTGAATCATTAGGCCGGTCCCCTTGCAGTCAAACTTTGTGGTCCGTCCCTCTTTTTAAGCCTTTCGTAGTAGTGAGCATGATCTTCGTGATATCACTGTTCTTGACCGCAGTGGATACTAAGAGCGGCACAGTGGCGCCTGCCCTGCACGGACGTCCGGGATGAGATTCGGCGTGGTGGTCCACAAGGCTGCGGCGCAGAATCTTGAAATGCGCCGATATTTGGCGAGCCAGCTGCCCTTCGTTTACGGAATGCTATTGGCGGCGACTGAGGGACACCATACAGGGGCAGACTCTGGCCGCAACGGACATGATGTAGGTGTCTCAGTGTAGCCACGTCAGATAGCAGCTAGTTGCTACTCGAGGTAACAAGCCAAGCCAGTCAGTCTTCATGTCCCACAAAGGAGTGACTGACTGCCTCTCAGATATTCCGGCATGTGTCCTTTCGGTTCCAGTCTGGTATCTTCTCATAAGAAACTTCTATATTACTCAAACCCCCTCATCATCCTCCTTCAACAAAAGATCAAAGAAAGGCATTGTTCCCGCACTGGGTATTTGGTGATACAAGACGAGTCCACTTCTCCTCAAATCTTACAAGCATGGAACCGACCCGACCCAGCCTCCTTATTTGGCATAAGCCCCGTAGCTGATAGAGACCTCGTCCGTCCTCCTGATGCCCCCGCCGATGATGCCCTGGGCCTTGGCGTCGCGCAGGATGCTCTCGTCGCTGGCGTTGTCGCCCGAGTACGTGGCGACGGCGTGGGCGTGGTGCGTCGGCCCGGCCTTGACGCCCGCCTCGGCGGCGGCCGTCGAGCCGAGGCCGTACTTGTTGTGCGCGACGCTGTTGTTGCCGTACATGGGCAGCTTGTAGGAGCCGTTGCCGCCGCCGCCGCCCGAGGAGCTGTCGCCCTTGCTGCCGTAGCGGAAGCGCACGTACAGGGGCCGCAGGACGGGGATCGAGGAGCACATGATGGTGACGGTGCTCTCGGTGGCGGACCAGATAAGCATGGGGACTGTGTCGTCTGTTTGAACAGAATCGAGGGAAAGAGGTCAGTTCGTGGGATTGGTCAATCAGGGGTAGAGAGGCAGGCAGAGGGCGGATGGGCGAATAGGGGGGTGAACATACAGATGTACTCTTGCGCGTTGAGCCCGTTGAGGGCGACTGTTCGAACGATACCGCAGACGCCGGCGCTGTGCAGACATAGGTTAGGAAGGGTCTAGGGATGCAATGAATGTTGTGATAAGGATGACACCTACAACACACCGAGGCTCAGGCCGCAGGCGACCGTGATCTTCTCCTTGCGCTTCATGTTGAGACCCCAGACGACGAACCAAGGAAGGATAGCGAAGGCAAAGTCGGCGATGACGAACCAGCCTGCGTCCATGTCAGTTCTGTCTCGTAGCACCACACTCGTCATTTGAGCACCTACAGCCAACCGTCATGCCGATCGGGGAGAAGTTGAATGCGCAGTGGCCGGGGACGTTGTCGTTCCAGGACTTCTCGACGGGCGTGCAACGGGCGACGACGGTGATGGCGGCAAAGAGCGTGATGAATACGGTCCCGGCGATGAAGGCCCAGATGAAACCGATCTGGATCTTGCTGCGGACGATGCGCAGAAGGAAGATGCCCACAGCGCACTTTCCAACGCCAATGACCAAGATGCCGGCGACCTGGCTAAACACCTCCCACTTGACGGCCGTGAAGTAGACCTCCATATCCCCAACATCGGCAAAGAGCCGGCCGAGGCCGTAGTTTGATGCCACATGGACGAGGGCAGTGTAGATGATTTGAAGGACCTGCGGTGTTGGATCAGCCAATAGGATCCAACCAGTATGCCTGATGATGTAAGGGGTGTCCTACCAGAGCGAGAAGAACCAGGTAGTCATCCGGACCGACAGAGTTCAAGATGACTTTGCGGGTGTAGATTCTCAAGGCGACAAAGACGAAGAAGACGACAACCTCAACCCAGAGGACCGCGTTGGTCATGGGTCCGAGGCCACCATAGTACTGGCTCATCCTGGAACCGTTGACTAGGTATCTTGGACTCTGTGCTCGAGATGCTGAACAGGCGGTGCGTATTCTGCGTATTAAAAGCACGAAGGAATTGAACGCGCAAAGCAACCCACATCCAACATCAGCACTTCCTCACCGAACAGTCGATGTAAGAAGGACCTGGGAAGTGTTATTTTAAACTCGGCAGTGGCGAAGAGCTGGGGGCCTTGTCTTGTCCATAGAGTGTGTGTGCCACTTTCTGCTGCACACTTGTCAGAGTCCCCTTTCTTGGCCGTCAGAAATCAGTGCTATCTCCGAGCATGCATGCCCACCAAGCATTGCTGATCTGGCTCAGCAGGGGGCAATGTGTGCGAAGATACGCCCGATACGCCCTCCTTCCTCAACTCAATCAGTCGGCTCGCCGAGTCAGGGCACGAACGGCCGCATAACCGGGGCTGGGACTTGAGCCTCCAGACCATGCAGAGGGAGAGCACAGATTTTCAGAGCCCCAGTCTCGTGAAACTCACCACCCATGAGGACGGTCACATCGGCAGTGCAGATAATGAAAGCCACAAGAGCTAAGCGTGCAAAAATACCGAATACCTCTTGGAGATCCCTGAAGGAATCTTCACAGGGCGAGGTGACAAACAATGCCAGATCCTGGTTCGGTAGTCAGGGGTCGACGGCTCGCTTCCGCACGGGGTGCCTGACGCGAAGGTCTTCCGATTGGACACTCTGTGGACCAGAAGAATGACGGACGCTGCTTATCCCCTCAAAGGGGTGGGAATCAGTGGGAATCATCCGCCCGAGCTTGTGATCCATTCATCTTCAGAGTTCCAGGTGCAGGGACGTGCGCATCTGCGGGTCCCTTTGGTGGGACAGGTTGATATTTCCACGCTTGAAAGGATATACCTGAGGCTTAGGCAGTGAGTGAGGGCCCGAGGAGGATCTCAGCCGCTCGAGGTCATCTTTGCTTTCGGTGAAGAATGACACGCTGTTGTGCCACACACCCCAGCAGCAGGTGCGTGTTCGCGGCAACGTCGAGAAAAGCGCGCATGAAACAGAGAAAGCTGAGCCGAGCTGTCACAGTGATCAGCATCCTACTCTCCAGTAGCTTCGACGCTTGTCGATGTTAGTGTACCGGTTTCAACGGCCCGTACCTTGTACTTACGAAGGAGTATTAACCTCAATGCCCCAGCGCTGGTGGCCAGGCTCGCCAGGTACCTAGTAGTGGCTCGAGCCCAGTGGACCCCGAATTACTTCCGCTTATTCCCCGCCACAGCCCTTCCACCTATTCGCAGGCCATGTCAAAGCCTGTTTGTTCCTTGAAGGGGCTCCACTTGAATGCAGGTGTTCTTCAATGCAGAAAAGCCCTCGTGTGATTGTGCTCTGCAGCGCTACCTGGGTGCTGCTTATCTTGATCTGGACAGCTCGGCTGGGGCCGGCGGATTGGACTCCCGGGGATGACGCTGGGGCCTGAAGAGCGCCACTGCTCGAAGGAGGGGTGTAAGTTCGCCTGCTTCTGCTCTTCAAATTCGATATCCAAATCTACACAAGGCCAGCTGGTGTTACACGAAACCGTTGGCGTCCATATCCGCTGCCAGCCTCAATCAGGTGAGGATGTGGGTAAGATGAAACGATCCATCCAGAGTCTGATGTGATGAGCAAGAGGTACGTCGCAGTAGCTGCAGACCAAAAGTTGCCCAACACATGCACTAAACCTTTTCTCTTTTTCTCATGAACGCTAAGGGTCCTGCTAAGTCTCAGGGGGGTCCCATATCCAGTCAGCAGAGAATACGACATAACTAAGGTAGGTTTAGTGATGATCTACTTTACTTGTAGGTGCATGTATGATTTGGGGGCAGGCAGTAGGTACCTTTGTAGCGCATGGTGGAAGATCAACACGAACTTCCCACCAAGCTGGGACTTTGACTTGTATGCAGTAAGCACAGGACGAGTGTCCACGTGGTAATCACTCGCATGTGTGCAGATAGACGCGCTCGCATGCTCCAATGCAAGAGCAACATCAGGCCGGATTCTCACCCATCCACGACCCGGATCATCGCAAAGATTGCACTGCACTGCTCTGGTGTGACCCTTCGTCAGGCCTGAAGCTCCATATGGATGCGTACAGGATGCTCCGTCCGTGGCCCAGGGGGCAAGACTGGGGCTGTCTGCACGTCTGCATTCGTACTTGTACTTGTATATCTCCACTCATCAGCGTGTACGCAATCAGTCTAAAGTTATTCCACTTTGCCCCAAAAACTTGTGGGCTCTTTCGCAAGCTGCCCCATCGCGGGTTGAATCCGACGACCTCTCCAGACCGACCCCAATATGACATGCAAATCATTGCCGCGTAAAATCCCGAACGTCCCAGTGCTTCGTGGGTGAACATCGTTGCCTCTCCTTGGCGATAGCTGCTCGCCTGAGCGCCTCGACAGGTTAGCGAGGTAACATAAAACCATCATAATACTGGATATCCCAGCTCCAAGCCCCCTCTTATCAACCCACCTGGCTTGCCAACCATTGACTAAACCAACCACGGGCAGGCTCCAGGGGCCGTCTTACCCCCATCGATTGACCTGTCACATGCCGGTTCACGTCTTTCCTGGCCTAACTGGGCCATGGTACCAAAACAACTCAAGGGTTCTTCGTCTCGGTCAACCATGCGGGCGGGCAGCGCACGTTTTCACCACGGAGCATGCTCCACAACCACGTTGGAGCGGTCCCGGGGGCGGTGTGGTCCATGATCGATGTATAAATCTGACTGCGGAGAGCCCTTGAGCTCTCCAGACGACGGCGTGCCATCCTACAACTTGAGCTTGTCTAATCCACACTGCTCTTAGCACTCCCTGTACTCCCAAGACCTTTTAACTAGCTACCATGGCTTCAAAAGACATCATCTCGGTGCTCGACGGCGTCAGCCATGCTTCGTTTAACGACGAGACCGAGCGGCTCCGTGTCCGTGCAGCTGCCCGTCGGTTGCTCGCGCGGGTAGAGTCTCCTTATGAGAGAGCTTGGGGCTTCTGCTTCGAGCACCCCGTTGTCTCTGCCGCCCTTCAGACCTGCATCGACCTTGGCCTCTGGAAGGCCTGGACCAGCGAGGGTGGTGCCGAGAAGTCGCTTGATGAGCTTCTGAAGCTATGCAAGACTGAGGTTGAGCCGAACTTGCTGCGTATGCATCTCCCTCCCCGTCGTATCTGATCGCGCTCGATGCTTACACTTCCTTTCGAATCAATAGGCCGCTTGTTCCGCCTCATGGCTGCTTTCAACGTCGTCGAGGAGACGGGCGTAGACAAGTTCAAGCCTACCCCGTTCTCGCTTGCCATTGGCGACGAGAGCACCAAAGTCCGCGCATCACTCGAAGCTGCGTAAGCGTCTTGCATGAATACCACCCTTGAAGTGTCCACAGGCTGACACGCATCACAGTAAGAACCAATACATTCTCTGCGGCCTCAACCTGCCCAAGTACCTCTCCCAGATCGGGTACAAGGAGCCCACGGCGCCAGAGAACAACAACCACTCGGGCGCCGACCCGGACGGGCTCAACTTCTTCGGCCGCCTGCAGAAGAGCCCCGACTACTACGAGGCCTTCACGGGCCACATGGAGGCCTGGACGGCGTGGAAGACGCCCTGGACCAAGCTCTACGACCCGAGCAAGCTGCTCGAGGGCGCCAGGCTCGACGAGGGCGCCCCGCTCGTCGTCGACCTCGGCGGCAACACGGGCATCGACATCTCGCACGTGCTGGCGGCGAAGCCCGACCTGCCCGCCGGCGCCCTGGTGCTGCAGGACCTGCCCGAGATCATCGCGCGGGCCCGCGTGGACCCCAAGATCACGGCCGTGGCGCACGACTTCTTCCTGCCGCAGCCCGTCAAGGGCGGCCGCGCGTACTTTATGCACGCCGTGCTGCACGACTGGCCCGACGCCAAGGCCGCGGAGCTGCTGGCCAACACGCGCGACGCCATGGCCAAGGGCTACTCCAAGCTGTTCGTGTACGACATCGTGCTGCCGCCGACGGGCGCGAGCATCAGCCAGACGACCATGGACGTCAACATGATGTCGCTGCTGTCGGCGTCGGAGCGCACCAAGGAGCAGTGGGAGAAGCTGCTGACGGGCGCCGGCTTCAAGATCGTCAACTACTGGCCTGACCCGCAGGAGTACGAGATGCTGATCGAGGCCGAGATTGCTTGAGATTAGCGCAGGGTGTATGGTGGAAGGTCAATGCCGCGTTTCAGGATAGACCAGCGTCTGGAAGGAGAAATAGATAGCCATTTGGGATAGACAATGGACATCATTTGCGCATTGGCTAAGTCTGGTTGCTGAGAAGAAAATCTCACTCAATAGCAACAGCGACAAGAATTGTGTAGAGCTCACGACTGAGCACATGTTCCAATTCTTCACGATGCTCCGGCGTTGAAATAACCTTGGATCGTCTTGTTAGCGCTTCCTTGGGCCTACCTCTGAAACGCTCCATTCTGGCCCCATCCAGGGATCTTCAGGATCCGAAAACACCCCCACTGCCCTCGACACGCGGCCAGTAAATCCGGCGAGGCTCCCGTTCTTAAGACGTTGAAGAAGAAAGCAGGCAGACACAGTCAACCTTATGAGCCTGTTGAGACAAGGAGCTAGCTTAAAAGATATCTATGAAAATTGCGCTTTGTCATTTAGTCATGTTTTTCAACAAAGGCAATCAGAACATCCCGGCTTTCCTTGAACTCCTTGAAGTTGCATCGGCTTTGACAGCTTCAGGTCTGAGAGCTCTCCGGTCTCAACCTTTCAGACTGCACATTTCATCGGAAGCATAAACTATCAAAGAGAGTTTTGGGACAAGGAGGATCAATTCTAAAAATTACACTGTCTATGGAGCGTTATGTAGACTATTTCCGACAACTCCATGAAATTGCTAGGCACGGCCTGCTCCATGATTCCCTCTTGTCTCCTGCGAATCGCGTGCAAAACAGTAGTAGTCCCGCAACTGGCCCTCGAGGAAGATCCATGTCTTCTTCCTCTCTAGCTCGCATTGATGACCCTTTTTGGTCACAGTCCGCTTGGACTGTGATAGTTGCTCGAACGCCCCAACGCCCCAACGCAGTCCCATGTGAAATCCCTTTTCACCTCTGATCAAAACAACCGATGTATCTTTGTCTGGTGGTTCCATCCCGCGATCCCATCGTCGTCCGATGAAATTGCCTCCCAGATGGTAAGGTTTTTGGTTGGCTAGAAGATGGTGTTGACAAGCATGCATTGTCTTAGAACGGCTGATCAGTCACCATCCAATCACGGAATTGCCGAATGGCAAAACGAACATTGGGACGTGCCTTTCGCAGTCCCGGCAGCCAGATCTCCTCCCTTCGGTCATGCTGGGGAGTCCATGCGAGGAAGCGGACACTGACGTTCACTGGGGCAACAGGAACAGGCAGCATGTCGTCGAAGGCGCTCAGAAGAAAGACGCACGACTTCCAGAAGGTCAGAACCGTCTCCTTGGGCTTGTAGAGCGGGGACCAGGGGTCTCCGCTCTCGTTGATGTGGATGCCGCGGCGCGTCTTGCTGGGGAAGTGCTGCTGGTCCGGGAACCAGCCGAGCAGGGGGTGCTCCGTCGAGAAGCAGACGGACTCCAAGTCGGGGAAGTATCTGCAGATGATGGCGATGCTGTAGAACAGTTGCTGGACGCGTAACTTCTCTCGAACGTAGCACGACGACTGGTAGATGTTGTTCAATACTTTGGTGCGGGGGACGTGGAAGAGTCCGAAGTCGTCAATGTCGAAACAGATCTTCTTGATGTTCCAAATATGCTCAGGCTCGGGAGGCTCCCAGTCGTGGTCATGAAGAACAGGCCGTAGCAAGAGGTCGAGAATGCGCTCCGTAGGACCGAAGCGAAGAACGGCCGTCTTGGGATCGATATATATGACGCCACCGTGGACCTTGAGAGGAGTGGATCCTTCCTTGAGCGCCTCACGCCTGGCAGCCTTGCAGACAGCGAGATGAGCGGCCTTCTCTCTCAGTCGCTCCGTGCTCTCGAAGCCGTTGCGAAGATGCATCTCCATCACAAGCTCCGTTCCGCCATCGAGATCCGGGCGGTCATGGATAACCAGCTCGACGTCGATGATGTCTCTGGTTTCGGTCCTGGCTCGGGCGAGTTTGAGGACCTGGAGTTTCAGCTCGGAGGGCAGGTCGCCAGCGTTGGTTGGCTCGGTTGCCATGATGGGCTTCGGTATTGCTATTGCTCACGGAAGGGCGAGGATGGCAAGACCGAAATTGAGTCTTGGGTTGATGGAGTTGTTGTGACTCTGTGCACAAAGTCAGAAATCTCTTTTTGTGGGTTGAAGGGGCAAAGGCAGCTTGTGTGGTGGTGCTGTTGGAGACGAGGCTCGCAGCCGCGGGTCCCTCAGAGTGCTATGAGTCACCTACCAGCCAGGCTATCGACAATTTGAAGAGCTAAACAGTGGCAGGGCATCCAGCCCCAATAGATCCAATGGCCTTTCAGATGATCTGTGCAAAGATCTTGTCAAAGGGCCTTTGCATCCATGGATGAAACTCCTCAGGCAAGAGCTATACTTTGATAGCATCGAAGAAGACAACGCAACGGACACTTCCAAAGGAGCTTTCCATTAGAATCATTGTTTTTGAGGCTTCAGATCTCTCCGTTTGCCCTCAACACAACAACCTCGAGCTTCCACTACCTTTATGCAGTCCAAATATCTCGATGCTCAATCACTGACTCCGATCATTTGTGGTAGTGTTGCTTCCCAGCTCCAAGTACGTACGGCCGTATGTCTGCTCATACCGGAAGCTAAACTCCTCCCAGGCCCGGAAAAAGCTCTGTTGCAATGGCGTTCTCAGCGAGGACAGAGTTTGGACCGGATCTCAACGTCATTGAGTGAGAGTGAAGAGGTCGAGATTGTTCGACCCGATCTGTTCCATACGTGAATCTTCCTCCTTCAACACACTCTCTACCCATTCTTATACTTTTTGAGAAAAGACAAGAACACTCTTGGGTCCCCCTGCTTTGTATGAGACTGTATGTATAAATGACCGCGTTAACCAAGACACGAGCCGCCCCGTCCTCTGGCCAAGCCCTGGCAGCTCGCCAACCAAACCAACAAACCAAGCAAGGCTCCCATGTCGGTTTCTCAACACCTTTAGCTGGTATATCAAGCGATATTCGGATAGTTTAAGGAGCATCCGGGGTGCAGAACAGAAGGTCTTGTTTAATCCGTCTACAAACCCGTCATATGACAGCACTCCTCAAGCGTGATCTGTGAACTGTTTCAGTCCTGGTCCCAGCAGGCCTAGGTTGTGCAGGAGATGATACGCAGACTGTTGCGCTGACCAAGCGCGGTTCTAGCACAATCTCGCACGATCTCTTCAAGCGAGCAATCCTCGGCCTCATGCATAAGGACTAACCAACTTCAAGAGCTCCAGTCCGTCACAGAGTGAAGGAGTGGAAAACTAGCCTTGTATCTGCCAAGCTCGATCCTCCGCGAAGATTGTTCGGTTCCATCGTGCATAGAGCTTGCAAAATATCTTGAGACAGAGCACATGGCATTCTGCGTCCGGCTCTGCCGGCCTTTGCTTCGAGAGCATTTCCCGGCTACGGCAAACCAGCTACTCTGGTGTAGTGTATTACATGCCGAACAGCTCATGTACGTGTCACTCGACAGCTCGAGACTTCTACAAATATTTTCTTGACGGTCCTGAGGTTGCCGTCCCGGCATCCTGGGTCCGAACTTCCAGCAGGGCCTCCTGCTCTGGAGGTTTGCTATGGGGGTTTGCTCAGGAGGCGTCGCGCGTATGATTGGGAGGATCAGGTTCGTCGCCCGTTCGAATGAATCATGCACACCACCGGCCGATGACACGCCGTACAACCAGACTGGTGTTTCCCAATGACTGCTTGATCAGTAACACGAAGTCTACATGTCCATATAACATCGTCGCGTGCTTCAGGTACGCTGTCACAACAGTCCCATCAGTTCACGGCTCCCTAAACCCCATCACTCACGAACGAACATGCCTCGCTAACAGCATATGCTCACAGCTCTTGCGACGAACTATATAATTCCCGCACACGGGGCCGTACCTAAGGAAAATGCTCCAATCTTCGCATTCCTCTTCCCTACACTATCTCAAAAGCCAGACCACTATCGACATTTTTTCTTCTTTACGCAACCCTCATACGCTACCCCACTGCAGATGTTCAATATGTTCAAGAAGGCCAAGAAGAAGAAGAATAAGGGCAAGCAGCCCATCGAGCGGTCGTCTTTCACTAACCTGCCCATCGAGCGATCGTCGTTCACGACTGACCTGCCCATGGGGCGGGTGTCCACGGCCAACCTCGTCGAGCAGTCGGTCGAAGACAGTCGGGAAACGAAGGCGCTCAAGGAAAACATCTGGAGAGAGGAGTTCAAAACGAGAGACCTGAACAGGGAAAAGCTACAAAGGCTGCTCTGGCGGCGCTTTGGCGATGGGAACTTCACTATGAAAGTATGGTGTCCATGTCATTGATTTGGGCTGTCGCTGAACACTGCTATCACAGGACAAGGGGTCAAAGATCGTCGTCAAAACGCCCCAAAAGCTGATGCGTGTAGGTACTGCCTTTCTCTGGCGTTGTCGTTGCGAGTGGAGGCTGATAGTCGATGTTCAGAGCGAAGTTGCCTCCGTCTTCTACACAAAGGGGTAAAGGATCTGAGATTTGAGACACTGGCAGCGATGCGAATAATTTGTATGAAGCAAGACAACATCTCTTTTGGATATTATTACGGTACAGCAGGTTTTGGAGATCACCAGTGCCGACTTTGGATGCAGCGCCATTAGCGTTACTTGAATATTTGAAAGCAGGTAGGTCCAGATAGCGAAGATATTCTGTTAAATTTCGAAGTCAGAGATCTAATGCGTAGCTTTCCCCTAGATCTTGAAAATTAAAACACCCATCCCACGAGATTCTTCAGCTTCTCCCTCGTGCTCCTCTTCTCATCCACCTCAACACCCTCCACAACCTCGACAGTGTACACGTCCGTCACCAGGTCCATCTCCTCGAGCTTGACAACCTTGGTCCTCTTGATGAGCTTCCACGCGACGTACATGAGGATCATGACGGGGATCTCGATGTAGTAGCTGACAAAGTCGACGGCGCTGAACTTGGGGCTGAAGCAGCTCCAGCCCTGGATGAGGATGAGGAAGGCGTTGAGGAAGACCGAGGCCCAGGGTCCGTAGGGGTAGGTCCAGTTGCGGTAGCCGAGCAGGTGCGTCTTGCCCTGGGCCGCGAGCCCGCGGCGGAAGCGGATCGAGGCGATGCCGATGGACATCCAGCTGAGCTGGTTGGAGACGCCGACGATGTTCTGCAGCCAGCTCCACAGCTGGCCGCTGCCGATGTAGCTGGATCCGAAGCAGAGGCCGCCGACGGCGCCGGTGGCCAGGACTGCTATCCAGGGCACCTGTTGCTTGTTGAGACGCCCGAAGAATGAAGGTGCGTGGCCGTCGATGCCCATGGTGTAGAGCAGTCTGGCGCCGGCGAACAGGGCATGGTTGCCGGCGGACAGGATGCTGGTCAGGACAACGGCGTTGATGAAACTGCCCGCTGCCTTGGCGCCGACCGTCTGGAAGACGATGGTGAATGGCGAGGTGACGGTCGACTTGCTCGAGAGCTTGGGGTAGTTGTAGGGCACGTTGAGGCCGATCATCAGGGCCGTCATGATGCTATAGACAAGTCAGTGACGTGTGTTCCAGAGAATTCATTGTTGTGTGATACTTACTAGAAAATAAGGATACGCCAAAAGACGTTACGGACGACCTTGGGCAGGTTTTTGACTGGGTCCTTGGTCTCTCCCGCCGTGATGGCAATGGACTCGGTTCCGCCAACTGCGACAGTTTAGTATTCGAGCCCTCTGTGGCATACCCATATTTGAGGCAAGAGGCTTACAAGCAAACGCAGCGGTGACAAAGACACTGGCGAACCCTCCGATACCTCCCACAAATGGGGCGCCGGGCAACCGCCAGTACTCTCCCCCAATGTAGCGATGCTCCGGATTGACGCCACAGTTGGCGAGAATGCCCATAATGAAGAAGATCTATAGTCTTGTCAGTCTGCCTGTCCTTGTCCCCCATGATGGTATCCATGGCATGGGGACTTACGATAATCGTGATAATCTTCAACAAGCTCAGCCAGTACTGCAGCTCGCCGTAGAACCGCACAGCGATGAGGTTGCTCGCAACGAGGGGTATCCAGAAGATTAGGCTGAAGGCCCAGCCGGGAAAGTTTTCATTCCAGTACTGCAGGATGAGCTGCAGAGCAACGAGGTCAGACCCCGTCGAGACGGCGTCGTTGAACCAGTAGTTCCAGGTCAGAGCGAACCCAAAAGCATCGTCTACGAAACGGCTAGAATACTATCAGTCTTGCCTGTCCGTACGGGCGATGTCGATCGCCAGATCCGGTCGAGGTCCGTCGGACTGCCGGTCCAGACTATGAGGCGGGTTACTCACCCAGCAAAAGTGCAAAAGCTTCCGGCGACTGGGATAAATGTTGCCATCTCTCCGAGGCTGATCATGGTCACGTAGACGATCGCGCCGATGATGAGGTAGCAGATGAGCAGCGAGGCCGGTCCGCCGGTGGCGAGCGCCTTGCCCGTGCCGAGGAAGAGTCCGGTGCCGATGGTGCCTCCGATGGCAATCATCTGCACTTGGCGGTTCGACAGGCTGCGGCTCAAGCGATCTTCGACGGCTCTTTCCTCGAATTCGGGTCCATCATATTTCAAGGGGTCGGGGTTGGCCTGGCCCCCGCCGCCGATACCCTTCTCAGCATCTGCCGGTGTCGAGTGCACCTCCGTTCGGTCTGCCATGGTTCGGTGCTGCGCAGATAGCGTCTCTTCGTCTCGAACAAACTCTCTCTTAGAAGGCAAGAAGACTACGACGCACTGCGAGTCTTTGAGTTCCCATCCAAAGGCATAACAATAGGACGTTGGATAGGAAAGAAAAGATGTCAGGGCCTGGACCTCAGTTTATGTAAAGGCCCGAGATGACGGGCTCGGTGGCACTAATTCCTCATGGCAGGCGGCAGCAACCTTCCTGTAGCGGTTAGGCGCAGCGGCAATCCCACTGGAAGGCGGTGGTAGGGTCAGCAGTTGCTCCACTCGCCGCCTCTTGGCGCGGATGGCATCATCGTTAGCCTCCCAGCACGCAACGCTAGAAGGCGAAAAGTTCTTCGATGCCGCCGCGCCGACTTCCGTCTACGAGAAATTGTGGGCTGACCTTGGGATAGCCTCACTTGACAGCACTGTTAGTCAATCAGTCGGCCGTCTTGGTAAAAGCTTCGCTCCGGGATTCTTGGCGGCGTGCAGCGTCTTTGCTCATACCTAGGTGCCTGAGCTGCAAGCTCGGAGAGCACGGGCTTGAGAGTAGACTCGAAGTCAGCAGTCTGGGGCAAAGACATGCAACAAACCCAGTAGCTATTCTTTGGTAAAGGTATACGCATAGGCATCCCCATATCTCGGTGTCATAAGTCTGCGAGATCCATCAACGACATGGAGTGCGGGCTGACGGGTGCTTCCGTGAGTTCAGCCATACGGGTGTGGTCTTCAGCTCCCACAAGCCAACTCATGCCTCAGCAAATCCACAATTGTACATATTCTCTTGAAGACATAATTACAAGTACTTAGCCAAACAGAGCTCGCAATGCCCTCGAGGCGAGGTGTCTGACCCGGTACCATGGCACAAAATCCGGGGTCAGAGCTCCAAGGATACCCTTGCTCTGCAGGACCTACGACAATATCAGAGCAAACATCCCAAACCACGCCCAACCACTCTGGCCTACGTTCTCTCATCGACATGGGTAGGAAGCCTGCCCGTGATACTTTACAAGAATATCTCTATCTAATAGACTACACTTTTCACCTCTTTGCTTGCCTCTGCACCTCTGCGGCGATGTTTGCCATAAAGATCGGTTCGGGCTAGCCAATTCCGGCCATGCCCGAGCTCAATGTCACATATGTATGGGTATCAGGCCTCATTGGTTGGGCGCAGCATTGTTGCAGAAAAGGATCCATCCTTGGCAGCTGCTGGGGGGTCCTGGTTCACCTGCTACATAAATAATCTCGCGAGGAACAACATATCCTCGCTTCTTGCACAATCCCCTCCAAATCATTAGAACTGCCATTTGAGGAAGGTCAACTTGCGCAAGTATACTTGATCGTAAAGAATGGCCGAACAGAACCGACCGGTCGGTCCAACGACAACGTCGCCGGAGGAGCCGGCTCAGGGGCCAGAGGCGGCCTCGGTCATTTCTGCACAGTCTGTCGAGGTTGACGATGTTGTATGAGAGATCTGACCCCTATTCTGGAAGATCTGGTACGCTGACTTAGCGCTCGCGTTCAAGTTCGACGACAATGATTCTGCGATCGGCGAGTCTGTGTGAGTTGCGCACTGGGCAGTTATCTCGTCTGGAACTGGCCTTCTAACCCCTTTTCCTTTCCAACAGAGCGAGCTATTCCTCATCTCTCGCCGAGAGCGTGCAGAACTATCCCATGGAGCATGGCCGCCGCTATCATGCATACCGGTCTGGCAGTGAGTGTGGACGAGATCATCCCTCATATGGTCTTTAGCAGTCACTAACTCTAGAACTAGGGTATTCACGGCCAAATGATGAGGTCAGTTCCAAGTCATACGCTGTTGTATGTATCAGTCGCACGCTTCAAAAACTGACGCACTCGGCATACGCACTAGTTGGAGATGGATCGGCTCCTGTTGCTTCACGAGATCATGACCAAGATCACCGGAGGATTGTATCAAGCTCCGATTGAGAAGGAAAAGGTGCACAACATCCTTGATATTGGTACTGGGACTGGTATATGTGGGTGCTGTCTTAGATGTTGATCTTACTACTCCCTATCGCAACAGGCTAACTAGTACCAGGGGCTATCACGGTTGCCGAGGAGTTCGAGAATGCAACAGTAAGCACAACTTAGCAGTATCCTGTCAACAGAGAAGTATTTTAACACAGCTGCAGGTAATTGGCAATGACCTGAGTGCCAACATGCCCAACTTCATACCACCCAACGTCAAGTTTGAGGTTGACGACGTCGAGGAGGATTGGCTGTACGGCTTCAAATTTGACTGGATCTTCTGCAGGTATATGGCTGCTAGTATCCTTGATTGGCCCAAGTTGGTTGGCAACATCTACGGGTAAGTTGTCCTCGGACTGCGCGGTCCTCATGAGACGGTGGACTGAAGGGAATCCAGAAATCTGCGTCCAGGTGGTTGGGGCGAGTTCCAGGACTTCGATCTCCAGTACTACTCCGACGACGGTTCTCTCAAGCCCGACGACCCACTGCTCGTATGGATCTCCACGCTTCTCGATGCCGCTCGCTCCCTCGGGCGCGACCCGAACCCGGGGTCAAAACTCGAGGGCTGGGCCAGAGACGCCGGCTTCAAGAATATCGTGCACAAGCGACACAAGATCCCCATCGGGCCTTGGGCAAAGGACCCGCTGCTCAAGGAAGTGGGCGCGTGGAACTACATGCAGGTCAACGGCGGGCTGGAGGGTCTGTCGCTGAGACTGTACACCGGCGTGCTGGGGTGGACCCCCGAGCAGGTCACGGCGCTGCTCATAGATGTGCGGAAGAGCTTGAGGAATCCGCATGTCCATGCGATTCTTGATTTGTGGGTTCCCCTTCGCTTCCAGTCGCCTAGAGAGTAAGTATTCGCTAACACACATCCAGCCATGTGGTCTATGGTCAGAAGCCGTAAACTGGAGGAAGGAGGAGTGGGCGGGAGGATGACAAACACGACACACTGAAGGGGTTTCTGGGTCTAAGGAGGAGACTTTTCATTGCTATGAATCAGCGAGTATCATTTATTGGCATTGACTCTTGTTTGAGAGTCCAGAGTTAGGTAGATAGATATGCAGAAACGAATGAACATATCATCATGTCCAGCCACTCTCATGGTCTCCTTATCGATAAGCACCATGCAGGGACTCATCTCAACAGCCCCTCCCTCTGACCTCAAATGGTGGCGGGTGGGCCAAAGCAGTTGCTGCCTTAGGCGCCCACGTGCTAGGGTGCTGTGCTTTCTGTGGTGGTGCCTGAGAAATGGGCCAAATGGCACGGACTCGAAGTGGTGGAAAGGGAAAGTGGCGGGCAACACGCACACCAGACTGAGGTGGGTAGGTGGGGTTTCGAGCTCTCTGCCCGAGAAAAAAATTGGCCGCCTCTTGTGTGCAATCTTTTCTAAACAGACACGACATCCAACCAACTTCCCCATCAACCGTTACCGTATTCCTCGTCCATCCTCTTCAAGACGCCACAAAACCAACTGCAAACATGGGTTTCACTGATCTCCTCACCGACGCCGGCCTGTCCAGTAAGTCAATTTGCTCTCTCCGTCTGCCGCCCGCCTTGACCGCCTGCTAACTCATGCCCGCAGTCCTCAACAACTGGCTCGCGACCCGCTCCTACATCGTTGGGTATGCGCCCTCTCCCTCCCGAGTTTCTGCCCTGCCTTCTCCCCGTCTGCATTTCCAATGATGATATACCATGGTCCGTGTTGCTGAGCAGCCTCAAGACCTGCGCATGATTACACACCCCGCACATCGTTGCACTTCTGATCCAATTTGCCGTCTCTTTGATTGTCTCGTCACCGCCCCTCAAAATCGTGTGCGAAACCCCTCACTGACGGCGCAATCTCTTGGAACAGCTACACTCCCTCTCAGGCCGATGTCGCCACCTTCAAGGCCCTGAAGTCTGCCCCCGAGGCTGCCAAGTACCCCAATGCTGCCCGCTGGTACAAGCACATCGCCACCTACGAGGATGAGTTCTCCACCCTGGCTGGCGATGCCACCAAGCCCTACACCGTCTACGGCCCCGAGGCCGCCGAGGTCACCCTGAACCCCGCCAAGGCCCCCGCTGCCGAGGACGACGACGACGTCGACCTGTTCGGCTCTGACGACGAGGAGGAGGATGCTGAGGCTGCCCGCATCCGTGAGGAGCGCCTGGCCGAGTACCGCAAGAAGAAGGAGGCCAAGCCCAAGGCCGCCGCCAAGTCCATCGTCATCCTCGATGTCAAGCCCTGGGGTACGTCGCATCTCCCCGCGCTCCTCCGCCCAGAAGAAGCGGGATACCCGGTTTCTTGTGGACATGTTCAATGCATGTATGCTGACCTACAATCGCAGATGACGAGACCGACATGGTTGCCCTGGAGGCTGCCGTCCGCGGCATTGAGAAGGATGGTCTGGTCTGGGGTGCTTCCACGCTCGTTGCCGTTGGTTTCGGTATCAAGAAGCTGCAGATCAACCTGGTCATCGAGGACGAGAAGATCTCGGTCAGCGACCTCGAGGAGGAGATCCAGGGCTTCGAGGACTACGTCCAGTCCACCGACATTGCCGCCATGCAGAAGCTGTAAGGTGGTGGATGCGAGCAGGTGGAAGGGTGAATGGCGTGTTACGAAAATGGGAATGGAATTACCACGGAGCAAAAGTCCGCACGTCTCGGTCGGGTATTTTAGATTGCCTCAGGCTTAGATACGGATTGGCCTAAAAATAAACCGCCAAACGAGTAACGGAAACAAGCATTCCATGTGGTCCTGATATGGACGTAAAATTATTTGGTCTTTGCGATGACGAGGAGGGTCCATGTCGTCCATTTCGCTCCGGAGACTGATGGAAAATTTGAAACCCTTGATATGCAAGTTAGCCATTTGGGATACCTCCAATCATAGTCTAGTCTGCCCTCCTGGTTTATGCGACACAATGTGCTGGGCAGCTTGCTATCACCCAGTCTTGGGCCAATCACGCCTCGTTTCATGCCAGCCTTGTCCTGGCTTCAGCTGCAAAACCTCAATGATGTTGTCTACTTCGCTATGGAAGACTAGCTCACAAATGTATCGTCCCCTTTAGAATCAATCGCGTACTCTTTTAAGTGAATAGTGAAAACAAGGCTTGCAGTTCCGTAAATATGCTGGTTAGGGAAAAGGGGAAATACTCACCACCGCCTCTCTCAAGCGGCTCTCCAATATTTGTTAGACTGCCCGTCCACCAAATAAAACCTCTTTTCTTCAAAGGTAATCTCGAGATCCGTAAAATCAATTCGAATGCTCACAGCGGACTCCAACGCGTGTCGATTGCCAGGATTCCGACCCACTGCTGGCGTTCCTCTCGTTCCGGCTGCCAGTAAGCGCACCTCGAGAAGACCCAAATATCTCCAACAGACGAGAGCATCAGTGCTGATACCAGCAGCGTTCAGGCGTTCTGTATCATGTGGTCCTGCTATTTCCGCATACGGCCCTTGCGAGGCAGATGCCGAGCCGATGGTTAACCACATATCTCTAGACTCTAGAGGATGCTTTACCATGCAAGGGCTTTATTGATTGGATCTATCAAGCGTTTGACGAATACTAAGAGCGCAACGAAGGGTCTGATCAGAGTCTGAAGATGGATTACTGGTGCGACTTGAAGTGGCCATCCTCGAGATCCGGCACAGCGGTGTATTAATGCAGCTGTTGGAGGTAGATGGACGTACAATTGGGATACAAGGAATTCGAGGCGGATAATTCGGCGCTCATATTTCTAGAGATGAATTTTCATCAGCCCTTCCTTTGTGGTAGCATGACCTAAGGTCATGGCGAATGGTGCTGCTATTTCTTGACATCTTTATGCTATCATGCCTCTCTCCTCAAGCTTTGGTGGAAAGAACCCAGTACAGGGCTTTCAACGTCAAAAAAATAAGAACAGAAAGGCCATTGTCGGATACTTAGTTTCAGTCAAAGTTGATATTGTGCAGCACATGAGAATGCAGCTCTTTGGAACCACCTTCTCAGAAGATGGGCTCTGTGGGAATGGGATTTTAGATTTAGGATGTACTGTAGGCTGGAAGCATTCAAAATTTAGATGTTTGATAAAGATCTCTGGTATTTGTTCATACTACCACTGCCAAGAGCTCAAGTAAAGAGGTGCTGCGGAGTTTCGTGTGCTTGGTTCGGCTAATTCGCCCACAAACGCCCCGGCACAGCCTCGGGCTCAGGATCATCAAGCTGTAGATTTTGCACATTAACTCACTTTAGCAGCCTTACACGTCTTTTGGAAGTGGGGCAGTAGGAATAGGTGACATGTGAGGTCGGTGGCAAAATGCAAAGCTGGGACGAAACTTGCCTGACGCCCTTCTTATTAACCCCAGCTCACGTAGAGCGGCAGCACCTCGGGCTCCCGTCCCCCGGCTCGTGTCGATTTCGTGTGTCAAGACAATAGCTTGACCGGCAAGTGAATTGAACAATAGGCCAATAGCACAATCAAAACAATAGGGCAGCCCTGTCCGCCGCCGCCTATTGTCGTTGCGAGGGTTCTATAAAAGCCCTCGCCCTCTTCTTTTATCTTCGACCTCCCACCCAACTTCAACAACCTTTTCTATTCTCCCTCCATCCCCATCCCTCCCCCCTTCTCCTCTTTTCTCTTCTTCATCAACACTACTATTTATCGAGGAAGAGAAACTTTTCTCATCTTCAATCATCATCTTGACCTTCAAGGTTCACTTTGAAGTTCAAGTATCAGCAGCTTCTGTAAGTATCACCAATTTCCTTGGCGCCGTTGATAGGGCGAACTTGAAAAGGCTTGTCTTGGCTCTGCTGCTGCCAGGCATCGTTCCTTCCTCCTCCTACCTTCATCCTCCTACCTTCCTCCTCCCCCCACCTTCCTCGTCACATCTTCCTCCTCTTACTTCCTGATCTCTGCTCTTCTTCCAAGAGTGGTCTCCCTCTCTTTCCCTTCCCTGCGTCAAGTCACATTGATCACCTCGGCCTCGAGGCATCATGACCTCGTTCAAAGCACGAACTTGATGCCATAGGCGCAAGTATCTCCCATGGCGTTTGGCTCGCCGGCAACTTTCTCCCAAGTCATCTACACGATTTGTCCCGCTCGCTGTGGTTCAATTGAGAGACATGCTTCCATTCCTTGCACAACCCAGCGTGAACCACCCTCGATTCGTCTTCCAGGTCTTGCTGGTCTTCGTCTCGAAATCTCTCACTGGATTCCTCGCCCTTCGCCAGCCCCTTCTCCTATAATCCTCCCCTGAAAACCCCCTGCCTCCCTCCTCACCATGGCCAAGAAGAAGAACCGGCGCAAGCCCCGCGCGAAACAGGCACCACGAGATTCTGCTACTGACCAGCCGCAGCCTGTCAATAACAGATCGTTGTCCAAGTGCGGCGCAAGCACTGCCAAGGCTCAGCAGAAAGCCAAAGCAAGTGCAGGAAAGATATCAACTGCGCATCTTCCGCTGCCAGGCCGCGAAAAGAGACCTTGCTACCAGAAAAAAGTCATCAAGTACCATCGAAAGACTTCGAAACGGCGTGAAGACATGGACGACGCGTCCATCAACCCACGGGCGAGCCCGCCCGGCCAGAACGAGGTAAGAGCTACGCTATCCGAGACTCCAGCTGATGAGACCCAGAGCTGACTGGTTCAATACAGGAGTCACGCTCCGATGAAGTGGAATTCATCCTCTCGCGTCTGGATGATTCTCAGAAGTATCTTGGTCTATGTGGCCGATACACCGAGTACTTGATGCAAGAGTTCACCCCCACCGGGGATCAGTACATCAAGACGTACATCTTGGAGAAGTATAAGCCCGCACAGCTGGTGCCAAGGGGCCAGTACTACTACAACGATCCGTCCATCTCTGGTCTGCCCGAGTCTGATGAGCAGAACTTGGATCATTTCAAGTATTGGCCGGATATTCCTGGCGTGATCACAATCGTAAGTCGAACCCCAATGTGTTCGATATCAGATATCTAACATATCGCTAGGCGCCCCTGTCTCTGTCTACCAAGGAGACTTCACTCCGTCACGAGAAGATGCAGGAAAACATGCTTTTCAAATTCCTGCGTGTCCCCGAGCTCGGCGACATGCTCATGGAGAATCTATCTCACCAAGCGATCAAGAATCTCATCTTGACGTGTTCGCAGGCCCACCATCTAGTCTCTCAACTCTTCGTAAGATGTCTGAAGTATTGGTTTACCTGGTCCCAACTAACATGTTATACAGGATACGTGGGACCTCAGTAGGGGAGATTTCCATGGCTGCGATGTCATGCACCGGGAGGTCTGGGCTGCACTGCCAGTTCCTCGGAGCGATCCGGAAGAGCTAAAGCAGGGTGTCGGCAAGTCTGTCGTCGTCTCGCCTTTCCGCCTTGGTTGGTCGGAAGAATCCCCAGAAGAAGGCTTTAGGCGTGGTAACATTCAATACCCTGTGCAACTCACCCATACGGTTCGCCTATTCAGGTCCATTTTCAACTTTGGTCGCAACATTCGAACCCTACACCTGCACCGGGTGCCCTTCCTAACCGTTGAGGGCCTTGGACTTATCCTGGCCGGTGAGACAGATCCCATGCCTAATCTCACCAACCTGGGAATCTACCGGTGCGAGCTTCTTCATTTCGGCTCAGCTGCCAAGATCCTTCAAATCGCCAAGGTCCGATGCAAGGAATATGGTCGAAAGCTTGACGCCTTAGACTTCTATCCTCGACATCATGATGGCCCTATGGTAGAGGGCCGCCTTGGCTCCTTCGGCCTGAGCTGGGGAGACTCGGGTAGCGACACCCCGGCCTCAGTCGCCTCAGAGCTTCTCTGGCGCATCTTGCCTGCAGCAGCAGAACTTTCCTATGATTTCACATCGGAAGCGTCGTCTTTCCGGCAATTCCTAGAGAAGCTGCCTTTGCCTGACTTGTTTGTTCCGCATTGCCTTGCTATAGCGGACCAGAAGATCAAGGCTGGTCTCAACACCCCAACTGAGGACCTTCCAAGTCGGCTTTTGAAGGACATGGTCGCCCTTGTCGAACACCGAGTCATCGACGATGAGGATCGCTTTGCCGGAAATTGGCAGGAATGTTCTGTTTGCAACGAGCAATATCCCATCAACTTCATCCACTGCAAGTCTGGTGATAGATGCGCGGGATGTGTTCTTTCTTCCTGCCTCGACTCCGAGTGGGATCACTACAAGCTGAATAAGCTGTATATCGCCGAAGTGCTTCTGCTTCGGCGACGTAGAGATGACCCAAGAAAGAAAGATGAGGCTGGCCAGCCGATACCTGAGGGTACGCGACCGCTTCGATCTCTGGACGAATTCGTCCAGTCGATCTTTTGGGAGGTGACCGATCGAGGCGATGAGCCTGCCGGTCTGGAAGATGCCAAAGAACTGGTCCAATGGCTGGATGGCGTCCAAGGTGCCCATACCCATGGGCAGCCTGGCAGTCCCCCTCCGCCTGGATTCGCCACCGAACAATGCGTCAACCCTTTCCGAGTTCCCGGATATCATGACACGCCCCGATGCGAACAGCAACCTAACTTCTATGACCCTAGGCGTCGCATCCCGCGACAGATCTATGACCCGGACCCTATGATGGCCTTGGTACGCGCCACACGGTACCTGCGTCCCTTCAACCTGGACGCTATGCGGCAGGCCTATGCGAGGAACTTCCTAAAGTTCACGCTCAGGAAGAAGTACAAGCCCGCGGAGCGCACGGCCGAGGTTGCTGCAAAGCACTTCGAGAGCTTCTTGGGTGAGCATCGTCTACTGGGTCTGAGTATCGGCTCTGATCGTGCCGCTACTATTTTGAAGCCTGAGCTCCATGTTGCCCCGGTCATCCCCTACTGGGGTTTGGATATCCCCAATCCCTGGGACTCTCCTCCTGAACCTTGGCCTTCCGAGGATGCTCCGGTTACTGGCTCCGTTTCTACCTTTGCACCTCTGGTTGAGTCGGCGCCTCAGACCGTGGAGTGGGGAGCCATCAAGGCTCGTGATGAGGACAAGTCTGTCAACGACACGACGTCGAGCGCCAAGAATAGAACCCGCGGCCGTAAGAGCCGAGGACGTAACCTGAAGGGAAACAACCAACGTGGCCAGGGTCAACAGGGTAGCGGAGGCCAGGCGAACGACAAGTCTGGTGGTCAGCGCGGCAACAATGCTCGCAAGAACCAAGGCAATTCTGCCAACAACGGTCAGCGCAACAAGTTTCACGTCCCCGACGACGTGCGCAACTGGCTTACTGAGTCCAAGGCTACGCCGGCCATCTGGTAGACTTTCCTACCAACCACCTTGCTGACTAGAGCAAAGAGAAACGCCCATCCGCTCTGTATTTTACGTCTTGTCTTTACGCCATCCCGTCGTTGGATCGACAGACTTGTACAACTTCTTTCAGCGGCATTATCTATTGGGCAATACTCGAGTGTACATCAACGGGCTCCTCTTGGCCGTCTTAAACAATGAATGTCGAAGTCTCCACTGATCTGACTGAGCTCTTCTTCCACGAGAGAAGACCGAGCTTGCTTTCCTTTTTCCTCATTTTCGTTCAACTGCATCCCCTCCCTTGCTCATTTCCCCACGTACACGACATCCCACACACTTCACAGCACTGATTTCCTTCCATTTCCCCTCCGGTTTCTTTCCTTCATAGTATCAGACCAAAATGAGACGTTGATTCTCCCCATGGTTCCTGCTTTGTGTTTGCGTGCTTTGATTGATTGCGTTCATGCGTGCGGCCTTGATTTGTACGAAATGCGAAATACCTACACTCTTTTTTTGCGCTGTGTTTACGAAGACCTTTGTGCTTTTGGCTTGTATGACCGAACTGGGTGTAGGGCGGGCAATGTGAGATTGACGTCGCATGGGGAAGAAAGAAAAAGAGGAAAAACGGGTCACGATGATCAGGGGACATGTACATGTCACGAGCGGGCGCGAGATTCATGAACAGCAAGAGTTGACGCGATGAGATTTGAATAAGTAAAAGGGGTATCGTCTTCTATCATTTGTAGTATAGCAATAATGGTACAGAGATTATCCTACATTGATGTCGCCACGTAGCTCGAGGCTGTGCCATGTGATTCTACCTTCGCCTCCTCAGTGATTGCCAACTTTTTCTCCCTCCTTGGGGGTGAAGCCTTGCCTGTCCTCCTCCGGCACTGTTTGCTCTCCTTCCTCCTTCTCCACGTTTTGCTCCTTGCTCTCCTTCTTCTCAGGCACATTCTTGTCCGTGTCATCCCCGTCCTGCTGCGCCGGCTGCCTCTTGGCGCTCCCCAGCGCGACCACGTTCCGCAGGTTGCCAAAGCTAAGCACGTCGCCAATCTTGGCCGCGCCGGAGAGCATCATGACGAGCCTCTCGATGCCGCAGCCGAAGCCGCCGGTGGGGGGGAGCCCGGACTCGAGCGCGGCGAGGTAGCTCTCGTCGACGGGCAGCGGCGCGCCGTCCTCGTCCTCCTCGCCGGCGGAGCGCTTGCGGCGGGCCTGCGCGACGAACTTGCGGCGCTGCCAGAACGGGTCGTTCTCCTCCTCGTACATGTTGGCGATCTCCTTGCCGGCGTAGAAGAGCTCGGCGCGGGCCGACAGGAGCATGCCCGTGCGGCGGTCGAAGTACGACTTGGCGAGCGGGGACATGCAGGCCGGGTGGTTGCGGATGAAGATGGGCCGCTTCAGGGACAGGGGCTCGATGAGCGCGGCGGCGAGGCGGTCGAGCAGCTTGGGCAGCGAGGGCGCGTCGTGCGTCAGCTGGTACGTGTCGACGAGGTGGGACTGGCGGTCGAGCAGGTCGTAGAGGTCCTCGAGCGCGGTGGGCGACTCGAGGTTGGGCAGCCGGGCCTGCAGCCGGACCTGGATCTCCTGGACGAAGTCGTACTCGGGGATATTGTCGGCCAGGTCCATCTGCAGGCTCGGCAGGGACTGAAACTGCTCGGGGCGCCACTCGGAGTTGTACTGCCTGACGAGGTCCTTGAGGAGCTTGCTGGACATGGCTATGAGCTCGTCGAGGTTGAAGTAGGTCGCGTAGAACTCGCACGTGGTGAACTCGGGGTTGTGCGTCGTGTCGGCGCTCTCGTTGCGGAAGGACGGGCCGATCTCAAACACCCTGTCCATGCCTCCGACCACGAGCCGCTTGAGCCAGAGCTCGGGCGCGATGCGCAGCGCAATCTCTTTTCCCGGCACGGCCTTGGACGTGGTAGTAAAGGGCCGAGCAACAGCACCACCGGCATTGGCAGCCAGGATCGGGGTCTGGACCTCGGTGAAGCTGAGTTTTAGTAGGGCGTTTCGGATGAAGCCAATGACATATGACCGAAGTCTGAGGTTGTCGATCGATTCCTTGTTGACGAGCAGGTCCACGTGTCGGTTTTGAATCCGCGTGTCCTCGTCGAGCAACTGCTCGGGTAGGGGTACCAAGCTGGGCGTGACCAGACGGGGTAGCTCGATAGCCTCCAGAGTCAGCTGCCCCGACTCCTTACGTATGACTCTCCCCGTGGCAGAGATCACGTCCCCTCTCTTCAGCACTTTGAGAAGCTTCTTGAGGGTGCCCTTGTCCTGGTCAGGGTGGTGGCATTGCACCTTGCCCACATTGACCGTGATCTGCAGTGTCTTAAAGTTCTGCACGATGTCGAGAAAGGCTAATTTGGAGCCGGACGTGCGCACGGCGAGAAGGCGGCCGTATACAAGCACGTACTCTGTCTTGGGACTGTCGGGCGTCAACTCGCTGTACTGCCTGTAGATCATCCTAATGCTGTGAGGCCTCATTGGGTGCCTCAGTCGGACATATCTGAACAGGCCGGCCTCTTTCAATTCATCGACACGTTTCCGGACTACAGACCTCTCGCCCACGCCTTCTTTGACCACCTGTGCCTTGAGATCAACTGGAGCGGCACCGTTTGCTGACTGGGAGAAGTCCTGCTCAGATGCGGCCTTGGCAATGATTTGCCCTACTATCGTGGCGGCAGATCGGCCGTCTTTTGTGCCTTCGGCGTATGGGTCTACGGCTGATTCCGGGGCCCATTGATCGGCGTTGAGATCCTCCCAGGCGTCGTCTTCTATCTCCAGGAATTTTGGCATCATTTCGAATATATCACCCTCGGAGGCTGTACCTATTGTTTTGGAGGTGGTGAAATCGTTCGTATGTTCAGCATCTGCACCATTGCCCAGAGCTGAGTCCTCTGCTGGTTTCAGGTCCAGGTCCTCGGCGGGTTCCGAGGCCGCAGTCCATGGATCTGAATCCTGCTCAGCTGCTGGCTCCCTTCTCTCTTTCTGTGGTTTGGTCCTAGGCCCGCGTTTTGGAACGGTCGCCCCTTGGACGTATGGATACACCCCTGAATGCCACGCTCGATCGATGGCAGACAACTTGTCCGGCTCCTCCTCGTCCTCGGCGTTGGGCTCGGCATCCTCCTTGGACTGGTCCTTGCTGTAGGCCCTCCGCTGTTGCCGGACTGAGGTCTTCTGGCGTATGGAGTGGTACTGCGTCGCAAGGTGGTAGAATCGCAGGTAGGGCGACTGTCGGCCGACCAAGGGCCGGGAGACGTATGGTCGGAGGAACTGGAGGGAGTGGCTGGACGCCATTCTGGCCTTGAAGACTTCTGTTAGCCGACTCGTCCGAGCAGTATATATAGAAGTACAGTGGAAGGATAACAGGAGGAATCCAAGTCAGATATTTGGCATTTGTGATCATACACGTTTCCGTGTCAGTCGCAACGGTTCTAATGTTATGTGGTATCATCATGTGGATGGAGGTGGTTTCTAATAGAAGAAAATATGGAATTGGTGGGCTTACCCTGCTGTTCGCCGCGAAAGAAACCTTCCGCCTACTCTTCAACAACGTATCCGTGCTGGTGCAGAGAGCTTCTTGATATCCATGCAACTGAATCCAGGCGGTGGCCTGTTGTTCTAGATGATTGATCCCAAGCTCCTAGAAAAAAAGTGGTTGCACCTTTGAGAGAGGTCTCCTTTTCATTGCGCTTAGGCCAATCATAGACACAAATTCGGGCTTAAAAGTGGGACCCAAGCTCTTCACACATGCGACCTCGACTTTTCACCGCCCGTCAAAAAACCGCCCCGAGCAAGCGTTTTTGAAGCTTCCGTCCCGGCTTTGAACCTACATCATCATCGTCACTCTCAATCACTCAACCCTCCGGAAAGACAAGAACCAAAACACTGCCCGACTCCCCAAAGCACAGCCAAAGAAGCACAACCAAAAATGTCTTTCCTCGGTCTCGGACGCCCCCAGCCCTCCTCGGCGGAGAAGATCGCCGCCGTCGAGAGCGAGATGAAGCTCCTCGCCGACCTGCACAACCGGTAAGCCCTCCCTATCACCGCTCCCTCACTTCCTCTTCCATCATCGTCATAAAACAATCTTCTTTCCCACACCTCTCTTTCTTCCTTGCTGACAAAGGTGCTCTCTCCATGTAGCCTGACCAAATCCTGCGCGCTCAAGTGCGTCCCCAACGACTACCACGAAGGCGACCTCAACAAGGGCGAGAGCGTCTGTCTCGACCGCTGCGCCGCAAAGTTCTTCGAGGTCCACATGAAGGTCTCGGACATCCTGCAAAAGGAGACGCAGCAGCGAGGCGGGAGCGCCGGCGGCAGCTTCTTTGGTTAATTGAAGACGAGGTGACGCTGTGTCTTGCAGAAAGAGAGTGTGTGTACGATCATGCAGAAGTGTATATGTGGAGGGCAAAGCTATGCTTTTTCTGGCATCCCAAGAGCCTTTATTGAGGGAAGATGGATATGAGACGATGCTTTTGAACTCTGGACTTTCAGAGATTCTTTTGCATTACATGCCATGGAGCCAGGCAGATGGGAAAGATGAATACGTGTGTATATTACACCGGTCAGAATGATCGGTCTGTACGATGAAAGCGCTGGTAACAACACCATCACCGGCTCAAGATGAAATTCAAAAACCACTTTTATTACCATTCTCTCTTTTTGTCTATGAGAGACAAGGGGGAAACCTCTATGGTCATATCTTCGGCCGTGGTATCGAGCCCAGCAAACATAAGAAAATACGGAAATAATGAAGCCAATCTCCAAGAATCGCCAGGGCTATGCAAGTATGAGATACAAAAAAAAAAGTGATATCACACCGTCGTTTCCCACTTGCTCACGAATGGGCATCCTCCTCCTCCCTCGCTCCACCACGCGCCCCATCATCCCGACCGGGCTGCTCCCGATCCTCCCCGCGGCTCTCGTCCCCGACGACCGCCGCCGCAGCGGCCACGGGCCCGCCCCTCGTGATGTTGGGCCCCGTGCCGATGCCCGTCAGCGTCCGCACGAACCAGTGCACCCAGCTCTCCGTCTCGAGCTGCGCCTTGAGCTCCTCGGCCCGCAGCTCCACGATCTCGACCTGCGCCTCGAACTGCCGCACCCCGTCCTCGACCTCGGCCGCCTTGGACGCCAGCGCGTTGACCTCGTACTCGAGCTTGGCCGCCAGCACCTCGACGTCCTTGACCGCCTCGGTCACGTGCGCCCGCTCCCCGGCCACCATCTCCTGCGACGAGTCCTTGACGCGCCGGTACGCCTCGGCCAGCCGGTAGTACAGCTGCTGCAGCTCCTCCTGCTGCGCCGCGTAGTCCTGGTCCAGCGCCTCGAGGCACTGCACCTTGTCCCCGACCCAGGGGCCCAGCGTCTGCTTGAGGCCCAGCAGCCGCTCGTAGAGGCTCTGCGCCGCCTCGACCCTGCTCAGGTGGTGCGCGAGGGCCAGGGGCCCGCCGTGGGTGGCATCGCTAGGAGACTCCTCCTCGAGGTCGAGGATGTCTTCCCAGCCGAGCACCGCCTCTTCGGCGCAGCTGAAGGACATGCGCCGCGGCCAGCGGCTCTCGTTGAGCGGGTGAGTAAAGGTCAGGGTCGAGATGGCGACGCTGTGCCTTCGTTGCAGTACAGTCAGGTTCGTATCGGCCTGCCGGTCAGCCTCCAGGTGCGGGCCTTGCAGATCGTTCGGGTCTGCCACCGAGTTCGCAACAGAGGCGTCTGTGAGCAGGAAATCTTTGCGAGTCTCCTCTGCTCTGGACGGAGGGAGAGACTCTGCAGCTTCGGGGAGCGCGTCCGCGAGCTTGCTAAGGTCGAGCTGCTGTGACTGTGACCTGGATTCCTTGGCTGCCGGCGTCCCTGAGCTCTGTGTGGTAGACGCCACCCCTGGAACAGCGTCTCCTTCCTTCTCCTTCCGCAGGGCAGCCAGGTATTCTTCTGGCTTGTTCTTCCACGTGAAAGCCCGCCCGACCATTGTCGGGCTCGACAGCATCAGGTCGCTGCGCATAACACCTGAACCAGCTGGACTCAGGTAGCTACTGGCGGGAGTGTCGTCTCGTGAAGGCCGGCTGTTGTGACCTCGGAGGCGCCCCGTGTTGATGTTGTCCCTGAACCGACCAAAGCCAGAACGAGCGTCGCTCACCTTGCCTGCAACACTCTTCAACACAGCCTTGTGCAGCGCGTCCTTGTCTCCGGGACTCTCAGCCACACTAAGGGTAGAGCCCGGCGTGGGAGTTGCCGAGTACAATGCTGCTGCCTCTTCCTTCTTCTTGACCTCTACATCTTCGCCCAAAGGGAGCGATTGCGTCCTTCGGCTCGGCTGGGATGCGGCGACCTCCTTGCCAAAGAGCATATTCCCCATGTCGCTGATGGGCTTCTCGTAGTGTTCTGCCACGGATCTGCGTGCCTTGCCATGCCACAGCCACTTTGCCCTCTCGCCGTGGGCTAGGCTGATGAACTTGTTGATGTCGAGAGTTTCAATGTCTCCGATGTTGCCTTTGTCTTTGCCGCCGACCATGCCAATCACGATCTCACCTCTCTTCCCGCCGAATCCCTCGACGGTGGACTTGACTGCCCTCTGGACACCCCAGCCCGCCTCACCAGCGGCTGCCTTGGCACTGATCGTGTGTAGCCTCAGCATCGTCTGGCGGTCTAGTCTTCGTGTCCGCTCCAGCTTGTGCGCCTTCTGAAAGTAGCCAATTCCACGTTTCGTACATTCGATATCAAACACGTCTTTCGCAACGGGAGCGCCATACCAGCTCAGTCGATTCCTTGCGCCCATCAGTGTTCCAAGTAGGGCTGCCACGGTGGTCGGACCCAAGATGCCATCTGTCGGCTCGATATTGAAGTACTCGGACCCGATCTCGGTCCACCAGTCATTTATGCCCGCTTCGGTGCGATCACAGAGTAGGCCGTCTATGTACTCTTGCTCGAGCTTGCCGAACAGCAGAAGGGCCACCTGACAAAGCTTGATGAGCTCCACGACGGCTTGTTCGATAGGTACCCGATCGCTCGTCTTGTACAGCTGGGAGAACTTGGCCTGAGTCGCGGCGGTGGGCTCTGAAAGGCTCATACCTGATCTTCCAGAACAGCCCAGGCGTTTCAGGTCCTCGTTGACGATGAAGGACTGGCGATGTGCGCGTATATCCCCGTCCGGAACAGGAATCACGGTCAGCGCCGAGGGGAAGCTGCTCAGATTGGTGACCATGAGCTCGCCCAACGGGGTGTCCTTGGGCCTGGCATGGTATTGTTGAATGGCCTTGAAGTAGACTCTTAATCTCGGAGACCAGTCGTTCTCATCTGCGGGTATCCCCAGCACGCCAACAACTATTGAGTGGTCCGGATCGCCGGTGTATGTCGCGATGACCAGGGTTGGGGACTGCCGAGAGCAGGCCCATTGTTCAACTAGATACAGTTCGTAGCCCTGCAGTTTCTGTCGACGCTCGACGACCTGAACGCACTCATCTTCTTCGAGGTAGCTGTGAAGTAGCCTATGATTAGAGCAGCTCGTACATGGAGAAAGGAAGCTTGCACTCACCGAAGAGATACTGGGTCTGGAAACACAACATGGCGGCGCCTGGGGGTAGATGAACCCTCCGAGGAAACCGCCTGTGTCTGTACAGACCCTTCCTCCTTCGCTCCGCCCGAGAGCAGTGTGCCTGCAGAAGCAGGGCTCGCGGTCAAGTTGCCCTGCGAAGCCAGCCGTGCCGCCAGTATGTCTTCTCTCCTCAAATTCCTCACATCCGACATGGCTGGGGGTAGGAAGGGGAAAGAAGACATGTCGGGAGGGGTCGAGACAGTCAGGCCTGTCGACCAGCTTGGATGATCGTTGGTACGGCGGTGGGCAGCTGTATGCTCTGCGACATGGTCAAACCGGAGGGGTGCAGAGCTCGGCTGTGTGCATGTGCGTCGTGTGTGTGTGTGTGTGTGTGTGTGTGGTAGCTACCAACTCGACCAGGGTTGCGTGAACCACGGGCAGCTAGGACATTGCTGCAGGGAACCAAAGACCAGCCAGCAGGAGTCACAAGAGCTAACAGAGAGGCGTTGGCAGCGAAAATCTGCGGTGTGAGGCCCGGCAGGCTGCGTATGCGGGTAAAGTTGTAGACAGATTTGGGAGCGAAGAGGCAGCCTTTTCAGAAACCGGCATGTGATGGCATCAACCTTGGAAACGCTCCCCAGCTTTCTTCGCTACAGCCTTTTTTACAGCTCTCCAGAAGGAACACCCGCTCCCGTGCCGCTAATCGAGCCCTCCAATGAGGAGCGAAGGGCGGTCCAACGCTGCTGGGTTGCTGGACCGGATGGTCGAGTTTAGCGGGCGACAGGGGGTCATTCCCCCTGCTGGTCTCGCTGGTCTGGGTCAGGTCCGCCCCATCCATGGATCTGAATGCAGCGTCATGCGTCACCAGGACGGGTGCCGATGGGGGGGGTATCATGCCATCCACAGGGTGCTCTTAACTCGAGGTGCGCTAAAGACGGCTCCACTTCCTCCCCCCATGCAAGCTTGAGTCCCGTCCATCAATCCACCGACCGACTCGACTCTTGGGGACGACACTCTCCAACAGCCAGACCTCACGACGCAACCAACCTGCGAACACACTATCTTCCTCTGCCCTGTTACACCGAGCGAAACCTTAAACTTGGCCACTGGGAATATTTGGGCAAGAATATGCCAGACTTGACGGCCTCTGCTCGATAAAGCGAGTGCTCGAGCAGCTCGGAGAGCCCACACGACTTTATCCCCCCACCACCACGTCCAGACCACGAAGCTCCGGCAGCAAAGATCGTTGCACATATTTGAAACAGCTGCTATGTTTGCTCGCCAAACTGTGCCAACATCATATAAAGAGTCAGAAAGGAGACAATAGTTGCACCCGACGACCCTCATTCTCTATCTCAGAACCAGCAGAACAACTCCAGGATCGCCCGAGATGGCGGACAGCATGCCGGTGCTCCAGAAGGAGCTCAGTCAGATCTCTCGGAAAGCAAGTCTGACACCAGCCGTCAACGACATGGACAAGATGATCGCGCATCTAGAAGCAGTGAGGGAACAGGTAGCCTCAGGTACGTGGATAGCATACTCCCGCCTGGTGCAGAGTACCGAAAAGAGACTGACCTTGGATGCAGCACAAGACCCCCATTCAGCTGGACTAGCCATGACACGATTGCAAAACCCGATCAAGGAAGGGTTCGAACAAGTAAACGAGGATCTGAAGAGGGTCTCTAAAGTACAGCGAGAGTTTGGAAAGTCATTAGACAAGGTACGCTTGCCCGCCGATACCCTTCGACAGCCGGGATCGTGACGTTCTTACTAACCGTGCTCTTTGCTGTGCAGCACTTCCCCTCCAAGCCTTTACCGACCGAGCACGACGCCATGGCTAAGCACCATACCCTTATCAACCGTGCCATCGCTATGCACCTGCTACGGGAAGGTCAGTTTAATGTGGCCAGCACATTCATCGAAGAAGCAGCGGACCTGTCGCAGCCCTTGCCACCGGAGGACGACGTCGAAGATGCCGATGACGATGCCGACATGGAGACGGACGAGGACGAGGAGGGTGAAGTACACCACCATTCACATGCGCACGAGCCGCCACATACAGAACTGGCCAGCATCCAGTCTGCCGAGCTCCAGTCCCAGTTCGCACACATGTACTCAATACTACAAGCACTGCGCGCCCACGACCTCGGCCCTGCCATAGATTGGGCGCGGTCAAACTCGGAGGAGCTAGAGGCAAGAGGTTCCAATCTCGAGTTTGAGCTCAGCAAGCTGCAGTTCGTGTGGCTCTTCAAGGGCGCCGGGCAGCACGCGGGCGTCGCATCACACGAACCTCCCTTTTCCAGAGCGCGCGTCGACGAGGCCCTCCTCTACGCCCGCGAGCACTTTGCGCGATTCCAGCCCCGCCACCTCCACGAGGTCCAGCAGCTGGCCTGCGCCCTCGTCTTCGCCTCCAACATCCGCGACTCGCCCTACGCCGCTCTCTTCGGCGAGGACGCCGCCTCGCCGGCCGCGGCCGTCGTCGACGAGGAAGACATCTCCCCGCCCGTCACCACGACGGCCACCAGCCTCGGCGGGCCGCTGGACGAGGTGGCCGCCTCCTTCACGCGCGAGTTCTGCAGCCTGCTGGGCCTGTCGGCCGAGTCGCCGCTCTACGTGGCCGCGACGGCGGGCGTCATCGCCCTGCCGCGGCTCATCAAGTACATCAGCGCCACGCGCTCGCAGCGCACCGAGTGGACGACGGCCGACGAGCTCGCGTTCGAGACGCCGCTGCCGTCGTCGATGATCTACCACTCCATCTTTGTCTGCCCCGTCTCCAAGGAGCAGACGACCGACACCAACCCGCCCATGATGCTGCCCTGCGGGCACGTCCTGGCGCGCGAGTCGCTGCAGCACCTGACCAAGGGCACCAAGTTTAAGTGCCCGTATTGCCCGTCCGAGGGACACACCAAGGACGCCAGGCAGATCGTCTTGTAGGATAGATATTGCGCCGACTTCCGGGCAGGCGAGGCGGGGAGGCTGGTAGCGGCTGCGGCTGCGGCTGAGGATGGTTCCGACTCGACCCCTGACAACGCGTCGGCAGACAGCAGCGGCACGGATGTGCCTGTGATGTCTCACGTCTCCGACGAGGACATGCCGTGGAACTCTGGCCCGATGATTCAGAATCTGATGGTTCAGCTGAGGTTTCACGAGTGGCCGGGGCTCGGGTTGGGCGGCAGTGCCCCTGTTAAGGACGGGCTGGAGGGGCCCGCGGGCTTCAGTTATCGCGTCTTCGACCCTTCTTTCCTGCCGGATCCCCAGCAGAGCGACTGGGCCGATGGAGCTTGAAACGGACTTGTTTTGTCTTCGGAGCGTTACTGTTGTTTTGTTTTACATGCCTATATCACGTACAGCCCAATTTATTCATACTTGAGCTGGCTAGCGAAGGAAGAGTGCAGCACGGAGAGATGAGGAGGGAGAGAGAGGTTTGTTTGATATGCAGTTATGGGGCACTCTGAGAATGACGAATCCGGACGGTTTTTGCATTTTGTGTGTTGGTTCATGGGCATCCGGAGTTGGGAAGGCAAGGCAGGCCCACCCCGGGACTAAGTCTCGGTATGATTACCGCCCAGGTCTTTTGCACAGACAGGCCTGATCGATGTAGCGTTGGGAATCACCACCCTCTCGTTGACTTAGAATAACTTTTGTTTCCGACACCCCTTGGCTCCATGTGAGCACTGCATCGAAGCGTTCATGATTGGAAAGGTGATCTAGGCAACTTGCGAAATTCAGTGGCCTGAGCTAGCTCTCCCCATCATTCCATATGAATACAAGCCAGTCATAAGTCAGAACTGAAGGCACATATGTGTGCGTGACGGGGTAGGGGGCTGTCTTCCGAGCTTGATGAGCCATGTATGTATGTAGTGAGTGACTCCCATGCCGTAGCTCACACTAAATCAAGAAGAGCAGCATGTACAACGTTTCACGTAAAAGATCTCTCCATCTTCTTTTTTTTTTTCTGAATACAAAACCCCCGAGTTCCATGATGTGATGAATCCATGTCATAGCAGCAATGTCTCCGGAAATAACTCTAGTGTTCATATAACAGGTATAACAGGGGCAACATAGCAGTCTAGTCGACATGCTCATCAAGGATATCAAAGGGGAGGAGCCATGAGCGAGCAAGCAGAGAGGCTATACACAACCTTCAAGCAAAATTTCCCATTTCAACAGCGTCTTTCTTCGTCAGGCAGACTACTGTTTGAGGAGAACAAATCAAGTATGGTAGAATTTGATACCAAGAGAGTCTAGGAAAACAAAAATACACAAGTTTGCTCCCCTCATGCTATGATTTGTGTGACAAAAAAAAATCCCACGCCCTTACCCATCCATCTATTGCACTTTCCTGCCCCCCCGTTTAGAGGTGAAAGACCATGCTGATGTTGTTAAGGGCCTGTTTGTCCGGATTCATTTGAGAAAGGGGGAGGAGAAAAACGCCCAATTAAATAGGAAATATCTGGTGCCGGCTTCTCTTTCATCTCCAACCGGAACAACGTTGTTTCGATGGAATGAGAACCGCGGTGGTATCTGGATTCGTCGCGCCCCCTCAAAATTTTGCCCCCCCTACTACTACTACTCTGCGGGTATCCTGGTGAGAAGAGAGGAGAGCCTATTTGACTAGGTCAATCCTGCTCTCTTTCTGTTTTCGTTCAAGTCGTTTCTGTATACACTTCTAAATGAATTTGGTATTTTGCACTCGCTCTCATCCAATCTTCGGGCCATTTAGTCGATCGTCATCCGGCTCGGCAGCTGGGGCTTGACGTCGCTGAGGCCGATCGAGTTGGCGTCGGGCTGCTTCTCCTCGTCGGCGCTCTTCTTGAGCAGGTGGGCCTTGAGGCCGGCTCCAAAGTTGTTCATGCAGATGAAGGCGTTGACGATGGTCAGGATGATGAGCAGGATGGTCAGCACCGAGAAGGCCGTCAGGGAGCGGCGCACAGCGATGTAGTGGTCCCGGAAGCCGGGCTGGTAGATGCGGACGAGTTTGAAGAAGAAGTAGGCGAGGCCGCCAAAGTAGAGGGCGATGATGGCGATCATGCCGGCTTTGATCTCACGGCGGGTGAAGAAGGCGGCGAGCAGCAGGATGGCGATGGTGATGGGGATGGCGGCGATGGTCAGGCTCAGCTCGAGGTCCGTCTTGCCCGTCACGATGACGAGGAACTGGACCGTGAAGCCGAGGAAGAAGAAGAAATCGAACTTAAGGAGAGCGATGTAGATCTGGAGGTCTTGGTGTTAGAGGAAAACGCTTCGAAATACTATGGGGACCACCACGCATTCACACAAACATACCTGGTAGTGCAAGAAGCGGTTCTTCATGCGGTAGTCGGCGCCGATCTGCTTGAGGATATCCCAGGCAAAGACCTGGTACAGCTTGTAGGCGATGAAGGAGATGATGATGGTGCCGAAGCCGAGGATGATGGGAATGGCAACGAGGTAGGGCCTGCATGACTGCCACAGCCAGTCCAAGCCCTGGTTGCCGTGGTTGGGGTCGGGCTTGATGGCGCCCGTGTCCTCGAGCTTGTCGAACGAGGTGGAAATCTGGTCGATCTGGATGGTGGTGTAGACCATGAGGGCGAGGTTGGCGAAGCAAATGCCAATGACCTGAATGGTATTCTTCATCCGCAGCGCATCCCATACCAGCACCAGCTCGTAGAGGAAACCGAAGATGAACAGCGTCAAGAAGGTGGGGATGGACTTGTATTGTGAGTTGTTTGTGTCGTTATCCGAGTGGAAGTCGACGTTCATTTGGAACTGAGCGAAGACGTATCTGCATAGGGGGGAGGGACCATGTCAGCAAATCCATGGAGTCGGGGCCGTTCTCGTCTGTCGCCATATCCCGCTACTTACGCCTCGAATGCCAGACATAGTATGGCCTGGACGGTGATGGTGCCCATAAAGGCCTTGGGCCACTTTCCCTCGAGGAAGCCCATGATGTTCCTTCCTCTGCTGCTGGCACCGCTTGAGGGGGCGATGCCTTCTCGGTAGTAGTAGTTGTTGTTGTAGGCCTGTTGGGAGAATTGGGAGTCGGCGGCCAGAAGCGACCGGCGCGATTCTTGACGGAAAGCCAGGACGGGCTGCAGGTGTGCGACCCCTCGGGGGGAGGTCGGCTAGCTAGAGACAATGGCGGTAAGAGGTCGTTTTCTTTTTGTTTGCTTCTGGCGATGTAAATTGCCGTCTCCTAATGGCGATCGGTGGTCGAATCGAACGAGAAAAAAAAAGGAAAAAAAGATGAGGTAAGAAGAATCGAAATGAACGTTGAGCGACCGGATGCACCCAAACGGCTCGTAGCGTATCCAACGCACTCCTTTGTCCGTGATCAACACCGGTAACAGTTGAACCAGAAGACAACAAGAGCGGTAGGTTTTGGTGGTTTGTTATGAGTTGTATAACAGATTGCTCGCAAAGCTGTGTGGTTGTTACGGGACGGCTGAAACACGTCGAGGAGTGAAGTGTTCGAGGGAGTACCGGGGTTGGTTGGCAGGTTGAAGTCTTGGCTGGGCTGAAGGCAGAGCACACCCCTGGTCGTTAAAAGGCCGCGTTGGAGCGAGGGCCGGGGTATGTGGAATGCTGGTGTCTATTTCAGGGATGCGAGAAAAGAGTCGAGTTGCCGAGTTGCGACGAGGTAGCGAGTGACCAGAAATGGGAGGGAGAGGGAAGAAAGGTGTCGGGCGAAAACGAGAGGATGGTTGAAAGAGTTTAGATACGTCAGGAAGGGAACGACGGCAATGGAAAGGTGGGATGCTGCTGGCAGTGGTGGTGGTGGTGGTGGTTGCAGATGGATGGTCAAGCAGGATGTGTGGATGGTTGGTGGATGGATGGCCAGAGAGGCGTGAGAGGGAGTGGAGGGGAGTGGGAGTGGGGAGTCGAGAGATCAATCCTGGAGAGAGGTACCTCAACGCTCGTGTTGCTGCGTTGGACCAGTCGAGCCAACGCAAAAGTCAGCCTTGGCAAGGTGTGTGGACAAGGGATGCCAAGGGGTCTTTTCCTGTCTCTTCTGGCTCGTGATGGGGTCCAGCAGGGCAATTCCTAAACAGTCACCCTTCTTGGCTCGGTCCTCAGCCCTGATGAGCATGAGCATACCTAGGTAGCATGCACTGCACTTTAGGTATCAACAGCATCGAATCAATCGTCCTACTCCGTACCGAGTTCCTACCTAGTAACTAGCCTGTAACTAACTAACTCAGGGGCTGTGCAGGACAAAAAAGCACAACCATCCCAAAGCAAAAAGTCCCGAGTGTTAGTGTCGCCAGCCCACGTCCCACGCACACGGCCAGAAATATCCCTGAAGATCGCCGGAGCGTCCAGTCAGGTTTGGCTCTGGCGCTCTGACGGGAGAATCTAATGCGTGGGACGCGCAACCGTCGTTCCCATCAGGAGGCCCCACGGCCCCTCGCGGTTCCACATGTGTTCCGCATTCCACTAACAGGCGCGACATGTGCTGGAGCGTGCCAGAGAGAGGGCTTGGGGGGGACCTTGAGGGCCTCCCATCCATGGATTTTGGCACCCAAACCAGCACTGGAGACGGGCACCCCGCCTCGCGCCGCCCTCCCTAGCCACGCCCGCAAATGCCCCAAGAGGGCTCCCAAAGAACGCAGAAAACGCCCACTAGGACTCCTCCCAGCACGCTAGCAGACCCGCACCCAGGATCCCGAGTGCAAGGAGATGAGACATGGAGGTGGACGTCGTGCCGTGCTCCGTGTCTCTTGGTTGAACTTTACGACAAACCTACCAAGGACGTATGTAGATTAGGTTCACGGTAAATACCGCTCACTCAGTTAGGTACTTCGTTCATCCATGTGTCTGCAACTCCTAGGTAGTCAGTCCTTCCAGAACATACTGTAGTCCTGGATGAAGAATGAATCTGTTGTCTCTGTCGGCTTTCACGTGCTGTCGCCCAATTGACATTGACATTGACCTACGTGCCGGGTCCATTATCTCTTGCATATCGGACCAGACGCAAGAGAGGTAGGACAGGCAGAGGGATAGAGGATTGGTCCCTTGGAGGGTGCCTAGGTAGGCCTGCATCCTCACGTCACTCGAGCGATCCGTACCTGTTGCCAGCCCATGATATGGAGGCCGCACGCATCATACCATGGTGATATCACGGGCGGCGGCAGCATATTGAAATGAATAGCCGGCGTTGATAAGATCGACCCGACGAAAAGGCTGGCCTGGTTAGCCAGACTGCACAGCCTGGCCCTCAGGCATATCGGTGCCAGGATCGCTGGGGCGATGGTATTTGGGGATTTTCAGGGTACAGTTCAGGGTCCTCGAGATGGACATTATACTTTGTAGTCTCCTTGATTGAGCACGATTGAGAAACAACTGCCGCATGACGTCTACGGAGTGCATGTCATTGAGCCCCGTCGCCGTACCAAAAGGCAAGCCCCTGTGCCGGAGAAGCATACTGACTTTGTGGCTGAGCATCATGCCCGGACTTGAGCGGAGGCTGAGTCGCCTTGGTTCGACAACTGGAAACTCCAACAAGACCCTCTCGGCGCGGCTTCTCTACCCGAGTAGGCAATTGAGTATCGCAGGTCTCCTACTTGTGTATTCCTTTTAACAGTGAGATGTCAGTGCAAACACTCGCTTCTAATGCGATGGCCCACGAAACCCGGGTGCGTCCTAGAGTCCTAGAGAGGCTCACACGCTGTTGTGAGCGGCGGCCAAAGACGATTCATCCGTTTGAAAAAAGTGTTATGGCCTCGAACACAAGAGGCACCACCTGCAATGTAAAATGTTGAAGAAACACATGCTCTTCCCCTTCCCAACTCACGATTCTCGGAGGGTCGGTAAGCAGGTACGATGGATGGTCTTGTGGACTGTCGGAGGCCCTTGCATTCTTGCATTTGTACCTACCTTGGTGTACCTTATCGGCTTATCGCAACCCACCCGTCAATGTCAAGACTTGGTTTCCCGCTTTGCGACAATCCGGCGCTAAGATGCACGAATTGAAGATCGGCTGCCGGCGCGTGTAGTCAATCCAACCACCAAAAAAAAGTAGCGACACCCAGGCACACATACACCCCATCACACGTCCCGCCGGTCAGAGCCTCACTCGCGCGCGCACGAGACCAGCCGGCCCTCTCGTCGACCCAAAAACACCATGGCGGCCACCGAGATGGACGCAGACGACGAGATCCTGCGCAAGCTCGCCTCGGGCGCTGCCATTGACTAGTATGTCGTGCCCGGGCCAGTCTATCCTCTGTCCGTCACCTCTGGTCGCTAACTCTCTTGCTCTTGCGCCCAGTTCCATATGGCCCATCGTGCTCGCCGACATTGTCGCCCGGATCGAAAAGGTAAAAGACAGAAGAACCCTGCCCGGCTCGGGAATCGCTGCTGACATGCCATGCTTCCTTGCCCGCAGGCCGCGCGCAACGACTTCCCCATACCACGCATCCCCCAGCCCAAGCAGGCCTCACCCCTTCCAGAACCCAGACTCCTCGACCCTCTACCCTCCTCCGACCCCATAGACCCCTCCGCCGAGACCTCTTCCGCCACGGCAGTCGGCAACGATGACAGCCAGCGCTCCTCCTCGCAGGAGACCAACAAGGAAAACACCAACCCCGTCTCCGCCGCCGCCGCGGTGCAACCCCCCACCACAGCAGCAGCACAACCTACCAGCAGCGCATCAGTACCGCAGGACCCGACCGCCCTCCCGCCGCAGGTCGTCTCCCTCATGAACGACATCACCAACACCCTCACCACCTCCTTCCCCGTCTACCCGCCGCACACGGCCCAGCGCCTCGCCGAGCTCGTCCTCGCCCCGCGCCAGCACTACCGCAGCCTGCCCTCGTACCTGCACGCCCTCGACCGCGTCGTCCACGTCACCAGCGGCAGCAACGTGTTCCCCCTCCCGCCCGCCGTCCCGGACATGTCCACCATGACCCTCATGTCCAACGGCCCCGCCCGCGACGCACCCTGGGTCAACGGCACCTCCTCCTCTCCGGCTTCATCGTCCGCGTCCAACGCGCCGGCGCCCATTAACGTTGGCTCCGACGAGGCCCTGGGCGGCGCCCTGCTCACCCCGATCCCCTGGCTCCATCGCCGCACCGCCTCGAGCTCCGTGTCGGGCGGCTCCTCCTCCCCTCCCGAGCCGGACCCGGCACAGCTGGCTACGGGGCAACAACAAAGTCCACAGCAGCAGCAGACAGGCGGCGCTCAGAGCCAGGCCCAAGGCCAAGGCCAAGGAGGAGGCCAGTTCGAGGGGCAGGTCCACACCGAGACCACCGAGACGATCGAGGGCCCCAACGGCATGGGCAGCATCGAGACGGTAAGCATCTCTGTCAACGGCATCCCGAGCCACGGCGCGACCGTGCAGGTCCAGCGGGGTGTCACCCAGGGCGAGCTGCTGAGGCAGGAGCAGCGCGCGGGCGTCGTGCCCGTCACGCAGCTGGCGCGCGCCAGCATGCCCGCCACCGCGGGGCCCATCGGGCTCGGATCCGGCGCCGGCACCGGCGGTAACAACGCGTCTCCCTCGCCGTCGCCCTCGGTAGCAGTACAAGCACAGGCGGGCGCTGCCGGCGACGAAGATACAGCCATGCCAGACGAAGATGCAGCGGACCCTGGCCCGACCTCCTCGGCCTCCGCCGCTGCAGACCAGGACGAGGACGACACGACAGAAAAGCCCGCCGCCACCGGCGAAGAGGACTCGCCCGAGCAGCAGTCACACCAAGAGATCCCGCACGCCAGGGGGCCCGAGGAGATCGGCGCCGCCGATATGGGTCCTCAGAAGGAATCGAGCTCCACCTTCGTCACATCGCCCTCGGGCGCCGTCGAGATGCACGGCATCGACGTGGCCGCCGCCGTGGGGCGCAGCAAGGCCGACGACACCTACCAGCAGCAGAGGAAATCTAAATCCAAGTCGCCGGAGGCGGCAGCAGTAGCAGCAGCAGGTGGTACCGAAGACGACGAGGACAAAGAAAACGACGGCAAGGCGGCGGCGGCGGCGGTAACAGAACGGGCCAGGAGGGCGACGACGCCGAAGCGCGAGGCCGAGGGCGGGCCCGACGATGCGGCCGAGCCGGCGGCCAAGAGACTTAGGGAGGACGAGAGCGCCGGTGCTGCCGCGGGCGAGGCCGGCGACGAGGGCGTCAAGAAGGATGCGGAGGGAGACACGGTGTTGACGGATCAGGATGTGGACGGTGGGAAAGAGGAGTGAATCAGGAGGGGGGTTCAGCCCTGAAGTCGAGATTCATGACTATGCCCCCCTTTCTATGTGTACCAGGCACTCACTCATTGATTATGCTACTCTTCTTCCTTCCTCTCTGTCATTCTTAGTGGTCCAACAGTCGACTACCAAAAAATGTATTCTTTAGAAACCGATCCATTCCTGGTTGAGATGGAGCAGAGGAGTTTTTTTTTTCCTTTTACTTTGGCTCGGGTTAGGGGATCGACAGGTGTTCCAGGGGTCTTTCTACGTAGATGTTCCAACTCAAGAGACACGATCATGACTTTTTGACTCTTTCATTCCGGATGACTGGAGAGACGATCGCAATTGTTAACTATTGCTCGAGATCTTTTTACAATCGAAAGCAAAGCAATGCAATGCAATGCAAATGCTACGCCATGCTCCGCTCCCCAAGCTAGAAAAGCACCAGTCTTACAATCTCATCTACCAACACACTACACTCTCCATCACTCACTCGTTCACCCCTCAATCAACTTGCTGATGCTCTCCCTCAGGATCACGCTGTTCTGCTTCTCGTCGCGCCGGACGCGGTAGAACGTGTCGCAAAAGTCCGAGACCTGCATGTGGCGCAGGAACTCCTCGTCGTGCGTGATGACGATGAGCTGGAAGTTGGCCTGCGCCTGGCGCGCCTTGATGATGGCGTGCAGCGAGACGGCCAGCGAGCGGATGTTGTCGCTATCGAGGTTGGTCGTCGGCTCGTCGAGCGCGATGAGCCCGCAGTTGACGCCGAACGACTCGGCCAGCGCGAGCCGGATGATGATGGACGCCAGCACCTTCTGCCCCGCCGAGCAGCGCCCGCGCATGTCCATCTCGGTGTCCTGCTTGACCATGCACAGCCGGTAATTGTAGTTGCGCTTGCCCGTCGCCGTCTCCGACTCGGACCGGATCAGGATCGTGTCGATGTCGGTGCCCTGGTACGTCGCCTGCCACAGCTCGCCCGCGATGCGGTTGACCTCCTCCATCTTGAGCGAGTGGTACTGCATGATGGCCTTGTCCAGCGCCGACGAGTACCGGCCCAGGTCCTCGATGGCCGCCTTGGTCGTCTCGACCCGGATGTGCGCCTCGCGGTACTTTGCGCTGGCGTCCTTGTACTCCTGCTCCCACTCCTCCAGCACGCGCCCGAGCTCCTCGTCCTTGGACCTCATCTTGGCCATGACGGCGCCGCGGTTGGCGTGCATCACGTTGTGCTGCTTCTCGAGGGCGTCCACCTCGGCCTTGAGGTGCTCGTAGTCCTCCACCGCATGCCGAGACTCCAGCTCTTCAATCTCTCGCTTGAGCGTCTCCAGGATCCGCATGTTCTTCCGGTAGGTCAGATTGTCGCTGATAGTCTTCTTTTTGCGGTCGCTGTTGTCCAGGTCGCTCTTCAGCTTGTTGACAAGCGTCGCCAGTTCGCTGATCTCCTTCTCCAGGTTCGCAATGGTCTGTTCGAGAGCTTGAATGGCGCGGGCATTCGCTGCCAATGCGGCCGGACCACCTCGGTCAATGTAGTCCTGGATCTCGGCCTCGATCATGTTCAGCTCGCTCACCGTGTGTGCGATGCTGTCCCTCTCTGTGACGAGCTTCTGCTCCTTGCCACGACCTCGTTGCAGGGTGTCCTCGCGGATCGACCTCGCTTTCGCAATCTCGGGCTCGAGAGCCTCCATGTCTCGATCGGCTTGCTGGATGAGTTCTCGTTGGTTTGTGTTTTCGTCCTTCAGCGACTGGATCTGGCCCAGTAGATCATTCCGCCGCTCGCTCTGACGGATGATGTGGCCAATCTTGTTCGTCAACTCACTCTTTTCGAGCTCAAGAGAGTTTACTGAGTCTCTCATGCGCTGCTTGTCCGACGTCAGCTTTGCCACTTTGCCCTTTGCCGCCCTGATCTGCTCTGCACATGTTGCTTGCAACTCGTTGATCTCTTCTGCACTTCGTGAGGGGGCACCAGACTGCTGCTGCGAGGCAAGTCGATCGATCTGTTTCTCGGCTTCCTGGATCTCGCGGAATGTCTGAGCAATGTTCATGACAGTCTTGCTCAGCGATTCGACATCCTGCCGTTGTTCATCTGCCTCCTTGTATGCAGCATCGTTGTCCTCGAGAACTCGCACCAGTCCTTCTCTCTGAGCTTCGGCTGCTTTCAGCTCGTTGCGGAGGGCAGGCAGCTCCGACTCGAGCCGTTTGTACGTATCGTACTGAGAGCGTACGGCTCGTAGTTGTCCTAGTGTCGCCTCACGCTCGTCCTTGTCCTTCTCAATCTCCTTTTTGTGCTCAGCGTTGAGGCTCTTGGCAATCTTCTCCAGTAGGCGGGATCGCTCTCGAGGCTGGTCAACGAATTGACGCTCGCAGAGGCTGCACTTGTTGTACTTATTGAGCGTTGTCTGAGACTTGGAGTAGAACTCCTTGAGGTGGTCGAAAAGAGTGATATCCTTCTCGAGGCTGAGAATGTCGCCCTCGAAATTCTCGATTTCCTCTTGGTAGTCCTCAATAACCGCATCATCCGAGTCCTTGGCGGTCTTGAGAACGTTGAGCACAGTCGCCTGGCACTTTGTCGACTCTGCCAACGACTTCTGTTGCTTGTCCCGAATGCTCGACAACTTGTACTCGACCTGTCTCAACTCCTGTTGCGTCGCTTCGACCTGCTTTCTTGCGGCCGAAACGGTAGTGTTCCGTTGTTTCACAACATTGTTGAACTCGTCTTCCAGCAGCTCGGGCTTCCAGGAGCCACCGATCAGTGAAGTGAGTTTGCTGTCCCAGGTATTCTTCAGAGTGTCAAAGTTCCGCCTACGCTCTGTAAGCTCCTTCTTCCTGAGGTCTAGCTGGGCCCGTTCAGAGGCGAGTCTTGTGCACTCAACCAGCTCGCGGCTCAAACGGTCGCTCTCGCTCTCAAGCTGCCACAGGCGGTCGTTCTCCTGTTGGATCTGACTATCTATGTCTGATCCATTCAGCTCGTCAAGGGCTTTCTTGAGCCGCGATTCGAGATCCTTGAAGTTGGCCTCCAAGATGGCTTGAGCGCCTTCGTCAAAGTTCAGGTTTTGGACCGTGGTCTGCAAGCTAGCCAGCTTCTTCTCGATCGCAGCCATCCTCTGTTTGGCCGTCACCCGATCTTGGGTGCGAGCAGCCTTGCGACCTTCGAGGTTATTGATGGCAGCCGTCTCCTTGTCGAGCTCCTTCTCGTTTTCGCGCTGCAGGCGTTCGAGTTCCCGTTTCTTGTCTGCCAGGACCTTCTGGATGCGATCGTTGAAAGCATGGACCATGTTGTCCGTAAGGTCACCATCGTAACCACGAATCTCGTGCTTCTGGGCCGCCTCGCGCACCTTTGTGACGCGGGTTTGGAGCTGCCGTTCGTACTTTTCCTTGTCGGACTGATGCCGACCCTGCTCTGCGTGTTTCGTTCCCAGGAGTGCCCGAGATTCGCTAACCTCTTTTTGCAGCTGGTTGTACTGGTTGGTCTTTTCCTTCCTCTCATCGTCCATGCGCTGCATACGGTCTTCATACTGTGCCAGTTGCTCCGCGAGGTAATCGTCAGGCTCTGTGAGCTCTTCAAGGCCGACACGCAACTCCTCGGCAGCCTCCTTGCGATCGTCGTACTTGTCCTTCTTGTTCTCGAGGTCATTGACGATGGTCTGAAAGCTCCTGGCCTGCTCTCGCTTCTGGTACATCTGTGTCTCAACCTCGTTCTTGGCGATGTCAACCTCCTCGCAATCGGCGCGGAGTTGTTCCAGCTCGGCCTCGAGATCCCTAGCCCGTTTCTCAGCCTTCTCAGCTTTCTCCTTGTTGACCTTCTCGGAGGCTTCAAAGATCTTCGCTTTGGACAGATCCTCTCCTTGCTTCTTCCGTAGAACTTTGAGGTTGTCGATCGCCTTGGTGTATTTCTGAGCGTCGAAGATCTCATCGAACTTCTTCTTCAGGGTTGAAGGCTCGCTGAGGGGCCAGAGCGATTCGTCTTGGTGACAGAAGATGACGGCGTCGAGAATGGCCGGAGGGACACCGAGGTTATCCGGAACCAGCTTGTCGAGCTCTGCGGCCCTCTGAGAGACGACACTGCGTTCTCCGTTGGTTTGTATGACAAGCGATCCGTCCAGAGTCTTCATTGACCTCGTATTCTTCTTCATGGTCACCTGTATACTCCGGGTGACAACCATCTTGCCACCGGAAGTAGGTCGGAAGGACAGCTTGACCTGGGCCATGACTTCCCTCTCTCCACAAAGCTAGATTGCATGATTAGACCCGTGGTCGAGGAGAAGGACAAACAGCGCTTACCTTGGGGTCGTGGATAAAGGCACCGCCCTTGCTGTTGGGCGGTTGCTCGCCGGTGGTCGCATACTTGAGACACTCGATGATGGTCTGTTCAAGGATGTCAGCCCAGGAGAACGTTCCAAACGACTACCAGTCGTGTGTTGAGGGCCTTGCCGTCTTTCCGGAGCCATTGTATCCAACGATCAAGGTCAACGGGGTGTTGAATTGCATAGACTCCTGGGTGATGGGGTTAAAGGACCGGATGCTGGGGACGGGGTTAGCAGACAAAGACAGGAGAACGGAGCTTGGCCGAAATGACGCACCCCCGGATGGCCAACTTGTCGATTTTCGCTTCATTGTGTCAGCTACGGGCGACTATCATTTGCATGGCAAGAACAAACTCACACCTGGGTTGAGGATAAAATTAGCTCCACTGCGCCGTCTGAGATCCTGAGGAATGCACTCACATTGTGTCTGAATTGAGCTACCATGCGGCAGCAGGAAGGAGAGTCGAGTTTGGCACGGTAGAGAGGAAACCAGGTTCGGATGGAGAATGATCACGAGAAGGTGCCCTTTTCTACGAGGCTGAGACTCAATCCAAGATATTCCGTCACTTTTCCTCAAATGTGGAGTGCATGGACGACGATGCCAAACGCTGGGTGACGCGAGGGAGCTCAAAGCACGCGTCTGCCTGAAATCGCCAAGTCACGAGACTGGGGCAGCTTTAGAGTGTTGGCAGGCAATTTACTGGGCCAGCTCGGCTCCTGGGCATCATTCCAGGCAGTTCCAGCAGTGGCTTGCAGCAGCCCCGCCCAAATGTTTCAGGTCCTCCCCTCACTGGAGATACAAAACAACCCGCATCCATTTCAGTCCCGAAGTTTCTACCGGATTTGCATGATCAGCCTATCGTCATCCCAAACAGCAAGGCCTGGGCCCTAGAGTTCGTGCTGCGCAAGCCATGCCAAGTCTGAATGGCATGTGCGGCGTGCCCTTCTTTTTTTTTCTCTCGGAGAAATGCGCGGGGAAACATATTTGAATTACCCAGCACCAGACGCCAGCATGGTCTGATCTCAACTGAGCCCGAGTGGCAAGTCAGTCAGACAGGCTTTCTCACAGACAAAAGCCGGCATCATGTCGCCGCCGCAAGCAGGTTTCAACACAAGCCGGCATCAGGGCGCCGTGCCTGCCGTACGAGGGCACCAATTTATCTAGGTAGCCGTCCCCACGCTGTCGACGATGATCCATCCATGATCAGATGGCTTGGAGGGCTTGGCTCTGCTGGCGACGCAAATGAGGGCACAAATTGATTGCCTCGTCTGTCTCTTCCCCCCCACCATTGGTGCATTTCTCCCGCACCAGGACGATCAAGCTAGACCCTTTGGGACCCTTTGGGACCCTGGAAAGCCAATACCAGTTGACGTAGTACTTGTACATCGAGGAATCCCATCCAGGGTCCGCCCAGACAACCCCCTCCGCACCTGGCATCGTCCGGAACCGCTCGGTCGTGCTCGCTGAAGGGCCCTCGAGAAGAGCATCGATCTTTTCCTCGCCTTCCGGGCTTTCATACCTGCCAGAAATTACCCTTGCGGCAGGCCTAGCAGGTACCTGAGAGCGGGCCAAAAGGTCCGGAAACAGTGGGCCGGTGCGAATTTAGCGGATTCCCATTCCAGGCCTGGCCACAATCCCATATTTCCAGGCCATGCAGCTTTTTCCCTAGATCTGGCTCCCAAGACGGGGGATCGCCCATCCCATCCAAGCCATCCCACACCACCAAGTCCAAGCAAGTCCTAGACCTAGAGCGAGCGAGCGAGTGAGCCAGCGCTCCAGCCAAGTCTAGAGCGCAGACGTAACCATTGACCTGCCATTCGATCATTCCCATTTCCAACTTAGCCTCGTACATACCTTGCCGACCCTGTGCCTGTGTGAATATCGTCATCTTTTTCTCTGCACCCGACGACTCTCTCTGCCTGACTGCCATGGTCTGCCTGCCGCGCCAGAGCTTTTCGCCCGCCTAGCATCCATAAAGCGCATGCCGGCGCATGCCTCTAGCCTCAGATACCAGTACCAGCAAGCGAGTTCACTCTCCGCGGCCAACGTCCAGTTTTCGCAACAACCATCCCTCGTCTGACCCCGGACGGCGCCCAAGATCATGTCCCACGGGCCGCCGCAACCTCCTCCGCCGAATCTTTTCGGTTTTGGCCCTGTCGCCGTTGGGGACGTCGGTTACGGTCCCGCCGATGTACAAACCTCGCAGGTACGCACGCCCTCTGTAATCATACTTTTTTTCTGTCGCCCTGCGTGCCCGCCAAGGCTGGCTGGCTGCAGCAGCGAGAAACACATGCACTCTCTACTCGCGGACTAACTTTGGAGCGCTCGTGCTCGACAGATGGGCACCGGCCCAACCCAGGACGATGCCATGATGTCCCTCATGGACGGGTCCATGTTCAATCCCTTCGACACCATGTCCATGAGCCTCGACGGCGCCGACGACGTCAATCTCGCGCAATCCTTCACCCCGGTCACCACCGCCGCTGCCACCCCCCAAGGCGCCATGATGCGCACTGACAACGCAGTTTTCACGCCCGGCGGCGGCCCCACGACGGATGGCAATGCTCCCGGGGCGGGACCCCTCCCCACCACCACCTTCGGCCAGATCAACTTCCCCGGCGGCAGCACCCTGACTGAGTTTACCAAGCGGAGGAACTGGCCGGCCAAGGTCGTCGAGGAGCTCAAGGACTTCCTGCAGATCCTCGACGCCAACGGGCGCATCTCGCACGTGTCGCCCAGCATCACCACCCTGACGGGCTACGCGACCGAGGATATCGTAGGGACCTTCTTGAAGGATTTCATACATCAGGACGACGTCGGAGTCTTTGTCGCCGAGCTCAACGAGTCGATCGCGACCGGCAATCCGCTGCGCATGTTTTACAGGTTGCGGAAGAAGGATGGGAACTATGCCATTTTCGAGTCGGTAGGCCACGCCCACATCGCCGCCGCCAAGTTCGCGCCCAACCCCAACAATCAGTCGCCCTTTTGCCAGGCCGTCTTCATGATGTCCCGGCCGTACCCGACCAAGAACACGACCCTCCTCGATTCGTTCCTAGAACACAAGATTGAGAACGAGAGGCTAAAACGTAGGATAGCGGAGCTCCGCAAAGAAGAAGCGGACGATGTGGACGAGGCCCAGAAGCAGTGGCGGCAGAGCCAGGAGGGCAGGTCAGAAATCGCGGCGTCCGAGACTACGATGATGACGCCCTCGACACCCTACCACCACGGCATGGACTCCATGGTCCCCGGGTCCGAGCGCATGCCCGAGGGCGCGCTGACGCGGGAGAACCTGCAAGGTGTCGTCGGCAGCAGGCCAGATTCGCTGCGGGAGAAGATGGCTCGCTACGAGGGCGCCACGCACGCCGATACCATTGAGATGCTGACGGGCCTGAGGTACCAGGAGGGCGAGAGGAGCCGGGGCATCACGACCGGCAACGCGAGCCCGACGCTGATCAAGGGCGACGCCGGCATCGCCATCCCCATGGACCGGGACCCGAGGACGGGAGAGAAGAAGAAGAAGCTCAAGGTCGCCGAAGAATACGTTTGCACTGATTGCGGTGAGTCCCTCCCCCGGCCCCCCTTTCGCTTGCTTGATTTCCATCTCAACTAGTTAACTGACTGTATGCGCCTCAGGCACACTCGAGTCGCCCGAATGGCGCAAGGGACCAAGCGGGCCCAAAACGCTATGCAACGCCTGCGGTCTGCGGTGGGCCAAGAAGGAGAAGAAGAGCAAGAGCATCTCCGGCGGCGCAAATCCCATGGTCGACTCCTCCGCGGCTTGAACGACTGCTTCCTGGCGGGCATGGATCGGCGCAGGTGCGGCATTGGGGGTGTTACTCTTTTTTTTTTCTCTCTCCAAATTCGCTTTACTTCACGATATACGGAGCAGACGATTGGGGGGGCATTTCAGGTTTGGAGGCGAGCATTTACATGGATGGTACTTGGGACATATGATATGGGAATACACGAAGGGATGTACCACAACCGGGTCTTTATATATGTTTTTTTTTTCTTGTCTTCTTTTTTGCTGTTGGCTTACTGAATACGCGCGTCTTCTTTCCTCGTTTTCCTTCACATCGAAGATACCTCTCGGACAGTTCGTACAGCTTCGGGGAGTCTTATTCAACCCTCTTTCGTGACGACAACGTTGAGCGAAAGACGGGAAACATAAATCATACTATACATATTACACACGTGATCAGCCTCGTGCCTGCTTCATCCCTTACTCGGGCTTATAGACGATAGAGTTCCGGAGACTCGTCTCGGACATTGCTGCCGATGAGGACGTCAGTCCTCCGCCTACTTTGGTCGTGAACTTTGGCACTGGCCGCAGACGGGGGAGTATATACTGCGACATGAAGTCATTCGACTACTTGTTTTAGCTACCTGCCAACAGCATGCCTGCGGAATAGGGCGTGTTTGTCAGGACCCCATATCTGGCTACCGCTGCATCATGGTTTCTTTTTGTGCCTTGGCAAAACAAGGTGCTGCTATAGCCCATCAGCGAGAATTTGAATCCATTTCACATGGTTGAGCTACAGACGAGGGGTTTTTTTTTTTTTTTTGGGCAATGTTTGCATTGATTCTCCCCTGCTTCGTATGTGACTTCACCCATTGTTTTTGAGGCAGACTGCATTGTAGTCTCAACTTGCCAGGCAAGCTGCGGACAGCCAGGGTCTTTTCTCATATTTTATCTCTGGGGACGCTTTGAATATAGTCTTCAATGATTTGTCGAACTCTAAGAGGCCACATATAGGCCACATATCATCGCTCCACGACTTCAGGTGCAGCAACTACAACTGCTGTCCAGGTTGTTAGGTGCAAGACCGTTGTCATCCAGCTCGACTCGTCTTTCTCCTTGACAATAGTCACTAAGAGAGAGGAACAACCTGTTTGCAGAACTTTGAGTAGTTAGCATTGAAACAGCATTCATACACCATTCCCTTTTGCTAGTGTTCTCTTCATTTGAAATGAAAATTTCATGATATCAACCGCTATTCTCACTCATATGTCACAAAACGTAGACACGACATAACGAGCATTCAAATATTCAGAGCTGCAACTCGAGAGTTTCCCAATCTTGTGGCCCCCATAAACATCTGAACCCCATTTGCCTCCACACAAAATCCCAACGGACTCTTTTGGCATACCCAAGCGTGGGCGTTGCAGGCCCCTCAAACATTCTCAACCTCAAACACATCGTGAGTGATGCCTGCGCGGCAGGATATAGACACAACCAGAAGCAGATTCTGTCACTTACGGCCATAGATGGTAGAGAATTCGGGATCCCGTCCGCTCTCCCATAGACAAACTGCCAATCGCCGAACTAGTACTCAGGTCGGTGACGACTGGGGAATCCTCGGTGCTGTAAGTTTTTTTTGGTTTATGTATTTTTTTGCTTTCTTTCTATGCCGACCCAGTCCTTGTATTCTTCTCAAGGAGCAAGGAAGAATCGTAGAGTTGAAGCAGAGAAAGGCACGGTGCCTTCCCCCGGGAGCAAGTCTCGGAAAATGCATATCAGAGCCCTTTCAGAGACTCCATTCCAGGGACTCGAGTGTATATATCCAGCCAAGTAAGTAAGAATTAGTCAAGGATGGTTTATATCTATCAATACAGCCCCGCCCCATGCTCAATATGGACATCATCACCACTTCCCAACCTCTCCCGGCTTGGGCCTCTCCACGCGCACAATCTTGTCGCAGTTGAGCAGGCACAGCGGGTCCAAGGCCTGCTTGATCTATAGCGTGCAAAGTACTGTCAGCAAAGAGATATTGCAAGAGAAAGCAAAACGAGTCAGCAAACATACCTTTCTCATCGTATCGACAGTGTCGTCCCCAAGCTCGTGCGGGAGATAGTCCCTCTTCACCAAGCCGACTCCATGCTCACCCTAACACAATAAGATCACATTAGCAAAAGAATACCCTCAAGACGGGGGATAAGTTTGCACCAAATTCAAACCCCCAAAAGAAAAGGAAAAAACATACCGTGACCGTCCCCTCCATCTCGATAGCCCTCTTGACCATGCGGTGCACAAACTCCTCGGCCGTGCGGCGCTTCTCGTCGCCGTAGAGCAGGATGGTGTGGAAGTTGCCGTCGCCGACGTGGCCGACGATGGACCCGACGAGGCCCGTCGCGGCCATGTCGCGCTGCGTCTCCTCGATGATGTCGGGCAGCCGCGACACGGGCACGGCGACGTCACCCGTCCACACGTGGTCGCCGGCGCGCCGCACGGCCATGGTGCTCCAGAGCGCCTCCTTGCGCGCGCTCCAGAGCTCGACCTGCTCGGCGTCGGAGCGCGCAAAGTCAAACGTGCCCGCGCCCGCCCGCCGGGCCATGTCCCGCACGATGCCGACCTGCTCCTTGACGCCGGCGGCGGTGCCCGAGAACTTGAAGAACAGGGTCGGCGCCTCGCGCCACTGCCGCGACGTGGCGCCCGCCGCGTTGATGAACTTCATCTGCTTGTCGTCGAGGATCTCGACGGCGGCGACGGGCACGCCCTCGCCCACGACGCGGGCGACGCAGTCGGCGGCCTCGCGGATGGAGCCGAAGGACGCGACGGCGACGCTGGTCGAGGCCGGGCGCACCGTCAGCTTGAGCGTCGCCTCGGTGACGAGGCCGAGCGTGCCCTCGGACCCGATGAAGAGGCGGGTCAGGTCGTAGCCCGCCGAGCTCTTGCGCGGCCGCTGGCGCGTCTTGATGACGGTGCCGTCGGCCAGCACGACCGTCAGCGACAGCACCCAGTCGCGCATCGTGCCGTAGCGGTAGGCGTTGGTGCCGCTGCACCCCGTGCCGATCATGCCGCCGATCATGGCGCCCGGGCCCGGGTCCGGGGGGAAGAAGAGGTTGTCCTTGGCCAGCTCCTCGTTGAGCTCCTCCCACCGCACGGCGGGCTGGACGACGACGTCGAGGTCGTCCTTGTGCAGCCTGACGATCTTGTCCATGCGGCCGAAGTCGACCATGATGCCGCCGCGCGTCGGCGCGTAGTGGCCCTCGAGCGAGGTGCCGCCGCTGTAGCCGACGACGGGGACGCGGCGCGTGTGGCACACCTTCATGATGGCGGCGACCTCCTCGGTCGACTTGGGGTAGACGACGCAGAAGGGCTTCTCGTCGGGCCCGTTCTGGTGGGTGGACCACTCCGAGGTGGCGTGGGCCTCGGTGTCGGTCGGCGTCGTGTTGACGTTCTCCTCGCCGACGATGGCGACAAAGTCGGCCCAGGCGGCCTCGAGCTCGGCCTTGCCCGTCCTGTGCTTCGGGGGCCGGGTGGCGCCGAGGGGGAGGGTCGAGTTGGGGTCGATGTCGCGCGGCAGCTTGGTGCCCATCCAGTAGCAGAGGATACCGGCGAAGAAGACCACTGCAATTGGAAGAAGGGATTGTATTAGTGGATGCCATCTGGGCCGACAAAAAAAACCCTTGTCCGCATGCATGAACAGTTATAACGTACTGAAGGTGGTGGCCGCATTCCTGCTGGATGCATTCTCCTGCCTCTCCTTTGCGATCCGCTCCTGGTCGGCCTTCTCTCTCGCAATACGGGAGCTAATACTCTCAAGCATCTGGCCCTTGAACGACGGCTTGTCGTCGGTCGAAGCATGCCGAACCGTTGAACCGGCCAGGCTGGTAGCGGGAGGGGTGGCGCCGCATCGTGGTCTACTGGCGATGGGCGCAGCTCGAGTTCTCAAGCTCCTCGCCAGAGCTGAGGACGCCCTGTTGCCCAATTGCGACATGGTCGGGATTGTCGGAGCAGTTCAGACACGCCTTCAGATCGAAACAAACCAGTTGCAAGGCCTCCTCCCTGTGTTGTGTCGTCTGATAGACAGAAGAATGAAAGATTTGGTTGGATTGAGAGAGGCCGGAAAGCATGGACAACGGCCATGGGGAAAAAGAGAGTTGGATTGGAGCCGACTTTTAAGTGGTCCCCGCTGGCGCATTCCAGAGCTCACGCATTTAGAGCTTAAAGTAAGTTGCGACAACCCAGGGAGGTACCTATCCGCCCCGGCAATGGCTTCGATTTAAGCCGAATGCGTCCACACCATTCCCGGCGGTCTTGGACCAAAGCCGAAAATCTAGCCTATCATGTCGCAGCAAATGCGAGCACTCCTAACCAAACATCCTCCGAACCCAGGCCCCCGTGTTGACACCAGACTGGCAGTCGATTCACGGTCCCCGATCGACCTCTCGTCCTATCCGCGATCGGGCGTCGTTATCTCCCGCTGGGCTCGTCCCATTGACCTGTGAGTAATCAACATCCGGCATACCCGCAAACCCATCCCGCACATCTGGTTGTCCTTTACCGAGGATCCAAAGGAGTCGGGTCAAAGGAATAGTACCCTGCGTAGATGAGAGATCACTCATTGTGCACGTTGATCAACCGGAATGTCAGACTGTTGATTCGACATACGAGGGTCATGATGTGGCCCGTCTATCACAAGTAGATAATTACAGACTCGTGGCTTGGATTCTCCTCTCTCCCATCCATAGCCGCGTTCCCATGTTGACTGCCTTCACTACTCTCCACAACTCATCCTCCCCGCAGGGCATTTCGTAAAAAGGAAAGTACACATTCTAATCCCATCCGGTCAGAGGTGAGAGCTTATGTGAAAGATGATCATCGCTTGTAGGACAGAGAGGGAGAGATGTCCCAGAAATCACAAATAAAAACACGGTCCGCCATATAGCAACGTAAACGCAATGGAAGTCCCGCCAACCCTCTCTCACTCAAAACAAATCTATTGACCACTTCCCGTGTCCTCTCCGATACATCATTTCCATGGCAGGAAATGCTTTGACCAGCCGTCGGTCTATGGGCTCAAGTCGAGCAGCCAAGAGAAAGACACCACACGGTCAGAAGAACTGATACCCCCGACAAGAGGAGAAGAAAGGCACGCAAAAAGGTCAAATAGCCCACACCAGATGTATTACAAAAGACTCGAGGTATAGAGTAAGGGATGTCTTTTTTTTGGTCTTCAACTCGTACAGCTGGGAGGGTAAAAGTAGTAGTTGTAATGGGTAGGTAGTTAGGAGTGACGAGAAGAATGGAAAACGGAGGGAAAAGATTTCAGAAAGAGGAAAACAACTTTGGAATATGCCGACATTATCTTTCTTGCTTGCAAAAAAGTTTCCCGCTCAAGATCGTGAATGAACGCCCCTATAACGACATGATTGTAATCGGTACTCCGTCGACGATGATGGTGCGATGATGGGGGGTGGTGTGGCCCGTCGACTCAGATCCTCTTCTTGATTCTCTCAAAGGGGCGAGTCTGCCGGTCGTGGGTTATGCGCATATGAAGTGGCGAGAAGGTATCCATCAGTGCCTTTCGCAGGAAAAATCCGCCCTTCAACAAAAACAACTCCATCCTCCGCCTCATCATCTATCCTCTCCGCCTCTCGCCTTGCCTCTCCTACGGAAGAAGTCCATCACTCTCCGCGCGGCACCACTGCTCCCGCTGTGATCGTGCTGGCGCGAGTAGTCATCCGTGTCGTACGCATCCCTGAAGTGCTTGTTATTCTTCTGGAGGACGCCACGGTGCTGTCCGGTTCTGCTGGTCGAGATCCTGCCGCTGCTGTCTTGCGGCTGCGCCTGCATCGGGTTGTCGTATCCTCCAGGAGCAGTCGAGTATGGCGCTGACCTCGGCGGCCGCTGCTGCTGCTGCTGCATGTTGTCAATGGACGAGTCCGACCCAGTGTTGAGCACTGCACCCTGCTGCATGTAGTTCGGAACGCCCGAGGGTCTCTGCTGGCGCTCGTACTGTCCAGGCGCGAACCGCTGCTGGTGAGGGCTAGATTGACCAGCGGCAACGGCAGCCTGCTGAGGATCCTGGAGCTGCGCGAACATGCCGTCCAGAGCCACAGCATCCATCTCACCACCGCCGATAGTCTGATCGACATAGCGACCAGACTGGCCCGTTCGAGGAGGCTCCTGGATAGGGAGATCCGCTTGGGATTCAGGTGCTGATGGATAGTCCTTGCCGATTCCGATGGCCTTGAGCGAGAAAGTGCCGGGAAGCAGCGAAAAGCGCCTCGTGTGCTTCTCCTGCGACGTCTGCGAACCGGAGATACTACCAGACCGCTTCTTGCCGAGTCCCATGGAGAAAGATCGCCTGGACCGCTTCGATTCCATCGACGGACGAGGCTCATTGTCCAGTCCAGGCATCGTCGCCGACATGCTGACGGGCGGGTACTTCCTCGACTTCTCAGCTGCCGCCTGCTGCTCCGTTCTCTTGCGGTTCTTGCCCCCAAAGATCGAGCCGCTCCGTCCAAACAGCTTCCCGCCGATCTCGCCAATTGTGTTCGAGCGCCGGTGGCCTTTGTTCTCTCCGCTTCCTTCGCCTTCTGCCGGGAAGCCAGCGATCTGTCCGAATTTGGGCGGCACGCTGATGCTGGGTCGTCCATAGTCCATGCTCTGTTGATCCTGGGGCATGGGACCAGAAATCACGTAGTTCTTAGATCCCTTGGGCTGTTGGATTCTGCCATGGACGTTAGTTCCCGCTACGGTAGGAGGAATCGGCTGGCCGTACGACGCTCGGCCTCCTGCACTCAATCCCCTGGACCCAGTCGAACCCATCGAGCCACCCGTGTTCGGTCTCGCGCCGGATGCCCCAGCAGAAGTCATGTAAGCATAGTCGGATGCTGCGCGCGCACCGTCGCGGCCAGGCCGTGTCGGAGGAATGTTCTGGTTCCGGTGAGCACTCGGAGGCCGCCTGCCGTCTCGCGACGACTTGGCATAGGCGTCCTTGGAGACAGGAGGGTCTCGCGGCAAGGGCTTGTCGTTGGGAGACGTCGGCGACGTGACCTCGACGGGCCCCTGGCTGCCGGAACGTGCGCGCGTCTTCCCACTGGAAGAGTAGCCTGGTTCGCCTCGCTGCGTTGCCGTAGTTGGCGGTACGTATTCCACCTGGACCGTCCGCCGCTTGTTGTCTCTCTGCTGCTTCGCATAGGCGGCTGCTTCGGCCTCGGGGTCGACATTGCCCTGCTTGGTAGCGAGCCCGCCAAGTGCGGTAGAGGCAGCGGCCCTCTTAGAAGCCTCTCGCACGGACGCGCTACGGCCGAGCGACGGCTCATCTTCGGCTGGAACCGTGGTGTTTTGGATCTCACCGGGCGTGGTGGTGCTGCTGGTGATGAACTCGACGACATGAGCATATTCACTCAGCCAGCTGTGGCGTGCCACCTCAAAGAGGTCGGCGCGTTTTCGCGGGTTGGGGACCAATATCCTCCGTAGGAGATCCCGAGCATGAGGTGTGACGTATTCAGGGAAAGTGAGAGGCGTGTTGACGATGTACTTGTAAAGAAGGTTGATGTTGTCGCCTTCAGGGTTGGCCGGGTCATCATCGAACGGGAGGTAGCCCGCAAGCATTGCATACTGAGCATGATGGTTAGCAGAAATTCGCCACATCGGAAGCAATCAGTATTTCTTACCAGAATAACACCACAGCTCCATACATCGACCTTGCGGCCCGTGTAAAGCGAGTCACTAACCACCAACTCGGGCGCGGCGTAGCAGGGACTTCCACAGCTCGTCTGCATGAGGTCTCCTTTCCTCGAACCATTGGACTTGAGCTTGTCCAAGCCCACCCGCTTCACAAAGTCGCGGTCGGAGAGGTTCATCTCTTCCTCCTCTGATAGCTCCTCATGAGGGTCAAAAGTATTGGCAAAGCCAAAGTCGGTAATGATGATGTTCCGGTTTCGGTCGAGCAGCAGGTTCTCCAGCTTCAGATCTCGGTGCACGATACCCTTCTTATGTAGGTAGCCCACTCCAGACACGAGCTGGGCGAATAACCTCCTCGCGGCATTGTCCTTAAGATACCGGTGGTTCAGGATGTAGTCGAACAGCTCTCCGCCTGAGGCATACTCCAACACGATACCATAATGTCTCTCGGACTCCTCCATCTTATGTAGTTGGACAATGTTGGGATGCCGTAGCTGCTTAAGGATGGCGACCTCACGCATGATCTTGGCCATGCGCGAAGGGTTGCTACCAAGACTGTCTTTCTTAATGAGTTTGATGGCGACCTGGACAAGAGTCAGCGTGCGCACATGGACGAGGTTTGCTTCTTCAAAGGGGGCGTACCTGAACTCCACCTTCTTGTTTCCAGCCGAGCTTGACCTTGCCAAACTCGCCTTCACCGATCGTGTTGCCGAGGATGTACTCGCCAAACTTGGTCTGCTTCTCCCGCTTTGAATGGTCGTGCCGACTACGTCCTCCACGTCGAGCATCCTCTCCCGGGTCCGCGGCGCTGGCTATGGGAGGTGGTATAGCGTCATCGTCATCGGGTGACGTTACCGGGTGGGCCGGTTGAGCCATGGCCATCCGCTCCCTCTCCCGTTCGATATCGACTTCAGGCGATGTAACAAGCATGCTGTTTAGAATCTCGCTCGTCTCCCGTGAGGGAACCCTCGCTGTGGATGCATCGGCGGTATTTCCTTGTGACCTGATAGGCATGGTCATGGTCGCGCCCTGAGTCCTGGCGTCCCGGCTGCTCCCGGAGCGTTGTGACTGCTCTTGCTGCGCCGGCTGTGTCCGTCGTCTAGAGCTCTGAGAGGCGGCCTCGTCAGGCGCGGCATATGTATACCCATTTCCATTCGCATCCCGGGTGCGCCGGGGAGAGTCCGTTCCCCTATCGGCCGCCTCCCTTGTGCGGCGCGAAGCACTCTGCTCGTGCCTGTTCGACGAGGTCCGTGGGGGTGCGACCGGCGGTGCATGTCTGCGAGACGAGCTCTGGTACTCGCCAGGCGGGCCCGGGACGGCGACCGGGGACGAGACAGCTGCGCGCGAGCTCATCGGGGAATCTGCAGCTGAGGAAGGATAGGTGTTGTTTGGGTTGTCGTCCCTGTGGGCGGGTCGACGCGAGGATGAGGAAGAAGTGGCGTTTGGCTGATTAGCATGATAGCCTTCGGGGGCCGGCGACGAATGAGACGACGTGTAATGTCGTGCGGAGGGCGACGAGGCACCTAAAGATGGTGCATTGAGCGAGGCAACTGTCTGGGGAGCAGATTGCAAGGCAGCCGAAGACATCTTCTACGCAGGGATGCGCAGAGAGAAGAGAAGGGGGCAATCGGTGACTTTGAGGCTCAAGCTGGGTTGACGTGACGGTGCAGCTGTGACTGAGTCTAAGCTGGTGAATAGGGCGCAAAAGCAACAAAGCACAACAAAAGAAGCCGGGGGTTGGTGGTAATGCGTGCAGACGTGCAACCGAAACCAGGGCACCGAATAGCGAGCCGCCGTGGTGAATGTTGACGTGAGACACAGCAAAGGTGCACCTGTTATCTCGACCCGGGCTAGCGGTAAAAGCTGGATGGATAGTATTTACAAAGGGATTGGCTCTGTGGACATTGTCGGTGCGCGACAGGCTGCGATGTTGTGGATGGCAATGCGCAGTGCTGATCGGCTCTCCTATTCGAGGTCCCCGTCGGCGGCGGCGGGTATGTCGGTGTCGAGCTGGGTGCTACTGCAGGCCTGGACGCGACAACAAAGGCGGCCAAGGGGCGTCGGGAAACGTGATGTGTCGTGTTTTGGGTCGCAGCCAGATGTTGCTCAGCAGTGGATGGGCCGTTGCAAGCAAGCCAATTATATCAGACGGCGGCTCAGGAGCGAGAGCAGACGAGAGATCAGACGCGAAGCCAGGGGCGCTTGTCGTGCCTCGGGCCTCGATGAAGTCGTCGAGATATTTGTTGCAAAGCAGGGTCTCTGCTAGCACGTCGTCGCAGTGGTAGCAGGAGGACTGCTTGACCGACTCACTAGGGGACTCGGAGGACTCGAGAGCGAAGGAAACATTGAAGGGGAGAGGAGTGGGAGATTAGATTTGGGTGACTTCTCCCAATTGTTGTCCGTCAGGCAAGGGGGGGACCGCCTACAGTATTGTGAATGCGTGCGCGAAAGACCCTGGCGGATTTGGAGAGCAGAGAGGCACTAAAGTTACGGAGTAGTCGCTAGGTTCTGACGCTGTTCGTCCCTGGAGCGGGTCTCCCTTCCTTGGGATTGGGGGAGGGAGATAAAAGTATCAGAGTGGGTGTGTGGTGGATGCGGATGCAGCGCGGCCAATTTGACGAGATGAGCTTTGGGGTGAGAACCAAGTACCCGAGCACGCCCAGAGTGCTGTAAATTGGCAGCAGAGGCCGTCACTGCGGTACCTGCACCCGACGACGCTGGTTCCTGGGAGTTACAACGGGAGCTCTACCGAAACAGTGCTAAGGCGCACTAGCGATACCTCTAACCACAGCGGCCGGCCCCGCAAATGCTCGCGTACCTGAAATACAACCAAGATTGCAACCCATCAAGCCCGTCAGGTAGACTGCGCACTAACTAAGGTAAGTGGAAGAAACAACAGGCCTGCCTAGCAAGCACTGCACCACCTGAGCACCCAGCAGCAGTAGCACCCACAGCAAGTCCGTGGGTGCTGAGGTGCATGCTAAAATAAATGACGGCCATGCTCGTTTAATTATCCACTGCGGATCTACTTGTAGCGGGCGGCGCATCCTTGCAAGTCAAAACACAGACAGCTCAGGCCTAGCTCCACCCGAGCCAGCCAGGAGAAGGACGAGAAGGCCATTTTCTATGGGGATGGCAAGGGGGAGAGAACCACATCCACTCCACACTTTCCCAGTTGGTACCATGGCTCGAGAGCTGCTTTGCTCTCGCAAGATTAAACATGCAATGCACGATGCAGGGCAGATCGTCACAGCTAGACAGCCGGCTTCCTACGCAATATCTGCGCATTTCCTCTCTCCATCTTGAGACCGCCTAAGTCCTCGGCACCGTCCAGAACGAGCGGCTGCGGTCAGGATGCATTTGGCGTGCATTTCACCGCATGGGCGATCAAGGTTCCGGCTTGCCGACAGGCAGAAGTGCAACGGATTATATCCAAGATTTGGAGACCCAGGATATCAGCCATCGAGTCGGCCTGTTTTGCAATTCGCAATGCACATCGCGTCTCTCTATGCTGCCAGAATCAGCCGCAGCACGACTGTCGTTGCTTTCCCCCTTCCGAGTGATGACCGCTGTCGACGATACAACCCAGCCTCATCACAAGTTCATCTTATCGCGGTCTCTCTAGATGGCTGATTAAAGAATGCCATTGCTTTCGAACGAGAGAGTCCTTGTAAGTAAGTGCGTACTTGCCATTAGCTCGAAGCCTGTCCCCTTCCCACCATATGAACCTGGCCTAGTTTAACGTATCTCTCCGGTTAGTCTACTTGTACGTCTAGTTCTGGCCTATCCCGGCCGTGAGCTTGTGTGAGGTCCTACTGAACCACCGCGGAGTAGGAAAAAGCAAGTCGGCAATCTAGACCTGAAACCTCAGCTAGTGTCGCCCACACACAAGCAGCTCAAAAGGTGGTGCCTGGAGGAACCGAACCCCCGCGAGTCGTCGTCATAGACACCGACTCTCGCCTCACGATCCTCCGTGCAACTACTCAATAATGCCAGCTACCATCTCACCATACCGATCCACTTTGTTCGAGAAGGCCTTAACAAAGCCCGCGAAACACCAAGCGGCGGATCCTCGGTTGATCGAAAGTGCAAAGCTGGTGATCCTGGCGGTGTCGACATGCTATTCTTGAGGACTGCCACCGGAAAGGGAAATGGGGGCTAAAAACGTGCTTTACGTGGTGTACGATCTCCGTCGGTGGCTGTTGGCTCCCTGAATGGCTGAGACACGGTGCCTGACTAGTGGATCTAAAAGCAATGCATGGTGGGGAGGACTTGCAGGGGAGGGCCGGCTTGTGCGACATCCTCCATCTTCCCATCTTCTCCCATCCCTGGTGATAGTCCCGATTGGGAAACATATTCGTTTCCTTGTCGGGTGGTTTGCTGACTTGTTACTCTGTCAAGATAACAGGCTGTGACCGACCTCACCGAACTCATTGCACGTCTACAAGTACATCTGCAGATTCGGCAATGAGTAGCAAGGCTGGCGCTTCCCAAGCCTATGGACCGGCCAAGTTTTCTTGTGTGCATTGGGCAGAAACAGGGCGCATCGCATAGCGAACGCCATTAGTTACTATGCCACGTCATTCGAGCCGGCTGCCCGATGTCTACGCTCAGATAGCGCGCTTCCTCACTCTCCTCACTACGGCGCTGTTGGCGGCAAGCCACATTGCTTTGCAAGAAAAGCTGCGCTGATGCGGTTTGCATGAATCTCAGCTCCTTACCAGGTGGGCCATGCGTCTGCCCAGATCACCATCTTTCTCGTCTTGTTTCGATCTTTCTCAAGAGCTTCGCCTGATTCTGCAATTTCTTTTTTGGAGCACGGTCCACGATACCCAGCCAGAAGTTTCCCAGCTTCTCGCGAAGAAGCATTGATGACGGAGATGAGCGCGCCCATTTGGCGCAGGGGCCCCTGTCGTCTACCCCCAGCATGACAGGCTCCCAGGGCCCGGGAAACGAAACAAAAAAGTTTGGCGGCACCCCTACGACGGAGAGTAAGACAGGCGGATCCTGGCCGGCACCGTCGTCATCGGCCAGTCTGTTCGCAAGACGAAAACTCAAAACATCAAACAACTCTGATAAAAAGAGGCCTATTTTCTCCGCCCAGCATGGTACTTGGCCTTCCTGATGCCAGACGCGCAGCTGTCACTGTCACATCCTGCACGCGGGCGTCGCGTTCAGCAGTCTGATTCGCGCATTGTTTGCTAGCATTTCACGTGTCTGCCTTTTCATGCCCTTCCTGCTGCGTTGCAGCTATCCCATCCTTCGTTCCCCCAAGTGCCGCCCAATCGCGGCGTGCCACATGTAGAACCAGCCCGTTACGAGTGCAAGGACGATGATGGAACCCCGAACCGGGTCGCCGACGAAATCAGGCACTTTTGCTGCTCGGCGGATGTGACTCGTCATCGTCAGCGGAAATCTGATCCGGCAGTTGGGGCGCAGTACCTCAGCCCAACCGCGGCATCTATCCAAGAATTCTTTTAGTACTTTGTCATGGGCTTGCTGTGATTCTCCTGTGCTGGGTGTGATATGTACTTAGTTATGGATCGTCACGGAAGGCACGCGTGAAAATCCGACCTGCGCAGTAAGATGCATCGCGACTCGCTGGCAGGCATGTTTGTTTCATGCAACGGACGGGGAGAACACGGCGGCACCATGCAAACAAAACGATGGCCGGGGAGAGGGGGGTCACCGCATGCCTTGTTGGCAAACTCCCTTCGGCATGTCCGAGAGTGACACAGGTCCCGGCAGGCTGGGACAGGGGTTTCCCGCACTTCCAGGCCTTCAAGCGTGGGGAGGAAGGGAAAGTGAGTGTGTGTCAGGGGTTTGTATGTATCTTCGCGAAGTAGAGGTCGAAACAGTTCGTGGGTACGTGTTCATGTTGATTTCATGTTGATATCTTGAAGGATTAAGGATCAACTCACACCATGACGGGTCATGCACCTAGACCGGCATGCTGACCTGGATCTGGATGATGCTCTCTATGGGTGGTATCCGGTTGGGTATCCTGATCATTCGGGTTCTCCATCCATCTCTCACCAGCAAATATTGAAAAGAAAATGAAGTAATGCGTTCCCAAGACATGAAGTCACCACCTCCCTTCAACAGGCTCAGTAGCACAGCTCCCAAGGGTGCTTTATTGCCATTTCTCAGTGTCTATTATTAGATTTCCAGGCAACAAAAACAAGTGAAACAAATCCAATATGCTTTTTCTAATTTCCTGCCCTGTCAAACCCGGGCCGCCAAGTTGATATATCACAAAAAAAACAAGCCCTCTTTCTCCGGCTCCGGCTCCCCTGCGCTGCGCTGCACTACAGCTTTATTGAAATATCATACATGTCCAAGCCCACCGCAGAGACGGTCAGCACCAGCGCGTACGCCACCAGGATGCCCATCGCCACCGCGGGCCCCACGTCCAGCGTCGGCACCGTCAGGTTCACGGCGCCCGTCAGCAGGTTGGCCACGAGGAAGACGGCGAGGCCGTTGCGGTTGTACGCGCGCAGCACCCTGCTCGTCGCCGCGTCGTACGCCTCGCGCTCGGCGCGCCCGTCGGCGGCGTTGTAGAAGGCCGGGAAGAAGAAGGTGTCGACGGCGGCGCAGGCGAGGATCTGCGCGAGGTTGAAGGCCGCCACCCACAGGACGTAGGGCAGGTTGGCCATGCGGCGCGAGACGGTGAGGCCCGCGCCCCAGCGCACGTCGGTGGCGAGCAAGTACAGGCCCGTCCAGACGGCGGCCCACACGCCGGTCATCATGAGCGTCGTGAGGCGCTGCGTGGCGCCCTTATCCTTGCTGTTTGGGTTCAGGCTGCGGGGCAGGACGAACATGCCGGCGTCCTGGCCGGCGAGGAAGATGGCGAGGTACCCGACGAAGCTGAAGATGCCCTCGCGGTTCATCGAGATCAGATCGACGCGCGGGGCCGTGAGGATGTAGGCCTTGAGCCCCGTGCTCTCGAGGGCGACTTGGTAGAAGACGCCGAGCAGCAAGGCAAGGGCGGCGTACGAGGGCACGATCTTGAGCATCGACTGGAAGACGGCGACGAAGGGGGGCAGGAGGCCCAGGGTGAAGAAGAAGTTCCAGTGCACGCCGTATTCGGCGACGTGCTCTACGTAGTCGACGCCCTTGACGCTCAGCAGGCGGATGAAGCCGAGAGCGAGGAGGGGCAGGGAGTGGCGCAAGGAAGCGACGAGGCGTTTGCTGAGCGGTGTGGTCTTGCCGCTAGCGCGTTCCTTGAGGACTGGCCTGGCCGCGACGACGCCAGACGAGAAGACGAACGAGCCAACGCCGAGGTCCATCAGTGACGTACCCCATGTCTCGACCTTGGCGAAGCGGCGGGGGAAGACCTTGAAGTCCACAGCAAGGATGGCGATCGCGGTGCTGACCATCATCCAGCCGCGATAAGTGGTGATGTAGGGTTTGATAGACAGGACGTTCAGGGGCTCCGTCCCAGAAGCCTTGGAAGCGGCATTGGGGGGCAGCTTGGGCTTCTTTCTGCTGCCGCCCAGGTTCGGGGGCAATGCATAGATCAGCACGGCTGGGGCCAGCAGAAACAGGTGCAACAAGGTAGGTGAGCCAGAGTGCAGAGTAAAGGCGAGGAGGATTGCCCCGACGTTGAGCAGAAAGTCGACCACGAACCCCAGCAGGGTGTAGGGCTTGAAGAACGACTGGCGTGCCTGCAAAACAGACCAGAGAACCATGGCTACCTAAAGTAGGCAGACAATCAGGCACTGAAGAACAGAAGCAGCTGGGATGCCGGGAACTCACCGTGGCGATAGCTGTCACATTGGATATCTCGCTAACGGGCCCGCCGGAAAGGTTGGACACAAAGTCCTCCTTCCGCTGGCGGTAGCTCGCGGTTGAGTTGGACATGGCTGCAAGACGGGAGATGATCAAAGAGGGAATAGCATGAGAGGAGAAAAAGAAAAGAAAAGAAGATCGCTTGAGCCAGAAGGAGATTCAAGGAGGCTTAGGACTGTGTCACACATGGACCGCTTTCGGTTGTTGAATGAAGCTTCAATAGCCAGCCAGTGTGAACAGCTGTCAATCCGACCTGTCAGTCGCCATGCCCGGGTAGTTACCGGGTAGTTAACTCTTTAGTGGCGCCGGGAGGTCCCCTGGAACGGTTGCCCAGGTGGTCATAGCTCCCCTATCGTACTCCGTAGAATCCGTAGAGTATCGTGAGGGTCCCGCGGCCCAATCAGCAGCAAGGCCAGTGCAGTTGACTACATCCTGGTCTCGAAATGGAACCAATCACGTGCGGCAATTTCATCTCCCTTCAACCTCAACCGTCGTCTTGCAGCACGATCCCTGACATCATGCTGATGAAACATTGCTCAGCTTCATGGCCGCAGTGGCTTTACCGGAATAAGAATGGAATTTCCCCGTCGAGCATTTTCTGTGGTACGAGTATGATACGTCACTTCCCATGGCATCACTTTGGAAATGGGCACTGGCCGGAGGGTGTGCAGAGGTAACTCGCTTTCTTTGATCTTTTCCTTTGTCCTTCTCGTACCACCGTACCAGAAGAGCGCTGCAACATTTCTTTGTCGTGCATCCCGGCACGAGACCTACTATCCCAGCTAAGTTGCTAGTGTCTTTCCTTCATTTTGACCTTTTGGCCTTTCGGCAATGTAGAGTGCCATACCATCGGTGTGAATCAATCAACGTGGTGTGGTGTTGTCTCAAAGAAACAAAACCCCCGGCCCTGCTGTCCTCAAACTCCAACCGCTTTCTGTGACTCGCAACTTTGTCTTGTAAATACTTCGGAACTCACCTGTTTAGTATACTGAACGATCGGCATTACCTACCGAATATTCTCAAGATAGTTCTATTGGTAAGAATGGACGTCCGAAAGCAGAGGCCTCCTAACTTGGAGCCTACCTGGAATGACCCTTTCCGACCTTACGACCATGATGGACACCCCAAGACCGCCTTCCGTGTTGCCCGCTCTCCTGGCCTCGCCCCCTCTCCCCTGACCCCCACTGGTTTTCCGATGCTCATGGACCACTCTGGCTCCGAGTATGATCGAGCAGTGGTTCAGAAGCTCGATCCTCGGGGCAGACCAACGCCGGTGGACGACAAGCTTGTCGACCCAAGACCGCCGTCGGCTGAGGGAACATGTTTGACTGCTGGACTGCGGGGTTTCACCGTTGCAACTCCAACCGACCCGAAGATACCCGACAAGGCGGCTGCCTTACTCAACAGGAATACCCTGCCCAAGCCGCCCACGCTCCTGTCAGAAACAAGATCCATCCTCCTCGCGGGCCTCTCAGACTCCAAAGTGAGCGCTCTTGTCTCCCCTGTCACGAGAGGACCTCCCGTTGCCAGCGCGCCCATCCCAGTGCCCCGTCGTGATGCATTCCAGACCCGTCAGCAGCTACGAGCTTGGGGCCACGTCTACCTTGGTAACGCGGTCAAGGCCGACGTATTCGTGACGCCGGTTGCTCTGCGGGACCGGAAACCCAGCTCCTCCGAGAGCGGTGACATACGCCATCCGATCAGCCCCGACGTGTTGACCGTTCGCGCCAGGGTGAGGCCGCGCTCCCTGCAGCGCAAGCCCTTCGTCATCCAGCGCAACTTCAACGTCGCCGAGCTGCGAGCCACCCTGCCCGAGCCGGCAGCCAGCTTGCCGGACCGCACGCAGCGCCGACATTCGGTTCAGCTGCCCCCGCGTGCTCCGCCGCACAGCACACGCCGACGTCCGTCAGTGGCTAGTATTTCTGTTCCGCCTGGCGTCCTGCCTAGCGTGGAGATGGGACGGGCCATGCTCCGTGGCAGCGACAATACCGTGCCTATCCGTAAGTGTCCTTGGATACCTTGCTCTCGGAGGTGAGTCATGCTGACCCTGGGGTGCAGATCTCGAATATGCCCGGATGCACCTCCCCATCCTTGCCGCCTTGATGATGTCGGGCCACATCGACAAGGGCGACATCATCGACCTCCCCCTTCCGCGACCAGAAGCTTGGGTACAGACAGTTGCTTATGTGTACACTGGCCAGGGAGAGGTTACAGAAGCTATCAAGCAGAACATCAGGCACCTGGCAGGCAGTGTTTGATACCTAGTGACCTCACTAAGGATGAAGACGATATCGGGAAGGACCTGTCTTTGTCACATTTTCTTTCTTGCCCCGAAAAAGAGAAGCCATGTATGGGAGGAGTTCAATTCTTTGGTTCGGTTTGCCGGCCTTTGTTTCGTGTTTCTGGACGGTAGCACAGGCATCAAACTCTTTTTTTCAAATTTTCACATAATCTTCAGCCAAGCAAGGTTCTCAAGTGCTTGGTCCTTGACACTTTCTCTTCCTTTTGGCGTACTAGAAAAAGGTTGAGGTCGGCGCGTCTCTTTGATGATGGTGCAACATGATCGCGTCACTCGTCATGCTCCTGCCTTTATCGACGGTCTGAATTCACTATTCCTTCCTTTTCGGAAGAAGGTGAGCCATGATCGAATGTTCTTTTGACTCATTCTTTCGATCCCGTGTCACAGGGTTACAAGTAGGACAGCGTTTAAGTATTCATTTGGCTTATTCAGTATGCCAGGATAAAGTCAGGGAATTAGAATCCAATCCCGTCAAGGCCTTCTCATCAAGACATCACAATTTCTTCTGCCTTGCTCCTGGTGCTCCGTTTGAAACCATCTACACCAAGTCCACTTCCAGTTTTCTCCTGCAGTCTTCCAAGCGCAGATTGACATCTCAACTTCAAACCCAGCAAGCCACAACTCACCTCCTCCACCACTCGCAATGGCGCTCGTCCAGCCCCTGATCTGGATCAACGGCTGGCCCGGCGTCGGCAAGCAGACCGTCTCGCAGTGCTTCACCGCCCTCGCCGGCGCCGACAAGGCCATCCTCATCGACAGCTACCAGTTCACCGACCACCTCGACCTGCCGCCCGCCGCCCTGCACAGCCAGCAGTCGAGCCAGCCCGAGGTCGGCCTCGTCGACATCGACGGCAACAACACCACCGCAGACTTCCCGACGCCCGAGGAGCGCGAGGAGCAGCGCCGCGCCCGCCGCGACGCCTGCTTCGCGCGCTACGTCGAGGGCCCGGACTCGCTGGGCCGCGCCGTCATCTTCACCGACTGCCAGCCCGACGACGCGGCCGGGCGCGCCGAGGCCCGCGAGTACGAGCGCGCCGCGGCCCGCGCCGGCCGGCCCTTCGCCCCCGTGTACCTGGCGTGCGGCGAGGAGGAGCGCCGGCGCCGCGTCGGCTGCGCGGCGATGCGGCAGGGCGGCAAGGCGAAGCGGTGCCTGGCGGCGCGGGCGGCGCGGTCGAGGGGCGGGGGCCGCCTGTTCCGCTTCGAGGGCCACGAGGGCCTCGTCGTCGACGTGACGGAGCGGACGGCGCACGAGGCGACGATGGAGATCCTCGTGTTTGTCAACGTGCTCATGGAGAGGCTCGTGCGGGAAGGGGAGGGAGAAGCGGCGGGAGTGTCGAGCGAGGTGTGCACGCCCGTGGAGGGGAGGGAGCCTGAGTGGAGGGAGGTTGGGGGCAGGTGATGAGATCTCCCCGGAGTAGAGGGGAGTGTTGTGTTACTTTGTAGGATAGAATGAAGGGGCTTTTCGAGAGCGTGCAATCTCTTGTTGCCATGGATCTCTTGTGAATGGGGGAAACAGGTTGCTGTGCGACCTGATAGGGAGGGCGAAAATCTCAGCTCTTCTAATAAGTAGTCTACGATATTTTTCAAACAAGGATACAATTAGCCTAACTTGGCTACATGTCAGCTCAGGCCTGAGTCTCTAGAAGACACTAGATGTTGTTGTTGTTGTTTGCGCTGGTCTTCCTTGTAGTGTCTGTGTTGCCAGAGACACATCATCAGGGGCTTGTGTTCGCCCTTGCAACTCATCCAAGCCGGCCTCTCTAGGCTGGACAGCGCTGCTGACCCCCATAATAATGCGAGAGTTCTCTAGTATCAGACTGTCAGAGTATCTCCTCATGTTGATGTCCCTTGAAATCAAGGAACTCAATACATGTGATCATCGCATGGTCACGAAACAGGGGAAACACTACACTGCAAGGCCAAGCACCAGAGAGCAAAGGCCAAAGTCCCCATCAGGGAGGTTCCCCTCGGCCGGCAGGCCGGATAGCTCATCTCAACGGCCTCTTCCATGATTCTAGCCACGCCCCCCTCCCCCCAAATCCAGGGAGAACCCTCCCGCCAGCATTAGCGGGTAGACCTAAGGCCAAGCCAGCAGATATGCACGTAATTCTGCATGACGCACGCTCTAGCAAGGAGGAACTGACAATCAAAGACTGAGAAACGGGAAGGAGGAGAGAGTAGTGTGTGGGAAACGAAACTGATGCTCACCTAGCTTCTTCTTTTGTTGGAGTTGGGATGATCCGACTTGTTCTCTCTTTCACGTACATACGCAAGCAAGGGGGGGGGGGGGGGAGGGTCTGTCGCTCCGTCATACCCGCCCTCCACTTCTTGCGCCTACACAGCTGTACACACGAGGTGTGCAGATCCGAGGAAGACACAGAAGATCACAAAGGTAAAGGTGGTATTTTCTTCTGTATTTTTTTTTGTCTCGGTTATCGTGTTCGTTTTCTCTGGATGCTGCAGGTGTTTCTTATTCTGGGCGTGGAGAGAGTGGAAAGCGGTTAGAAAAGGAGGGTGGGTACGGCTTTGCGCCTGCATCGGAGGTCCAGGGCCCGGCTCCGCACTCGTCGTCCAAGAGAACCTCGGCCGCCGGAGCCGCGGGTGGCGCTCGCCCGTTTTGCCTCGTCGGAGTTGAGAGGAGGGAAAAGAGAGGGAGGGGGGGAGGGAGGCAGGGAGGAGGTGCCTTGCCTTGAGGAATCTGTGTCACAAATCTCATTCTCTCTTCCTGCTGCCCTACCTCGGGATGATATCTCAGTGTCTCATTGCAGGATCACATCACCTCACCACATATGGATGGGGAAACGAAAGAAGAAGGAGAGGAGGGTCTTGCTGCTCATTATTGACCTGTCCCGGTTCGGCGGTTCCGATGTCATAATGGCTATTGATGTTCCTTTTTGCTGGCCACACCAACCAGACACAGTGAGAGGGTCACTCCAGATACGGATCGTGTTTGACGTGCCGGGACACCGTCCCGGGCCAATAGCCACGGCCCTCGACCCTTCTTCGTTTGCGAGGACGTGCAGTCGTGTGCTTCTCCTTGTGGTGGTGGCGGAGGTGGTGGAGTGGGTTTTGCTGCCAGTCATCTCTGGGCGGAGGACGATCGCGGTGCCAGCGAGGCTGAAGGGCTGGACGGGAATAGTAGGGGGTAAGGGAATGGATGTGTGAGGATGCCGTCATCATTCGTGTTTTGGGAGTTTCAGCGGGCAGTTGTCTGGGGTTAGCTGAGTGAGCTATGGGTCGAAACACACTGCTGCGTTAGGATCTCACCCCCTGAACAAAACTTTGCTCATCCCTGGGGGGCTCTCTCTCTCTCTCCCATTCAGCCCAACGCGCTCGCTCTTCTTTCACACTGCTTCACCAGCACTTTACCGATATCGCCTGCCGCGCCTGTCAAGTCAAGGAGGGAGCCCCCATCAACCCTCGTCTCCTCCGTGTGAAGTTTCCAGCCCGCTGCAGTCTGCATACGTCGTGGGGGGCCGGAAACGGACCATGTTTGCATCAGCCAAAACTGATGTCTCATATTCCGGCGTAGCATTCCCCCAAACCTCAGCATGAGAGGCGTCCTGTAGGTTGACAGAGGCCTCGCCCTGATTGGCAATGACGGGCGTCCTTGTTATGTATATGTGCGTGCGTACTGCTTGCGTATGTAGTGTATGTAGTGTTGGTGGGTGTGTGTTGTGGTTCGGCCGAGAGGAGCCCACGCATCATACAGGAGGGACCTGAACGCTCCCTGCTTAGCTGCCAATCCACAACGGGACGGCGTTGGCCGACTCCCTCTGGAAATGTACCTCCCATGCACATACATGGCGAGGCGCGCATATATGTACAGCCAGCCCGTCCGTCTGAGTATGTGCAGCGAAGTGTGTCTATGCAATGCATGCAGAGGCAAGGGAAAGCACCATTACCGGCTGGGGGAAATGCTCGTTTCTTTTTTTTTTCTCCTATCACTTTTGCCAGATTCGCGAAGGCCCTTCCCTGGTTTGCCCAGTAAGAGGCAAGCCCTCACAGAGCTACTGCTCAAACATTGTGCAGCAGCCACCAGGCATGCAGTATGCGCTGCGCAAGGGTTGATGCTTGACGCAAGCTGTAGAGACAACACACGCCCTTCAGGGTAGACGGGCCTGAGAACGGCAAGCGTTGCGTCGTGGAGAACCGATATTTGTGTGATTCAACATATGCAGGCAAAGGAGTTGAATGGGGGCCGGCAGTCGAGAGAAGTCTTCCAAGTTCCCGAGGTACCTCTGAGCGGAAGGGACTTGGCCGACTTAGCACCGAGCCGGGAACAGGACTCAACTACTTGTACACGATAATGGTGCTATTGGAGCTGAGGGGGACCTCTCAGCTTCACGAGCCAAGGAAGATGCCGTTTCTGCATCGTACTGTAAGCGTGGAGCCTTGCAAAACGGGAGGGTCTTTGGTCTTGGATTTTCATGCATGTAAAACATTATGGCGCAAGAAAACAGGAACGGCGCGTTCCCACAGCGGAGTTTGTTCTCCACGACGACCCTGCTTTTTTCGCGAGAAAATGCCGGTTCTCGTTGCTTTTTCCTGCTCCCTCCCATTTCCTTTCCCCGAATACCCGTTGAAGAAGATCAGTCCATGTCAATCGAACGGGGTGCTGAGGGGAAAAAAGAAACGTGAATGCTACAGTCAGTAGCAATGGAGACAGCCGAGAGAAGGAAGGAAAGCAACTTGGACAAAAGTACAAGTACACACACCCATCACTGCATACACACCTCCCTTCTCCTCTCCCACAGGACCGCTTCGTTTCTTGGCCCATCTACTCTCGGACTGGGGCCTATGCATCATCGTAGCTAGATCGGAGACGGGTTCCCTCTCAGATAAGCTACCGGCGGGCAACAGAAGAGGGGAAAGTCGGTAGCTAAACGCCAGTGTCAGCAGGCAATTGCATCGTGTGTAGTGTGGGCGTGCGTGTGCCTCGGGTGTGTATGCCACTTGAAGCAAAAGGGCGTGTGTAGGTGCCATATCTCGCACGGGATCTTAGCCTGTCCTCGTAGTGCCCTTCTCACCCCCCCTTCATCGGGTTTCCAAGAAATGGTCTACGATCTAGAGAGATCACCAAATCGCAAGGCAAGTCAGCTGGGCTTATGCGGGCCACGATCACTGGTGCCCTTGTTCTATCTCCATCCTCTGGTCCCTTTTCTGGTCCTGGAGGTCGCCCCCGAGGTGTGCTGACCTGGAGCTCATGTGCCTTCCCGAGATGGGATCGGCGAGGCCACGGCGCACGCCTCCCGGTGAGATTCAAGATTTGGAACCCAGCAAAGGCCGTGGCATTTGAGCGGGGTGTTCTTTGCCCAGTGCGCCTGCTTTCCATCTCTCTCTCTCTCTCTCTCTCTCTCGATGCCATGCACCTGATCTCATTACGACCCAAGAGTCGTTCGATCGGACGAAGTCCTACATTCGACCGCGCCAGTGTGGGAATGACCTGTCGTCAGCTCGATTACCCAAAAAGTCACGAAGCGAGACCAAAACGAGGTTTCGGCTGCACCGGTTTCCCAAGGATCTCTGGCTCGTCTGCCACAGGTCCCACCAGCGATGCAACGTCGATGAGAGAAGATGACAAGGACAAAGGAGAGAGAACGGCCGGCGTGCGGCCAGTGAGCTAGTTTGCAGGTATCACTGGTCAAACCAGTGTCATAAAGTTGGCAGCAATACCTACCGCAGCTAAGATAAAGGGGAATAAAGAAACGAGAGAAATGTCTTGCAATACCCACCTCTTTCCTCGTGCATGTGAGACATACATTCCTGCGGGCTATCTGGACGGACTGCCGTCTGCAAACCACTTCTCCCAGGAGCTTCGGACCAGATATACAACGCCTGGGTCCATTTTCGTACACAGGCCTGTAAGAACCAGTAACCTGAGAGGTAGAGAGGAGAGAGGGTGTGCGAGTTTTCCCTTGGGGATGGAGGTCGCAGCTCCACCAGCATGCATTGCATCTTCAGACGCAGGTCCGATAGGAAGCGGTTAAGCGCGGTCCTGCTAGCAGCATCGGTAGCATCGTGTGGTGGGTGCGGGTTAGCGAGGACGATGGGAAGAGAGAGGAGGGGAGAGACTCGCGCGCAACCTGCAGAAGAGGGACAGACCTGCACGTAGGGGCCGTACTGCTGCTGTCTTCTCTCTCTCTCTCTCTCTCTGACCTGGGCGCCCGGAGTATTTTTCGCCTTTGATTTGCTCTTGGTTTCTCGTGTCGGCCTCTCTGTCACAAGTGACATGACAGTGAGTGCCGGTCCTGACGTACGCATTGGCTTTCAATCTTGAGCTGCTTTGCCTGGTCGGCCGCAGACGCAGGTATGCATTTGGATGTACAAACAAGTACCCCTTCTGGAATTGCAGGTACCTTGCCTGAGGGCGTGGGTTGGCGATCGTGGATCGTAGACTGGGATCAGAGACGCGCTCGTGCCCTGGTCCATGTGTCGATGTATATGCGCACATCTTAATTCGAGCCAGCCACGGCATCGCAGGCATGGCAGCATGGCAAAGTGGCAGCGCGCAGCATTGCACCTGGAAATCGAACAATCCTCGGTGGGCTTCGACCTGGCATCCATGGATGGGAGAGCCAGAATGGAGTCCGTAGGCGGCCTTGGTGGAAACCAGTGCCCGCTACGGGGCCACTGGTGCCCTGCAGCTAGACAATTGCAGCAGGCGCGCTAGAAAGCACAGACCTAAGCCCGCCTCTCCTTTAGCCTCTGCTGATTCGGACGACAAATCCATGGATGGATACCTACCATCTCGGTGCACCCCCTCCCGCGTAGCATCTGGAGCGGCTCTTCGATTTGTACTTTGCAGTAGGTAGGTACTGATGCAGCCTCGATACATAGGGCTCTTTTCCTCTGCATCTGATATGATCTGCTCCAGCTTCGCTGAAATAGGTATCTAGGCACTACCTACGAAATAGGGCAATGCTCTCACAGCTTCGCAGCTGAGCTCTCGGGGCCAACATCGCGCGGCTCTCACTCTTACTTTACACTAAGGTAGCTGAGGTGGAGAGGGGGCGTGTTGGTGAAGGCGTGCAATCACGGCTTCTGTCGTTTGGTAAGCAGATGCTCTCTCCATTGCGCAGGTGCTCAAAACATGGTGAAGAAATGGGGAATCTGACGAGTCGTTCTTTGTCAGAGAAGAACAGCATGGAGCATTGAGAACATCACGTCCATCAAGGCAAGGAATTCAATCCAATCGTCCTCCCTCACACACATCACCAGAGTGGCTATATTCCAGAGATATCGCGTTCTGTCCTCGTAACCATGGGGTATGTCCTAGTATGTCCTGCCTCGGGCCAACCCAGAGCCTCGCTATCCTACCTGGCTACGTGGTCACATCGGGACCCCCTCTTTCTTTCTTTCTGTCTTTCTCTCTTGAATCATGACCCCTTCCGCCCTCAAGAACCGATAGCTATTTCCAGGCAAACTGCGGGGTTTCAACGCATGAAGCTCCCCAGCCATGGCGTGCCGCTCGTGGGTGGAACTGCGGTCCAGAATGGATACGTAGCCACCAGACTATCGGTGCTAGAGCAGGTAGAGGTAAGCTCAGGCCAAGGGTTCTTGACAGGGACCAGGTGAGTATGCCAGGAGGTGGGGAAGAGGGGGGGGGAGAGGGGAGTGGGAGGGGGGTGTCTATCGCCAGTGCTAAGGAATGTTGAGACAGGCATGGCGATCTGTGAGTTGATGACACACTCTACACATTTGGATTTGACGAACTTCGGTCACTCTTTTGATAAGTGCCAAGGAGGAAGAGCTGGGGCATGGAGAAGCAAGGAGACACGAGGCAGAACCAACAGTCAGTCGGGAAGCACGATGCGGTAGCCATCCCCGGATGCAGAGCTCGGCATTGGGCAACTTGCCTAATACGCAACGCATTGAGTATCAGATGCGCATGTTTTTTTGCCCTTTTTCCAACCCCGAATGTTGCTCCAGACAAGAGACTGGCACTCCCACCTTGAGTCTTTGGCGAGGCATATCGGATAGCAGACCAATCGAGAAAGGCACGTATCGACGGGAGACCAGGATGCGCCTCCCAGATGCGAGTGACGCCATACCATGACCGAGATCGACCTATGAAATCGCTCCAAAAGAGCCTCCAGTCTACCCAACGATTGAAAAAAGCCCGTGAGCACAAGCGTAAGAAAAGAGACCAGGCCGGACCATGCTGCCAGGGGTGGGCTTGTGGAGGGGGGTGGTGGTGGTGTGTGCAGGAGGAAGAACTGCCTGCCACCACTGCCCACCAAAGCAAACCATCCCAGATGATTGGTGGTAGTAATCAGATTCCCAAGAACAGTCGAGAGCAGCGACTCCATTGGTCGTGTGATAGGCCGTTTCTTGCACGGGCCTGCATACCTGACATCTGACACCAGGCCGTGTCCCACCCTCCATCTCTCCCTCTTCCTCCGTCTGCAGTTGTCAATATTTAGAAGGTCCAGTCGATGCAAGGCATCTGTATATGTATGTGTGTGTGCCTGGCCGGTGCGACGATGGAGGGTGCGAGACGGGTGACTTTCACAAGCTTTTCTGTCTCCTTTTGCATGAGATCAATAGAAACCCCCAAGACGAGAGAGGCTCAGTGATATTCCGCCATACATGAGCTGCTGTCGTGCAACTCCGGACGCGCTGTGTGGGTTGAGCGGGGTTTCACACAATTGCTTGGCCAGAACACCACTTCATCAATTGCATTTACCAATACCAATACAATATACTGTGCACGGCTCCGTTGGGGGAACCGTGGAGGTGATGGTGTGCTCACACGTGGGATGATGTCGTTCGAGTTGTTCAACAAAATCTGCTGCTGCTACTCTTCTACCCGTGTGTGTACACGTACTGTCAAGTGAAGGAACCAGAAACGAGCTTGTTTCGAGACTCTTGTTTGCCGGGACTGATTATTCTAGGATTAATCTGTCTATCAAGGCTTCCTGAGTTTCCCCAGCATCTAGACCATCTGCCATGCAGTTAACAATCTTTTCGCCCCTTCTCGCAATAAGCCCTCTCGGGTTCAATCAGTCCATTCCATGCGGAATGGGAAGGAAGACGAAGTGGTGTGAAGCAAAGCAAGACTGAAAAAAGAGAAATATGGGTGTTCTTGTATCCGGCTTCGACTGGTATACCGCCCTTCCAAAGCAATTTTTGTCAAATCAAAAGAACCATCCGAGATGGCGAAGTGTCCTATTCGCCCCTTTTCCGTGATGCCCCGCAGAGCACATTAGCCAGCCGACCCTGCATTACCACCCATTTGTCCATGTGGATTCCGTCACAAAAAAGAACGAGAACGAGAAAGCAGTAACAAAACCTCCTTCTTTGGAAAAGGAGGATGATGAGAGCGGGAGGAAAGAAAGAAAGAAAGAAAGGAGAAGAGCACCAAAAGAAAACTTTTTAGACACCGCTAATGCCTTATGAGAACACAACTCGCAGTGCTCGCATGCTCTGCTTTCATGAAGTGAAAATGCCGTCCGCAGCAGCTGTGTGGAATGAAGCAAAAGCCATCCACCTGCGCATCGTAGAGAGTGCTGTTTGTCCACCTCTCTCGAATAGCTCGTAACACCAAGTCGTGAGAAGGAAATTCGTCGAAAAAAACAACTGGGCCCCCTCTTCTTGTGACCTCTCGGTAGCAAACAAGAGTAGGTAGGTTCAAGGGTTTGAGGATGATGAGATTGCAGTCGATAGTGACTGGTCGAGGGTTTTACGCCTGACCAGTGACTAGGGTCGCCGGCTTCTCCGAGGTCTTGTCCCACGCCGGGGTCCGCTCGGAGACCAGGTGCTTCTCGTCGAGATCGCCCTTCAGGCCCAACTCCTCCCGCACATGATGGGGCAAGCCCGGGTGGCGGCCCGGGGGCGTGGTAAGGCTGGCGCTGCGCACGGGACGTGGAGTCAGACGAGACTCGTCGTTTGCGTCACCGTCAGCTCGGCTACCCCAAGACGTCTATAACGGAGCAAGCCGCCAAGTCAGCAATGCTGTCAAGATGGGTTGCGTGCTCAGGGTGAGACAAGAGAAAAGGGGTCGACATACCATTCTAAGAGTAAAGAGGGCATAGAGCTTGATGAGGCCGTGGAAGTAGCCAAAGACGATAGAGACAGGGAGAAACTTGATGTCGCTCGGGTTGCGCATGAACAATCCCATCAGCTTGACCACCTTGGTGAAGCCAAACATGAAGATGAATTGTGCCCAGAACGCATACTGTCGGCTTGCGAGCTCCCAGTTAGCGGTGGCCCACCAGCAAGAGGCGAGCAGGAGTGGATCGACGACGAAAGCTAGCGAGGTGAAGGTCGCAACATGGAGAGCGTAAGTGCACCATGGCTGCTGTCTGTGGATGAAGATAAAGTCAGTAAGGGTAAGCGCGAGAACCGATGCAATTGGCGAGGGTGTGACGCTGGGCGAGACAGGGGTCAGGAAGCTGGGTGTCCATAGGAGGACTAGGAAAATGGAAATAAGGAGAGACACCACTGGGGTGAGGGTGTGGGTGTGGAACAGGGTGCTGCAGGCAGGGGGTGAGAATGACAAAAAGATGAGGGGAGGATTGGAGGAGGGGCACAGAGGGGAGCGAGAAGGGGGACCAGTGAGACTAGGCTAGCTCAAGCTGGTTGGGTCTTACGCACTTCCACACATATTGCTCCGTCACGAGACTGGTCCAATTGCTTCGCCAATTGCTTCGAGCCCAGCGCGAGCACTGGTAGAGGAATTTCAGGCCATTCTCCAGGGTGGTCTCGAGCTCGCATTCCCGCTCGTATTGGATCCATGTCTTCCACTGGTGGCTGACCAGCCAGCGGGTCACGAAGTTGTCGTCGTCAGCATTGAGGATGAATTTACCCCAGCGCTCCGTCTTGAAGCCCTCCAGGAAGTCATGGCTTTGTAGGATCTCCGATCGGTAGGCGCCTGTGCGGCCTGACATGCACGAAGTGCCGCCGTCAATGTTATGGGTGGCCGAGATCTCAAAGTTGCGCCGCTCGATGTATGCCGCTCCGAGCCAGTTCCAGATGCGGGTGGACCAGTCGCCGTCCCAGACACGCTTGACCCTCTGGCAGGTGCCGACGCCACCGATCTTTGGGTCCTCAAAGGGAGCCAGAATCCAGTCCATCAGCTTCGGAGGCCAGGTGACATCATCGTCTGCCATGATGGTGATATCAGTGCGGACCTGAGGGAGAGCCTCGCAGACTTGGAGGCGCTTGTTGGCGATGTTGGTATAGAGAACCTTGATGTTGACTCCAGGAGCCTTGAGGGTCGCGGCTAGCTTCTCCAGGGCTTCCTTCTTGTAAACGGTCGTAACAAGGATCAGCTCGAACGGATTGCAAGCGAGGATACTCTGGAGCGAAGGTCGAAGTTCCTCGAACACATTATGAATGGTAGGAATGACAACGGTCACATCGCGCGACGTAAATCTAGGCTTGGCGGGGATCGGCTTGGACTTGTAGCGCCAGTGAGAACAGCAGTGGACCAGCAGGCGGACATATCGATGCAGCCTTGGAGAAGAGAATTGTTAGTGAGAATGCAAAGAGAAGCCGGAGGCCCTCGGTTTACTGACCATAGAATCCAGAAGGTGTAGATCCAGAAGGTGGTTGACCAGAGAAAGTCGAAGCGCGGAACGAATCCGTCCAGGCGAATGCCTGCCATGCTTAGACTCGAGATGGACATCACTGTTGTGATGCTGATTCGAGGAAGTTGGATGTGTCTTTGACACTCGGGTGTCTGTTTTCGCAGGTGAGAGGGATTTGGAAGTCGCAGAGGTCTTATGGTGATGGTTCGAGTTGATAAATTATGTAGGTTGAGCAAAATCTCAAGTCGAATTTTGCTGTTGTTCCGACCAGGCCTGATCGGAGAGGCCACTGGGTTGGGTTTTGTAGGTGGAGGGACGCCACACTAAGTCGAGGGGAGCAAGACGTGCTTTCGACTTGAGATTCGAGTGAAGGGACTGTCCCGAGTGAATATTCGAGTGAATTGACTTTGGTGTCAAGTGAATGCCTCGGGGTGAGGTCTGGGTGAGCTCAGATCTGAATCCACTCTCACATTCACTCTCACAAACACGTGCTGATAACTCTACCACAAAGAGATGGGATGAAGCTATGCCACAAGACAGGTGGGGTCTGAGGGCATCTGCCGCCGCTGAAGAAACGAGGAGAGCGAAACGACCGTAAGGTGGCTGTCAAAGGCCAGCTGGTGATGCCTTGGTTCGGGGCACCGCAGGCGTAATGTACACGAACGAGGAGAGGAATGCTCAACAGGGAGAAAATAGAGGCCAAGGGGTCGTCAATTGGCCTCCCGAACGAACAGACAGAAACAGAGAAGATGAGGGAGGAGAAGTAGTGGCATCCGGAAGATGTCGAGAGGAGGGGCGAGGACAGGATGGAATATATAACGTAGCCCGGCTGCGAGCGAGCTATCAACCTACATGTTTTGCCTATCTGCCTTTGGCAGCAGGACCTACGACGGAGTACGTACGTGATGGCCCATGCATTGAGACGTTTGCGGTTAGAGGGACGAATGATAATGCAAAGCCGTCCTGGAAGGCCAATTGACGACATGTACATGCCCAGTACGTCCTGGGCCAGGCAGGATACGTCGTAGCAGGTATGTAATATCACGTTGAAGAAGAGGTAGAAGAGAGACCAGACGAGACAGCGGGTACAATCTGTGGACTAATTGCACGCATCTTTTTTTTTTGGTCAATGAGGGAGGTGGGGGAGCATCCATGATCCATCAACTCCCCTGATCCATGTCCGATGTCGAGGGGGGCGTGTGCATACACTTTTTGTGGATGGGCGTGTCGACGTGATGACGCTAAAAGGCAAGTCGACCAGGATATGGGCCATATAGACTGAGAGAAATCATGTATCTGGACTGGGCAGGTACCTGCTGCAACCTGACTTGCCATTCTCCTTCTCTCTCTCCATATCTGCTGTCAAGTCAGGCCAAGTCAAGACTTGCTACTTGTTCCAAGACTGAGCGAGCCAGTGTTGCGATTCAGTCTCTTTGGGACCCTTGATCTGATGGATGAGTGGGGATGATGCATTTGGTGTAGTTGGTGGTGGTGGTCGTAGTGGATGTGATGTTGATGTGTGTAGGGTACTCTGCAAGAATGAATGCCTGGACATCTGGATGCAAGGAGGGTATGTGTGTATGCAAGTATGATACGGAAGGCCTGCTCTTGCGTAAATGCGAATGAGGGCAGACTAAAGGGGTGGGGAGTCAAGTCACAGAGGGAATGTGTGTACATACACGCTGAGGTTTGGGGACGGTCGAAGCGTGGCGTCCCTCTTTTACGATGGACGGGCCATGCGTGGATGCCATAGTGTATCTTGTCGTTGTTGTTCTGCTGCGTGGTGACTCTCCTTCAAAGAAAAGAGGAATGGCCAGTGTGTGCGCGGGGAGGGGCTGGCGTAGATGTATCTTCTCCACCAAAGAGGCCATCTGCTCCGGAGCCTTGCGGATGCACTGCAGATCTGATCTCGAATCTCCATTTCGTTTACATCGAGGTGTACTCCGTAAGCACACAGGCACATCCGGCTTGCCAGTCCAGTACAAGCGCTGAGTAAAATGGACGAAAAGGCCTGGAATTGTGGGTAGATAAAAAGACACACGAGGTGGAGATGGCCACATCAACCTGCCAAGATCCAGTGCTTCTTCGCATTGCTTTGGTCTTTCAAGACGCGGAATTGCTGTCCGTGACGGTCATGAGTTTCAAGGAAGAGAGCACAGCCTCTCCAGTATGAGAAGAACTACGGGCGGAGATTAGCACAAGGGCGAGGTTCGCTTGACGGAGGACCACGGAAGGGCCAACTTCCCATGGCGGCACGCTAGAGCACCGACCCCGGCAACAAGACACAGCCATATCGTTGCACCTTGTGCTTGCTCCGCCGTAACAGACATCGAGATCCACAGGAAGGATACAGAACAGAGCCAATGTACCGAGAAGATACATCTCGTCTGGTTACTTCTTGCAGGTACTTTTGTTGTTCAGCACGCACCTTTCTCTCCGCAGTCCAGACTCGACGGCATAAAATTCCTGGGATCCTATGTTCGTTCGCCTCCTCGGGAAGTGTAGGAGGGCAGGGGAGGAGCGTTTGGCGGCTGAAGAATGTGCGTCAGTCAGGCCATCGCAGTGGGCATCTGGAGCACAAGACCGCGTCACATGGCGGCTCGGAAGATGCCAGACCAATATGGAAGTAGACCAGAGGGGAGAGATACGGACCTACACGCGCGAGAGGAGGCAAAACCATTGCAGACCGTCGCTACTTGGGATCAGTTTGGAGTAAGCTTGAGAGCAAGGTAGCTCTAGCAGAGGCGCCTGGTCCCATTCTCGATCTGGAAGAACTAGCCACCCAAGAGCGATGGTTCAATGGCTCGGGTGCAGTGCAGGAAATAATTAAGGGTCTGGCTGATGGCAGGTCTTCAACTGATCCATCGTCGGCTTGCTGCAGCGCTTGGAGTAGCGCTAGCGAGAAGCGAATCACGGCGCTGAGGCCACTGGGTGGAGAAACGTCCTCTTTTAGTGAGATGGGGCCGTTTGCGTTCTTCAGACACGACCAGACGAGACGAGATCCAGCGGCGTCCAATGTTCGTTGCGTCTGGCCAATGAGCGAGCTGTGGACAGGGCAAACTCATGGCTTGCCCGGTGATGGCGGCAAATGGACTGTCCGCCGCCCAGGGCTTCAACGGTCAAGACCATGCCATTGGAGAGATCGAAAGGTCTCGAGCTCAGTTGGCCCAAAGCCGTCTGTCAAATGACCCTCTTCTATGTTGATTGCGGCCCTCTATCGCATCGCCAACGCGTCCTTACGTAGGGAGGTCTTTTCCCACGGATTCCACACAGAGACTGCAGATCATGGAAATGCTCTCGGCAAGGGACTGTCTCCCCCACAGGTTGCTCGAGAGCAGGGGGGGGGGGGGGGGGGGGGGTTTGGGGGGGGGGGGGGGGGGGGGGGGGTCACCGGGGTAGTGCCTCACGCGCTATCTCTGGCCGCTATCAAATGATCTCAACGTGCTGTAGACACAGGAGTCAGGAGGCCGTAGGATGCCGTCATAGGTCATCCCGTCAAGCGCTACCCACTCGCCTAACCTCCACGGGGGTAGTCTTTTTGCCTTTGTACCTAATCCATTCGCTTGCTGCAAGGTCCTTTTTGTCTCCTTTCCCCTGCAGGTTATTTTCGCTCCCCGTTTTCTGTCTGTCTGTGTGTCTGTCGGCATTGTGGAAACCTGCGTCCTGCATCCTGCAACCGAGAGTTTCCAAGTCAAGCTTTGCTCAGCGGGTGCACCGAGGAACCAGGAAATCCATAGACTACATACGGCGCAGCCCCGGATCGCGGCGTACAAGCGCACCGGCCCGGGGGTTTCATTCCTCGTCGCTCATTCCGGAACTCCGGAGACAGGCAGGACGGCGGCATGTCATTCCTCACCGTGATCTCCGCCATCTTTGGCTGGATCTACACCATCTGCTGGTCCCTCTCCTTTTATCCGCAGCCCGTCCTAAATTACAGGCGCGGTACTACCTCTGGCACCACTGTCGACTTTCCTTTCATTAATACCCTGGGCTTCATCGCCTACTTCGTTTCCAACTGCGCGCTCTTCTACTCGCCCGTCATCCGCGCCCAGTATGCTGCGCGCCACCACGGCCTCCCCCCGGCCGTCCAGTTCAACGATGTCGTCTTTGCCGGGCATGCTTTGATCCTCTGCATCATCATCGTATCGCAATACCTGCCGGGCCTGTGGGGCTTTGCTCCCGCCCTCGGCCGCCGGCCCTCGCGCTTCATCCTCGGCGTCGCCCTTGGCTGTGTCACCGGCGTCCTAGGCGTCATATTCCTCGTCGCCGGCGCGCAGGACACCAGTTCGGCCCCGCCCGGATCCGACCCGGCGGCCACGGGCTGGGCGTGGCTCGACGCCGTCTATGCCATCTCCTACGTTAAACTCATCATCACCGTCATCAAGTACACGCCGCAGATCCTGACAAACTACCGCAACAAGAGCACCCAGGGCTGGAGCATCGTCCAGATCCTGCTCGACTTCTCGGGAGGCGTCCTGAGCATTGCCCAGCTCGGCATCGACAGCTACCTGCAAGGGGACTGGTCCGGCGTCACGGGCAACCCTGTCAAGTTTGCGCTGGGCAACGTCTCCATGTTTTACGACGTCATCTTCATTCTCCAGCACTACGTGCTATACCCCGACGCAGAGAGCAAGGCCCGCGAGACGGACAGGCTGCTGGAGAGAGGCGAGTCGGGTGGTCGGCTGTCCTACGACTAGGTCTGATATACGGGTCGAACAGTTCAGCCCGCATTCGACAGTCATGAGCCGATGTTCCCCTCTTGGATGTACATATGTATATATATGCGTTGAATCATAAATCATCTCCAGCTTTGACCTGGCAAAGTGTTTTCGGCTGTTCACCCCGGCAGCCCATGTCGAGACATGAGTTGTAATACAGTCTGGACATCTCCTCCTACATCGTGACAGACGACAGGACTCTAGGCTTCGTCGAGGACGCGGGAGGGCGGTACGTACATCCCTCCACGTGTACGACTTAGAAGAAGAGTGCATCAAATCTGTCGAAATCGGTTTGATTCCGAGCAGAGCCGTTCAAGAATAGATACCTAGTATCCCAATCCGTTATCTCCAGGTAGGACCCGAGCCGGGACGACCCGCTACGGCGCCGGACCCGCCGGCTGATTAAGGGACTCGACTTTCTGCTTACAAGAATGTTAGTCACACCTTTGCAACTGTTCGTTTCCTTGACTAAGTCGCCAGTCATGAGTTGCATGCTGGCAGGTGACTGTATATTAGTGTGATTTGTGAGGCTAACAGACAAGTGGCAGGCTTGGGATATTGTGTTATACATGGTGTAACAGACATGACGCATCATGCATCTCACTCGAGAACCCCTCCATCATCCTTCTCAACATAAAAATACACACAAGTAGTACCAAAACCCACAAGATGGCGGCGTCGATTCCATCATCAATGCTAGCTGTGACGCACAGGCCGTCCAATAACAACAACAAGGCGCTCGCGCTCGAGACGCTGCCCGTCCCCGTCCCCGCGGGTCCAGAGGAGCACCTCATCCGCGTCCACGCCGTGGCCATCACCAACGGCGAGCTGCGCTGGCCCCAGCCGCGCCAGCCAGCCGACCCCGTGCCGGGCTACGACATGGCCGGCACGGTCGCCGTCGCGCCGCCCGAGTCGCCCTTCCCCGTCGGTTCGAAGGTCTACGCGCGGACCGCTTTCGAGCGCCAGGGCAGCGCGAGGACCTACTCTATCGCGCTGACGGGCGAGCTGGGCCTCATGCCCCGCGGCATAAACCCGGCCGAGGCCGCTGCGGTGCCACTGTCGGCGCTGACGGCGTGGCAGGCCCTCTTTGTACACGGCGGGTTCGGCGAGCCGGCGCCGGCGCCAAGCAGCGGCACGGGGGCGCCGGGCACCCAGGGAAAGAGCGTGCTCGTCACGGCCGCGGCGGGCGGAGTTGGCATGTTTGCCGTCCAGCTCGCCCGCCTGGCGGGCGTCGGGCGCGTCGTCGGGACCTGCGGGACCACCAACGTCGACTTTGTGAGGGGCCTCGGGGCGCACGAGGTGCTGGACTACCGCGCCGGGCCGGGCTACCTCGCGGCGCTGGGGGACGAGAGGTTCGACCTGGTGCTCGACTGCGTGGGCGGGGGGACGCTGGCCGAGGCGTGGAAGCTCGCCAAGTCGCACGGCGTGGTTATCAGCGTCGCGGAGCCGGCCGAGGCGAAGCGTCCGGCATCCGGGGTGGCCGAGGGCGTGAGGACGCTCTGGTTCATCGTGGAAGCGAACAGCGGTCAGCTGGGGAGGATCACACAGTTCATCGAGGCAGGGAAGCTTAAGACGGCCATCGATTCCGTTTACCCATTCGACGAGTTTGAACAGGCTTTTGCAAAGGCACACAGCGGACATGTAAGGGGGAAAGTGGTGTTGGGCATTGCCGATGATGTCTGAGAAAACTGTGGTCGAGACAAACGTATGGGCAGACCTGCTGCTGTGTAATAATTTCACTCCTCCTGGTTCGCTGTAGTCTTCCCCCAAGGCCCGAGTCTCAAGACTGTCCACAAACCCGGCGCTCCGCGTCCCCAAGCCCTTCTCTTGCTCTCGCCTGGCTTCGGAAAGCCTACCTCAAACAAGAAGGCCAGGCTCACAAACATCATACCAATCAACACAAACGCGTACATGCAGTCCTTGGGTCTCCCCAGTGTTTGGGTTCAAGAAGGGAGGGATACCCATAGAGAGAGAAGTCCCGTTGACATGGAGGTCGCGTCGCAGACCAGCAGAGACAGCAGGACGGCGTTCCACACTTTGATATCCTTGGCCGTGCGCAGCACCAGCGCTTCTGTACGCTGTGCCGTACTCCGTACACGATTTGACGAGCTCAGCGCACACTCCGCCACCCTCGAGCGAATGCGCTGTATGACCTCATTGGGTGCTCCTCAAATGGAAAGAAACGTTGCCTCTCCAGAAGGGCAGGTTGTACAGCGAGCAAGTGATACTCAATATAGTTACCTGGGAGTACTTGACCAAACATCAAACCCACCAATCTTTAGGCGGGATGATCATTCGTGCGGTGGTCAGCAAAGGTCTCCGTCGGTAGCCTTTGATACACTATGTGACAACCTATCGTCAACCATTGTGACCCCTGCTTAGCAGCGAGGTCAGCATGCCAATTGTCCTGTCTGACGCTCGATTCTTTTGGATGTCGATCCTTTTCAGGGTTTGCCAAATGACGGCACCAAACCGTCGGGAAGGCCGTCTTTTGTATGACCAGAGACCCCAGAGATTGACTGGATCTTGATATCCTCAATCGACTAAACACTTGTATTGGAATCTCGAAGAAATTGATCTGCAGGTCCACGCTCGTTCGCTGCCCTACGATGATGGCCAAAACAAGAGTAACCGATGATCCGGCACGGGAGACTGGTGGGGGAGTGAGCCCGTAGATCCCTCCCCTTTTACACAGCCGACCGCCCGGACTTGCCCAGAGTGCGGCAGTGAGTGACTGCAGACGGTTGACGGGCCACAGCCCGGGACAATTTAGCACTCCAGCTGGACAAGGGGGGTCTCACGGCGGTTCATTCGTTTGGATTTTGGCCCCAGAAACACCGAGGGGCCACCCACGCTCATCTGTGAGCTGGTGCTTACCTGGTGATTCGTTCGGCGTGCCATTCTTGCTAAATTTGCCCCTGGTGAACAGGAACCAAAATACCTTGGGCCTCTCAGCCACTCGGGCGATGCAAATCCTCTCGCCAGCTTATGGCGCCCCTTGAGCTCTGGGTCGGCGGCTGGGTCGTTCTTTTTGGAGTAGCCTTCGCCGTCTGTTTCGAGTCTCGACCTCGTGGATGAGCAACATTCCGCTATTCTAGAACGGCACTTGTGTGTCCAGATGTGTCCCACGTCAAGAATATGTCTGCGATCCCGCCTCCCATCTGCGGGTGATATCACAGGTCTGTCTCCGTGTATCCACTTGGGCTGAGTGGGTGGTGGTAGCACAGGGATGTATCCTACCAACTTATATACCACCCCGGGTTCCCAGGGGCAGCGGGGGGTTGTTGCTCCCAGCTGATGTAAAACCTGTTCCTGTCCGCTCACTGCTCCATTTTGGGATGCTCGGGGAGACCATATGCCAGAGGACCAGTCCCGCGTGTTGAAAGCAAATCGGCAAGAAAGGCTTCGTGCAACAACATGCTTGACCTGTGAGTGGCTTACCGACACGAGACACTCAGATACGCCTTGGAGCTGTGGCCGCGGCAATGCAGCGAGATGATGAGAGGTATCCGATACCAGTGCACACAACCGCCGAGGCCAACCTGCCCGAGGTAGCGGCTCATCCGCAGGCGGCCGAATACTTCCAAAACTCTCAAGAGAAATACAGCCTGCCCGGCACCACGCCAAGTCCATACAAGGATGCCAACGCCAGCCCCTTCACTCCCGCCGTCGCCGAGGGCGGTGGCGCAGATCTAGCACCGGGCCTCGAAGTGGTGACCAAGCCTGAACGCAAGACGGTCTGCGGGCTGAGGAGGAGAACTTTCTGGGCGCTGGTCGCTGTGGCACTTGTTCTCATCATCGTGGGCGCAGTAGTCGGCGGTGTCCTCGGCAGCAGGAAAGCGACGTCGCCCAACAGCGACACGCCGGCACCAAGCTCGACCGCATCTCCCCTGGACCCGTCCACGCCCCTCCCGGCCAGCAGGCGTTCCGTAGCTGCCGGGTCGTCTGTCGGCGATGATGCGACGGCAGCCACGTTGCAAATCCTGTACCAGGACCTCGCGACGACCCATGTTCTCTACCGGCTCATGTGGGACGACAAGATCAAGGCAGAGAAGGTGGCCTCCTTGCGGATCCCGCCGAACCAGGGAACGCCCTTGGCCGCGACATCGATGAGGTCGTCTTCGAGCGCCGGGGTCGTGGTGGACCTGTTTTACTTATCGACTGACAACTCGACGATGCTGCCCATGATCTGTCAGGCAACGCTCGAGTGCTCCAAGGGGGCAGGCGCTTGTTCGACGACGTACAACGAGGTCATCGCCAAGGAGGCGATCAGCACGACGATACAAAAGGGAGTGAGCGCCGACAGCGCGCTAGCAGCAGTCCTTATGGAGGACACTGCAGAGTTCCGAGTCTTCTTCCAGGGAGGGGGCGGTGCGGTCTGGTGCCTGGTGGGCCACGGCCGGCCGGACGCCGGGTCCTGGACGCTGATGCCCCTCGAGGCCCCCGCGGTGACGCGGTCCGCACTCAGTGCGTCTGCCAAGCGCAAGACGGGCGAGATTGATCTCCTCTTCGTGTCCAAGCTCAGCTCCAAGCTGCGCGAAGTGCTGTATACGGACAAGATTGGGCCCGGAAAGAGCCGTGAGTGAACCGAGCCGCGAAGCGTGTGACAGATGCCCCGTACGCGCGGAACTGTGCTAACTCGTGCCCACTGTCTAGCAGGCAAGGATATCGATGGGACACCTGGCTCGGTATGGGATGTCGGGGCCCGGCACGCGGCTTGCTACCTGCCCGGGACGGACACCTGGTACGCCTTCTTTGTGGGGCCGTCGGGCGGCGAGATCATCGGGTATTCCAAGAAGGCTGGAGCTGATAACTGGGGCCAGGGCTTTGGTAACAAGAAATGGGGGCTTTCGGAAGGGGCACTATCTACGTTGTGCTGGGGGGACCAGATCAGGCTCGTCTACATGCGCAGTGGCAGGTTGTCCATGGCGGCATCTGACAACGGTACCTGGGCCGACCCTCAGGATTTCTAGCAGCCTTCCGAAAGCATGGGAAAAGGCAAAAGAAGCGTCGGGGCCCAAGGGAAGAACCGACTATGCATGTCTTACCACATAGGTACCAGTACCGGGCTGATGGCCTGGCGCTGTTGCCCGGACATTCTGATGTCATATCCTGAGAACAAAAAGACAGATCAAATCCACTAGGGATCAATGGCACTACGAACGCAGAAATACTCGTTGATGAGGAATGGAAGAATAGAGGAATAGAGAAGGAATGCATGTCACGCATGCCCTGGCCAGAAACCCCCTCCCCTTGCCGCCGAAAGGCCTGTCGTGTGTCGCCACGATGGAGACGGGCTGCAGGCGAGATCAGGTAATTCAGGATGCGAGATGCAGTTATGTATCATGATTTGCACAGGCAATGGAGGTATTGTCGCCTCTACCAAAGGGCCGAGCGTGGCGTGATCTGGGTGCCAGGCAGAGGCTATTTGGGCTTTTGAGAGCCAAGAGGAGGGAGGGGCCACTCTTTTATCATTGAGAAGGAAGAAGGGCCGTCTTCTTTTCCCCAGCGATAACACAACGGGCAGAGCAGATCTGGACGGAACCTTGCCATAGGCCGAGGAGCATGGATGTGCAGGATGAAACAATCTGATGGACACCACCATCCGACCTTACTGGAGACTCGCATGCCGGAGCGGCGCGAGCGGGTCAGTTCGGGAAAAGGGGGGAGCGGGTAGGTAAACGGTTGACGAGAAGGCCGACGAGGAGATTGGGCATTTATGTCTTCTTTTGCATGTTTTTGCACGACGGTATGGGTTTCCGGTCGTCCTCGGGCAGCGGACCCCTGACATTCTCGTGGGTTCGGTAAGGCGAAAACGCAGTGGCCCGAGTTTGCCGTGGAAGAGGAGCTGCCGCCCGCCTTCACCCGGCGCTGGTTTTCGTGCACCCGGCTAGCAGAGGGTCTGGGGTCCCGGGACTGGCTCACCTGGGGAAGATGGCCCCGACGGCGCCCTCTAGGCATGGGGCGACGAGGCTGACGAGTTAGTGCTGTACATGGGCGGTACACAGCAAGGCGAGGAGGGCGTTGAAGAGGTCGAGAGAGATCTGTTGCGGTCGGGATCACGATATAGGTCGCCTGGCGATGGGGTTTCGGCGATGATGAACTCTGTATCCCAAGAGTTCCGCCTGTAGGTACCTAGGTACCAAGTAGGCTCTGTCGAGGGACCACAACTGGTGATTGGCCCACTGGGTCTTCAGCTGTCAGCTGCTGGCAGGCGAGGGGAGAGAGAGCTGGAGCGAGCTGGAACAGCCTTGACTGGCGGCTCAGTCCAGATGCGTGAGTGAGCATGGCTCTCTCTCTCTCTCTCTCTCTCTCTCTCTCTCTCTCTCTCTCTCTCTCTCTCTCTGGCTTGAAACTATCAGCCATTGCTGTTCTGGTCATCCAATGTTGGATTGCATACCACCTACTGTGGCAAACTGCGTTGCCCGTCAACCCTGGACGGAAAAGGAAAGGGATCGAGCTGGGCTTGGTCAATCTCAATGTGCTTGGCCAGCAGCTAGCCTCTGGCGTTGAAGCAGTGGCATGATATATACCTGACATTGACGACTGACGACAACGGTTGGACGGTTGGACGGCTGGTAGTGGTGGTGGCTACCTCCTACCTGTCGTCAATGACTGCGCCGCAGCCAGTAAAAGATGCACGAGCGCCACCCTCGTACCGTCCTCGCGTACTGCCTGTACTCAACAAGTCGCTGCTTATCAGACCACCGGGCAATTTGTTTGACACCTTCCAACGATGCTGCCCCACCAGACCGAGCAGCACCGGCGGCAATCTGCGATGCAAGCTGGCGTCCCGTTCTGATTGTTGCTGTGGACAGCCCGTGCCTTCCCAGGTTCCAGCCAAGCACGACCCCACCAAAGCTCCTCTGGATGGGCAACCTCGAGAGAGCCCCCCACCACCCCTCCCTCAACCTTTTTTTTCACCAGACGGTATTAATGTACAGCGCATGCCACAGCTGCGTCACCCTTTTGGTCCTCCCCTCTCTCTTCTGATCTCTCCTCATAGTCCTTTGCTCATCATCAATTGACCGAAACATCGTCTGTCCCCTCAACAAAGCTTCATCGCAGTCCAGATCAAGTAAGTGACCTCCCCCGAGCCCCTCCCTCGTTAGCTTTATCGCGTTATCCGTTCCCCCATGTCCTCCCTCTCTCTCTTCCTCTCGAAAAAAATACCCCGCCATCGCTCGTGCGCGCGACTCAACGACAACTTGCCCCGCCATGGTGCTATCCGGTTGTGCTCGACTGACCGAGCGAGCGTGCGCGAGAGAGAGAGAGAGAGAGAGAGAGAGAGAGATGTCAGGCCCTGTTTGAGATCTGGAATCCGGGATACTGAATCAAACGGAGCTGGAGCTTACCAGAGGCAACGGTCTCCGGACTGTCCGACTGTTTTGTCATGGTGGCCAATGACGGCATCCTCCAGCTCCAAAGAGGATGGATGACTCTCCGTGTCCCGACCGGATATCATAAAATGGCCAAATGACAAATCCATGCACTGGCAGAGCAGAGCCGAAAGCATCAGCTCCAGCTCCAGCTCCAAATCCCCAATCCCAGAAATCCCCTCCCAAACAGCCCATGCGGCTCCGCGGGATGGCTCACCGTCAATCGGACCTTCTGTCTGTCTCCTGCACTGCTATCATCACACACTCAGCATCAGAATAATTTTTATCGCGCAACCAAAACCACGTTACCCAATCTAAATCCACCGCACCGATGGCGCATCCCCAAGAGTCCAGCCCAGTCCTTTTGTTTTTGTCATACAGACTGATTTGTTGACCAATTGCGCCCTTTCCGTTAAAACACCTCACATCTTTCCTCGCCCCCATCCACTCATGACTCTTGCTTTTTTCTCCCCTCTTCCACTCTTCACCTTGTCCTTTATAAATCCACCGCGTCTCCCTCGTACCTTTTCTTCATTGAGCCTTCTTTCTAACCAAACATTCCACCATTCTAGATCTCATCCAAAATGGTTGTCAAGGTCGGTATCAACGGTTTCGGCCGCATTGGTCGCATTGTCCTGCGCAACGCCATCCAGCACGGCGATGTCGAGGTTGTCGCTGTCAACGACCCTTTCATCGAGACCCACTACGCTGTACGTTGTCCCATCCATCACTCCCGACCCTAGCATCATCATGTGCTCTCGGTGGCTGACCTGCACCCACTCCAGGCGTACATGCTCAAGTATGACTCCACCCACGGCCAGTTCGATGGCGAGATCAAGGTCGAGTCGGACGGCCTCACCGTCAACGGCAAGCACATCAAGTTCTTCACCGAGCGTGACCCCGCCAACATCCCCTGGGGCCAGTGCGGTGCTCACTACGTCGTTGAGTCCACCGGTGTCTTCACCACCACCGAGAAGGCCAGCGCCCATCTCAAGGGCGGTGCCAAGAAGGTCGTCATCTCGGCCCCCTCTGCCGATGCCCCCATGTATGTGATGGGCGTCAACGAGTCCTCGTACGACGGCAAGGCCGACGTCATCTCCAACGCCTCTTGCACCACCAACTGCCTGGCTCCCCTGGCCAAGGTCATCAACGACAAGTTCGGCATCGTCGAGGGTCTCATGACCACCATTCACTCCTACACCGCCACCCAGAAGACCGTCGACGGCCCCTCGGCCAAGGACTGGCGTGGTGGCCGCACCGCTGCTCAGAACATCATTCCCAGCAGCACCGGTGCCGCCAAGGCCGTCGGCAAGGTTATCCCCGCCCTCAACGGCAAGCTCACCGGCATGTCCATGCGTGTGCCCACCTCCAACGTCTCCGTCGTCGACCTGACCTGCCGCCTCGAGAAGGGCGCCTCCTACGACGAGATCAAGGCCGCCATCAAGGAGGCTGCCGAGGGCCCCCTCAAGGGTAAGTTGCCCCCCTGTCGCTGAATCGCGGAAGCCGTCATGACAAAATGTGGTTTGATGACTCGGAACTAACAATCTCGGGGGTCTAGGCGTCCTGGCTTACACCGAGGACGACGTTGTCTCGACTGACCTGAACGGCAACACCGCCTCCTCCATCTTCGATGCCAAGGCCGGCATCTCGCTGAACCCCAACTTCGTCAAGCTCGTCTCGTGGTACGACAACGAGTGGGGTTACTCCCGCCGTGTCGTTGACCTCCTGGCCTACATCGCCAAGGTTGACGGTGCCAACTAAGCAAACCACTTTCACGTGTTAAAGCATGTGGGTGGAAGAAAATGGAATCGGGCTAGATAGATATCAGCATTCTGCGCTGCTGTGGGGGACTGGCCAACCCCTTCTCGCTTCCTTTTTGAGCAAAGGTAGTCTTTTTTTTGTGACGTAAATCATTGGGCGAAGAAGTACCAGAACAAGGCAGAAAATAATAATCAATGACGGTCCTATTTACGGGCAAATCGATGCATTGTTTCTTGATCAGTGCCTGTCATTGTGTGGTGTCCAAGCAAATGTATGGTGTACAGTCGGGGATCATAAGGCATCATCATTTTCCATCTATCAAGCAAGGCGACCGGGGTAATGAATAATCTATCCTCTAGTCAGAGAATGACTACAGCGACGCCCAGTCCTACCATCGCTACCGCGTGCTCCCCTCATGTCGTCCGTATCATCGATTGGCCATGCTTGCTCCTATCGATGTCTACCGTACACAGAATCATATATTCGCTCAAGTAGACTGAAAGAGAACCTCTTTTGAAGACGCGAGCTTCCTTCCCGCCAACAACGAAGAGGGACCTCACAGTCCAACCGGTCCAGGTCCTAAAAGGCAGCCCCACCCATTCCCTCGCCTGCGATATTCTTAAGGCTCCTCTCGCTCAGGTCGCTCCGGAGCAGGAAGGCACCCGACTCGCGCTCCATCTTGTCCCAGACCCACAGGCTGCGCCGCAGCTTCTCTTCCTTGCTCCTCAGGTCCTCCCGTATGCGCTCCTCGTCCTCCCGGAGCCGGCGATGATGCGGCTCGAGCTCCTTGACGATGCCCGTCGACAGCGGCGTCAGCGATGGGTCGATGCGGCCGCCTGGGACAATCACGGGCATCGACGACATAAGCTGCTGGGCTAGCGGCTGGCCGCCGCGTCCCGGCGGCGGTCCCGACGAGGAGGAGGGGCCGGTGGGCGGGTTGAAGGGCTTCGAGGACAAGGCCGGTGAAGAGGACGTGGACGAGGCACGTGGACCGGTGGGAATGCCGCTGAGACCGGTGGGTGGGACAGGAGGGGAGGCGGATGGGCCGCTGCCGCTGGGGTGCCGTGGTGGAGGGCCAGACGACCAACCACCTCGGCCGCCTCGGGGCCCATACGCACCGCCGCGGGGTGCGACGTAACCTCGAGGACCGGAAGGTGGGATTGTTGGGCTGGTCGCGGAGGAGCGACTTGGTGTTCCAGAGGGTGTGGCAGCCGATGCTCTGGAAGTCTGTGCGGCCGGAGATCCCGCAGGAGCGGTGAAGTTTCTTGATGCGCTGGGCCCTGTCGGCGCCCTCAGAGCTGCAGGCCCGCGGGGGGGTGAACGAACTTGCGGGGTAGAGACCTCAGAATGTGCTGCGGTGCGAGGCGTTTCACGTACAGCTGGTGGGAGAGGTGAGCGAGTGTTGGGTGATACTGGGCGAGAGCGCCCGCGGACAGAGCCGGGGCGCGGAGATGATCTGCCTGAAGCCGATCGTGACGTGATTGCAGATGATATATTCGACTCTCGAGGAGGGGTCGGACGTCGATATGGGCCGTGCCTGTCTTCCCGGCGGTCCACACTACGAGACCGCGGTCGATATGACCTTGGGCCAGCTGGCGGAGAGCGCGGCCTCATCGGTGGACTTCGTGCGCGATGTCCGCGATCCCTGTCGTAGGGTGAACGTGACCGCCTTCTGGTGATGAAGGCGAGAGGTTAGTGGGACTATGGGATCTTGTCTCAGGGGAGAGGAAAGATGATGATGGGTGGTAAGTGAGCTGAGGGTGGTCATTGCTCACCTTGCGTCACGTGAATCAAAATCTCTTCTCGGTGACCTCCCACGGTCATTCCTACCATCTCGATCGTCTCGTCTTGGCGAAGTATAACGTGCTGGTGAACGTCGGGGACTACGTCTAGGGCTGCGGCGCGGACTTCGTCGTGGCGAAGGCCGCCTAATAGGGCTTCGAACGCGACTGCGGCTTCGGTCTCGCCGCCACCGCTCCCCCCTATCCCGAGACCTATCGCGATTCTGGAATCGGTCGTTGCTTCGCGACCGGCGCCTCGGCGATCTCCCAGGAACGTAGCAATCACTGCCTCCTATAGGTGAACGAGGTCGATCTCGATCCCTGTCTCTGTCTCGTGCGCGGTCATGTTCTCTCGGTGGCGGGCTCCTCGCCCTGCGCGGCGAGCGGTCTCGATTGAAGGGTCGATATGACTCGCCCGCGCCATATCTAGTGACTTCGCCGTCGTCATATCTGGTTGAATCGTGATCAGTAGCTGTGGCAAGCCTTGTGACACCAAGTTATCCATCCACTGTGCTACGTTATCGTGCGACAAAAGCAAAGAAATATACAAATACAATTCAAGACAAGACCAAATTGATCTGAATGATAAACGCTGGGCAACCACTAGGTAAAAGAGGGACAGCCCCTCGTAGTTGCTCCACTAGAAGCATTGAGACGGTCGTCACGAGGGGCGTTGCCAATTGCTTCGTCGCAAACATCCAAAGGGGCTGGGGCGGTATGACGGGCCGGGCTTGACGTGGCCTGGTATCGAAGAGGCGAGATTGCCTTCAATGGCTCGTCAGGGTTGAGGCCCATCACAGCCTGGATGTCTATGTCCTGCTCAGACACAAGATCGTAGAACCTGTCAATGAGCTGATCGGTCGACATGTCGTTGCAGCTGGGCAGCGGTGCTGGGCTGAGTAGCAGTATCTCCGATTCTTCGCAAGCGTCGGCAAAATGAGCATCCTGCGGCACTGTCCGAGGGCTCATGCAGCGCCTCTCCTTTGGCGGCCTTTGACACAGGAGTTCCTCGGGTTCTGATGCGTCGGGATCCGTTTCGCGCTTCCGCTTCCGTGCCACCCTGGCATCGTCTGACTCGGTGGTATCCTCAGAAGTATCGGGGTCTGCATATGTGCACTCGCGAAGGGGTGTCGGACCAGGGTTGTTCTTTCGCGTCTCCTCTTGGGATCTCAGACGGCGGCTTCCGCACGCCCGCCTCGCCAACATGATCTTGCCCAGGTAGAGCACAGATTTGGTGAGAGCTCTAGCCCAGGAGTCACGATGCCTCCCACTCATGCCTGTGATGAATCGAAACTCCTCGATTGACAGGTTGTGAAGAAGGAGCTCATGATGCGCCAACTCTTGCTTGGTGAACTCTATATAACGATTGCGCACATCCTCAATGGAGACAATGCCCGAGAAGTCGATTTCAGGTTCCTCGACCTGCCTCAATGCCAAGTCAGGCCTTGGAGCGGCGCCATCAGGATGCTCGATCGACTCGTTGACTGCAGACGTATCCTCGTCGTCAGGTACAAGACCCATATTGACTTCTCGTCGGTGCCTGACATAGTTGAGAATGGTCTGGTGCTCATTACCGAGGGGCTGCGGGGTGCGACTCCTGACAAGCTCGTCGTAGGCTTCGGCCCTCCAGATGGATGTAGGCGAGGCGCCATAGGAGCGATGACCATTGGGATGATCAATCTCCTCTTGTATTTGGCTGTCCCTGGCGGCAGGAGTAGCAGGTTGACTTTGTAGACAAGGCCGCTTGTCGAGGAGGCGTTGCAGCTTCTTGGACGGCTTGGGAGAGACGGACTGTCTCAGAGGACGCTGGTGTGAGGCCTGGGAGTGGGGGGGTCGGGTCGGGAGGAGCCTGCGTTGGCTCGCGGCAGTGGGACGCAAGGTTTTGTCATGGCTGATCTGGTCGGGATATTCGCAAGAGGATGGAAGAGTGGACATGGGTGCTCCCGAGGCGGGCATTGTTGGGTCTCGCCTGGCGAATGCAAATCACATATCTCCCACAGTTGTCGCTGAGGGAGAGATGCAGGAGCTGAAGAGCTCTTGGCATGACAGAGCGACTGCAGCGGTCGGTGGTTTTTTTTTTTTTTCGAAGAATGAGGAAATATAGTAGAGAGCTGGAGATCCTGGCGGGTTGCGATATTGCGAGGTTGCGATGTTACGACGTTGGAAGAGGAAGAAAGGAAGGAGAGTTGTCGTTGTTTTGATGCTATGGGGGTGGTGTAGGTGGGGGAGGGTGGCAGATGGATTGGATAGAAAAGCATTGGGACGCAAACGAGCGACTTACCTTCTACTTCTTTCACGATCCATCTTATCTCTGGGGGGGGGTCTTTGGGTCACGACGCGCCTTGCTTGATGGGTGAGGTCAAAGTGAGAGTGTGCTCATCAAGATCCTAAACTTTTACATGTATTGTCATGCGCCAGATCCTCCCTAATTCCTTATCGATAAGCATGGATGTCTCCACCTAGAGCAGCCAGGCTCCACAGCCAATGAAGTGGTAACTACCTACAGTGGGTGCAGGTACTTGTAACTAGGGTAGTCTACTAATTAACTACTTGTCGCTCTATTTGCACACCCTTCGGACACTAGCCGGCCAGTATCCGGGCTCGGCTCAATACTGCTTCACTTGCCTTCAACAGAAATGAGAGCATGGAGGCGTACGCCAGCAGAAAAAGAAAAAGAAATGAAAACAGATAGGGTCACCACAACAATCTGCTGGGTATATTTATCTACCGGTCGAGGTCTTGGTGCGGGTATAGAGACAGAATCTCACAAGACATCAATCAACTCCTGTCCATCAAATACCCAGCATGATGCAGGGGCAATCAAAAATCCCTACTCCAAACTCCAGCTCCTTGCTCGCCAGATCAAGCAATGGATGGCCCCCCTTCCTCTTCCGTCCACTAGGCCGCCTTTTCTTCTTCTGTCGTGTCACCTGCTTCCTCCCCAACCCTGTTGAGAATCCATTCCTGTGCCTCTTGAGCATGCTCCTTCATCATGCCGCTGAGGCCTGTCGCAGGGCTCCGTAGAACCGCACCGAACCGCCTCTTGTTGACCTTGCGGTTGAGATCCGGGTCGGACCAGCACGCGTGGTCGTTGGCCACATAGATGCGAGAGTTTTCCTTGTACCAGGAAGACAGGTTCTCGTCGATGTCACTCTTGACAGGTCTCAGGTTGCCCGTGACAAAGTTGACGACGCCCGAGATATGGGATTTGCAATCTGTGTCGTGCGCCAGTCAGCATCGCATGTTGGTTGCCAAGCTAGACAGCAAAAGCCACTCATCACTTACCTCGATTGATTAGCAGGACCTTGACGCCCAGGTATGCACTTCCTACGCCAATCAGGAAAATATCCTCGTGATGCTCCGAAATTTGCAAGTAGTTGTCCCAGATGTAGCATATCAGCTCCTGAATCTGGGCCTGCAGAGCGCGTTCGTCGGCCCTTGGCGTGAACGGGTCCACATCCTACGAAATTTCAGTCGGTCAGTTGCACAATGTCTGACGGACAGGAATCAGGAACCTACCTCTGGATGCGTGATATAGTGAGGTACGTTGACATCGACGACACCGAAGCCCTTACGCACGGCCCAGTCAATGTATTGCGACACTCCGTCAGCCTGGACGAGCGGTTAGCGATTAGCGAGAAAACTGTAGCTTTCCGAGGCGCCTTACCATCCAGGTATTGTGAGCATCCAGACTATTGTCCAAAGGATCAGGCTGCGCTACAAGCTCGGGCCTTGGGGGGGGGGGGGGAGAAACTACGTCAGTACCAGGATCAAAGAACGCTTCCACACCAAGGCAGTACTTACGGATCGTGGATGAGGACGATGATCCTCTTGGCGTTGTGGAGGTCTTGCGTAACGAGGACTTGATTCTCAAAGGTTTTGAACAGTGTTTCCCTCTGTATGAAAAGAGGTATCATGCCATGCTTTTCAGAAAGTCGTTGCCGTTGCGCTAATCGTATCACATCGTGAAGCCGTACACCGCCAGCGTTCTGTATGTCCTGGACATCGACGATGCCCGGCCTCATGCAGTCCCAGAACGGAGCCTGATATGCCTGCACCTTGGCCAGTAGCTTTGCCGCGTCCTTGTTGAGCTTGGGCATCTCCATCTTTGGTGGCGGCTCGCCCATAAGCGTCCGAGCAACAGCCAGGGCCGAGTTTGAGATGGCATGCAGATTGTAGCCGCCCTCAAGGCAGACCGCGACCTTGCCGCCAGCGAGCGACATGAGCATGTGGGTCATGTGCGCATAACAGGCCGGCGTGACAAAGCAGCCACCAAGCTCGTCGCCAGCGGCAGCATCGAACCCTGCCGAGATGATAACCAGGTCCGGGTTGAACTCGTTTGCAATGGGCATGACAATCTTCTGGAAGGCAGCTAGGTACTCCCCGTCACCCATGCCTTGGTCGTGCCAGGGAATGTTGATGTTCTTACCAAGACCGGGACCTGCGCCGCAGTGCTCAGGCCCACCATCGGGGGTCATGGGGTTATCGGGCTTCCCGGGATAGAAGCTTCCATCTTGGTAGACGTGGAGCGAGATGTAGAGAACATTGGGATCCTCGTAGAAGATGTTTTGGATCCCGTTGCCATGGTGCACATCCCAGTCCAGTATCAGCACCTTGCGGCACAGATCCGGGTACTCCTGCTGACAGATCCTGGTGGCAATGGGCACGTTGTTGAAGAGGCAGAACCCCATCGGCGTGTCCCACTCAGCATGGTGGCCAGGGGGCCTGATGATGGCAAATGCATTCTTGACCGTGCCATTCACCACCGCCTTGCACGTTTCGATGGCGCCGCCAGCAGAGATGAGGGACGCTTCGTACGTCATGCTCCCAACGTACAACGAATCGCGCCCCTGGTCCTTTTCCTTGCTCAGCACGCGCAATTCGTGAGTCGGCATTGTTGACAGCTGCTCCACCCAGAAGAAGTGTGACGGCTTGTGAACGAGGAGAATCTCGTCCTGCGTTGCTTCACGGGCAGCTATCCGCCACATATACCTAGTCGGGCTCGTCGAGACGATATCGACAAGGTCGGCTTCGGAGCCGGTATAGACGAGGCCGGCTTTCTTGAACGTCTTCATTATCTCTTCGATACGAGCGGGGTCTTCTGGGTGGTGCGGATTTGGTCCAAAGTCCGCGTTTGCATGCAATTTCATGCGGTCATCGTAGCAACAGCCAGTGGGCAGGAGCCCTCTCCTCTTGAACGCCAGTGGATAGCCTGACTGCTCTAGCAACTCGTCCTCCGAGTCACCCATGGAGCTCGTCCCATCGTTGGATAGGTCATTGAAGCCTTGGCCGCTGTTCTCTCCGTGGCCAACGCCGTTGGTCGCCGGAGCTTCAGCCTGATCGTGGTGACCGCCACTCATGACAACATCATTGTCGGCGTCCTCCATCGTCGCGATATGACCAGCCTGGAATGCTAAAAGCTGTGTTGATCAAATCGCCGACAATAGGTAGATGACATGAGGATAACTGATCTGAAGCTTGTCGTCAGTCTGTTTTGTTCCGAAGAGCATGAAGGCGGGGAAACCGAATCAGAGAGCTTGTACAAGAAGCCGTGTATTGTACAAAGCTTCCTGTCTTTCTTAATGCGCCCTTTCGCATCTTGACAACTGGGTGTGGTGATATCTCAGATTTGAATCACAAGACGACGTGTGGCGTGCATTTGCGTGACATCATGGGTATTTATATGATTGGAAATGAAGATAGGTACTCACCGACGGCTCGAGGAACGAAGTGTGAGCGTGCTCAAGAATATGTGTAGAGACGCTGTGAGTGAGAGATGGTCCCGTCCCGCTCATGCAACAGACGCAGTTCACCAAGGGCCGTGACTGAGTCAGGCCTAGGCTCGAGGCGCGAAGGTGTCGCCAGGATAGAAACGATAATGAGCTTCGGGAGAAGGGCTGAGAATCTAGGGCTGCAGTAGAGAGGATGTCTCAAATGTCTTTTGGGCGCTGGAAGGACGTTGTGAGAGCTAATACAGCACAAGGAGAGTGAGTGGATGGAACGAATTGAATTTCAAGGTCAGGTTCCTTGATGTCCCGCGAAATGTAAGGTGATTGGCAGCAGCAATCTTAGTGGCTGGGGTTCCTGCTAGTCCCGTGAGCCAGTGGGCCACCTCAGTGAGCCAGGCGCCCCAGGCTTGCTGCCAGCCAAGCGCTGTAATAGTTAATGCCAGTGCCACCACCACCAACGGGGCCCCAGGTGTGATCAAAGAAACAGCCCGCCAGCCCAAGTTGCAAGCACAACAAGGGAAGTATCATAAAGCTGTGCGTGTTTGTCTGGACCATCCGGGCCACGTCAATAGAAAGCACATGTAGTTATTGTCATATCTCATGTAAGAAGTTAATTTCCCACCTTGTGAGATGGAGAGCTTGATGCGCGCCGACGACCCTCCCGTCTAAGTACATCCCATGGATCTATCACGCGCTGGCTCGGGTCAACATGTATTAATATTCATATTACATCTATATACACCAGTCTCAGCAGACAGGTTTGTGGCACGGAAGACAACTTCTCTCGATGCCCCGCAGGCCAACATCACAAATCCCCAATTGCAGAGTTACAACTGATTAGAGTACCAGGGTACATGAATGGTAGTAGTCCATCCGCTCTTTAGATATCCAAAAGTCCAGTCGGCACCTCCTCCCTGACATCCCGCGTGGGATCCTCGGCTCTCCAAGCGAGCTTCAACCCATCCATCTCCTTCAACTGTGCAGAGGTCGCCTCGAGCTCCGGCTCGTCCATATCCAAGATCCCCCCGCAGCAGTCGCCCAGCGGTCGTGAGGGGAACCACAAGGAGCTCATTACGTGGTGCGGCGCTCCATACTCGGCCACAATTGTGTCGTAGCGTTCTGAGTAGACGCACGAGAGCGCAATGCCCAGTGTCTCGGTGTCCGATTCGAACGACGGATGCTTGGCACGGATCTCCTGAATGAGTCGCTTCTTGGTGTATTTGTGTGAGTTGTCAACATAAAACAGCAGCTCTGCAGGGCTGAGCTTGCTCATTGTGGCGATGACTTTCTGGTTTTCTTGCCCATCACCCCAGCCGATCCGCGAGGCTTCCGTTCTTGTCAACTCGAAGTCCTGAGGTAGTTTAGCAAATGGGCATCAGGAACGGCACTGTAATAAAGAAAGAAACAGAAAAAGGGAAGGGAAAAGAAAAAAAAAAAACTCACCGTGTTCACTTGGATTGTCTCAATGGACGGGCAGAGCTTCAGCTCGATGATGTCTTGGACCGTCATCCAGAGATCTTGCAATTCCCGGAGTCGTCTATTGGACAAGCATCGCAGCTGGTTGACACGTACATCCGTTCCCGAGGCAATGTAGGGAAGCGGACGCGGTAGATCGCCGTGGAAGTAGAATGCATAGCGCATCCAGGCATAAAGGGCACGGCGTAACCTCTCATTCTCGGTCGCAGTAAGGCTCCGTTTCGACATGGGAACGTCATGGAAGCGGTACTGGGGATAGATCCTTTCCCATCCCTTGACAACTTTACAGATGGAGAGAAGCTTTTCCACATGCTTGTCTTCCAGCTGGATCTGTTCATACAGAAGCCGCCCTTGTAAGGCTGGCCAGCCTTCCGGCAAAGTCCCTCCCTCACACAAGATTCTCTTATGCCTCCGGAGCGGCTTGTTCAGCCACGTGCCCCAGGGTGTTCGCAGGTCAGAGGGTGTCAAGACAACCAGCTGCAGAAGCTCCTCAACAGGGCCGAAGTCCTCCTTGATCGCTTCAAGGACGATGTATGGCCTGTGCGATTTGAAGATGGCAGCACATCTCCTTCCAGTTGCTGCTAGATTCAAAGCTGAGCTCAGGTCAAGACACTTGTATATCTCCACAAAGACCTCAGCCGGGACATGCTCCAAAGCTTTAGTCGATGTGCCGGCAAGCGAGATCTGACTTGTGGCGACTGAGCCAGTGGATGCGTGATGAGTCTGCTTGACAGGCATGGCATCAATGAAGCCCCGGGCCCGCTCCCTCTCGCGAAGAAGAGGCCCGAGTGTTGGTGACAAGCAGGCTGCAAGTGCCATGATAGTAGCCTTTTCCCCCCTCGTTGGATTTGGTTGTGAATGGACCAAAACTTCAATGTTTTGGCTTTCTGTATGGAGAATGAAGATCGTAGTAAACACGAGTATCAGCTATTCTCAGTCAGTTGCCTAGAGCTTTCGATAACACAAGATCCTGACCTACATGAATGGCGCAATCTGTCTCTGCTGACTTTGGGCGAGGCTAGATATCGCTCCAGGCGTCTGAGCGGCATCGATCACTCGATGGGGAGGATGATGGATTGCTCGAGAGTAAAATTGCACGAGATCAGGAACCCCGATGGTCTTGTATCAAGCGCCGATCCTCGACAGGGCCTCACTTCCGCCCTCTGATGCCGTTCGAAACTCAACGGCTCCCCTTGCTCTCCTTCAAAGAAGATATGAGAAGAATGAGAAGGTTGCACGATGCTCTTCCAGCTCGTACCGCCTCCACCTTCGCCCCGTGAGCAACACGGGACGGCAGGCTCTCTAAGGGCCTCAAATGGGCGTCACCCCACCGTTCGGGGGGCTTTTCAAAACGTCGCAAGAGATGCTGTTGTCAAGCATCGTCTGCATGGTGTGTCGCATAATAAAAGCGAGGGCCGCAAAGGGCGTACTGTGTGCAGTCATTTTGATCGTGGTTGAAGGAAGAAAGAAGAGAAGAAAAAGAAGAAGAGAACACGGCCCCCTGCTTCACGCTTGACGCGAAGTTTTGACTTACACCCTGGCCTGGCGAGAGACGAGATGAGGCCGGGGGCAGCATTAACTGTACTCCCGGATGACAGGGGCTGCCCAAGCTAATCAATCCGCTTGATTTGATTGCTCGGTTGACTGATCAGCACTGATCGCAACAGGGTCGCCCGCATTGGCCGGGGGATTTCACCGCGCTAAACCGCTCCTGGCGTGTCATTGGTGTCTTGTAATATCTTCACCAAGATCTAAAGACAAGAGCCAGACCGTGGCCCTTGGAAAGATTAGCCTCGCTTGGGCAATCACAGTGCAGGTTCGTAATCGACAATGTAGAAGCTGCGTGAAAGGACAAAACTCATAAACGCCTTCATTGACTCCCGGAATATTGGTATCTAGAAACACACAAGCGCCTCATGAGAACAGCTCACCAGTATCCAGGCCACTGCTCTTCCGCTTTTGACGCACATCAGTCCTCAGCCCTAGCTCGCCCTTCTTTGACAGCCTCTCGAACTGCTTCTCGGCACGGACATTATGCCGTCCAGCCTTTGCCCTCCGCAGATCGGCACGTACTTGATTCGGCGATACAAACATCTTGTTGGAGTAGATGATGGGGCCTCCGAAGGACGACTCTTGAATGACCACAATACTGAGTGTGAATCGAGGACCTATCTCGACGAGGTTGATCTCCGTTTCCTTGCTCTTGGCTCGGTGACTCGACTTTAGCTCTCCCTCGGACCCGTTATCTTTCTCTGTCGGCTCGGCCTCGCTGACCTGGTAGTTCCGGACCCAGATCTTGTTATCGGCCACGGTGAAGCCCATCACATGGTCAATGAATGGCTTCGACCTTCGAGTACCCTCTGGAACCCCAAATATCCTCGTAAAGAGATTCTTGACAACTCGGAGATGCGGCTCCTTGTCGAACGCGGCATCGAAGCTAAGAATTGGCCGGGATCCCTTCAAACAGTTGCCCACAAAGTTTAATTCGTCCATGGTGTGTACTAGGAGGCGCATTAATGACTGCGCATCAGCTGGCCATCAGGGTTGACCATCAGGGCATTGTACTTACGGTTCTGCACGTGGAATTTACACGTAGGACCATTCGGGCTAGAGGATAGGTGCATGTAAAGGTCCTTTCCCTTTCGCGCCTCGAAGAACATGATGTTGTTGCAGTTCTGAAGAAGCGCATTCTCATTGAGGAGCCACAGTTTGGACTTGGAATCGAATTTGGTGTCTTTTCGGCTGTGAGGTAGCAGGGAGGCCAGGTCGTTGAGCAGATGCCGATGCCTGAGGTGAGTAGTGCAATTAGCAGTGATCTCCCGAGAGAACCAAAGCGATCGACTGGGAAAGGAAAGGCCTACCTGTATGTGACACCGCGAGAGGAAAGAATCAGGACCCTCTGTCTGTTCTTGCGAACAGGGGCGCCAGAGCCCTCCGCCTTGTCGCCATTGGCCTTCGACAGCGACTTGTACACTGAAGCCATGCTTGCAGCTGATGTTGAGAGAGAGGAAGCTGTCAAGAAAGGACACGCAAGACTGCCTATGCGACACCTTGGATGTTATCACGAACTGCGCAGAAACGCCCCGCCAGTTGCGAAACCATTTATCCAGATGAACTTTTTTTTCTGGGCCAGGAAGGATTTTGGATCCACAGATAGCGTCAGTGTCAGCCTTATCTTAGCGCGAATATGGCGCGCGCCAACGTGGCGGCAGCCGTGGCGGTGTGGGCTGGCGAGAATAGGGCGTACATGTGACTTCACCACGAACAGGCGCCAATACGCAAAGACCTGGCGTCTCTTTGCGATGCGGACTCCGTCGGGTGTGAATGCCGGGTTTCGAGCGCTTGCTTCACAGAGGCAAGGGCAAGGGTGATTCGGATTGCGGTTTTTGGCGATGTGATGTGGCGATGTGATGTGGCGACGAAACACTCTACTTCATGGGACAGAGATAGAAGCAACACATGGAGTTGCGTCCTCCGGGTCACGGAGTCGATGGAGAGCTTGGTGATTTGTAGAATCAAGTATTGATTGATCATAGTCATCGCGAGTTCATTCAATTAAGCAGTGCCAAAGCAGTAAAAATGAGATATCCTTGACAACCACCCCACAAGTCCAAGAACCCAGGGCGAGATAACCGTCGTGCCGGGGAGTGTCCCCAAGCAATCCTGACCAAAAGCAGCGCGAACCATCTCAGTGTCTTATGCCTCTCGCTGCACATAATCCAGCCAATATATGACGCCGTGCATCATCATCATCCCAACCCAATAACCCCGAGAACGGCCCAGCGAAAAGCTAACAGCATCCGGCCTTCTTTCCTGCTCCGTCGTCTACAGGCTTGCTGAGGGAAATGTTTGTGCCGGCGCCAATGGTAGCCTGAGCGCCGTCGCCGCTGTCAAGGGCCTTGCTCGAAACGATCCGGTAGATCTCTGTAAGGAAAGGGTCGGTCAGTCTTCAATGTCGGCAATACAAGACATACATTGTGGATAGGACCACATACCCGTCAGAATGTTCTGGAATGCCAGCTCGACATTACTTGCGTCAAGAGCAGAAGTTTCGATGAAAGAGAGGTGGTTTTCGCCTAGAGAAATCGCTTGTCAGTATTCTCTAGCAAAGAGCATACCTTGCGTTGATACTTACTGGCAAAAGCCTTTGCCTCTTCGGTCGGTACGGCCCTCAGGTGTCGCAAATCGCTCTTGTTACCCACAAGCATAATCACGATGTTGGCATCGGCGTGGTCCCGCAGCTCTTTGAGCCATCGTGTGACGTTCTCGTACGTCTGGTGCTTGCTGATGTCGTAGACAAGCAGCGCACCCACAGCACCTCGATAGTAGGCCGAGGTGATCGCGCGGTAACGCTCTTGGCCGGCAGTATCCCAAATCTGAGCCTTGATCGTCTTGGAGTCGACCTGGATGGACCTGGTGGCAAACTCGACGCCGATCGTGGACTTGGAATCGAGATTGAACTCGTTGCGGGTGAACCGACTCAAAAGGTTGGATTTTCCGACACCAGAGTCTCCGATCAGAACCACTGTGCAATATAGATCATCAGCCTCTTCACGTTCAATGCATTGCAGCCTTATCGCTTGCGGCCTCGCCGGGGTATCGTACCTTTGAAGAGAAACTAGCGGGGCGTGTTGTCAGTACTGGTTACGTATGGAGGGGAAGCAATCTGTGCGGGATAGGGGGGGCGCGGAGGTGCGGAGGTTTGACTTGCGCGGCGGTAAACTCACATCGTACTCGTCGTTGGCCATCTTGAATGGAGTGTGATATGGGTGCGAGAGTTGGGGAACGGCGCAGGATGATGCTGTGATGTTTGCGGGTGCGCTTCTCGTGCTCCTGGTTGGGATTTCGGTGGTGATGGGCGGGAAGACAAAGGGACCTGCTGGTGCGGCTCCTGGCGAGGTTGCAGGAGCACGGTGGATTAAGCCACCTAATAAACCGCAGTTCCCCACTGTGAGGCAGCGACGTTTGGCCTGGGAGACCGCTTAAAAACCGGGGCTTCAGTGCCGCAACAGCCCAGTCTTGCTTTGATCCAGCCCTGGAGTGCACTCGTATGTACTGTTTGTTTTGTGGAGGACCCCCGAAGTACCTAAGTTTTTGCGTTCTATTCTCTGTCTCCTTGCTGTATTTAGTTCCCTTACTTGACCTAAAGTACCTATATAGTTAGGTACCTACCTTACCTCCTCCACTCGACTGGCTCTCCTTTTTCTTAATTGGCAACTCAAACAGCCAGCTGTCCTATCTCGAATGATCCGCACCGCCCCTGATCCCTTTGCGTTTCCTTTGCCGTGACTCTGTTCCCAGTGAGCAGCCGGGTGTTGTGTCCGGGTGTTTGGGCAGCCGAAACAGTAGGAGGGTCAATCAACACACACACCTCAGTGCTGGCTGGCATGCTTCAATGAGCCCGCCCTTCAGACCGACCAGCTTGAACAACCCTTCATGTCACGTGCACGTGCAGGGTGCGAGGGAGTTTGACACAAAGGACCTAACTGAGTGCCTAATAAGTACATGCTTTAGATGTACCTAAGGCGGTCACACACCTACTGTGTTGCCTTGGTTTCTTATCCAAAGGGATCCATCTGATCCGGAGATCCAAAGTACCCAAAATTTGGTCAAATTTTGAGAGGTTTTGTTGTCATAGCCGTTTTGAACTGGAGTGAAAATTAGTGTGTACTTAATGTGTCTCCCAAGCGGGGAAAGATGCATAGGTCAACGTTGTTAAGGGGTTTCGATTTTTTTTGGTGGTGAGATCCAACTCCGTCCTCCCCACAACTTTGACTTGAACCAGGCTCACAGCATAGAAGTTGGGCTCAGGGCTAATAACAAGGTTTTACAGCAGACCCAGAGCCTTGCCGTCCCATTCCACGCGTACAAGGCTCGCGTGCAAGTTTGGCATTCAAGTGAAGCTCTTGCAATTCGCTCCAGATGGCTGCCCGCCGTAGCGTCGGTCCTGGCCCTGTTCCATGTGTACATCAAACTTGCTATGGACCACAATATCGATTTCGTCAATGGGCTCCCATAGGGGCTTAGTCGAGAGCTGCACTGACTATAGAGTGAGATGACTGGGCACCGAATTTGGGTAAGACTTATACTAGGAGAGTCCGTGGTAGGTGCTCGAGGTTCAGTCTAGGCGCTCCATGCCTAGGGCACAGAACAACTTCACTTCACTTAATTATTAAACATAAAGTGAGTCTGATTCGACCTGCCAAACGAGGGAATCACAACCCAGAGCCGGCAATTGGCCCTTCTGAATGGATAATTGAAACGTATTCACTCCCTCAGTCGTCACAAAGAAGAAGAAAGAAAAAAAGGGCAGCGGTGCAACACTCTTCTATTCATTTTGCATCTGGCCAGGCAGCACCACTCACCGCCCTCGCTAATCAAATTCGTGATAGATCGATCACAGCTGATCTCTTGTGCATCCTGCTCCAGACAACGCACCATCCATCTCCAAACCTCGATCGATACCTCTTCATGACATCCGGCCCTTCTGCGGGCCTTTGCGTCACAGTTTCTTCAACGAGTCCAGTCCGAGACGAGGGGACTAATTAACTGATTGACTATCGAGCGGAAGGTCCGTGCTCAGCATTTCGACTATCAACAAACAATCAAATCCCATGCGACAGATCTGAGATCCTGCAGTACCTGGGTTTCTTCTCTGAACTCACATCAACGATGCTTTTCGTCCTAGCCATAGGCTGACATCCGAACGAGAAGCATCAGTGGCTATAGATGGAATAGCCGTGTGAGCAATTTGTGCGCCCGCTAGTCTCATATATTCATCCATCAACTTCAGACCTCAGACTCCGAGCGATCATGGCTGATCCCAATTCATCTGCGCATGGCCCTCTTCAATCTCAAGACGAGATATCGGCACAGAGCGACCTGGAAGATGACATTTCCATCACTTCCACCATCTTCGAGGAGCCGGGTGAAGATGACACCGAATATGTAGTTGAGGACATCATGGCTGAGCGGCTCATCGACGGCGAGATGAAATACCTCGTCTATTGGTCTGGCTTCCCTAAGCATGAGTGGACATGGGAGCCAGATAGCAATCTGGGGCCAGAATTACGCAGCATCTGGGAAGAGGACAAGAAGAAGCATGCCACGGGAGAGAAGCCAAAATTCGATGTGAAAGAGTACGAAGATGCGATAGCGGCAGCGCACAATGCAGCCGAGGATGCTCGAGAGGCTCGTCACGACAGGAGGAACGAGAAGCGGAAACGGCTCGGTCTCCCCAGCACGTCTTTTGTGAGAGATCCCCTGCCGTCCATGGATTCGGCTATGGTCAATCAACACTCGAGTTCCAGTGATGAGGCCATCGAACACGATACAGTGGACGACTCCCACGCCGAGGCCTCGACTTTGAACAAGCCCCGACAGAAGACCTTCAAGGGAATTCCTGAGCCTCATTCAAACAAGTCCACTTCAGAGAAGCCAAGAGCTTTCATTTCCAGATCACCAAATGAAACAGGAACATCACAGCGTCAGACGGCACACCAACCCGCCGCGCCTACTATTGGGCGAGTGCATCCCCAGAAGGCCTCTCCGGCCGCTTCTACTGCTGGGCATCAAGGGACTGCAGCAAAGCCGGTACAAAGTCAATTTGCGAGGAGATTCGCAGGAGGCAATATTGTCAAGCACTCAAGCCAACATCCAAAGCCCAAACCGGCAGAGAGCTCACCCATGCCTTCCTCTCGCCCAAACACCGGAAAGAACTTCACAGCCCGCAAATCGGTCACCATACTGGGCAATGCTTTCGTGGATGGGAAAAGGGTGGCGCGACGAAAGAAACTGGATGAAAATATGCTTGATCCAGCCAAGGAACCAAAAATGTTTCCGAACTTCCGACGTGTGCGCCAAGCAGAACTCAGAGAACGCAATTTGAACGACCGCGCTCCTGACATATCACAGATTCAAGACAAGGTCTTCGAGATATCCAAGGGCCCGGAGCCGCGCAAAACCCAGGCAGCCATTGCAACATCTGCAACCTGCAAGCAGGTCAACACAGATAGTGTGCACCACAATGGGGACAAGCAAACCCAGAAGAAGACACGCAAATCTGTCTCGTTTGCAGTTGTCGAGGAAGACGTTGACAAAACGGCAATCGACAATTCTGCCAACCGTTCTACCACAAGCGACACCGCGAGTGCTGAGGCAGAGAGCCCCTTGCATTCATTTGTCTCCCGGAAGGCGCAAGAACCCAGGGCTCAGCCACAGCGCGTTGAAAAGCATATCAAATTGGGGAGGCAAGACGCCCGAGAACTCGTGGTCACATTTGATGGGACCGTGGCAGACGACTCCCAAGGATGGTCAGTCTCATTTCTCCGGGAGTCGTGCTTGCTTTTCGGTCATTCCGTGTTCGCACAGTCCTTTCTCGATCAACAAATGTCATTTCATCATACAACACTTGGTGAAGGGACCATCACTTCAGACAAACATCCGCTTTTGCTCGATGGGATCGTGGGACGTCTGATAGCAGAACATGCCGGTCTCTACCTGAGCCGTCCTGATTATAATATCCTGCTGTATCCTGGAAGCTGCGCCGAGTGGGAGTCCGCGAAGATCGGCACCATTACCTCCGCCACGGAGCGTCCCGTACTCAGATATGTGATCTTTAGTTCGCATTTTGATTGTGGACCGTTTCTCAGATCATCGCCGATCGCAGGTCAGCCAACAAAAGCCATGGCCTCGGAGGGCGGTCGAAGAGAGTTGATGAAAGACATCTTTGGCCTGAAGGCTGACGACTTCAACCGCATGGTCTCTCCGAGTAGCAGTGCTCCAGTGGATGGCCCCCGCATCTATTTGGCATTCTCCCCGTCTCAGATCGAGCTTTTGAAGCAAGTTGGCTGGTGGTTTCGAGAGTGTGCCCCAACGAGTCACATTCTGTCCACCAGCCAGAGTGGGAGCTGGACCGCATTCGCGTTGATGGCGACAGAACAGCAAGCCACTATCATTGTCCATGCAGAGGTGCTCGGAGCTATTCGCCGCTTTCCGAATATCGCCCAACTACTTCAGAGCCAATTGCAGCACCAAATATGGTGCTTGAATGAATCGATTGAAGACACGTCCCGGCCGAGTATTGTTGGCCTGACCCAGTTGTTTCCTTGCGGGACCGCTGTATTGGTCACACCGAGCTTCATTGTTACCGAGCCTCGACGAGCCTACGAACTTTTTGACTGGTTCATCCGCAGAATCAGAAATAAAGAGTCCGCTCCGTTCAAACTGGTAACGGCGTCAGGTATCTCGGACTATCTCGAAAGCCTGGCTTTTGAGAAGGCCTCGCGACGAGAAGAGCTCCTAAGGACTTTGGCGGCTAGAGCAGAAGCTGACAGGGAGAATGCGGCATACCAAGAGGGCCTCTCCGTGAAAGAGTGCGAGGCACGCCTCAAAACATGGAGACTCGTGTCCGACAAAGTCATGTGGCACGACGTCTCCCACCCGTTGGATCGATATGGAGACGATCATTTCTTCGTCTATGCCGACGAATGTATCGACCCAAATGATGAACAAAGTCTAGTCAACTGGTTTGGCTACTGGTCTATGTCGAGGCTGGATCAATTTCGAAATTTCCACGTTGTTGGCTCCAGCCATAGCATCAAAAAGGAGCGCCCGAAACGAGCCAGGCGCATGGTTCCAATACCCACTTACACCAAAGTGTCGACTTCCGATCCAAACGAGTACTTGAAGCGACTCGATGTGTTTTCCTCGCTGTCCCTCGATGCCATGGCCACCGACGATGGACCGACGGCAAGCTCTCAGATTCTTGGGGCACATGGTCAAAACGAGTCGAGGAACAGTCTCCGGAGTGGCACATTGCATCAGAGCCAGCGATTCCCCGGTGAAGACGTGAAGGACTTGCGTCAGTTTCTTTGGGGGCAAGTGTCTCTGTGCAAGAAACAGATGCAACTCTACGCCGTTCCTATTCTTTGGGCCGATCCGCAAGAAGCCGCCAATCAGCCTTACAAGGATACAAACAAAAAAACGATACAAGACTGGTTTGCCTTTGGCGATCCATTTAATCGCCAGTACGACACCTACGTTGGGCTGTTTTACACCGTGGCGGATGAGTGGAACCCGGACGATGCAGCTCCTGGACAGCGGCCAACGAGATGTCCTTGGCTAGGGATCTGGCGTCCAGTCGGGGCGCAGAAGAAGAATTCTTGCTCCGAATTGTTCATTTGGGATGTCAAAGCGCCATCAAAGGTTCCAAAGTCTGCCTCAGCGGTGCGGGAGGAAGACCTGAGCACTGCGCAGCGAAAAGTACTGGACTATATTCGTGCGCACGGTGAAGAGAAAAAGGGGCCAGCCGCCAAGCTGGACAAGGTCTGGCTGGGCGGATATGACGTTCCACAACGATTTGCCAACGATCTCGACACTACCATTGACGTTTTACGGAACCACCTGATCCCAAATCTCTTCTCTTTCCTGCCGCCCTTGCCAGAGTTAATCTTGAAGAAGGGATTCAGGCGGGTCTTGCGGTCCTCGGAGGAAATGCCAGTCGAGACAGGTGATGCTGAGGCAGAGCAGCCAGCTGTGGATTGCGAAGACAAGTCGTCAAAGATTGTGTTTCACCCCCCGCAAGGCCAAAGTAATGCTAGCATTGCGCCTAGAAGTCGCAACCGGCTGCACACCCGTGTGCAATACGTACGGGGCCGCGACCCGGCGGCTCAAACATTTGCCTACGAATACCTCCCGACGATGGCCTGGTACGAGGAGCAAAAGGCGCAGGGATGTGGGTTCGAGCATATCAACGTGAACGAATGGGAGCAAGTCTTTGCGGCACTCGAAGTCAGAAAGAACTAGGAGTCTCTCAACCGCCAAGGTGTATGAGACGAGGCGTGTGGATGTCATGATGTGTTGGCGGAAAGGGGGAGAGGGTTTTTGGCTGTCGTTGAGGGATGCATTCTGTGCGCAAACACCCGCGAGGCATTCGTCAGTAGTGTACTTATAGATTCTCTCATATCGCGTCACTGCGGTACATGTGCCTTTTGCAGCTTATCAGTCGGCGTCAATACAGAAACAAGAAAAGCGACTTTTAGAGTCTGGCTGGAGCCCTTTGGGGTTCCGGCCGTCCCATCATTTACTCGGACTGCTTGCAGTCCACAGTCCAAAAGAAGCAGTCCTTCCTTTTGCTCCGAGTCCATAACATGCTATGGCTCAGGCGAAAGGAATGTCGGCCGGCAATGCTTGTTTAGTGGCTTTGCAAAGTCCGTTGAGAGAAACAATTCGCAAGTCATTTCGGTGTGTGGTTGAAGCCGATCGATTACTCGACTTTATCTTGTCATTGCCCCACGCCTGCGTGCCCTATCTATCTACCTACCTCTTTGTCTGAACTGATAAGCTCCAAGCAATGGCGGCGGGCAGCTACCAGAGCTTTAACCGTACCTCAAGCATTGGAGGTGGTCATGTCGGATGCAAACCCAAATCTGACTCTGTACTAGGCCTGTCCCGTTTCTTAGGACTCGTCGTGTAAACTAGTTCATCTCCTGTCTTGTGTATTCTACCTTCCCGCCTCAAGCGCGCCAGTTCTCCCACGCTCTCCCACAACATGTCGCATTCACACGACGGAGTCAGCCACTCCCACTCTCACGAGGGCGTCTCAGCTGTAGAGCACGGCCACTCGCACGAGATCCTCGATGGGCCCGGCAGCTATCTGGGCAGAGAAATGCCCATCGTCGAGGGCCGCGACTGGAACGAACGGGCCTTCACAGTCGGCATTGGAGGGTATGTCAACTAACCCCCCCCCGGCAGATGGGGCCTGCCCGTCTAGATATCAATATCGATCGATGCTGACTGTATCCTTCCTTTGCCCCTTGACCACAGGCCTGTCGGGTCCGGCAAGACAGCCCTCATGCTCGCCCTGTGCCTCGCCCTGCGCGACCGCCTCTCCCTCGCCGCCGTCACCAACGACATATTTACGCGCGAGGACGCCGAGTTCCTCACGCGCCACGCCGCTCTGCCCCCGAGCCGCATCCGTGCCATCGAGACGGGCGGCTGCCCCCACGCCGCCGTCCGCGAGGACATCAGCGCCAACCTCGCCGCCCTCGAGGACCTGCACCGCGCCTTCTCGACCGACCTGCTGCTCATAGAGTCCGGCGGCGACAACCTGGCCGCCAATTACAGCCGTGAGCTCGCCGACTTTATCATCTACGTCATCGACGTGAGCGGCGGCGACAAGGTGCCGCGCAAGGGCGGACCCGGTATCACCCAGAGCGACTTGCTCGTCGTCAACAAGACCGACCTGGCCGAGGCCGTCGGTGCCGACCTCGGCGTAATGGAGAGGGATGCGCGCAAGATGCGCGAGGGCGGCCCTACCGTGTTTGCACAGGTCAAGAAGAACGTTGCCGTCGATCACATTGTCAACCTGATCCTGAGCGCTTGGAAAGCAAGTGGCGCCGAGGAGGTATGCAAGGCCCGTGGCGGGCCGAGGGCGACGGAGGGGCTGGAAGAGCTCAGACCTGGAACGACCAACTGATCAGAAACCCCCTCGAGGCAACACTGCGCACTGTCACCATATATTCGTGCATTTGAATAAAGAAATATGCATTGCCATCTATTGCGCCAATGGGATCTACATGTCGTACCATCATGGGTCGTGGGAATCAAATGTCTAAGCCATATCCTCGTCCATAGAATCGGCCGGCGCTGCCTGGCCCGCCCCCATCGAGACGAACAAGGAGCCATAAAAGGGCCTCGAATTCCTCGGCCACACTCTCTTATAGAGACTCACACCAATGGTGTCCTGGGGGTTGATGCGACCGTCAAAGGTGGCCTTGAAGTAGCCGTGTGTACCCAAACTCTCCTTGATAAATCCGCTGCGGCCCCTCTTGGTCCACAAAGGAAGGGCTTTGAACCACTCGACATCCTCACGGTTGAAGAACATGTAACGGATGGTGACGATCTTCTTGTGGATGTGGTACGGGTGTCCGGTGAGGATGACCCGCTTGGCAATGACACGAGAAGTGGAAGGAGGCATAGCTGTTCCCGTAGCGACAAGCGTCAATGGCACGTCCGACGCCTCGGTACCATCCTCTCCGCCAGAGGCAGACCGCTTGAAGAACAGAGTCGGAACGGCGCCCCAGGTCACGGGGCCCATGAACGTAGCAACGGCCGACTGCCCTGGATGCAAGTAGCGGCAGTACTTGTGTACATCATTGGGCGTGTTGCCACCCTGGGAGAAGAGCGGATTGATAACAAAGCGCCGAGGGCCGCACTGCATGATAAGCTCTTCCTTGGATTTGATCGAGAATGGATGATCCGAGCTGAGGTTGATGAGGAAGTTGAGCGCCGTGCGCTTATTCTCGTGCCTGAGCAGCGAGAAGAGAGTGACTGGCTTGGATGGGCTATACAACTCTTTGACGGATTCTGGAACGCCCTTTAGGAAGATAGAGACGCGGGTGCCGGGCTCAACACCTCCCACCAGCGCCTCACGTGTTGAGCGGACTCGCGATGAGCGGTAATCGGAGATTCTGAGAAGCCTCTGCCACTCCTCGGGTTCGTAGGCACGATCCTCATCCTCCTCCCAGGGACTGAAGGTCAGGCTCTTGAGACCGCGGTACCGTGCCAGCCGCTCCCTCGCCAGTACGTTGGGATGCAGCTCAATCTCGTCAGGAAATTCGAGATCATCCTCTGCCTCGTCGCGCTTGGCGGCCCTGTAGGCAGCGAGCTGCTCCGCGTCCTCGGCCTCGTTGGGCTCAACAAACATCTCCGACTGTGGATACTCTGACTGGCCGACCTCGGTTTGGGCATCGGCTACACCCTCCGTGCCATCCTCGGGAGCAGCCTGAGCAGTGTTGGCATCTTGCATGTCGTAATCCTCAAGATCGGATCCCGAGTCGGAGATGTCCTCGTCGTCCAGATACCATGCCGCCTGATAGTTAGATGTGCCTTTGGGCAGCCGTTTTGGAATCCGGTGTTTGGCCGCCTCCTCATCGGAGAAGTAATGGTGTTCATCAAGAAGAACACCCTTCTTGCTGGGCTCTGGAGCCGAGGGAATGGCATCGCCATCTGTATCATCATCCATCTGGTCGTCCATGACGACCTCTTCCGGTGCCAAGTCGTCAAGATCCTCTTGATCCTCCCCAGGCACTGCTAGCGTCTCAACTGCTGCGCCGTCAAGTGTCATGTCGTCGTCCTTTGCCTTTTTTCTTGTTGATAAGGGCGCATCAACGACCTTCTCGATTTGAAATGTTCCCCAGTCACCAAGCTGGACAAGACGGTCGGCCTGTAAGCCCTTGCCACGTACTACTCCAGTGACCACAGTAGAATCAGCATCGGTAGCAGCGAACTGAACATCCTCAGCGAGAATCCAACTCCTCTCATCCCGCCAACGTACACCCTTTGGCGTCGTGCTGCATAGAGAACGCATCAAGTTGGAGCATTCTTGCCTGTTGTCGAGGCTGTAGAGCTTTTCCTGGTCCGGGTGAAAGTGACGCATGTAGGACTTGAGGGAATCGAGAACGGACAGCCTCTGTTTGGAAGGCTCGACCTTTGCGAGACCATGAACCACTGTGAAGAGGGTAGAAAGACCTTGGCTCTCCACGCTGCGCAAAATAAGCTCTCCAACGTCGTCGACCTCTTCTTCAGCCGACAGGATAACAACGACAAAGTCGGCGACTCGAGCGGCATCGAGACAGGCAGTGAGGTCCCTATCGACGGGGAAATATTGTAGTTTCTGCTTGAAACGGTCGACAGACACCCTGTTGCAGCCGGCCTTGAGCTCGGCCTCGATATCGAGACTGCTATTCAAAGCAGCAATCGCAGCAGTGGCGTCGCAGTCACCGCACAGCGGAATGACAGCGACATTTCTGGGAGCACCATCTCGTCCGTTGAAGACGGAAGTCTCTTGCCGGTGCTCGCGCTGCTTCTCCAGCTGGCGTTGGCGGTTGTGGTTTCGACGGTCGAGTTTCGACATGACTTGTTGCTGGGGGGTCCTCCTCCGTTCGTTTGGTACTTTGCCTGTGCGGGGCAGGAGGGGTTAATGACTGTCGATTGTAGAGCGGGCAGAAGGGCGGGAAGAAGGCAGGCATAGAACATCATTTTCCTACCTTTTGACTGGTCGCGCAAAGCGCCTTTGGTGGTTTTCTTAGACTTGAAGGCCTTGTGGGAGACCTTTGTAGTCGGGCGGTGACTATGCCCTGCTACAGCGGCCGGCATTTTTCCGGTTGTTGCCTGGGTTGATTAAATCACTCCTGTTGTGGCAAGTCAAGACGGCGGTGTGACTCTAGGGATACAAGCAATCCAAACAATGGTGGGAGCAGAAGAAATGACCAGAGGGTTGGGGCCAGGACGGCGCTCAATTCTTGACTTGGACCAACAATCGCCAAATGCAGGAGGGGTCTCCCCTCTACGCCTCACTTCTTGTTCAAAAATTCGATTCTGAAATGTGGGATTGCGCTTATCGCGATAAGATAGGATCTGCATTATCCCCGCCCACAGCCAATAGACCCGTGCCGATTAGGGTGAAAAGTGGGTATACGTTGCATTCTCCGCAGAAAAAAAAGTCTCCCAGCAGGTCCAACCTCAACTTGTAGATTTCCGCCTATCTTCTAAGCAGCTTTCAGACGTCGGTACTGCGCGAGATCCCGGACACACTTCATATGGCGGACGCAGTGATGGATCGAGACGCTTCCGCCGCCAAACCCGAGCCGAATGGGGCACTGACGGTTCGCGATGCCCGTACCGAGTTCATGTCCAAAGCAGAGCAGGAGAAGCGGCGTCGAATCAAACAAGCCAACCAGGCTTATGGCCGTGGCCGACAGATCAACGTCAAGACTATCCGCGATAAGAAGCTGCGCAGAAACCTCAAGACGCTCGAAAACAAGTATCAAGATGCGGCACTCAAGGCTAAGGATGCCGAAATTCTCCTCGAAAACACGGCCGGGTTTCTCGAACCCGAGACGGAACTGGAGAAGACTTACAAAGTGCGGCAGAGCGCCATCAAGACAGATGTAGCCATTGAGACGGCACAGAAGGGCTTCGAGCTCAAACTGGACCAGCTCGGCCCGTACGCCTTGGACTATACCCGCAACGGCAGAGAAATTCTTCTAGCTGGAAGGAAGGGCCATGTTGCGACCATGGATTGGCGCGAGGGAAGGCTGGGGTGCGAGTTGAATCTAAAAGAGACCATCCGGGACGCAAAGTGGCTACACAACAACCAATTCTTTGCTCTGGCACAGAAGAATGCTTGCTATATATACGACCACAACGGAGTAGAAGTCCATCGTTTGAAGAAACACACCGATGTTACTCATCTAGACTTCCTCCCGTACCATTTCCTTCTGACTACCTTGGTAAGACTCGCTTGATATGCATGTGAGTTTCCAGCCGCTGACAACCCTCCAGAGCAGTACCGGTCAACTCAAATATCAAGACACGTCAACGGGTCAGCTTGTCTCCGAGATCTCCACCAAGATGGGCACACCGACGTCCTTGAGGCAAAACCCCTACAATGCCGTCTTGCACATTGGCCACCAAAATGGAGCGGTGACTCTCTGGTCGCCGAACTCTTCGGAACCTCTTGTGAAGCTCCTGGCACACAAAGGCCCAGTCCGGTCATTAGCCGTCGATCGGGAGGGGCGGTATATGGTCTCCACGGGTCAGGATTGCAAGATGGCCGTCTGGGATATCAGGATGTTCCGCGAAGTCAACAACTATTTTACGAGGGCCCCTGGCACCTCTGTAGCGATTTCAGATACTGGCCTCACAGCTGTTGGCTGGTCTACAAACACGACGATCTGGAAAGGTCTCTTCTCAAAGCATGCTGCTGAGCAAGAGAAGGTACAAAGCCCGTACATGGCTTGGGGCGGCGAGGCGAAGCGTGTCGAGAGAGTCCGATGGTGTCCCTTTGAAGATGTGCTTGGCGTCGGTCACGACTCTGGCTTCTCATCACTGCTCGTACCGGGGGCTGGTGAGTCCAACTTCGATGCGCTAGAGGTCAACCCATTCGAGACCACCAAGCAGAGGCAAGAGGCCGAGGTCAAGGGCCTCCTCAACAAACTGCAACCCGAGATGATTGCTCTCGATCCCAACTTTATCGGCAACTTGGATCTACGGTCAGAACAGCAACGTCGGGAGGACAAGGATCTCGATGCCCCTGCTGCCGACATCGCCGCCGAGATCAGGAACAAGGCGAGAGGGAAGAACAGTGCGCTCAAGAAGTATCTCCGCAAACAGAGGAAGAAGAACATCATCGACGAGAAGAGATTACGCGTGGAAGAGATCTACAAGGAGCAACAGCAAAAGAGACAAAGGAAGTACAAGGAGAAGCAGGAGGAGCTCGGCCCAGCCCTTGCCCGTTTCGCGAAGAAGGAGTAGACATGTGGCCACTGTGCTACATCAGCAATGATACCCAAGATTACGAAGACTGTGGATACACGATGCTTTTCGCTGACCCGAACTTTTCTCTAACGCTCCCGCCCCTATCCCGTGCAATATAGTACATGTATGTGCGCCATTGATCACTGCTGTCTTCTGCGTGCCGACTCTGTAGGCTCCGCACACCTTGCCTGGGCAGTCCCGCTTTGCGGCGCCTGCGCATGTTCTTTCCTCTCTCGAGCAGGCTGGAGAGACGAGACTTACTTCTCTCCACGCCTCAACAGGGCCGTTCTCATACCGCATCTGTCACACGGTGCGCCCTCGTGATCATAGCAGTTTCAATTGGCCAGTGACCTGGTCGACCAGGCTCTTGGGCGCCGGGCCCACGCCCAGCACAGTCAGGCTACCAGCGTCGATTTGTGTCCTGCCGGCGTCGGCAATGACCTCGGCCGTGACGCCCAGGCTCCGCGCTTTACCCATCAGCTCCAATATCTCATCTTGGCTCTTAGTCTGCACTGCGATCTTGGCCTGCCCGTGCCGCTCCCAGCGCGCCAACAGGCGGGCCTCGGGCGACGAGTCTCCCTTCTTCTGCGCGGCCTTGGTCAGGCTCTTGTAGCACGCCAGCGTGGCGTGGCCGCACTGTGCCGCGATCTTGCCTTTTGTGGCGACACGACGTCAGTAATCCGAGTTGAGATATAATCATAGGGAGGTGCATGTGGAGAATAGACGTACCTTTGGTCATTCCAAGATCTGTCCGAACCACAAGCACAAGCTTGCACTCCTCGTTTTTGTCGACGATGTCTGCGGCCGGTGGCGACGGTTTCTTTTGCCTCTGGGCATTGGTGATATTGGCTCCGTCCTGCACCTTCAGGCCTTGTCTCCGGTCCGCTTCGGCGCCGTTTGCCCAGTTAGGCGCATGGTCTAATATGGTGTCGGCCTCGTCAATGTCCGACTCCTCGCTCTCCTCGGGGTCCTGAATGTTGCGCCGGCGCTCCTCGGCCAGGGCAGGTGAGATAAGGTAGCCGCGGATCGAGTAGACACCGAGCATGAAACCCGATATGAAGGCAATGGCGGTAGTCGTGGCGATCGCAATCACCTGCGTGTTGCGTTCTGCCATGCTGAGCGACTGTTATCGATCTTCTGCTGAGCAGGAGGACTATGGAACGATGGTTGCAGAGCCTGGTCAGATCGCTGTTCGCTGTTTGCTCGATAAGAGGGGCTCGTGGAGGTGTAAAAATCCGACCGAATGCCGTTCAAGGTTGGGAGTGCAAGCCTGGTTGCTTGGTATTGGTGGTGATGATGATTATTGTTCGAACTTGAAATTCTTGACAGTCTAGGTACCTAGGTATCTAATAGAAATTGTGTCATAGCACCCTCCAGGGCTGCCTGCTTTCAATTGTGGCTCCAAAGTACCTACCTGAGTTAGGTAAGTTAGGTAAGTTCAGGTACAATAATAAGCAGGGATGGGATGGAATTATGCAACTGAACGCCGCCCACAGTGGGGAAGTTGCGCCGAGAACATTGAACGACAACATCAAATCATTGATCCATCCATGGATCGGCGGCGGGATCGGGACAATTTGATGCGGCTACCAGCTTCACAATCGTGAAACGCTCTTCCTGTCGTTTATATTGATGTGATTTCACACTTCTCGAGCCTTTTGTTTGGTGACAACCATTCTAGTGCCGAAGAAGTCTCTCGTCTCACTCGATTGCCCTTGCTTGCCTCCTTTGAAGACCGGCGCAATACCTCACTTGAACCCTCGCCTGCTTTTTGTACCTGCCATGGCCGAGCAAAAAGCACTCATTGTCGGCATAAGTGGCTGCTCTTCCAGCGGCAAGACAACTCTAGCACGGCTTCTTCGCGACATTTTCCCAGAAGCCTTCATCTTGCATGAAGATGATTTTTACAAAACGGACGAAGAGTGAGCGGCCCTGAGAGAAACATCTCTTACATCTACCCGGAGACAATCCCAAAAGGAAAAGGAGGCTAAAAGATTCATCATGTAGCATCCCCGTCAAAGACGGCCTCCAGGACTGGGACTGCATAGAGGCCCTGTCCGTGCCAGACATGGAGCAGTCCCTGCAGCACATCCGCTCCAGTGGCACCTTTCCGGTCAGTCCCTCCACTCGCCGTCTATGCCACCGCAGCGAGCACGGCTGTAGCGTTGATTGCCTCGGGGCCAAATACCCTCCTGCGTCATCCTCCACGCCTCTCGCTCGCACTGAAGGGCCCGCTCTTACCCAAGCTTCATCTGCGCAGCCTACACTCGAGTCCAAGGAGGACCAGAACTCTGTTGGCCAGCGTCCTGTTTCCGACGCAAAGATCGCCGCCGCCAAGGCGAGGGTGCACCGGTGGCTCCAGCCTGGGCAGCCAGGGCACGATATCTTGATCAGCAACGAGGCTCCCACGAAAATATGCCTACTGGACGGGTTCCTGCTCTACAGCCGCGATTTGGCAGGGGTCATGGACCTCATCGACATCAAGCTCTTCCTACTCGTGAGCCACGCCAAGGCAACGCAACGGCGAGAAGCTCGCGACGGCTACGTAACTCTCGAGGGCTTCTGGAAGGATCCACCCGGATATGTCGACAGGATCGTCTGGCCAAATTACGCCAAAGCGCACGCATGGCTATTCAAAGATGGAGACGTCGAGGGCGAGTTGGACGAGCGTGTGCTGGTTTCGAAGGGGATCAAAGCACAGATGGGCAGAGGTTTGGACATTGATATGGAAACGACGCTCGACTGGGCGGTTGAGACGATCATTCTTGAGTTAGAGAGGCGGCTTCGTTAGCCATGCCTTCGGCTATTTAACTGCGTAGAATAAATAGACTTCCTTCCAAGCGGTAATATGTGTTGCAACATGTGTGCCTCTCTCCCACCCAAAATCCTTGTCCCTCCTAGGAAACTATAGCACTCTCTCTACATCGTCTTCGTTCTTCCTTTTTCTTTTTGACTTTGACACTTCAGAGGAGCTGATTCTTGTACCGTTCTGGCTAGTGACTCTCTCCTAACTCTGCCAGACATCGGACTTTGTAGCCGAAGTGTCGCAAGAGGCTGGCACGGTGTACGTGTGGTTCGGGTCTGCTTCCCACCTCACACTCCCATCGGTCTGGACGTTGATGTATTTGTACTGAATCACCTGGCCGGCCTGGAGATTGATCGTAACCGTCCAGAGAGGGTTATTAGCCGTGTACTGAGACGCGCTGAGAGGCACGGCCTTGGAAGTATCCCAATTGCCCAGAGCGTCTGTGTTCCCGACAATCTTGATGGTCTGGCCCCAGGTTGTTGTCACACGCTCGTTGAAGGTGACAGACACCGACGATGCGGGCACGCAACTATCAGTGGTGGTTGTCGACGGCCCGGTCTGGGTCGTGGTCGAGCCACCGTCGCTGGTGGTCGTGCTTGGCTTTGGGCTGGTCTGAGGTGTCTGAGAAGGCGGGAACGAAGTCTGCGTCGCAGACACGTAGGAGCCACCGATACCGTTGCCCCGACACTGCGAGGGGATTGAGTTGGGAGTGGCGCCCCACGAGGCGGGCACGGAGCCCGCCCTTCGTGCAACAGCCGTCAGGAATGCTGCGTAGGACCAAGTCAAGTCGTGGGCAGAAAGTGGCTGGCCGTTGTTTCTGTCAAACTGCTCTGACAGAGAGCCATTAGGGTATGCACGTGTAGCAACAATGTTGACGAAGCCATCCGCATAGCTGTTGACGGCGTTGTATATGGTGGAGTACGTTGACGAGCCCGACGCGAATGTTCCGGTTGTGGCAGAGGATACGAGATCTTTGAAGAACGGGAGGGAGACTGATGTAATGGTAATGGAACCTTGCTTCTTCCAGATGTACAGCGAGTCGTAGAGCTGCTCGGCTGTGGCGAGGGTGTTGAGATACCACGGATTGCCGTTGTAGTAGCTATCCTCGGGATAGCGGCCAACTGAGAGAGCACTGCCCCGGGGAATGTTTGAGTTGATCGAATAGATGCGAAAGGAGTCAACCACTACTCTCAGGTTGGCCAGGGCCTTGTCGCTACAGGGCTGGAAGGTGTTGACATCGCAACCGGCAGCGGGGTCAAAGTTGTGGATAGATGCCAGAATGGTGTTTGCATCTTTGCCTGAGCGCCCGTTGTTGGTGTTGACTGGGTTGGACAAAGGTTAGTCAAAGCCAACTCGTATCAAGAACAGGCCCATCTGTCTTACTATTTGCAACCATGTACCCCCCAGAAGGAGACCAGAATCTCTGCTGGAAACAAAGGATCTGAGGCGCAATTTGATCGCAAGACGAGCAAGAGGTCCCAAGCGCCTTCGCAAGAGCACTGCCCTCAACCAATGCTAGAAGTATCAGGTCAGTTCTACAGCCCTGATAGGGGTCTCACGAGCCTAGGCTACTGGGACTTGCCTCTGTGTTGAGCCGCGACCGTGAAGAAGGAACTGCCACTGACTTCCTCCCACAAATCGAAACCGGTCTGGTTCCTGATGCACTGTGAGCGTCGCGCACATGACGCATGCTGGGGCCGGAACGGACTCACCAGTACTGTGCAACATAGTTCAGGTCGTTGCGAACAATCGGCCAGATGATGGTGGATGCAGTCGAGCTGTATCCGTTATCAATCAGCCACTTGGCGTAACCGATCATGGCGATGGCACGCAGAGGTGGTCCATCCCTCTGTGGTCGACCTTGCTCAGAATCAGTACCTCGCTCGTTGGTCTAGCCTTGGATGGACGCATCTCACCCCATGCACCATTGTAGGGACTTAGGTTGACGTTGAACTTCGGTTCTCCGAGACCAGACCCGTCACCCAGATTACCAGAAGGGTTCGAAACCCCTTGCAATCGTGCCTGAGAGGCAATGTAGTTTTGAATGGTGGCCTGCAAAGAGCTGTCATATTTTTCGCTAAAGGCCTCGACAATGGCTTTGAGAACGAGGCCAGCATCCCGCGTCCATGTGTAAAAGTCTGCCGAGTTCATGTCAGCCAGGCGAGAGAGCCCGTGTCTTTTTGAGTCCAGCCACTGCACATAACGACTTACAGTCGGGATTGGCCTTGTCGGGCGAGGCAATGACAATTCCGGACTGTACACCGGAAGAATGACAGCCGCTGGGACCAATATTACAGAGAAGCTGCTGCATGGCGTACGGCTTCTCAGTACTAATGAACGAGTCCACCGACCTCTTCAACAACTCGCCCTGATGTCTGGGTTGGGACACTTCCGGACGGCCAAAGACCGTCTGGTAGGCGCAAGCGCCCAGGAGAAGGAGTGACGAAAGACCGTGCATGACGGGCTCGTAGAGAGACTGGTAAGGGCTGGTGTGGTTGACGAATGGATGCTGATGAGAGTTGCCCTGGAGAGAGGCCATCGTGTATTATATACTCGGTCCTCCAAGCTCGAAACACCTTATACCGAATACGTTCTCGCACCACAAAAGGCATAGGCGCCGGCGCGATTTCTCAGTGGCGTCCCGGTGCCCGGTAAAGGCCCGACACCAGCGAGTAACCCGGCAGTGGACGGGCCAAGGGCACAACGGCCTCGTCGACGAGACTTGGAAGGGCCTGGTCGCGCGATCCAGAGCGGGATTGGATGTTGGGATGTTTGACGTTAATCTCGGCAACAGGGAGTCGGGATATGGGGATCCGACTAGCAAGGATGGAGGAGAAAAAGAGCCCTTCTAGGAGAAAGACCGACGTCAAGCCGCTGGTGATGCTGGTGATGCTGGGTGCCGGTACAGCAGGGTGACATCGCCAGATCGCTGGCTTGAGCCCCACGGGGAGAAATCGATCAATACAGCCGAGGCGAGCCTCCAGTCAGGCCGAATCCTGGCGAACTAGTGCTGTCTATTTCCCCGGGGAACTGACCATCTTTTGCATGAGCCCCGGGAATGTGGCGTCCATGTGGAAGTGAGTTCCGGGGGTGAGGGAAGGCATGGCATATGGCAAGGTACGATCAACGTACGGCCGAAGAGCGGGGTCATCAATGAGAGTCGAGCACGACATGGACGTTAACAAAAGAACCACAACCAGCATGGCTTCTGTCGTTTTCTGTGACTCTTGTGCAGAAAGAGGATCTGACAAGACAGCCTAACTACTTCACCCGCAAGAACCTACATACCTTTGGGTAGGTCCTGAACAATTCACTCCATGCCTTTGAGCTCAACAGCCGTCCCTGCTCCTACCAGGAGATGCCTCGATGCTGACAGTGCAGAGATACGTCCCTACTCTTTGGACTCACAAGGGTTATCCCACTACCGAAATAGTTAACGTCGTTGGATTCGGTGGATAATGGATATCCTAATGGGACTATTACCTGCCCTGGAGCCTGCCATTCCCTTCCCTATATCGACATAGCAGTAGGTGCTTGTAACAAAGCTCAACTATTGATGGTGGTCGGGCCTCCGCCCAGCTCCGCCCGCCACTTCCGGAGTCCGGGGGAGACCTGGCTTAGCGTAGCTGTTGTGCAGATTGACTGCCGCCGTCCTGCACAGACACACGCACGCGCTTTGTCAAAAGAAGGAAATGCAGCCGCTCCGTTGCAACGAGGGGCGTCGTCCTGTTCCTGCTTCCTGCTTCCTGGCCCCTGGCGCAGTTAACTACCGAGCTCTTGGGGATGGCCGACTTCACATGCCATCACGCCTGCCACTCCACCTGCCACTCCGCAAAAACGCACCGAGATGCACGCCTCGAACCACTCGTATGGGCTGCCAACGTTCATGGGCACCCGGCGTGTGAACATCCTGGCAGCAGAAGCCCGAAGCCACGAGCTGTGACATCGCATCTTGCACGTGGCTCTTACTAGCGACAGTTATCGGTCCTTTCACCACTCAGCTTGCAGCAGTACTTGATTTCAACATTTCCAAGCAAGGAAGAGAGCGTCAACAGGACTCAAGTTGCCGGTTCGATCAGCTCCTATAGTCAGGCCAGATTCATACATGCGGAGAGTGGCTACATTTCACAGCTGGTGGGCATTTTGCCTGAAGCGCCTGGATTCTTTTGAGCTGGTGCAAACAGACTCAATCGTAGCCGTATGCAATCACATAGTCTTGGAATGATGAACAGGGCGTCTGTGATTCGGCCAAGTGATCATGGGGATGGGGGCACCATGGTACACAGCCAGGCGTGAGACCGTAGCAAGTTAATCAACGGTTCAAACAGCAAGAATGAATGTAGGCGAAAGTCATGGTTTTCCTCAACCTCATAGATCGACGATCTCGGAAAAAAGGGGTGGAATATGACGTCTCCAGAAACGTCAAGGCCACCAGGCTCAGCTTTTTACGGCGATCCTGGCTTTTCAAGACTCTGGATTCTCTGGGATCTGTCGATTGGAAAATTGACACCATGTAGAATAGTGATGGCTCCATAGGTGATCGAACTGCCGCAGCCATCGACCCTGACTCACCGTGGCAAGCAGAGGACGGCTGGGCACAGATCCGTGTTTTGTAAAGAAAAAAAGAGAAAAGAAGAGACGCGAGATTGATGGCGCAGAAAAATTTCAGAGTGATAAAGAGACAGTGGGAGGTGCAGGGGCCGCCTGCTCGAACGCTGACATAATCACACGTGATCTCTCTGCAAGGTACCTACAAGTTAGGTACTCTGTCTGTGGTGAGGTCCCATTTTCTCGCGCGATACTCTCTCTCGAGTCCATCCAATGTCAAATCTATTTGCTCCCTCAAACATTCTGTGTGGGCTTACTCTTCATTTTACCGGTCGGAATCAGCCAAACTCTCCTTCATATCGAAACAGCAATCTTTTTAGTTGAATCGCCACGGAGACTGCCCACGGCTTCTCCCTCCCTCCACCATGGATGCAGCCACAATCGAGGAGACAAATCGTCTCCGGGTGGCCATGGGCATGAAGCCCCTGCCCGTTCCGGGCGGTGCCTCTACCGAAAAGGGCCCCGCCGAAGACGAGGATCCATCTGCCACGTTTGAGGGTCGAATGGCGCAAGCAGAAGACAACTACAAGAAGATCCGTGACGCCGAGGCTGCCAAAAAGAGACGCGATGAAAAGGCTGCCGCTATCAAAAAGGCACGAGAAGATGCGCAACGCTTCGCGGTTCTCGAAGGCAAGGGCCTGGGAGACTTGGACGACGGGGCCGATCTCGATGCGCAGTCTTGGCTGAAGAGCCAGAAGAAACGACAGAGGAAGATTGAGCAGGCACGAAAGCTTGAGGAGGAACAGGCAGCAGCGGAAGTTGCCGCTGCCAAACAATACTCGTCCAAAGATCTCGCCGGCGTCAGTGTCGGGCATGACCTGTCTACCTTTCTGGATGGAGACGATCAGATTCTCACACTCAAAGACAGCACCGTCTTGGACAACGAAGACGAGGGCGATGAGCTGGAGAACATAGACCTGCGAGAGCGAGAGAAGCTCAATGAGAACCTCAAGCTCAAGAAGAAGAAGCCTGTCTACGACCCAAACGACATCGACGAAACAGGCGAGCGGAGCATCCTAGCACAGTACGACGAAGAGATCAGTGGCAAGAAGAGGAAGAAGTTCACCCTCGATGCTGCGGGTACCTCATCTGATATCGCCGACATACTAGGCGCGCCTATCGAAGAGAAGAAATTGCAAAGCCTTGATCTTGATATCGCGGAGGACAGGCCTCAATCAGACTATCTGGACATCTCAGAAGTCAAAGTCAAGAAGCCCAAGAAGAAGAAATCCAAGTCCACGCGGCAGAGAGCAGCAGACGATGACGACATACTGTTCCCCGGGGACGATCATGCCATGGACATCGACATGACTGTCGGCGGCTCCTCCAAGAAGCGCAAGATAGTTGACGACTTGTTCGTCGATGACGAAGACCTCCAGTCTACGCTGGCCATGCAAAGGAGAGATGCATTGAAAAAGAGGAAGCGTGTGCGTCCGGAAGATATCGCTAGGTCCTTGAGGGAAGAAGCTCAGAGTGCGGAACCTGAATCGGTCGGCAACGACGGCAAAGGACTCGTGCTTGACGAAATCAGCGGTTTCGTTGGCGCACTGAGCAGACCCGGGGAAGAGGAGGAGGAGGAGGAGCGGAGAGCACGTGCAAAGCGGTCAAGACAAGAACATTCCATCACGAAGATGGAGGATTCTGACGACGACACCGGCATGGACAATGTGGAGGATCTGCAGAAAACAGCGCGGAGTATAGAAGAGTCGGAGCAGCCGGAGCTCACGACCACTGGCGTTGAGGAAGAGAAGACGATCAGCCAAGGCCTGGGCGCCACTTTGTCAATATTGAGAGACAGAGGCCTCGTCAAGGAGACTGCCGGGTCAGATCTAAACGAGAATTTCCGTCGTCACGAGCTCTTTGTCGCAGAACGGAATCGTCGCTTGGCACAGATCGACGAGGATGCGAAGCGGCAGCGAGAGCGTGACCGCGCCAGCGGCCTATGGGATCGCATGTCGCAGCGCGAACGGGAAGAGTACTCTCGCAAACAGAATGCGCAACGCGAGTACCAGGCATCCAAGGTGCTCCAGGACATGTTCAACCAGGACTACAGGCCCAACTTCAACATCAAGTATGTTGATGACCACGGTCGCCAGTTGGACCAGAAAGAAGCGTTCAAGCACATGAGTCACCAGTTCCACGGTAAAGGCAGCGGCAAAGGGAAGACGGATAAGATGCTCAAGAAGATCGAGGAGGAGAAGAAGCGCGAGGCGCAGAGCATACTTGATGCTGGGCAGAATGTCAACATGGGTTCAGCGGCAGCCCAACAGCTCAAGAAGCGCCGAGAGGCGGGCGTTCGGCTTGCATGAAACTATTACCCACACGGCGCCAGGGCTTCGGGGCTGATGCCGTTGACGAGCAAATTTCTGTATAGTATACCCAATGGAGACCAAAGGTGCATATAACCCTCACACTATTTCCTGCCAAATTACCTGTCTTCTCTCATGCTGACACCAGTGACTATCCAGAGCCTCTGGCTAGGTGAGTGCCCCAAATGAAATGCCTTCATTTCCTGCTTTACAGCCTCACTTCCGAGGGTGCCATGGGAGCATTTGACAACGTGCCGATCTTGCCGGTAGGATATGTGTGATCCTGTACTTTGTCTACTTATGTTCTATGACTGACCAAGCCTCTGATCCACCACGTGTTGTCATCCTCACCCTCCTTATTGTCACACTCCTTCACCCGGCGTCTGTATGACCACCAGCTCTAAAGTAGAGGGCGAACGAGCCTCTACAACTCTGAGAGAGCCTGCAGCCATGCGGCTCGTGAGGGCTGACCTAGCTCGAACTCTGACGCTTGTTTCTCTTGGTGATCCACAATAGGAACTACCATCGCCTGGAATAACCGAAGCACCGGGCTGCAGCTCATCTCAAATCGAGATTGGAGACTTGTGTCCACGTAGCGTGCACCAAGCTAGAGCGTTACTGGGACGAGGCAAGATATGTCCTACTTGGAGGCGAGACTCGTATCTCGGTCGTAAAACCGCTCAGTCCTTTTGGTTGGGTTTCGTATCTTTCGTTCTTGGAGGCGCAGCCTCGGCTCTGTGAGTCTGACTGAAACTGTTCGACCGGACGATCAGGAACTGCACCGAGCCCTGTAGCCGCACAAGTATGTAATGTCGCGTCCTCGCCTCCTCGAGCCGCTCGTGATCGCCGAGTAACGAAGCGGGCATTCCCGTCACCGCCACCGGTGTACCTGCGTGTAGGCCTGTCGAGGATGTACTCGTCCTGCAGTAGCCGGCATGTGCCCCTCGATACGAGCACCAGATGCCAAGTCGTCTGCTGCTGTGCCACGAGGTTTCTTGACTCTGTCGAGGAAGACATGTTTCCTGCTTGGGCGGGTGATTGAGCAGTGTACATTTGCTTATCAACCCAAAGTCGGGGTCCTCTGATTCCAGAGATCGACGTGTACAGCGTTCAAAGACTGAGGAAGGTCAAGATTGAGGGTTTTGATTTGGACAGTAGAATTTTGGAGAGAGGTTCTGTCGTTTCTATACGATTTCATTACGAGGTTGTTCCTGGACAATCAGGTCTCCCATTGTCCAGGCACCTTGCTTTGTTCAACACTCAACTTGGTCGGTATCTCTTCAAGAGGCAATACCAATCAGATGGTTCCAACCCTAAGCGCTAGAGTAGAACACAAAGCAAGAGAGAACCCGGAGTACCTGACCGTTGTTTCCATGGGTGTATTGCTTTTTGAGGTCGTCTTTGTGTTATTTCCAAGGTGCAGAATGACGATGTAGAAAGGCCGGCAAACCGCTCCCGTTCACCAGACATGGGGTAGGGTAATGGACTTGAGAACTTCAGATACAGTAATACATGTTGTGCATTTTAGCATAAGCAGAAGCCAGACCCGTCCCAGGCGACGCAGGATATACTCCCTTTGTGTCCCGCCACCCTGCGCGAATCACAGCTACTACGCTCTCTCGACCTCGATTCCATATCCCTGGCCCATCCATACTCACACCTCCGTCTCCACGTCCGGCTTCCGACCGTCCAGGGCACCGAGCTTCGTCACCCGGCGCACGGCAAAGGTGGCCTCGTCCTTAGCGAATGCGGCATTGCGCATGGGTCGCCTGTGCATGCTCTTGTCAGTCGACTGCCTTAGAGTAAGCTTTGTAAATAGAGAAGAGCCTACCACTGCATGAGACCTCTATGCTTTCGATGCAGGTCTCGGCTCCGGTCCTTGTAATCCTTGTACTGCTTGAAAGGGTTCTTGCTGCTCCCGGACCCGGCACTCCCGGAAGTGCCCGCCGTGTCAGTGGATGGGCGAGTCGCCAAGGCGTCTGTGTGGTCCTGCGACTTGTCACGGTTCGCACTGGCACCAGTACTGTTTGTCTGCGCGTCCTGAATCCCCAGGTCCGGATCGCCCGAGTCATCGTCGGGTTCTGTTGCGTACTGATCATCATCATCGGCGGAGTCATCAGTCGTATTGTAGTTGGGTCCACCACGGCCCATCATCTCCGAAGGGTCCTTGCCAAAGGCACCGCTCCAATCAGTACCATCCTTGGACAGCCACTTGCGCTTGTCCTCCTCGTGGGCCGTGGCCAGGACGTCGCGTCCCTGGGTCAATGAGGCGTCGTGCAGCTTCTGGATGGAGGGCGGAACCTCGCCGCGAACCTCCTCGGTGCGCACGCCCTCCGTGTAGCATGCCTCCCAGGTCTCAATCGTCTCGCGCGAGTCGTTGTCGCTCACGAACTTGAGGTGGTCCCGGTCGGTGCCGGGCTTGAAGCGACCCCTAAACTTGAGACGCCCAAGCTCCTTGATGTCAATATCAGGAACGGACTTGTAGTTGTCCTCTGTGATGTAGTTCTGCGAGAGCCGCAGCCCGTTGTCGCACTGCCAGATAGGGAGGTCAAATTCTTTCTCCTCGTTGTCGCAAACGTCTTGCAACCAGACAACGGCAAAGATGTTGGTGTTGCGCTTGCCAGATTGGTGGAACTCGAAGAAGACGGGAGAGCGGTAGCGATAACGAACCGGCAGGCGGACTCTCTCAGACTTGTTGTCCCTGCCGGAAATGTCCCATTCGAGACCGCCGTTGTCTGCCTTGGAGCACTGATCGCTCTTGACGGTGGCAGAGCTGCCTCCTGTGCGCAGACGGAGCTTGACCCTCGAGGAGGGTGCCCAGTTGACCGAAGAGATGGTGTCAGACAGGAATTCAAAGGTACCAATCTCGCCGAAGCCAAGCTGTGTGGGGGGGAGCTTGAGCTCAATGGACCTGAATAAAACACTGATGCGGATGCGGCCAAACCCAATACCGCCATCGAGGGGGTACCAGCGGGTACTCTGGCTGCTCGTCAAAAGGATATCGGAGAGGCGGAGAGGCACGACACCGATGATAGGATCATGCTGCCTGTTGCGAGAATCCCGGACGGTGACGGTGACGATTGTGGATCGCCAATCACGAATAAAGCGCTCAGTGCCCGCCTCGAAGATGGGTTTAGACGAGACGACCTTGGTACGAGTCTTGTACACGAGCTCATCGTTGACAAGAATTGTGCAGTACGAGCTTGGCAGCTTCTTACCCTGCTCCTCCTTGAGTTCGCCGGCCTCGGGTCTGGCAGGCTCGTACTCCCTTCCTTTCCTCTTCCCGTTGGATCCCTTGATGTTCTCCAGCTCCAGGTTGACAATCTGGTGGACGACAACGGCGAGAACTCCGCTAGGCCAGAGCGGATCCGGGGGGGTGTGCACGACGGCATCCTCCTCGGCGGTGTCGAGGGCGCCCCTCTCGTCCTGCAGCTCCTTCTTATCCTGCAGCTCCTTGGGAAGGTTGGGGTCTTTGCCATCGGTTCTAAGCGCCTTACGGAACTGCGTCTTGCCAAAGAAGCCAACCTCCCAGTGTAGCTCACCCGGCATTGTACTGTCTGCCTTGACACCACGCAGACTGGAGATCTGCGGGAACATCTTTCCAGGATGCTGAATCAGCTTCTGGATGCTCAGTTCGACCTTGCCAACAACGTCGTCAGCGGAAGATCGATCGCTGTCCCAGAGCTCGAGAGAGAGCTGCTCGTCGGCCTTGATGATGTCCGAGGTAACCAGCAGCTGGGCACATTCGGAGAAAATAGGGTTGAGGTCGTCCTGTATCACACGGGTGCAATACTGAGGCTTGCCAAACTTGGAGAAGGCGATGCAGATGTATGGATCGGAGCCACCACCCTTGCTGCCACGATGATCCTGCTTGCTGAGCCCAGTGGCCTTGTGGATGCGGATGAAGAGCACGCCCAGTGCCTGGGTGTCCTTTTGGATGTCGTCACCCTGCAGCATCTTGCCAATGTCCAGAGTCATCGACTTGGGCGCCACGTACATACTAGCAGCGGCGGCGATAGCCCAGTTAACAAAGTTGGAGATCAAGGGCAAGTTCAGGATGTTGGCGCCCTTCTCGACGAGAGGAATGCAGCTGGCCTCCACTTTGGGGAGGCCCATCAGAGTGAAGCTCAGGGTCTTGACAAAGGGCGGTGCCGGTGTCAGGGCAATGCGGATACGAGCGGTGCACACAAGCCCGTTGAGCTCTACCCAGATGGGGAAGGGGACGCCGAAAAGGCCCTTGACGCCGAGGTAGAAGACGAGCTGCATGCCCATGTTGCGAGCCTTGGAGGAGACATCACTGCCGGAGGGCAGGGCGTGATAGGCGATGGTGGCCTCGAGGTTGTAAAAGTCGCCGCCCTCTTCGTCTGCAGCGAGCTCCTGAGGGTCCTTTGTCTTCTCGTCATTCTTGCGGATGTCGTCCTTGAGATCCTTGACTTGGTCATCCGGTAGGGCTCGCAAACTCAGGATCCGGAGAGGGTTGTTTCCTTGAGAGATGTCGTTGACCTTGACATTCTCCACGACGCCGGGGACACTGGCTTGCATTACATCTTCCAGTGTATCAGCGACGGCGGCGAACATCTCCGGGTTGATCAATCCCCAGAACAGCCCCAGGGCCGTGTTCAGCCACTCGACGGATTCCGGAATGAGATTCACAACGGCAGTCTCGCCACGCTTCTGCTCGCTTGACCACTCGGTGTCCCTGCCCTGCCGCACGGCGTCCTTCATCCAGAGGAAGACGCCGGAAGCGACGCAGACCGCAAGAGGGATCAGTCCGAGGAGCCTGCCTCCAAACATCTTACCAATAAATATGATGGCAATGAATATGCCGGCACAGAGTACGTTGGCCCGGGCTTCCATGGCTGCGAACATGGGCTCAAAGCTGACCGAGGGGGTGGGGTGGAAGAGAACGTTGGTCTTCTCGCCGTGAATAGGCACATCGCTCGTGCTGCCTGGTACGATGGGATCGGGCGGGGCAGTGATGTCTTGGTTCTTGCGGTATTCTTCACCCGACTGTGTGGCTTCCGTCTTCACAGGAGTATCCTTGCCAAGGTTGGCGTTCGGTACTGATAACTGCAAGTGCCCATGTGAGCTTTGCGATCTTATCTTGGAGAGGGTGCCCGGTCCGTGTGCTGGGGGTCGCCGATGAGCACAAGGAAGGACTAGGAGTCGGCAACATACCTGGGGGTTCTTGACTGTCTTCACGAAAGACGAGTCGATATCCTCGATCTCGACATCCTTTCCGGTGACGGGGTCTCTGACGGTGCGCCGGTTTTTGCCGCTCTTTTGAGGAGGGACCTTGTGGTCCGAAACTTCACCTTCGGTCTTGTTGTTCTTTTTGAGATTGGCGTCGATCTCGGCATCTCGCTTCGTCTTGTCCCTGTCAAGACTGTCCATGAACTCCTTGATGTTGGGAATTCTGTTGGTTCCCGAATAGTGCTGGCCCGAAGGCACGACATGTTCTTGTTCGTTCATCTTGTCCTGCTCTGTCTGGCGTCTTCTGAGTTGGTACACACGAGAAAGGACTACTTCAATGCAGGGCCGCGGGCACGAGTGGGGAGACCCTTCACCAGCAAGTCAGGAGCTGCAAACGAGACGGGAGCGTACGAAGGGGGAGGAGAGACTGTCGAGGATGGACGAGGATGGACGAGAACAAGTATGTCAGGTTGGCTCTGGGCAGAACATCACCCCCTAGGTCAGTCATTTGGGGTGTGGGAAAACAAGGCAATTGGCTTCCAGAAAGGTTCAATCACGGGCTGTCTAGCAAGAAATAATACTGATGATGATCGTCATGATGTGGACGGGCGCCGCTATCCGTGCTACCAGCTGGAGCACAGCACCTATCACGAAGCCAGCAGGAAGCTTGCACGGCTTGGTAACAGGGCCAGACCCAGCTGCACTTGCAGTCGGTGGTGATGTGGGGGGCGGGTGTATGACGTCGACGCTGCGTCCCACCTTGCCTAAGCTCGCCCATCTTGAGGGCGGGACCCCACAAATCAGAGCGGTAGACAGGGCTGGCCAAGCTTTTAAGGTTACCTAAGACTGAGTCGCCGTAGCCGCTAACGGCTCCCCTACAAGTAGGTACAAGTAAAAGACGACAGTGGCGCCACTGAGCTCTGGCTGCTGTGCTCTTTGCCTGCTCATCTCTGATAATGTCACACTGCTCCTTGTGTGCAGAGAATGGGAACGGGTAGACCTGGCAGCAAGAGACACCGATGGCAGAGTAGTAGGATTGCATAAGAGTAGGTATCCACGGTACTGTAATGGCATCGACCATGTACGGTACCGTAGACCTGTGAGTCTTGCCTTTGCCTTCCTTCACATTCCCAGCTGGAAAGCTCTGGAATTGACGTCAGTGCCGAGCTGTATCCACAGACTGGAATGACTGCTCCGGAACTCCAGAGACCCATCCACCTAAACCAACCAAATTCGTAGAGACATGGATCATGATAGATAAGGTAAGTCAGGACAGGGGACAAGTTTGGCCTGTTATGTCTTGTATGACTACTTCGTAGCTGGCAAGATTGAGCCCTTTCAGCTGGCAAGGATAGCTTTTCGAGAGTCACACCCCAACTTCATACGCCTTGCCAACAAACAGACCCTAAATGATCGGTATTCTATCTGGCACTTACTAGCCATTATACATAGGTACCCTGCCCTGCCCTGCGCATCCATAGCACGGCGTCGCATCAGCAGTGCAACCCTAGATCGGCCCATTTTTGTTGACCGAACGCAAACGACGAAGAAGAAAGAGGAGAAGGAGAAGGAGAAGGATATAAAGTACTTGGGCCAGTCATCGTCTCCTTGTAGGGGCAGGATTTGAGCAACCTTGAAAAAGACGAATATAGATTGAAAATAGAACCAAGGTCCAATTCCGCAGTTCATTGCATGCATCCGTGATCTCGTCTCGACGTGTCGTGATGGGTATACACTAGTACAAATACAAACATGGAGCGAGCAAGCAAGCATGCCACAGAGATAGGGGGAAAAAAAATCAAAAGCTGAAATACTCTCCTATGCTTTACTCATGCATCAAGAACCCTACCAATTGGATCCCCTTGCATTTAATGTCCCAATAGGTCGGCGGGGATCGGTGTGTCCCTCCTGCGCCCCGTCGTAGCATCAACCAGTTCCTCAGACATGAGTCTGCTCACGCTGCGTGATCTCGACGGCGCCTTTCGTGTCATGGTAGGCGTAATCATGTCCAGGTCCATATCGCCAGGTGTAAAGTCCCGGTTCGGCTCCACCTGTAGCGAGAACACGCTGCTCGTCTCGGACATTTCGATATCCTCCGACTCTCCCAAGGTTGACGGCTGGCTCATCTCTGTCTCTATACTGGGTGTCAACACGTCGCAAGCGTCCGGCTCCTTGGCTGCCGCCACCGTGTCGATCGACAGCGCCTGTCTTCCTTTCTTTGGGAGTCGCGGAGTCGCGAGGATGGGCACACCGGAGAGGGAAGGAGTCGCCGTCGTGGTGGCTCCGGAGCCGACTTCTTTGAGCGAGGATAGGTCCCCATTCGCTTCCTCTTCCCCTTCCTCTTGACCGATCGTCCACACCCATCTCCTCTTCTTCTCCTTTTTCTTCCTCTTGCGAATACCTCCCGATGGGGATACCGGTGACGATGTGCCGAGGCCAGCCATGCGGCGGCGCATTTCTTCAAACGGACCAGGGGTCTGCCCACCGTCGCGAGTCTCGTTGCCCGAGTAGGCCATCGCCAGATCCAAAACCATTTCCTGGTTCTCCTGGGCGTTCTCTGGAGAGTAGGGTGACGCGTCATCGCACAACAAGTCAACATGGGACCGCGTGTACTTGTTGGTGATGATGGTCTGTGTCAAGGGGTCGTTGTACCCGACCCTCCTTGCCGCCTTTTCCTTCAGCCGCAAAGATTGTCTGCGGGGAGAGATGGGGGACTGTGCACTCCGCGGCGGGAGCGGCGAATTGCGCAGAATGCTATGGAGGGATCGAGTCCGCTGGTACGGGAGGCTACCAAGCTGACCAGACGTCGGTGGGATGTTTGGACGACGATGACTGCCACGCGGGCTGAGAAGCTGTTCATGGTTCGACGGCGGCTTTGGAGTATCTGAAGACGAGAAAGGAAAGGCTCCTTTGGGACCGTGGGCCTCGGGCCCGGCAGAGAGCGGCGGTGTGGCCGTCATTGTACTGGGGAAATTTATTTCCATCGCAACGGCTGGAGACAAAGGTTGTGCAGTCAACGGGGTTTCCGGGATCGTGATGCCAAACGCCTTTGGCGTTTCTCGCTCCTTGGCGAAGCCATGGGTCCATAATTGAAGTTGCGGTTGTCCCTTAGTATTGATAGCCGTTGGCGGGTCCGCATAGACGGGGGTCGAACGGTCAATGGCTGTCACGTAGACATTGGAGAGGGTGTTGAAGGCGGTGGGCGAGGTAGGATTCACGGCAGCGGCGAGGACTCGCGAGTTCCTCGTACTGGGTCCTTGGGAGATGGCCTTGATCTGGAGAGATAGCCTCGGCCTCTTTGGGGGGCTTGATGGTTCCGCCATTGTTACAACGGGCACTGCCAGCGGGTCAATGGTGAAGATGAAGGCCGGGCAGGCGGGTATGTCGGAGGATGAGTAGGTAGCTCAGACGAGTCAAGATCAAGGCGGGACGAATGAGAGACGTCGCTCAGTCTGTAAACCCAGCAGACGGAGTCGTCAGTCAACCCCAAGAGATTGGGTCCCGAGGATCAAGCAAATTCAAGATAATCAGGCGAGGAACGCGGGCGAAAGGGGAACTGGGTGGCTATATACATCCAAGTGAGAGAGGAGACCTGAGTAGGCGAGACAAGTGGCCCGTCAGCCTGGCCAGCAAGAAACGGGCATGGTTCACACCCACACACACACACACAGAGAGAGAGAGAGAGAGAGAGAGAGAGAGTAAGCGCCACGGCTAATGCGCGAAGGAGTCTGCGGCACACCTAGGCGCGATGGGAGAGGTGCAAGCATGGGAGCCCGCAGGCGATACCAGCCAGTAGGCGAGTGTTGGTGGAGAGGGGGTCGCATGAGGTCTCGGGGGTGGGAGGTGTGGCAGCACCGACATGAGTTGCCAGAAGCAGGGGTGGCTCCGGTTTCCCACCAAAGACCAGAAGTGCCATGGCCCTCCTTCACATCCCAACGACAGCTGATGTGCGTGGGCCTTGGTGGAGGAGGGATCGTGGAATCGTGGTTGGCTGGGATGAAGGTGGGAAGGATGCGGTGTGAAGGCGCAAGCGCCCAACCCTGGTCATACTGCGGCCCAGCCCGCCAATCGCCGTCCAGGCGCCATAAGCGCGAGGGCGAAGCGAGTGAGCCACTCACTCCTCACAGCAGGGATCGCATGCTGCTCGGGCTCGCTTCTCCTCAAGAGCTCGCACTCGAGATGTCTAGACGAGAGTGCCGACTTCAAGTTGCGGGGTTGGTTGGAGCGGTCGATAGCAGGTGGCGTGGGCGTGGGCGTGGGCGTGGGCGTCGGTGCTCCATGTTGCATCACACTCGATGCCAAGGTGTCAGTTGTCCTTGTCGGGCGAAATCGCCCGGTTCCTGACTGGAGTGATCAGTTCCTTTACTGACGAGGTGAGTTCAACTGATGAAGTGCGGGAATTGCACACGGTGGTGAGTGAGCCTCCGCCACCCATCCCACCTCTCTGGCTGGCCCGACCCGCCATTATGGCTCAGCGTAAGCATTCAGTCGCGGCCGAGAGTGAGGCTCGGCGTGTCACCTTCGAGAGGTCTCATTGAGTTGGAAGAATCAGAGATGGTCGGGCGCTCGTTTTAAGGGGATCTGATCGTTGTCCCTCACAACGAGGTAATCGAAGTTGGAGTAGACTTATTACTCCGTAGCTTACTCCGTACCTACATAGGTACCTTAGGTACTCTGTAAGTTTGTGGGGCGATGATGACCTTGAGTTAGGTACCTACTTGAGCTCAAATTTAACCAGCTGGCATCGGCTGCCGACCTAGAGTACATCGGCTACATCAGCCAATGCTGCAGCCTGTGCCGTATCAGTCCGCGTGCGACCTCCAAGGAACTTCAAGGAGCTTGATGTTAACTCCATTCGTGGAAATTCTGACGGCTTATGCGCTTGACCCTTGATTGCTTCTCGGACTTGCGCACCATGGGGTCGTATGATCATGGAGCGGCCGAGGATATCACAGCCGCGGCGCCACGATGACAGGGTCATACTTCACTTTGTAAGCTGGATCCAGTGCGGCCGGCTCACTTGACAAGCCACCCCGATCACCAAGACTAACGCGACCCAGGATTACGACTGCTTTTATGCGCAGGTAGCGGAGAACCGCAAACCGGCACTCAAGTCTTTACCTCTGGGCATAAGGCAGAAGGGGATCCTAGCCACATGCAACTACGAGGCGCGCCGGCGAGGCGTCAAGAAACTCATGGTCATCCACGAGGCTCGCAAAATCTGTCCGGAGCTCGTGCTTGTTGAAGGCGAGGATCTGGCGCCTTTCCGTGACGTATCAAAGCACCTGTACACCTTGCTGCGGTCGTATAGTTGGAGCGCCAAGGTGGAGAGACTGGGGCTGGATGAGGTCTACTTCGACGCAACTGACATGGTGACTTACAACTTGGAGCTGCTGAATCACAACACTTTAACGCAGTCTTTCTTCTACCTGTCAAGGGATGATCCCGAGAAGGGGTTCGACTTTGATGCTTCTCGGGTCATGGGCCGCACTGTGGGCTCACCTCCAAAGGTTGTGGCAGGCTATGAGAGCCCCGTTTACATGAGACTGCTCCTCGCTTCACACCTAGCGCGCTTCCTTCGCATGAAGGTTGAGGACGAAGGGTATACGTCCGCATGTGGGATCTCCACCAACAAGGTACTGAGCAAGATGGCTGGCTCGCAGAACAAGCCGCGGAACCAGACCACTCTATTGACCTTGCATGATCCCGATGTCCTCTCCTTCGTGGATCAGCATCGCTTGCGCCAGATTCCTGGTATAGGCTCCAAAACAAGCCGCGTCCTCGAGGCTCATATCCTCGGGCACGAGGTCAGCCAGGATGCCCACTCGCTGGACTGCGCCGTCACGGCGGGCCAAGTTCGCACCCACGCAGATACTACTCCCGGCACCCTAGAGCGTCTGCTAGGGGGACCTGGCGCGGAGAAGGGCCTAGGCGAGAAAGTATGGTGTTTGCTGCATGGCGTCGACGATACCCTCGTGAAGCCTGCCAGCGATATACCCACGCAAATCAGCATTGAGGACACCTACCAGGGCCTCAACGAACCCGGCGAGATCCTAAGGGAGCTGCGAAAGCTGTCTCATTCGCTCCTACGGCGCATGCACGTCGACCTGGTCGTCGATAACATCGAGTCTCCAGGCCAAAGATGGGTTGCCCGCCCCAAGACGCTCCGCCTGACAACACGACCCAAGACGTCAATGGCCGAGGGCAGACCGTACAACTTTCAGCGCTGCAGTCGAAGTCAGGCCCTTCCCAATTTTGCCTTCAGTCTTGTCTTGGAGAGGGGGGAGATTGTCGACAAACTGGTCGATGAATGTCTGCTGCCCATGTTCCGCAGGCTTAATCCGGGCCAAGACAAGGGATGGAACACGGGCTTACTCAACATCTGCGTCGCCAACATGGTATTCACCGGCAGCGACGATGCGACAGGCAGCGGGCGGGACATATCCGTCATGTTTCGCCGACAGGAAGAAACGCTGAAACAATTCACAGCCTACGACGACAGTCCCCGGCCGGTGCAAGGACAGGATGGGGATGGTCAAGATGATGGCAGGGATGCTCAAGAGAGCCGAGCGCTCGAGTCACAAGAACAGGAAGTCGCCTGGGACGACAGCAACCAGTCTGATCTGGAAGATGACGGCTGGTGTGGCTGGGACGGCGCCGAGCTCTGCCCCCAGTGCGGTCGATTGCTCCCGACATTTGCCATAAGCGCGCATCAGCGCTTCCATATCTTGGGTGCTTGATTGTGTGCATTTTTGTTTTTAAAAAAAAGAACATCGCTTTCCCAGCTACAGCTTAGCTACAATTAGAACCCCCTGTGATACCCCTCTTTGCTCAAGACGCAGGGCACATCAAGTGTAGTTCCCAGCACCCTGGTACGTCGCGGAGGAGGGAAACGGATAAAAAGAGCCACACACTCTGTGACAGGTTGCAAGGTATCATGGTACATTAAGTCGTAAAATATGGAAGAATTTCAGAGCCCTGGTGATGTCCAGGATCGGGTATAGCAACACGGTTGACCTTTGTGTAATTCCCTCCATCGAACGCCCTTCCCTCAAATCCAGAGTCCCAGGTGACACCGCCGTTGGTCGCAACGTAGTTTCGAGACGCCGTGAAAGATCATAAAATCCTTTCTTCTGTTGGGAATTGATATCGCCTCACTCCCAAGAGAAAGGGGAAAACACCGCTCATGTATGAACAACTTGGGTGTCCAGCAAGCAAATGCGAGCCAGCGCCTACCATCCATCACGGGTTCTGTATGGCGCACTTCGCCTCACCGGCCTTCCAGTTGAGCTCTCAGGCTCTTGTTGCCAGCGAGCAATTCGTCCAGCCAGTCTCCGGCCATGGTGAGCATGGTGCTCTTGCTGAAACCACCCTCCTTCAGGCCTGGGACAATGTCACACATGTCCTTGAAGCCATCTCGGATAAGAGTCCTCCGCTTCTGCTCGCTCTTGATGTGATTTTCGCGTTTCTGCTCTTCTGTCAAATTTTCCCTGGGCTGCTTGGCAAGGCCATTGGCGCTTGACTTCCGTCTCTTGCCGCTGCCATCAGGGGTAGAAGTAGGCACGGCCGCGCCATCAACCTTGGGTTTCCGTTTCCGAACCCCCTTGACGGGTCCCGAAGATGGCTCATCGTTCTCGTCCTCTTCCGGCTCCTCCTTGGCCTTACTCTTTCTCCTCTTCTTGGGAGGCGTGTCGGCATCATGTTCGGTCTTGGGCTCGTTGGCCGCGGTCCGCGTCTTCAGTTTGGTAAAAGGCGCGGTGGAGTCGCCGTCGGGCGCCGGGCTCGAGGGTCGCGTTGTGGCGGCGCTTCGACTGACTTCCAGACAGCCCATACACTTCATTTGCTCTTCTGACAGGGCTTCTGCGGTTTCCTTCTGCGAGGGCGGCAAGAAGGACTGGCCGTTGTTGAAACTCGCATCGCTTCCCCATTGCACCTCTACGTTCTGTCGCGGCCTCCTGGGGGCTCCTGGACGGACGCTCCCGCCACCAAACATCATGTCTGCAAAGGTGTGATCGTGCTCGGAACCGAGGTGTGGATGGGATGTGTTCGCGTCGTGATTCCGGAAATCATCTAGGTTCTGGTGCCGTAGATGTCCAACGGGCGGGCCGAGGGCGGATGCCATGGTGCCGTTAGTTGCCATCTGATGCCGGCTGCCGCCGTTGGGCCTCGCCATGGACCCATCATGCAGTGCGGCAGCCGCCTGGAGCACATCCTCGGAGTGGTGTTGTTGGAGGGGATGTAGCGATGGGCCGGGGATATGTTGCTGTGGCGGAACAAGCGGCACAGGGGCGCCCAAGAGGCCGCCAAAAGCATCTGGAGGGAGAGTGTGCATGCCCGGCGACCCCAAGACTTGAGACTGCTGGCCAAAGGAGGTGGCTGTCCCCATGAATTGGGGAGGCAACGTCTGGAACCACTCGTCGCTGAAGTTTAAACCTTCGCCAAACGAGGTGCCCCCGATCGGGTCTGCAGTCATGCCTTCGAAGAAGCTGCTGAGAAACTTGGTGTCATTATCAGAAAGGATCGGGGCGCCCGGTGCAGGATCGGGGGCATCCTGGAATAGAAGTTCTTGGGATTGATCGAAGGAATCTAAGGCACCAGGGATGGGTTAGGGCGTTGACAGGGCTGGACGGCCACGGGGAGCGGCTACACGTACAACCAAACGGCATACTCGAATCTGCCGGCTGCTGCTGCTGCCCCGATGCCATTCTAGGAGGGCTGAGGGCGAGCATCGGGGGGACTGGCTCGGCTTGGGGTGGTAAATGACAGCTCTCCGAGGGGAACAAATGCCTCGAATCAGATCTCCCGGTTCAGAAGACAGAGCCGGCAGCAGTCGTGGCGAAGAGTCTCGACAAGCACAGCAAGCAAAGATCGCAGGCCGAAGGGCAAAGGGCGAGGGGCAAGACAGAAGAAGTCGTTAGTCAGCACAATGCACGAAGAGGCGAGGGTGTGCTATGCATTGCGCACAACGATCCGGTGTTGACCTTGCTGCAACAATTGGCCAAGTCGGGGCGGCGGCGGCGATGTTGAATTGCTTGCTGGAGGTACTGGAATGTGTGAGCGGAGGGTGTTGATTTTTGTTGGTTGGGGGGGGGGCTCGAGGCCTGGAGAGCAGTATAGGGCTGTTGCCGTATGTTTGTATATTCGGTGAAATCAAAATTGGGATGCTGGATGCGGTCAGACACAGAGCAAGACCACACACACTGAGCTCTCGGAGAGTCTGGAGGGGGGGGTGAAAGGCTGGCTGGATGGATGGATGGATGAATTGGCACGGGAGTCACATGCAAAAAAAGTTGCGCAAACGAGCGAGAGTGGGCATCCATGGGCCATAGCATGGGGTGGAAGGGTGGGCGCGGATGGGGCCCTTGGGGGGGGGGGGGGGGTTAGGGAAAACGGGCTGCAGGTGGTAAGAGATGGCGGGGAAGCAGTAACTAAGGTACCTTACTCTTGGTACAGAGCAGAGCAGAGCAGCCCAGAGCACACACTGAGGTGGGCGGATGCTGCACCCTTGCTTGGTGAGCCAAACCCATCATCAACAACGGATGGCTTTGGTGACGGCGCCGGAGAACTAGCCCAGCTAGGTCTACTCCGCCAGCTGGCTCAGGACTCGGGCCGGATTTGACTGCGTCATACTCGAGGGCCAGCAGCACTGTGAAATTATGATTATGCGTCTTGCAAGACATTCCGCAGCACACCAGATGCCAAGTGCGCTGGAACTGTTCAGCTCCCAGAGGATTCGCAGAGCCAGTCCAGTCAATCAAGAAGGTCATCAGATACGCTAGCCCGGACCACGGTAAAGACTCGGAGCAGCTGACGGCGCGAGTGCAGGAGGAGGTGACTTGATAGGTGGTCGGGAAAGGAGGTGGCTACCACGCACGTTTCCCTCTGTCTAGGTACCTTAGGCTGCATTGAGCAGTACTTGTACGAGTGGTTAACTACATAACTAGGTACAATACCTACCTAGGTGGAGAGTGCGCAACTGGGATGACGGTATTGGAGATGTGAGTTTGTGGGGGAGGCGCCCTGCCGAGTGGACTGATGGGGGGGTGACCGGCTCGATCGGGTAGGGTACCAAGTAGGCTGCGATCTACGGTCTACCTGAGGTAGACAAGAAGAAGAGAGAGACGGAGAGAGAGTCCTTTTAGGTCGTTGTGCTCTTGTCTGCGATCCACACTTCCATATCCAGCTAGCCATTGCCAACGGTCGAGAGCCATGTACGGAGTACAATATTTGATTGCGGGCCAGCCTTGTAGGCCTCAGCCAGAGACTGTGGCTTCGGTCAGTACAGTGTCGTGTGATTCATGCCTGTCTTTCTGCTGACCTGCCCAAGGTAGGTAGTTATACTTGAGATGTAGTTATATACTCTGCTTATCGTGGGTTCCTAGAGCCTCGCAGTAGAGAATTCCATGTTCCGAAGGCTCAGAATTCTAGGGCAAATCAGCAGTCAACTACCTAGACTACTCCGTACTTCCTTTCCTCTCTGTTCTCTGAAGGTTCCAACCAGAACATTTTGATGAATGAAATTTTTGTTCCTCCTCGGTCTAAGGATCCCAAAGAATATCTGCTTTTGACTAGCATTTTGGGGGGGGGGGGGGATTAACCATGGCTATCCTCGGGCCCTCCTTTTTTCACACTTGGGGAAAGGAACACCAACCTTACCTAATTCAAGGCTCAAGGCACTCTGGGGAGCTTTGATGTGCCGGAGGCAGAGTTGGTTTCCCCGGCTTAGTTCGGGACCAAGATGGATTTCTCCCGCACCCCCAAGGCACACACACACACCAAAATGGGAGCTTCAGCAACGTGTCGCGTCCGAAACCTGCTCCCGCGCGGCGCATCTTATTTACATTACATACTTGTACTTGCGCAAAACACAGTGAGCTGCATTGATGAATCAATCAGTCAATCAACCAACCAACCAACACCCGGGTGCAGCAGAATCCCACAGCAAACCACATTCTAGGTACCTCCCCTTCCAAGACTACCTACCCAGTTCGGCAGGTTGCGTCTGCCACAGGCGCCCCGGCCACTAACCCGCACGTACCTGGCACTACTACTTGTAGCTACTCAACTCCAGTCCCCTGCTGATCACCTTTAACCGAACCGACACATTTTCCCCGCATTGAGTCAAGCCCGCCCGCCCGCCCGCATCCATCCAGTCGTCTCCAGACTCGAGCCCGGCACAGCCAGCAAGCTCTGTTTTCCTTGTCTCTCGACATCATAAGCCTCTCCTTTCCAGCCCGTCCATCAGCCTGGCGTCTGAACTCTTGAAAGCTGTGCGGATGCGATCGGATTGCAAGGGACCGGTCTCTCTTGGATCCTTCCTTGGAGCGAGACTAGGAGCTCCCTAACCTGCTCTCCCTAGCCGGCTCCAGAGCTTACCTGCTTCCATACTTGACCATCTCTCCGTCCACCTCACCTCGCCGGGTCCTATCTCGGGTTTCTAGAGGCACGTAGCTACTTGCCCGCCTACTCATCCACCCTCCGCCATGTCGTGGTCTCTCATCCGCCCGGCCGTGGCCCATAACCTTCCCTCGTCGGTCCCAGTTGACCGTTTCTCGCGGCGTTCGCTGGCTCGTGTGCTTGGTGAGTCCCTCGCGCTTCTTTGCAGTTCTGGGCGAGCCGGTGTGGCAGCTTGCCCTCAGTCTATGCAGCATTCCTAATCTCGATTTGTCCTTCCGACTGCAGATGCTGCACCTGCGGCTTCAGCCTGCACGTCTGTAAGCGGCCAGCGGAAGTGGCATAATACCCTGGGCCGCCAGACTGCTCAATGCTCGCGAGCACTTGTCGTCCGTAAGCCACAGCCGCTGCAGTTGGTGCGCCATGCCTCGGTTCTGTCCTCCATTCCGCAGTCGCGCTCCGCAGCCGCCTATTCGACCAAGGTTCTCCCGCCCACGACCCCGTACGCCAGTCTTACTATTGGGGTGCCTCGTGAAACCTTCCCCAATGAACGCCGCGTGGCCCTAAGCCCCCAGAACGTGGCCCTGCTCCTCAAAAAGGGCTTCTCGCACGTCCTCGTTGAGCGAGGAGCTGGGAGCGAGGCCGACTTCCTGGATGCCGCCTACACCAAGGCCGGCGCAACTCTGGTCGACGCTGCTGCCGTCTGGAAGGATGCCGACATCGTCCTCAAAGTGCGCGGGCCAAGCCCCGCCGAAGTAGACGGCATGAAAGAGGGCCAGACCCTGATCTCCTTCCTGCAGCCCATGCAGAACAAAGCTCTGGTTGACAAACTCGCTGGCAAGAAGGCCACTTCCTTCGCCATGGACCTGATCCCGCGCATCTCTCGAGCCCAAGTCTTCGACGCCCTAAGCTCCATGGCCAACATTGCTGGCTACAAGGCTGTCCTGGAGGCTTCCAACAACTTTGGCCGGTTCCTGACTGGCCAGGTCACTGCTGCCGGCAAGATCCCGCCCTGCAAGGTGCTCGTGATCGGTGCTGGTGTCGCCGGGCTGAGCGCAATCGCCACTGCTAGACGCATGGGAGCCATCGTGAGGGGCTTCGACACCCGCTCTGCCGCCCGCGAGCAGGTCCAGTCTCTGGGCGCCGAGTTCATCGAGGTCGATATCCAAGAAGACGGGTCGGGAGCCGGCGGCTATGCCAAGGAGATGTCTAAAGAATTCATCGAGGCCGAAATGAAGCTCTTCACCGAGCAGGCTCGTGAGGTTGACATCATCATCACCACTGCGCTGATTCCTGGAAAGCCGGCTCCTAAGCTGATCACTACCTCGATGCTCGAAGTCATGAAGCCTGGCTCCGTCATTGTCGACCTGGCCGCCGAGGCCGGCGGGAACTGCGAGAAGACTGAACCGGGACAGCTCGCCACATACAACGACGTCAAGATCATTGGCTACACGGACCTGCCCTCGCGACTTCCCACCCAGTCGTCCACGCTCTACTCGAACAACATCACCAAGTTTCTGCTCTCCATGAACCCCGTCGAGAAGGAGTTCGGCATCGATCTGGATGACGAGGTGGCCCGCGGGGCCATTGTCACGCGAAACGGCCAAGTCCTACCCCCCGCCCCTCGGCCGGCACCACCTCCTACGCCTGCGGCTGCTGCTCCCACGGCTGCCAAGGAGGCCGAGGTCGTTGCGCTCACCCCTTACCAGAAGACATCGCGCGAGGTTGCCCTCGTCACCGGCGGTATGGGTGCCGCCCTGGCCCTGGGCAAGCTGACCGGGCCCATCTTCATGAGCAATGCTTTCACCTTTGGTCTGGCTGGCTTGATCGGGTATCGTGTCGTGTGGGGTGTCACTCCTGCGCTCCACTCTCCGTTGATGAGTGTAACAAATGCCATCTCCGGCATGGTTGGCGTGGGCGGTCTCTTCGTCCTCGGCGGAGGCTATCTGCCCCAGACCATTCCCCAGGCCCTTGGCGCTGCCTCCGTTCTGCTCGCCTTTGTCAACATCTCTGGCGGGTTCGTCATCACCAAGAGGATGCTTGACATGTTCAAGCGCCCCACCGACCCCCCAGAGTACCCTTGGCTTTATGGCATTCCCGCCGTCTTGTTCGGAGGCGGCTTCCTCGCGGCAGCTTCCACCGGAGCTGCCGGCCTCGTTCAGGCAGGCTACCTTGTCAGCTCCGTCCTCTGCATCAGCTCTATTTCCAGCCTGGCGTCGCAGACCACGGCGAGGATGGGTAACCTGCTTGGCATGCTCGGCGTGGGATCCGGCGTGCTCGCATCTCTGCTCGCTGTGGGCTTCTCACCCGAAGTCCTCACCCAGTTCGGTGGGCTTGCTGCGATTGGAGGCATCCTCGGCTTCCTGATCGGCAAGCGCATCACCCCTACGGACCTGCCCCAGACCGTCGCAGCCTTGCATTCGGTTGTCGGCCTCGCCGCCGTCATGACCAGCATCGGAAGTGTGATGGCTGACCTGTCCCATGTCTCGACTCTGCACCTTGTCACTGCCTATCTCGGGGTTTTGATTGGTGGGATCACCTTCACGGGCTCCATCGTCGCCTTCATGAAGCTCGCTGGCAGGATGTCTTCCCGCCCGACGATCCTGCCCGGCCGCCACCTCATCAACTCGGGCATGCTTGCCACCAACATGGCTACCATGGGCGCCTTTATCACGATGGCACCTGGGTCGCCCATGATCGCTGCCGGGGCCCTCGCTGCCAACACAGTCCTGTCGTTCGCCCAAGGTTTCACTACGACTGCTGCTATCGGCGGTGCAGACATGCCTGTCGTCATCACCGTGCTCAACGCCTACAGTGGCTTCGCCTTGGTTGCCGAAGGCTTCATGCTTGACAACTCTCTGCTCACCACCGTCGGAGCACTCATTGGCGTCTCTGGCTCTATTCTCTCGTACATCATGTGCGTGGCCATGAACCGGTCCCTTACCAACGTCTTGTTTGGCGGCATATCCGCACCCCAGCAGTCTGATTACAAGATTGAGGGCTCGGTGACCCAGACTAGCGTCGAGGAAACAGTTGACTCGCTCGCCAATGCAGAGTCGGTCATCATCGTCGTGGGCTACGGCATGGCCGTTGCCAAAGCACAGTACCCGATTGCGGAAATCACTCGGATGCTGCGCGCCAAGGGCATCAACGTTCGTTTCGCCATCCACCCCGTTGCCGGGCGCATGCCTGGTCAGTGCAATGTGCTACTCGCTGAAGCGTCGGTTCCTTACGACATCGTCCTGGAAATGGACGAGATCAACGATGACTTTGGCGACACCGATCTCACACTAGTCATTGGCGCCAATGACACAGTCAACCCTATTGCTCTGGAACCCGGGAGCCCAATCGCAGGCATGCCCGTCCTGCATGCTTGGAAGAGCAAGCAGGTGATTGTCATGAAACGCGGCCTGGCTAGTGGTTACGGTAAGCCCGCGAGCCACACCAAGAACTGCGTCTCAGGTCGAACTGCTAACCGCCTCACTTCGTGCAGCCGATGTCCCCAACCCCATGTTCTACATGCCAGGAACACGCATGCTGTTCGGCGATGCCAAGACTACCTGCGACGGTATGTGATACCCTGGCTCTTATTGCCGCTCTGAACCCCCAATGTCCCCTTTGGTGGCTAACGACGGGATCGTGCTAGCAATCAAATCTGCGCTCGAGTCTCGGAACTGATGGCATTGAAGCCGATACCCATTTCGATCCGCCCCATGCGCCGCGCTGTAAATATCCACTCTAGTCATTCGAATTTCCTTTGTTGTGCCTAAACTAGAAAAGCACTACAGCATTACACTAGACAGGATCTCATTTGCACTTCCTAGACATGAGTAGCATCACACGCTTCTCTACCTCGGCTGGCGAACTTGTATCTTTCGGTCATTTCTATGCGACCAGCTGGTCGTCGCTTGAACGCCTCGCCGGGGAGCGAGAGCCTCTACCGCCCTTTAGAGGTAGACGTCTTTTGTACTGCACACGTGTCGCTAGACTTTCACTCGAGGTTTTTTGGCTGCGCGAAGTTGTTTAAGCCACTGTGGCGCTGCTTCGTACATCTAGACAGTCCCGTTGGTCGGTCGAAGGTTAGCTTGGATGTTTTAGTCAACGGACAACAGACTTGTATTCCCATTCTTCTAGGATTGTCTGACTTATGCAATCAACTCTTGTCTTGTGTCTCGAGCTCACCGTCACTATTATCCGTGTCACAACTCAGCACGTCCATATGAGAGAATTCTGGCTGACTGTGGAGCTGTTGCATCTCAAACACGGTTTCACCCGCTGCTGATTTCATCCGGTGCAACACCGCACACGGTCTCTCGTTAAAGCGCGAGGCCTCACCTAGGGAGGGGATCACGCCCGTTTGCAATCGACAAATCAAGACTCTGTTAGAGATACCTGCAGCCAGTTGCCACTTATATACATTTTCAGCCGATCATCCGACACATCGAGGGCGCTCCATCTCCGGTCCCAGCCTCTATTGCCTCGGTGCTACCTCCGGAATCCAAGCAGAGATCTTTGGCTTCGTGCTATTCATCTAGTCAGCAACAGTGAAGGAAGGAAGGTGGATGGCTTAACCAAGGGAGCGGCCCCCTGCGGGAGAGCCCGCATTTGCTCGACACTCACGTGTTGTATGGCTTGTAGGCGCCACGAGTCGCAGTGTAGTTGGGGATGTGCTTGCTAGAGGCCCACGTGCGGTTGGTCTGGGCGATTGGGTCCTGGTTAGGCGGTGTATCGATACCGTACGAGATCCAGAGATGCCACAGGGGCTCGATTTGCGCGCTGAACAGAGCTTGTCAGTCCACGGATACATTCGGGTTCCCCCCCCCCCTTCCCCAGCTCAGATCGAATCAGGGCTCACATACGCATCGTAATCGTGCTTCTTGTAGTCGACCCATCTCGTCCGTACTGTCGTGTTTGGTCAGAGTCAGCGTGCTCCGTCCACCTTGGCGGTTCAAGGGCAGGTTGCATACGCGGCAATTCCTCCTCCATGTTTTCGTAGAACTTGTTCCCGAACTTGTCGACGCCAATCAAGGTGCCAGCCTTGGTGTCACCTAGCCGGATGCGATGTCAGATGCCTCGGTCCAGTCAAAGTCTCTGCGGCAGTCGGGCCACATACCAATGTACTACCAGTCCGCACGAAGAGCTGTCGGTTAGCATTAAGTCCATCGCCTACTCATGAAGCAGCAGTTCAGAGCGACATACGTTGAGTTGGTGCCAGTATTCCTAGGAAAGAACGAGGGTTAGCGGGTTGGCCAAGACCAGTGGTCGGACAAAAGAGTGCAAGAGTGCAAGGGTGAGAGCATGCCTTGAGGCCGATTCGGCGCAGGTAGCCGAGCGTTCTGGTGATGGTCGACATGATGGGCTGTCAATTGAAGCTGTAGGTAGACCACCAAGGGAGAGAAGTCGTCGTTCCCGGATGTGCAGCAGTGGTGAAGCCGGTCCCGGTGCAGTGTGCCGATGAGGAGGATGGAGAAGTCGCAATCATGGAACGTTGGTAGAGCCGGGAGCGAAGGTCGGTGGGGCTTTGCGGCAAAGTCCGCGTCCAATGGCAGAGCTCCGATTTACCTTCTCTATCGGCTACAGGTACCTAGAGACCTACTTGTAACTACATTCGGTACCTTACTCAATGCATGTGGTGGTAAGGTACCCTGGTACCTATATAAGGTACCTAACCTTAGGTACCTAGGTAATAGTTGAATGCTTTTTTTGCGACAGCCTTGCCCTCCCGTCCCCCCGTCCTTCTTTACTTCTAGAACTACATACGTGCCCAAATCCTCAGCGGGCTTCCAGGCGATGATAGTCAGGTGCGTCCCGGGGTGCTCCGCGAGGATACGACCCTCGAGATGCTTGCCCAAGGCCAATGGCAGCAGCTGGGCCTGCGGGTTTCACGCACCCCGGTACCACCACCGCCCTCACCACCTCTCTCACCATCGCCAATTCAGCAGCCACACAGCAGCCGCAGGAACTCCGATGCAGTCGACAAACTCGGCCGGCATGCTTGCTCCCTTCTTTGGTGAGCTGGACAAGATTGCGCCCTCCTTCCAGATTGATGGCTCCGAGATCCGCATCCTAAAAACGCCGAGCGACTTCTACGAAACCCTCAAGCTCAAGATCCGAGGCGCGCAACGCAGAATATTCCTGTCGACCCTCTATATTGGCAAGAGCGAGAAAGAGTTGATCGCGACGCTGCAGGAGACCCTTCGCGCCAAGCCAGCTGTAAAGCTCTCCATCCTTACCGATGCTCTTCGCGGGACCCGTGAGGCTCCCGACCCCTCCTGCGCATCTCTCCTGGCGCCCCTGGTGGACGAGTTTGGGCCGGAGCGAGTCGAGATCCGCATGTACCACACACCCAACCTGACCGGCCTGCGCAAAAGGCATGTCCCAAAGCGAATAAACGAGGGTTGGGGCCTACAACACATGAAGCTCTACGGCGTGGATGACGAGATCATACTCTCCGGAGCAAACCTCTCGACCGACTACTTTACCAACCGCCAAGATCGCTACCATCTTTTCTCCTCCAAAGACATCACCGACTTTTTTTGGAGCCTGCATCGAGCCGTCTCGTCCCTCAGCTTCCTGGTACAGCCTGCCGACTCTCTCCCGGCAGGCTTCGAGATGGTATGGCCGGCGACCAACTTCGCTCCGTCACCATTGGACGATCCCGAGAAGTTTGTGGCCAGCTCTACGAAGCTGATCAATGGCCTGATCCAGCCCAAGACTGGCGGGCCACGGCATGGGAGCCTCGAGGAAAGCCATGCACGAGATACTCGCATCTATGTTCTCGCCCAAATGTCCCAGCTATTAGCACCAGACACGTCGACCGAGCTGCCTGCCATCACCCACGTTCTCAAGACGCTTGCGTCGCCCCAATTCCAGCACTCGTCTTGGACTTTCACGGCGGGCTACTTCAACCCTGCGCCGTCACTCACAAAGCTCCTTCTCTCGACGGCCTCCCACAATAACACGGTGATCACGGCCTCGCCCTATGCCAATGGCTTCTACCAATCTCCTGGTGTCTCTGGTCTGCTTCCAGACGCCTACACATTCCTCGCCCATAGGTTCCTCAAAGCAGTCCATCAGCACAAGCGCGACTCGTCGATAACGCTGAAAGAGTGGCGCAATGGGACTGTAGGCGAGGCGGATGGCTGGACTTACCACGCCAAGGGACTCTGGGTTACTCTGCCAGGAGAAAAGGCCCCGTCCATCAGCCTCGTCGGGAGCTCCAACTACACGAAGAGGAGCTACTCTCTCGACTTGGAGGCGAATGCTCTCATCGTCACGCGCAACGAGCAGCTCAGCAAGCGATTAGCCGAGGAGCAACAGTGGCTGCAGGACCACGCCAAGCCGATCACACGAGATGACTTTGCTCAGAATGACAGACGCGTCAGTTTCAAGGTGCGCCTTGCCATGTGGGTTGTGCAGCTCGTCGGCGGTGCTCTCTGAGACCAGAACCTCGCAGATCATCATTGCGTCGAGTCGATCGATAAGCCAGACAACAGGGCCGTGCCCAGTCGATCTCTACCTCGTTGGCAACCAAGGCTCGCCCACGCCCTTGTATCACCAACTAACCCCACAAGCATTAGAAGTTGAAAACATAATAAATTCGGGACAACCGCAGACATCGCAACCTCGGCCCGGTACAGCTCTCGGAGAAGCCCCTTGCGCCGTCCATCTCTACACCACAGCAAACAGACAAGCCGTGTCAGGGTTGTCTCCTCCGCGACCGGCACACTCCTCGTTCCTGGGCTTGATCTCCGGCCCGCCTGCGAGTCTGAAAGAGGAGGCTGAGGCTCTATTTCCCTCCAATGGCAAGGCAAGGAACCTTCCCACCTCTGAGAAGCAGATGCGCAATCTGGACAGCACGGCCGCCGAGGGTAACAGGCGGCGGAGCATTGCGATTAGTTGCAGGCGTTGGAGCCATGGAACAGACTGTAGAGTAGAGTCTGTCAACCCTTGTAGTAATATTATCACGGTTCAATTGATATCAGAGGCATCCGATAGCGGGCCAACCGGGATTTCCTGGCACCCTCTCAGCCTGGGTCTTTGGAGACGCAATCCGGCCCCGGATGGCTACATTCAGTCAGATCAACTCGCGCAGTCGGTCCTTGGACGGTAGATGACGGTGTGGGCGGCTTCATTTCACTCTAATCGCGCCTCGTCGCCGCTGTACCTACTCGTACTACCAGGGGCCCTCGACTCGCTGACCCGGTACCCTCAGCTTCCGTGCTCTTCCTGGTCGGATCATCGCACTCCCGGATCACAATCCCTGACCCGACATAACCACCACTGCCGCCCAGGCACCATCCTTCGAGGCCTATCAGAGCCTCTTTCGTCTTCTCGCTGACCACCCTGGCGAATCAAACGTGACAGATCTGGCTCCCTGCTGTTCCGTTTCACCCATCCATTCTTCCCGAATCCAGGTTCCCTGTAGACCGCTACCACGCACGCTGCAAGTGCGGCGCCGTCGTGGTTACCCTTTGCTTTTCACTTTTGCGACTGGCCTTCGATCATCAAGTATTTCCGTCTTGGGTAGGAATGGGATCTTCTCCAGGATCAGCTACTCACATGAGAAACCTTCTCATTTATCGCCCCTGGTGAAGCTGTCCCTCCTTCTGCAAGATCATGTAGCACCCGTATATCCTCGACCCAGTTCTACTTCTTAAATCAAGGGCGCGTCGTGGTAATGTCATTGCACGTGCGGCCCGCCCCTTTCGCAACGAGACGGCTCTCTCCAATCCGCCGTTTCGCATTGTCCGGCTCTCTTAGCTTCCTTCCCTTCCGCCCAAAGAACCCGGGTTCTTCGTGTGTGGCTTTCTCTCGGACGAAGCCCGTCATCTCACCTGGCGAGCGCTTCCATGGTCTTTGTCCCGGCCGCCGGCTGGGCCGTTGTGCTCTCAGTCCTCCTGCCAGCCTCGGACGCAGTTCCCGTCAGCTGCGTGACTCGCGACCAGCCCAATGCCATTGCTGAGCTCTACCCAGGCAGTGCGACCGGCATCCTGAATGCTACCATTGCGGTTCTACCCATAGCTCTCGAGCTTGCTCGTCAGGTAGTGCCGGCGCAATACAATATCCTCGAACATGCCTACAGGGACCTGCTGCCTTCGTTTCCCCAGGGCATGTATCCCCTCGTCGTCCAAGGAGCCCACGACCACGATATCCAACTCAAGGCTTACAACCTCACCATCCCTGACTTTTCGGTGAGTTGAACCCGACTGCATGCCCATGGCACATGCTCACCTCCGGCCCTTACCGCCCCCAGCGAGTCGGCTTCGAGTTTCCATTTCTCGACCTCCTCGGCGATGGCTACACGTCCTTCAGCTGGCACCCAGCACAGCTCATCTCGGCCCAGAACGCAGGTGCCATCCAAGGATCTGAGGCCTACGGCACCCTCGTAACGCCCGCAACCTTTGAGCCTTCGTGTGATGCCTACACTCCCGGCGGCACCAGCACCGTCTTCCGCGCCGTCGGTACCGCCTCTGCCTCCAACTCGTCGTCGGCCTGTCAGAAGCACTACTTTGCCGACCTCGATTTTGCTGTCGCCACGTGGCCGGCGTACCCTCTCGACTTCTTCAAGAACGTGACCAACCAGCCGTCCTTTGCCAACGGCACCCAGTGCGACCAGCAAATTCGGTTGTTCGGCACGGACCTCGCAAAAGCGCCTTATGAGCCGCGATTCGTTGAGGGTCGGGTCGTCGCAAGCATGTTGCCCTTCGGGGAGAGACGGGAATGGGCTGTCGGTGTTTACGGACTGCAGATCGCGACGCCATTTGTCGAGAACAACTACCTCGTATGCCAGTCACTCCAGGGCTACGCCGGGGTAGACATTCCGGGAATTTGAGAGTAAAGGCTCAGGGCTCAGGGCTCGGGTCTCAGGGCTGGAGTCATTCACCTCCTTGACCCGTGTTCTTGTACATAATTCATCTTCAGAGGCACCGTGGACCATACGCTGCCTTGCATCTGACAAAGATGTGCCTCCCGCATGTAGTCGGTTCCTAACTAGACGTGACCGCCTGCAGTGGGTGGAGGTGGCGATGGAACCCGATGCCGTCTTCAGAAGAAATCTTTGTTCAAAAGAGAATTACTGCACCAACCAGCCAAGTGCCAACCAACAAGGACCGCTATAGAATTACATCGCTATGTGCATACACGGCTCTACCAGCCCTATAGGGCGTCGACAGAGTCAGGACCGATCCTCCTCTTCATTCCGTAGGAGCAACTTCAGGTTCTCTCTCCTCATGGCTTCCAGGGCGGTGCATCGCGACTCACCTTGCCTGCCCACAGATTCGACAAGCGATCTTTTGAGCCATCGGCTCGACTTTCTGCGATTCATCTGCTCTGCCACAGCTTCACCCCCTTTCATCCAGAGGTCGCATACCTCGCCATCAATCTTCCTTCTTTCATCTAATTCCTTAAGTAGCTCTGCGAAGTCGTTGTGTGGCAGGTTTCTTCCCTGCCACCTCTTCCCATCGCCGTATTCCGCAAAATGAGGCTCGATCTGGTGAATCAATATTGTGGATAAAGACTGCTCATCAGGAAAGGCTGGCTCGTCTTGGTCTTCGTCGTCCGCCGGAGTCATCACTGTATGTGCTGCGCTAGACGAGCTTTCAATCCTGTGCGCCGAGGTTGAGCGCCACTTTCGCCTGAGCTCTCTGCACACAGTCGGCGAGACTTTTTGATGCGGGGGTTTCTGTTTCTTCTTTGTCTTTTTCTTTCCATGGCGGTGTGTACCAACATCCCCTTGTGTGATAGCTACGGGAAGCTGAGGTACCTGAGCAGTCTGCTTGGGCGTCTCTACGGGCAGCTCATCTTTCGCTTTGGAAGGGCCCAGGTCTGGTACTGGTACAGCATTAGGCTGCGCGTCAAGTGATGTCGGACTCTGCGTTTGTCGCGCCGGCTCCTCAGTCGGAGAACCAGCCGGAACATGTAAGCTCTCTAAACCGCCACCGGTGTTTGGAGCCGGCGCACTGAGAACACGAGACTCGCCTCCGCCTTTTCGTTGCGAAGTCGTCCTCTTCTCGCATGTGACTTGGCAAAGGTGCTGCGATAGGGGCATGTCTGTGAGGCCCGCCGTCCATGAAGCAGCATCCGGCTGAGTTGAAGGATGACCGCCGACCGAACCATTCATTCCTGATGGGGGCTTCTCTGGTGCCTTTCGCCCATTGAAGCGTGGTGTCCGGGAAGGCGTGGGAGAAGTAGAGAAGCCAGGACGTGCAAAGCCGGCTTCCAGATGCTTCTGTGAATGCCCTACTGCCTTGAAAGGAATGCTCTCTGCGTCAGAGACCGGTGCCTGTGCTAAAACAGCAGAGTACACCCTCGGCATGCCGCTTGCCGCTCCCTTGTCCTCTTTTAGAAGTGACTGGTTCTTCTCGTGGCATAAGTGTGGTGAAAGGGGCCTTGATTCGGGGTCGGGGTGATTATTTGCGACCGGCCCAGACTTCTCCCTGTGCCGGGGTTGTGGAGGTGAACCAGCACTGCCTTTCTCCTGCGCCGGTTGCATACGTCCGTGTGACCCTTCAAGGGCTGGCTGTTTTACTGGCAGGTTGGCAATAACTGCATCATCCCTTATTTCCCGCGGCGGTCGTCCGAGGTTTACTGAAGCAGTCTCTACCGGGGGACCCGGGGTATTTCTCCCGCCTTCAGACGCAGGAGCCGGCGGATGTCTTGACCAAGATGCTGAAGTTTCTAGTAGAGAACAGGGAGGGGGTATCTTCACCGTCGGGAGCGAGGGGAGATCTTCCATGGGGAGGGACGACTCTGAAAAGTCCGGTGGAAAAGGAATGGCATATGTATCGCCTTGTATCACGAGAACGCCTTGGGCTGGTTTTGGGGGCAAGACTGGGGTTTTGGATAAAGCGACCACCTGAGCGTATGACATCTGCTGCCGGAGCGTTGATTCTGGTATGTCTGACCGACATCTACCTTGCTGTGGCCGAAATGTCGCGTCCGGGTCGCCAGGTACCGAGATCGCGTCTTCTTCACCGGCTCTGCAACATTTTCTTTTGCCCTTCTCCAACTGTCGCCTAGGGTCTTCCTCCGGCTCCTGCACCACACGAAACGACACTGGGAGGGCGGGCTGCGGAGATTGGGAAATCGCAGTCCTATTGTCTTGATCGGGCCTGGGGAAGTCAGGGAACCGCGCTGATGGTTCTGGAGCTGGCAATACAGGTACGTCCGAGGGCCCCAAGGACCTGACATCCTTCTGCGGATACGGCTCGCATGACGATATCATTTCTGAGCCATGGGTGAGAGGAAGCCGGCTTAGCAGTGGAGAGGTACCGGAGCAGCTTTTGGCTGGCTTATCACGTGGGAAGCTTCGGTCGCGATCTGTAACAGAAGTCCCATTTGGATGCTGAAGAGAGAGTTGAGTTGTGGTAGTGACCTGGTCGGCTGCTACGTTGGTCGAAACCCAATCAGTGCCTCTGGTCAGTTCAGTATGGACGGGGCCCGACTGTCGATCGTCCTTGTCTCCTAAGAATTCTGTCCCAAGCTGAAGCCGCATAGAGCTCTCGACAACGGAACGCGCTCGTGGAGCCTCCAGTGGTTGCGGACGATCGCTGAATCCTAAGAGATCTGTTTCCTCTAGAGAGGCCAGTCTTGGTGCCTCGGAATGTTCCGTGCCTTGATTTTTTCCTGGACGTGTCAACAGATCCGAGGAGGAACACGGCCAGCGAAACTGTACCGAGTCCCTTGCCCGGGGAGAGCAAGGCGTGCTGGAGAGGGATGACGGCGTAGGTGGTAATCCCTGGGTATAAGTCGATAGCCCCTATATATCATCATCATCATTATCATGATCATCGCCGCCGTTGTCGTTATTGGTAGCCCCGTTAGACAGAGTCCTCACCTCTAGTTCTGGTAGAACAGAACAGTGGTTTGGCAGGCCTCTGTCATTGAAAGGCCGGGCCAGGTATTCAACCAAAAGCTCTCTGTCATGATGGGCGGAGTTGAGAATGCTGATAAAAAGCTTCTTCATACTTGTAAAGGCAAGCAAAGTTTGGGCAATATCATTGACCGGGCTGCGATCAATATCCGAGATTGATTGGTGGCTGGCCATGACAGGGCATCTCAGGGTGATCGAGACGCCACGGTTGAGGTGAATGAGTTCCTTGTCCGTATACAGTCTCTCGACGCACCGGAAAGGAAAGGGCTTGTGATGCATCCAGCCGTCTGACCAGCCCCGTTCAGTTTTGCTCCTGAGCCAGATGGTAATTCTGAGCTCCTGTGTGCGAAAGAGATAGGCCCGGAACACCGCCTCATGCCCTGCGGTTGCTGGCAGGTGCTCTCGAGAAGCAGAACGGCAGTCGGAGAGGCGCGGATACTCGCCGGCGGCCGCAGGGTGGCCATGGCGGACGTGGATGTCAAGCCACGAGTTGCCGGCCAGTTGTGCCAGCGTGTTGTAGTTGTGTATCGCCGAATCGTAAGGTTCCGGGGTCTCAAGCAAGTTCAGCTTGGTCTGAAAGAGGGTAAACGGGAGGCTGCTGGTGATGGATGGACAAGCGAGGGAGCGCATCTGGGTAAGCCTAGCACACTGATCGACACCAGCACCCGAGCGGTGATGGCCAGGCTCGTCATCCCAGCTGGCGCGGTCTTCACCGTTCATCATGCTTCGGACATCAGCAGCACCCTACGAGCGGGTGAAAGATGTTGGCGAACGGGGATGGGGTCGTTGGCAAGGATAATCGATGGGGCAGGAAGACTGTCAGAAACATAAAAGAATGTTGTACAATAGAATGCATCAAACGAGAGCGTCTCCGAGCTGAGCTACAGAAGCAGTGAAAAGACCGGCTTGGCCATGTATCGAACAACTAAGCTGTACGGCAACTACGCATACATGTACAGATAGCAACTCACATTACACAGAATCCCGGCATCCGATGCGTCGGCCGTACTTCAAGGGCAAAGGGGGGGTCCTCCCCTAGAACGCCGTAGAGATTCAACAGTCCCAACGAGGCAGAGCGATCACTGGCGGCCGGCAAAGCAGGCACTGCACATTTACTCGGCTCTAGGAAGGTGCACGCGCACACACATACACACACATAGAGAGAGAAATGATTTGGTCGTCAAGGCCAAAAGTCCTAAAAGCAGCAGCGGGCACGTCGCGAGAGGGGGGGAATGGGGGAATGTAGATCTCTAAAATGAAACAGCCACCAGATGGGACAACTGATGACGGTGATTAACGACGGATCAATTCTTCTCTGGGCGCTCCGGGGAACAACAGAATGCGTCTCGCCCGCGGTTTGCACAGCTCCATCGCCACCCCCTTGGGAGGGCTGAGCGTTGCGTGCGGGCGAGGAGCGCCCATGACTATCTGGAGAAGAAAAGAAGGGAGAGAGAGACGACGCGAGGAAATCCAGCAGGGTTGGGATCAAATATTTGGGCACCGCACGGGTCAGAGACTGGAGCAGCTATTCTCCGGTCCGTCCAGTCATTGATGACTGGACTGGATTAATAGCCCCCACTCTTGAGATTACCATCAGCCGCCATCCCATTGGACAATGGCTGTTGCTGCTGGGGTGCATTCATCTCATTGATGATGGATGGCACTGCTCAATGCAAGCACGCTTTAGCGAAATGGAGATTTGAACGGAACAAAAGAATAAGAATACTACGATTGTTTGCGGATTCTACACGCACGGCTTTGCTCCGGCCCGAAATTGTACAGAAATAGCAGTGCAGTCACTGGCCTGGTCGAGGTCCTGCCTGCTCCGCTCCGTTCCCCCCTCACTGCTAGCATTGCGTTCGTCCCTGACCCAGAGTCAACATAGCTCGGCTCCCAATGACAGGCCTTGATATGCATGCAGACATGATTGGTGCACCTCCTCTCTCCTGACACCTCGCGGCCTCGATGCCTCCCGGCTTTCCGTCCCGCTCAGCTGAGAACTCTCCGGTCTTTCCTCTCACAGACTGAGTGGGCTCAAATGAAGAAGATAGCCAGCGTAGTCAGCACACTGGCGATGCCCCACTCCCACCCCTTCTTCAGGACGTGCTTCCTGTTGAAGCCGATCGTCCAGTCGTAGAGCAGATGCCGCACGCCGTTGAGCGAGTGGTAGACGAGCGGCCAGGCCATCGCAAACTTGACGCCACCCTTGACAACGGCGGGTAGCTCGGCAAAGGCAGCGGCAATACTGGCAGACTCGAGGTGCCAGCCCAGCAGGGGAGCGGCGAGGTAGGCAGTGGCATAGACGTAGAGGGCCCCAGACAGAGCGCCACCCGTGAAGCGCTGCCAGATGGAGCCCGTAAGGTAGGTCTGCTGGAAGTCGTAGATCTCGAGGTGCGGGGAGACGGGGCGCCTGAGGCGCTGGCTGGCTAGGATCTCGTTGCCATCAGCGAGCGACGTCTTCTGGGTTGCTACGGCTCTATGGCGGTCGGCGTATTAGTCTCCGCATCTAGGTTGTGGACGATCTGCAGCAGGTAGGCTCTCTTACCGGGACTGCATGGCCGACATGTTAGAGGCGAGTGTCGCACGAGCGACATTCTGGGCGAAGAAGCTTCCAGGCTGCTTCACCGCTGCTGCAAAGGAGGAGTCGACGATTAGCCAATTGCTCATGAAGCTCGGGGTGCGCCAAGGTTTGACCCGGGTCTCGTCACTCACCTCGGCGAAGCGCCGACAGGCCTACCCTCTGAGCGTTCATTGCTGACGTGAATGCGGTGGCGCTTGGGGATCGATAAGTTCGTCGCAGGGAGATGATGGCGCGACCAAGAAACCCTAACAGCGATTTGACACGACACGATCTGGGTGAACTGCTCGTCCGGGAGACTAAAGACTTGGAGGCACGAGGGAAAGAAGACGACGGAAGAACAGTTGAAAGCAAGGCCGAAATGGCAGCCAATGATGTGCCGTCACCCCAGACAGTGTGCATGGTCGCAGCCGAGATGTGCCGAAATTCTCGTCTTTTCTATTGGTTGCACGTGCTTAGTCACATGCTACACCACATCCCTTCCACCCAAGGATCGATGTTAATCGCCCGCCGAATATATGGATTTCATATTATTATCCAAGTACTGTACCTAGGTAGGTAGGTAATACCTTGCTTCGGGACAAGTCCCTCATCTTCAAGATTCTTTGGTACCTCAAGCAGGTACCCGTTTGCAACCTTTCACGCGCGCTACAGTTTCTTATATCACGACCCCGCTGGTGCCCTGTCTCTTCTCGGGTGGTGCTGGAAGCTTTGATAAATGTGACCGCAACCAAAAAGAAAATGTCTAGAGAGGTATGGATATCAACGCCGTAGTGTTTACCTTTCCCCTTCCCTTCCGTGCTCCTCCTGGCGTGACGCCGTGCAGAAGAAAATCAGCCTTCTTGACTATGCCCATATCCGTGGAGAGAACGCCGTTGACCCATCCCTTTTGTGATTTGTTTTCTCGACTTCGCAGGAAACCTTGGAAGCCCATCCCTATCGTCGCATAGCCGCCACAAATCACTCAATACTCCTCGCCTCGGCAACTGCCTTGTTCAGTTGCCTGTCTCCAAGGTCAGCCACCCTTCCGCCCACGATGGGCCCCAGGAAGTCGACGAGGTCTGACCGCTCTTGCTCGCTCGTCTCGTGATTGACCCCATTCATCTGCACCTGCGCCAGAAGGCCCCCCTCTTCCTGTCCCGCCGCAGTGATGCTGCGAATCGCCTTGACGAAGCCGCCGACCAGCATTTCGTAGTCGAGTCTATTGATGGTGCTCGTGCCACCATTGGTCTCGCGCTCTCGTAGCGGCTGCAAAATCGCTGCATCGACGGCCTTCATGTTGGGCAGCACAAGTACCCGGACGGCCTCTGGCCCGCCGGCTGCTGCAAGGCCCGACACGGCACCGTAGAGGACCGGCGCTGGTTTGCTCGGGTCGAGCAGGTACTTGAGGCAGGTACGCGTTAGCTTGGGCCGTAGAAGGGCATTGCTCCGCGCATAGTTGCGCGCGATTTGCCCCAACAAGCTGGCTGACAGCTCACGCAGCTTGTACTGCTCCGCTGCGACGACCTCCGGGCTGGTATCGCCGTCGTCCCCGGCGGCTGTGGCGCTGGGACTGCCAAGCTTGCGGCTCATGAGGCAAGTCAGGACCGGTGCGCTGAGCGCCGCTGCGTATGGGTCCAAGAAGAGGCTGGGGTTGTCCACCAGGGCCGACGTGAGCTCCATCATCTGGCGCAGGGTGAAGGTGTCGTCCAAGCGATGCGTGACCTGGTTGGTGATAAAGTTGACAAAGTACGGCACGAGTTGGTGTAGGCCTGGATCGGAGCGGACGGATTCGAGGGCAGCCTCGCGCAGGCGCAGCACCTCCTCGTCGGGATTGTCGTCCAGGATTGCCGCCTGGATTTTGTCAAAGTAGAGGACCAACTCCTTGCTGATGATGTGTTTGACCGAGGGCTTGAACGAGACGTTGTCATTCCCAGCAAGTGCTGCCAGAGCCGGGTTGGCACCGGGGCCTTTGGGAACAAGCTCTTGCGATCGTGATTCGGCCGTCGTTGGGTTCTGCGGGATGGAGGGCTGCACTCCTTCGATTGCGAGCCAGTGGGCTGGTTGATCACGTCTCGTTAGCGGGAAACAACTCCATCTCCCCATGGAACCCACCAGACACGTTGGATCCATACCTGTGAAGCTTGCGTCCCGGGGCACCTTGGGTAGGGGGGCGTTGATGAGCTTCTCAAAATCCACCTCCTCGTCCTCGATGTAAAACAAGGGCTGGCCTGGGCCCAGGCTAGCTTCCCCATAGCGCAGCGGTCGGGTCGACTCATAGCCGTAGAGAGGCTCGACGTCGAGGACCTTCAGCGCTTGCGACACGTCTTGGACGGTCAGAGTGGTCCGGTTGCACGCGCGCATAAAGCGTAACGCCTCGACGATGACCTGGCCGATGCGATATTCCACATCCTGCGACAGGCATCGTAGAGCCTCGTCGCTCAGCTGTGATATGCCGACCGACTCGGCGACATCCTTGACATTGTCGGGGTTCCAGAGGAGCTTCGGCTCGTCGGACTTGGCGGCCGCCATGCTGTCGTGTTCGTCGAGGGAGGGCGATGAGGGCCCTTAGTGGCTCTGAAAAGCGATTGCGGTGGCCTGGCGTGGAGGATCAGATCAGGGTAGGAGAAGGCCGAGTCGATACACGACCCAATAGATCTTCAACCCTTTTCTCTGAGATGCTGATTGGACACGGCCAGCTCGACAAAGCCGACGACGATGAGGGTTGAAGCAGATGAATGGTCATGGAAACCAAGCGTCAAATGGCGAGCTACACACGCCAGAGGAGGAGGATGAACACTAAATCTATGGAGTGGGAAGGCACTGAGGTGCGCACTTTGACAGGATCAGCATAGCGCGGGCTCGTGCGCCAGCGCCACATCAATTGAGGTGTGACATGGATGGGTGGGACTGCAGGCGACCCGCCACTATCTACCTAGGTAGCTACAGTTCTCTCAATGAATGGTCTCAATAACAAGGTATAACAAGGTCCTCGGGTACCTGCCTCCTTGAAAGGAATAATTTCATGCAGTCACCTTTCCGCTACTTACTCTCGTCCCTCATGAAAATGATCTAGACACTCGGAACTCGGGCCTGCCCATGTGTCACAGGAGAGGAAAGCAACAAATATACAGCTCATGAGATGTAATATTTCCTTGATTCAACCGAGGATGCAACCTCGCCAGAGAGATACATATGGCTGCAAGGTGCCCAGGACTGCTCCTCTCTAAGCGAAAAACCAATCCCATCTAATGCGAGACGTTCACATCATCCAGCCCCCCCTTGTTATCAGGTCTTGTTGATATTGTACACCGATTTCGCGACCTCAACCATGTCAACGCAGAACGCCCAATGAAAGCCCACCCCATCCTCGATAATACAACACAGTTGGTATATACTAGCAGCAAGTACTCCTCCATCCCACAAACTCCATCAGGTAAAAAGTGCACGCCCATCCAGTCGCCCGCTAGGGGGTATCGTACCAAGCCACAGCTCATAAAGCACACCGAGATATGATCCTCCGTGGAAAGCAGATAGCAGGGGGCAGTTCGCAGACAATATGGGAAGATTCATAAATCAATCTCGGTCAAGAAGTGCATCCATGCCGTTCCTCTCGCTCTCCAGGTCCTCCGTCGTGACCTGGTGGCTCGTGTCCTTTTGCCGCTCTCCCTTGAGCACTGAGCCGTCTCTGCTCTTTTTGCTGTCGCGACCATCGTCCTCGTCCTCGTCTGTGTTGACGAGATCGGTGAACATCTGCTTAACGTCATCGTCGTTGTCATCCTGTTGCTGGGTATGGCTTCCGCTTGCGGCGAGGCCTGCCTCTCGACCGAAGAGCTTTTCAGCCTGGCGCCGGCCGTCCTCAGTTCGAGACAGGATCTCGAAGACCTTGGCTCGGTCTGCCTCTGTCGACATGTTGACATCATCAATGTGGCCGTCCAGGATGCGGTCCTCTAGAGACATGGACGGATTGCCAATGAGCTGTGGTCCAATCCTCATACCATCCGGCATGAACAATGGGTGGATGGCGTGGCGGCTGTCAATATCCATGGCATCAGGCTTGATCATCGATGCCGACCCAGCTCGCGGGCCGTTCGCATGGCTATGTGTTGATGACGCAGAGTCTGGCCCCCGAGGGTGGTGGCCGTGCATGTTGCCGGTCATCGACTGGCCGGGGGTCTGGGGCTGGGAAGAAGACGCTCTTCCAAAGAAATGGCCGCTCCCGCTGCCGTATGGACTCGCACCTGGCAGGGCCCCAGCAGGCCGCGCCGAGGCCGCTGCTTCGGCAGCGGCCTCGGCGTTCATAGCCTTGCGTTTCAAGCTGTTCGCTTTGCCCTTGATAGATTCGGGCAGGTCGTCCGGATCTTCCACTCCGTATTGAGTGAGAAGCTTCTGCAGTTTCGTCGGTCTCGGCTTGCGCGTGCTCTTGGAGCTCTCAATCAACGGCGGCGGTTCCGGCGCCACTGGGCTCCACTTGTGCAGCTCCTGCCGAAAGAAGTTGGTCTCCATCGATAGGAGGATCTCTGCGCCCTCGATTTTCCGCAGGTAGAAGCGTTGCGTCTCTGCCTCGTTGGCGGTCGACAGGAGAGGGTTGCAAAATCTCGCGATGTGATGCCGAAAGTCCTGCGCGTTGTCGATAATTTTCTTGAGAACCTCCTCCTCCTCAGGTTGGAACGGGAGACCGGGTATCTCCTCATACCATTGGATAAGGTCTTCAAGATTGGGTCGCGCGGCATCGCGAGGGATCTTGACCCGCCAGTCGCAGATTGGACAGGTGTACTTGTCGTCCTCTTTCACCTTGCCCCGCGCGATCTTGAGGCATTTTCCATGGTACCTGTCCGTGGTTGGTTAATATTCAGGTTGTTTGCACATGTACGCAGTGATCCAGAAACTCACCACTCGTGGCACAGTTCGCACTCAATCATCATGCCAGCTTCGGTGCGCCGACAAATACAGAAGACTTCCCTGAATTTCGGATCATCCCAACGCGCCAGCTTTCCGTCGCCGTCGCCGTCGCCTTCACCGTCACCGTCGCCATCCCCCTCAGGGGACGGTTCGCGGGACGCTGGCTCGGCGGGCATGCGCGGCTTGTCATTGACAATGTCGAAGCAATCCAGATTCCGATCAAGCACATAGTCCATGTGGCTTTTGAGGATGTGGAGTGGGGCGTTGGTTTTGCCGAAGAGCTTCTTGCCCTTACGCATCCAGTCCTCGTGGCGTTTCTGCTCTCTCTCGAGGTCGAGCGTACCCGCCGGTTTGGACTGCAGATCCTCAATCTTCTTCATGACCTCGAGGACTTCGGTGTACTTGGGCCTGTTGCTGTAGTCAGGGCCGTGTGAGCGGTTGTTGAGGTCGATTATCTGACGATGAGCCTCCCTTTGCTTGTGCAAGATCTGGTCGACGGCCGCGAGGGTTTCCTGCGAAATGGGCAACGCGTTTACAGCAGCCTGGTGGGAAAGGGTTTCGAGCTGCTGATAGTGAACTGTCTCAGCAGTCATGAGTTCCCTGGCCTTCTGCTCCCATTGCGTGCCCGCTGCGCACTGCTCGACATAGTAAGCATAGTGATCGTTGTAGCCAGGAATGCTGAGGCGCTGGCCCTCCTCGATGAGAGCCTTGACTTCGTCCAGGCTCATCACGACACCTCTGCCAGCCGCAGCCTTCTCGTTCCAGCGCAACTGGTCGAGGATTCGCGAGAGCCCGTCGACCTCGGGTATATCAACATTGAAACTGTGGCCCTCGTCAAGCAATTCTTCAATGGTTTCGACCGTCTGCGACGAGACCTTGTCCAGAGCCTCCTTTGCATGCCGCTGGAAGACCTTGATTGCCTCTGCGCGCTCCTGCAATTGGAGTATCTCGGGGCAGTCGAAGCCGAGCTGCTCAGCTTCATCTAATAGGCGGTAGATATTCAACACGTTTCGCATCTCTCGCTCCTTCTGCTCCTGAGCGGAACTCCCAATTGACTTGCGTGAACCTGACTGCCAGGCCTTCTCGTTCTTCCGCCGATTCTGCTGCTTCCGGACTGTGTAGTTGGTCGCTTCCTCAACCCAGTGGTTACAGCGCTCGACGAAGTCCTTCAATACCAGCAGGGAAGGCAGATCGTATGGAATACGTTCGCCTTCGTTGAGCAGGTTTCGAAGGGCCTTCAGCGAAGGGGCGGCATCTTCGTCAAGCATCTTCTCGTACTTGTCTTCCCACGCCTGGGGCAAATGTGCCTTGTCAGCTACTCGTCTATGAGCAGCGTCGATGGCGTCGTTGGCCTTGCGGTAGACGAGGACATGCTGATCTCCAAGGAACCGCGCCGCCTCGGGCGCATCGCAGCATGCATGCGAGCCCGCGTGTTGAAGGCACAATACCTTTCCAGACGAGACGCATTTGAACCGTGAGAGGTATGTATACGCCTTGCAGTAAGCACACTGATACTCTTCTTCGGCTACATCTTCATCTTCCACCTTGAAAGTCAAGGGACATGAAGACCCCTGGTCACCATCTCTCAACGCACAAGTGTGCTTGGACGATTCCAGGTGCTTCGTAATGAAATCTTCACGCTGACCGATCTCCCGGGTATGGATCCGCTCCAAGGCCGGCGCCAACCATTTTGCGGTCTGTATTGTCAACCCGCCGCTTGTGATACCTTCGGCCGCGGTCCATAGGAGTTCATCGTGAGAGAAGCAAGGCTGTCTTCGAAACTGCTGCAGCCTCTCCACACCGGCCAGGCCAAACGGCTCCCAGTCGCACGGAGCAAAATTCACAGCCTCATTGAAATTGAAGCCGTGGTTGAAACCAGCATGGTATGCTTGGGGAAACGTGATGACGAGCTGGCCTGCACGTTGGTCGACGGCGTAGACTCTGACGCCGGCCTTCTTGAGCTGCTCCGGGGGGAGGAGGGTGACAAGTTGGAACAACAGGTCTGGCTGTGTTTCAAACAACTCTGGCACAGCCTCTCGCATAGCGTTCTCGAACTTTTCGGCATCCTCACCAGGGATACCGTACCAGGTCTTGGTTGCTCCAAAATGCTGGTAGTTGGCTGAATACGAATAGTGATCCTCGTTGTGCCAGCAAAATGTCGAGAAGATCATGCCCACGTACACCCAGGGTACGGTCATGCCCGATATGTCAGATTTGATATGCCTGAAAAGGCTCTCTGGGTGAAGAGGTAGTAGGTTCAGGTTCCACGGATCTGTAGAGTAGGGGTCATCGGGGTTCTTCTCGACGGTCGGAAAGCCTGAGCCGTGGGTGGTGCAGTGAATGTCGGCGCCATACTCGACCTCGACAGTCTCTTCGATACTTGCAACCAGCCTCCAGAATTCGTGCTCAACATCGTCTTCAGTGACAGGCCGGTGGCAGTTGAGTACCGGGTCGAAAGGCATCTTGTTCTCAAAATACCCCTGCTTGAAGTCATTGGCTTTCTCCTGAAACTGCTTGAGCGAGTAGAGGCCGCCTTCTTCAAACCCGTATTGTCCGTCACCAACTAGGCATCGAGGACAGTTCCATTCGGACTCGGGCTTCACCTTGAGCGGTGGGTCGAGACACACCCCGTGATAGGCATGATCACAGGACTCGCAAACGAGAAGCGGGCCGCCGTTCTCACCACGGCCACATTGTTCACATTTCTGCCCCACTTGTCAGTTTACCAGGCACCATGTTAAACCAATGCGAAAATGGTACAGACCTCTCCAAGAGCTGCATTCTCATCACCCGGTATCCGTGGAACAGAAGGGCGGAAGAGCGACATGTGAGACCCGGCCACAGTAGGGACGTTTTCTACAAGTCGATTCGAGTTAGTCGTGGTGAGCCAATCATTTGTGGATAACGAAACCCAAGCATCCCGGCTCCACTGGGAGTGGGGGAGGGTCCATTCTCACACCATGGATCCCTGTCCCTCGATCAATTACGGACTTGAATTGGGCCTATTTGGCACCTTGTCTTCCAGCATGAAGAGCCAGTTTGTTTCCAAACCGGTCCTTGCATAGAAAGCTACATGTGCCTCACATGACAAGCACACAGTGACGTGCCAGGCCAGGCCAATTCATAGGAAAGAATCGATGCAACAGACAGAATATCAGGGTCGGGGGGAGAGTGATACTGACCTTTCTTCAGTCGCTTGCTCCGTCGGCTGCCATTCTCGACATCGTCCTTTTCGGCTCCGTTTTCCTTCTTAGTGTCGACACTGTCGCTGCTCAATTGCCGCTTCAACGCATTGGCAGGACCAAGACCTGACGGGCGATACTCCGGCGTGTTTTTGGCAGACGGGAATGGGCTCCCGTTCTGCTTCGGAGGGGTGAAGCTTCTCGTCTCAGCAGATGCTTGACGGTTGACGCTTGTGAAACCAGAGTTTACAGCCGTGAAACCGCCAGAGTTGATGGCAGTGAATCCAGAAGGTGTTGGCTGGCTGGCGGCAGGAGCAGCATCTGCCATCGGAGTATCTCTCTCACCCTCTTTGGCGTGGCCATTCATGCTGGCTTGTAGAGCATCAGTAGCATGTCGGGCTGGGGTATCTGCTCGAAGGCTGGAAGGCGTGTTGACATTGGATCGTTTCATGGGGCTTGGCGCTGGGCTGGGTGTCAGCGGACCGCCATACTCGAGCTCGAGCTGTTGATGGACTCCGGGTTTGGCGATCCGGAGGTATTCCTCATAGGGACAGAGCCATCGCTGATACGAGTTCTTGAGCGATGTCGAGAGCGAAGACATGATCTTGCCGCTGTAGCCCAGGTCCCGCCCAATCTCTGCCCACTTCTTCAATTTGCACACCTTGTCGAACCCACCCCGAGCTTCGACCGCCTTCTTCAGGCGATACAGGTCAAGTGGCTTCTTGTCGACATATGGCAATCGGTTCAGGTTGTTGCCCTGCTGCTTGTGAAACTTTGCGAGAGCATCGAGATAGCTCAGATTCGCTCGAGTGCCTTGTAAACCACGATTAGATTCGGCCGGACATAATCCGTAAGATATACCAAAGGATAGAGGCGAGGGTATGGGCGGGAAGGATAGGGGCTACTTACTGCCTTCGACCGAGTTTAGTTCTTGCTTCCGCGTCCTGAAGTGGAATTTCTATCACAAAACACGTCATTTAGTACGAGGCCTTCCAGAGCCCACCTAGTATGTTGGGTTTGCAGCATAAGAAGTGCGTAATGGCCGGGTCGGAGGAGCTGGTGGGCAGCAGAAACGCAATGCTTACCTGTGTGTCAATCGCAAAGGGCGGGTTCCACGACTCTGGCGGAACGATCTTGCAGATCCCATACTTGGATGCTTCGGGTGTGATCTTGCGCATGTACTCCATAGGCTCTTTCCATTCCTCATCAGTTGGGTGGTATGTGGGTGCCTCTTGGAGGCCGTGGGGGCGACTCTTTCGCTTCACAGATTCGCGACTCGCTGTGGGCTGCCCTCGTCTCTCAACCGAGTTCAGGTCGAGCGGTGCACTGGTCAGGGAGCTGAGGGGCTTGGGGGTATTCGCAGGATGGTAGCCATTCGAGTTGACCTGAGTTTTGGATCGTGAGGCGGCGCTTGCGCCGACGGCAGGCGACCCTCGGGAGCTGACGTTGGCGCTCGAACCACCACCTCCGCCTGCAGCGGACAGACCCGCGACAGGGACGGAAACCATGGTGCCAGACAGTTGGGGTCGATTGCTATTCACTTTCTGGCCTGGGTGCGAGGACGGTTCAGGGTAGTGAGCGCGTGGGGTCGGTGTCTGCGGTGCGAAGCAGGTGTCGGAAATCCTGCGAGATCATGAGGTGCATGAGACGGCAGTAGCAGGTGCATCCACGTTCAGTGGCATCGCATGGTGGGCGGCGGATGCTGAGCAGGGCTTGTAATCTCGACCTTTTTGGCGACCGACAAAGTCGGAAAAGAGGAAAGGGCGGGTTTTGTTATTTGCGCTCGCCCTCGATCGGGTATATTGTTCGTCCCTAATGTTGCTGGCAAGCCGAGGCACCCAGATTCAGTATTTGTGCAGTGTTGAGCAGCCCAGAGTGAATGCGCTCATCACGTTCTGGTGAGTTATACGACAGCGATCCCGATGGGCTCGAAAGAGGCACAAGGGGGTGTGTATCGTGTGTAAGACGCAACGAGTGACAAGTTTTATCAGTGACAGTGAATGGTGGGCTTGGCCAGGAAAAGTTGTCTCTGGTGGTGGTGGTGGTGGTGGTGGTGGTGGTAGGAGACAAAGAAAGAGGTAACAATTGGCAGGGGTTGGTGGAAGAAGGGATGATATGGACGAGCGGTGCGTGTGAGGTGGGTAGAATTAGAGTGTCAGTAAGAATAAAAGGTGAATGAAGTCTGGAGTTTATGTGGAAGGTTCGGAGGTGGGAAGGGAAAGAATGGCGTGCAGCCGGGGCCGCCAAAATGGGAAGTGTCGTTGGATTGATGGGTTGTGGCAGGAGGAGGGAGCGATGCGGAACGGGTGCAAGTGTGGGAGCGAGCAGGGGTCTGGCCAGTATCATTGTTCTCACTGACATGAACAGCCCGGCTGGGATTCCTTTGTCCACACTGGGAGCGAGGTGGGTGGAAAGCGAGGTACACACGTAAAGCACGCTTGTCGGAGACTACCAGAGTACCTACTAATAGATATGGGTCCCAATAAGGTAGGCACATACATACCTACCTAGGTACTTTACTAAATCAGTGGAATTGAGATCGAGACCCAAGGTCTGGCAATCGATGGGCACCACTCTGCCTGTATGTAGGTCAGAAAGGGTGCTGGCTGATCGAGTAGCCTTTGAATTCTGCGGGAACATAGTATACAGTTGAGTGCAATGCCACTCGGTGGAGAGAATCGAATCGAGCACGACAGAGAACGTGAGAGAATGGGCAGAGGTGGGGAGAGACGGTACGGCACAGTCCAGGAAGGCAGGCAGGTCTCAAAAAGTACCTACCTACATACAATACTTACTTTGATAATTGTATTTGACATGATTCACTCTCAGTGGGTCTAGCGCTGCTTACTGCGATCGGGGGTCGGGTCGGGTCCCAGGCCGGCTTCAAGTGTGGTCTTTGCGATGCAGCCCCCTAGGTGCTCAAGTGATCCCCTAGTTACAGAGTCCCGTCCGCCTGGTTCATACACATGTGCAGGCAGCGAGGCACTGTTTTGATGTGCACGGGCAACTAAATTGGCTCTCGACATGCCACATATCGCGCTTCGTCCGTACAGTCAGTGGTAGGTACAAGTGCTGTGGAGATGCTAGTGGGGAGGAGATTTGGCTTGCCAGACATGGCTGATGGGAAGCGTATGTGTGTGTGTGTGTGTGTGTGTGTGTGTGTGTGTGTGAGAGAGAGAAGGGGTGAGGGCAGAATGACCGCCAAGATGAGGAAAAGAACCTGAGGGATTATGAGTCAAAAGAGGTCTTGTGTCGTCGGGTTCTCTCTTCAATGTGTTCCTCCTTTTGGACTGGAGTGACTTTCGCCGCTAGCCTCCCACGCCATGCTGGTCGAGCACGAGGAGAAATCTGATATCGGTCGGTGGTTGTGCAAGGATGGCTCAGTAGCGTTCTCCAGTCTACCAATCAACAACGGATGACGTTCAGGTGTGGGGCCACTAACTTTACAAGTAGTACCTAGGTACCCTCTTCGTACTCCGTCCTCATAGAAGCCCAGCCAGCGCTGGCTGGGACTCGTTGACCTGGAATTTCTGAAGGGACTGGTTCATTCGAGATGGGCAAGTATAAGAAGCTATGTACATTATTGAGGTACTGCGAGGCTCTACACAGAGTCGGTCGATATCTACATGTACCGGTACTGGCCTACGACAGGGGAGAGGCCATAATCACCCTGGATTCCAGAGCACGCTAACCGCAAAAAGAGTCTGGAGTTCCACTGGAGAGTCAAGGCATTGATGGACGCCACAAGTGCCTGCAAGCACAGGCATGCCCTCCAGGCGAGGCATACGATGCAAAGTCCAGCCGATCACAGCTTTAGCACATGACATCAAGTGCCAGATGAGAGGACAGAGTGCAAGTTCCACAACGGCATCGCAGCAGCCTGGGCATCTCATGGGACGAAGGGAGAGGGGTCTCGGGATACAGGATTGAAAGAGGAACCACCGCATATATATCCATTCCTATCGTATAACTGTGTGTGATCTCAAGATGTTCGCTTTTGCGCCAGATCAATGCTGGGTGCTGCTTCGCCCTCTCCCGGTTCTGAGAAGCTTGTCCACCTCTTTCTGGCCCCGGACTCGGAGGCTCAACTCTTTCATCATATGGCCCCATTCAATGTCACTGCCGCATTTGGGGCAGCTTCCCTGAACAGGGATGATCGGCTCGTCTGCGCTGCGCGGCTCCTTGTCGAGCATGTGTCGGCTCCAACAACGAAGGTGCCCCACGCCATCACAACCATCGTTGGGGCACAGGGCGTACAGGCCATCGTCGGGGCGCATGGGTTCCTCGCAAACCACGCAGTCTCCTTGCTGCTCAAAATCAAACAGCTGGCGACCCTTGGCGACGTAACCCTTGACGGGGGCGTAATCCAGCGGCAGTGAGTGGATTCCCCAGCTCTCCTCCGCCGTGCTGTCTGCTCCTGCCTGTGCCGAGCTCGCAGTGGTCACAGCGCCTGGTCCAAAGTCCGTCACCACCTGTCGGCTGGCGCCCAACGTTTCCTTGGACTGGTTGCACCATCTCTCCCAAGCCGTGAAGACGTCTGGTGCAAAGAAGTGCAACTTCAGCGGCCAGCGGGCGAAGCTCGGGACCCGAAGCAAGAGATGAAGATTGGAAATGACAGAGGACTGGCTGAGTGGAGGTCGCCTTGGGTGGCCATTTCTCTTCCTTGATGTAGAGACCGTCAGGCGTGATGATGACGGTATATGCAACGAGATGTGAGGGTTGTTCAGCGCCCACCTGTTCGGAAGATTAGGGCCCCGCGAGAAGAATGAGGGCCACACATTCCATACTCACTCAAATTTCAGAGCAGCTATCATGCTGGGAAAGCCAGTCACCAGGCCGACCATTTGCCATGGCCGCAGGCTGTTCCGAGCCGTCCGCGCGGCGCCACCGGGTGCCTCGCCATTGTGCTGCTTCAGGCGCCTGGGAGGGTTCGGAGTAGATCCGATATACAGCGAGGCGTGCCGGACGGTTGATCGAAGGACGTAGACCGTGTACAGTGGGGGGATTGGCTTGGATAGCACCGCCATCCTTCAAAAAGCCCGGCGCATGTTGATGCAAGATCGACTTGGACGGGAATGAGAGGTATGAGTTTGATTGTTTGGCGGACTGTCTGCTGCAAGGTTACGAAGCTTCTCCAGGTCGTGTGTGGACCAAAGTGGACGCACAGTATTGACCCGCCGCACCAATCACGCCAAAAGCCCCCCTGGAGCTTTCCATGATTCATTGATCCTCGACCTACCTGACCGAGGTACTTACCTAAAGTAGTTACCTTTTCGAATTTCCTTTCGGCTTCCTATTCCACAATCAACCCAGGGACAACAGCAGGCTTCACATTGGGCGAGCACCCGACCATGCGTTTCCGCGAAAAGCTATAGCAGATTGTAATCATTGCTCAATACGCGAAACAGAGGTTAAGCCAATCTCATGATCGACGCGAAATTACGAGAGGACTCAAGACCATTTCAATCTGATGTTGCTATCTTCCCCTTCCTCAGTGCACCTGTCCTGGACATCAAGCCGTTTCCCTGACCTACAACAGCAGATGTAAGTTGATCAGTGAAGACCGTTGGCCAGCTCCCTTGTCGCAGCTCCGCCGTGCGTTCCGTATGTTGGCGCCCCGTTATTCTTCGTCGTCGCTTTTCCGGCTGGGGGGATCACGCCGTTGGCGTTTCGCAGCTTCACATCCTTGGTCATTCCATTGTATATCCCGTTGAACTCAAGGTTCGCAATACCGTCGTACCCTTTCTCGCCTGTCACCTTCTCGAGGCGAGTGGCAATATCTTCGTCGACCTCGCGGAATATGGCAATCTGTCGCCGAATAATTTCCTTCTTCTTGCATAGCTCCATCTTGCCAGAAACATTCTTGATAAAACGCTCCCGGGCAGGTTCATCCCACACCTTCTGCCACAGAGCGCGCGGCGCGTTGAAGTCTTCGGGACGAATCTCGGACAAGAACGTGACAGCACGGCCGGTAAAATCACTGTGCGTCTTGTCCAGATCGACGGACCGCGGGCGGAACTGGATGGGGTCGATCGATGATAGATAATTGGAGCGACCGCCCTGGTTGTAGAAAGCCATGCCGCCGTCGCGCTGGAAGTTCCCGTGCCTGAACCCCGTCCGCGGAGCGTTGACGGGCAGCTGCACGTAGTTGACTCCGATGCGGTGACGATGAGTATCCGGATACGAGAAGAGGCGGGACTGGAGGACAGGATCCGCACTGGGCTCGATGCCCGGCACCAAGTGCGAGGGACTGAAGGCAACCTGTTCGATCTCGGCAAAGTAGTTGACGGCATTCTCATTCAGAGTAAATTCGCCAATCTTTCGGCGCGGAAATTGGGCCTGGGGCCAGATGTGGGTGAGGTCAAAGACGTTGATGCCCTGCGTCTCCCATGCTTCCTCGGCCTGCTTGGGAGTCATGGTCTGGATCTCGACCGTCCACTTGGGGTAGTCACCGTTCTCGATAGCCTCATACAGGTCTTTTTGGGAGTAGTCCGGTGAGTACTTCGCCGAGTCCTCCTGCGTGATAAAACCGGTACCCTGCATGGACTTGAAGTGGATCTGGACATAGACCCAGTCGTTGTCCTTGTTGACGAACTTGAGACTGTGGCCTGAATAGCCGTGCATTTTACGATACCCATCTGGGATACCTCGGTCACCCATGAGGATCATCACCTGATGAATGGACTCGGGGTTATTGCTCAGGTAATCCCAGAACATTGTCGAGTCATCAGCGTGCGTCAGGTGTGTAGCTGGGTCGCGCTTCTGGGTGTGGATGAAGTGTGGGAACTTGGCTGGGTCTCTCAAGAAGAAGACCTGTAGCATTGGATTAGTCGGTCGACATGGAGAGCAGTCCGGGAGAAGAAGGTTGGAGGCGGCGGGGGAGGATGGGAGGAACAACAGCCAGGGCTTCTTACGGGTGTGTTGTTAAACACAGCATCCCAGTTCCCGGACTCCGTCCTGAACTTGACTGAAAACCCTCGAGGATCGCGGGCGAGGTCGTGGGAGCCCGACTCGCCACCGACGGTCGAGAAGCGCGCCGTGACCGGGCATCGCTTGCCCTTCGCGGAGAAGATGTCGGCCGATGTGAGCTCCGGAATGGGATCCGTACACTCGAAGAAGCCATGAGCCCCGCTGCCCTTTGCGTGGACAACACGCTCGGGGATTCGCTCCCGATCAAAGTGAGATAATAGATCAATTAGATGGAAGTCCTGCAGTAGAAGCGGACCGTTCTCTCCCGCTCGCTGGGATTCATATGGGTGCGGGATAGGGGCACCATTGCTGGTCGTGTAGATGACATCACCCGAAGCTGACTTGCGGTCAATCTCGTAGCTGGTGAACTGGTTGGCCACGTGGGCGGCGAATGATGTATCTGCCGAAGGAGCCATGTTTTGTTTTCTTAATACTCTGTATCGCTAGCAAGAGAAAGAGGGGAAGGGGGGGGGTTCCGAGTATATCACCTGTCACCAGTAAGAAAGAAAGAATCGGGGGCCATGGTAAGCATCTTGTGCTTTTATATACATACAACAGATACGGAGGCGAGTAGGGCGCGAGGCTTACAAGCACTTTGGACTGATCAGGACCCTCAAGGGACTACGATTCAAGTCTCCCATGAGATTGAAATACGTAAAACCATGCTCTAGCTGCCGAGACAGGGTAGATTTGTCAAAGTCACTTACATATCGCGATGAGATGATAGGGTGGGAGTGAGCTCGGCCGACAAAAGGATGGAGATGGTGTTACTGGTGACGCAGCTTGATGCCGAAGCTAAGCCAAGTCGATGACATAGTTGACGTGCCTGTACAAGAAGTAATTTGCCAACCAGAATGTCCACTGCTTTACCTATGGGCCTAATTCAGTTGCTAGGTAATTAGTTTCTGCGATCTGCTCCCACACGGGACTGGCCAGCTAGTCGAGAGCCCCATGAGTTTTGTTCCACCATGGGATGCAGATTATGAGTAGGTCCAGTTAACCTCGTCATGCTTGCCCGCCTCTTTTTCTGTCCACAGGGCATATGGAGTACAAGTACATCTCTCCGAGGCCGTGGAACTGTGGATCGAGTATGACGAAATTGATCTTAGGTAGTTTATCATAACGGCGCCGAAGGGTTGCAACTCTGCGCATAAGATGTGGGGTGGCCACTGGAACCTCCCAGCATGCATGCAGCAGTCTGGCCCGCCCTGGTCCTTAAGGACCTTGGGATGACTTACCTACCTCCTTTGATGGACTGGGTCGCCCCTCACATGGCCGTAGATATATGGTGCCGTTTATTACGGGTGCTCTTATGTGTCGTGCCTAGAGACTCGACCCGACTCGACTCGACATATGTGTGCTCACCCGACATCGCACAGCAGCAAGGCAAGAGGGATTGGACAACTTGCTCCAAGGGATCAATTCACACCGACAATAACACCGCTCAGGCCTTGGTCTACCTGGACAGAGCCCCCCGTGAACCCAGTTACCCCAACGCCGTGATATCTTATGCCATCTAGTCAGCTGCTCCTAGAGTAGGCCTTGCTTTTGCAAATCGTAATACACCTTTTCGGGCATGACATTACCCTCGGCGTCCTCCATTTGCACGACCGTGCCGTCGTCAATCCTATTTCTCTTCTTGTCTCGTTGGATCTTTTCCCACAAACGTAATGCCTCCTCGATACTGGTGATGTCCCGAAAGAGCCCGGTGTTGGTGATGCCGAGGCATTTCAGACCATAGATATGCCTGGCCTCATTGAAGTGCTTCTCAAAGGCCCGCCGGCCCATGTAAACAAAGTTTCCGCAGACCTCACAAGGAAACTCGACGCCTAGGCCATGAAGACGGTATAGCCAGAAGGGGATGGGTTTGCCGTCCCACGCGAGCGGTAGCTTGAGCGGATTGTAGATCTTCTCCTCACCATCGTCCGCCTCGGCGTCGTCGGCGTCGACGGTCTGCGGCGTCTCGTTGGTCATGCTGAAGAGATTCTCAAGCTCCTGCTGGCGCTCTCTCTCCGTCATGCCTTGCCTCCTCTCGACGTTGACCCTCGTGTCCTCTCTCTCGGTGCTCATCGCGCTGGTCAATCGCTTGATTCGATATTCCCGCTCCGCCACTGCTCGCTCCTTCAAGCGCAAGGCCGAAGTGCCCCGCAGTCCTCCAGCAGAGCCGTTTGCACCGCCCGAGGAGTCCTTGACACGCTGTGCCCGCTGCTCTGCCGCCTTGATGTGCTTGCGGCCGGATAAATGGCCCTTGTACACATTGTCGTTCTTGAATTCCTTCTCACAGTCGTCACACCATACCGCGTCTGCCGAGCTGAGCTGCTGTGTGCTCGCGTTCGGCCCCGACGTATTGTCTTCCTTTTGCCACAACGGCAGCTCGCCCTGCTCCCATGCCTGCTCGAATTCCTTGTCCCACGTGGCGAAGACCTTGGGGAGGTTCTCAAGAGGCCGGGTCCTCATCATGAATGACTCTAGGTACTGAGCCAGGTCGCCGATGTATTTGAAGTACTGGTCTGTCAGCTTCTCTGCCCGCTTCAACCCCCCCATGCCGGGCGCAAAGTTGTCAAAGATCTCGAGATACTGCAGGTACGCTATGCGTTTCACATTGGGCAGGTTGATGTAAGACTCGTGGCTCGTGTGTAGATCAAAGAACCGCCCGAATGCCTCCTCGCCTGAGAACATCGAGTCCACCAGGTATGGTTGGGGCTCGGAGCCATCGCCAGGCCGCTTGATCCGGTAGCGAATCTCTGAGTTCTCGGCCTGCTCGTTCGGGTACCTGACGTGATGTTCCTTGATGTTGTTGACCTGCTTATAGAATTCTTCAAAAGGGTCACCCGAGCCTATTTGCTGAATCTCCCTCGAGCGGTCGCCGTTGGCGTCACGATAGATGGAGAGCAGATCTGCCGACTGTCTCTGGATTTGATCGAGGAGCTGTGAGACTTCGTGGTCACGGTTCAAGCGGTCTCTAATCTGTACATGGACGGATAGTCAGCCAGAGGATGAGGGTTTGAGGGTCTTACACCCAGACGGATGCCACTGACCAGCTTTGGCTCGTCGCTCATGCGATCCGCGATGCCCTGCTCGAGCCGCTCGAGATCTTCCTGCAGACATCGCTGCTCTTCTAACGGCATATTGGCTCCTCTGCCGGGTCCAGAGTACCCAAGATCTTGGCAGAATCGCAGCCGTCGTCGGGTAGCAGGGTCGGTGGATTGCTGCTGAAAGGTCGACCCCGAAGAAGTAGTGTTCTTTTTCCTGGCTAGAGATGGATGGGATCGAAACTCATTGATGGCGCGAGGCTGGGGCAGCACTGATGCTGCGATATGGAATTTTTTGGGGGCGTCGGCCAATTGTTGGCTTGGGATGTAACTGCGAGTGGGGCAGACCCGCTCATTGGCCCTGTGATAGATAGTCTCATAGTGCAGCTCCCACCTACTACTCCACTGTTTCTTGGGCCTCGTCATTTTCTCGTTGACCGGATCTTCAAAATTCAGATTCCATTACGATTTCGGGCCCGCCACACAATCTCGTACAAGCGATCTATACACCTCGTTCAAGGCGCGCTCGTGACTCTTTGAACACCTGGACGATGACTGAAGGCAGCAGTGGCGGCATTGACCGCAAAGCGGACGAGAGAATGGAATTCTCTACCTCGAAGGAGGTCACCGTCCATCCCACTTTTGAGTCCATGTCCTTGAAAGGTAACAGGGCCCTGATGCCCTTGACAGCACGGGCTGTCTCTCGTTTGGACACAGGCTAACTTGGAGCCAGAGAGCCTATTGCGCGGCATCTACGCCTACGGATACGAGTCTCCCTCCGCCGTTCAGTCGCGCGCCATTGTGCAAGTCTGCAAGGGACGAGATACCATCGCGCAGGCTCAGTCCGGTACCGGTAAAACGGCCACCTTTTCCATCAGCATGCTTCAAGTCATCGACACGGCGGTGCGAGAGACACAGGCTCTTGTCCTCTCTCCGACTCGTGAACTGGCCACGCAGATCCAGAGCGTGGTCATGGCGCTCGGCGATTACATGAATGTACAATGCCACGCGTGCATTGGCGGTACCAACGTTGGCGAGGATATTCGCAAGCTCGACTACGGCCAGCACATTGTATCTGGTACACCCGGGCGCGTCGCCGATATGATCCGACGCCGTCATCTGCGCACCCGCCACATCAAGATGCTTGTGCTTGATGAAGCCGACGAGCTCCTGAACCAGGGCTTCAGAGAGCAGATCTACGATGTGTATCGGTACCTGCCGCCCGCAACACAAGTGGTTGTTGTCTCGGCAACCCTTCCCTACGATGTCCTCGACATGACAACCAAGTTCATGACCGACCCTGTTCGTATCCTGGTCAAGCGCGACGAGTTGACCCTCGAAGGCCTCAAGCAATACTTCATCGCTGTTGAGAAGGAGGACTGGAAATTCGACACCCTCTGTGACCTCTACGACACCCTGACCATCACACAGGCCGTCATCTTCTGCAACACGCGCCGAAAGGTCGACTGGCTCACAGACAAGATGAGAGAGGCAAACTTCACTGTCAGCAGCATGCACGGGGATATGCCCCAAAAGGAGAGAGACAGCATCATGCAAGACTTCCGGCAGGGCAACAGCAGGGTGCTGATCTCGACCGATGTCTGGGCGCGTGGTATCGACGTTCAGCAAGTCAGCTTGGTCATCAATTATGATCTACCCAGTAACCGCGAAAACTATATCCACCGCATCGGCCGGTCCGGTCGCTTCGGAAGGAAGGGTGTGGCCATCAACTTTGTCACGAGCGAAGATGTGCGGATCTTGCGAGACATTGAACGTGAGTCGTCCGGAGCCTCTCAGTCTGACCCGAAGAATATGTACAACAAAAGCTAATCATACTCGGTCCAGTCTACTACTCCACGCAGATCGACGAGATGCCCATGAACGTCGCTGATCTGATTGCCTAAAGGAGGAGGGGGAGACCATTGGTCGACTTGTGTTATGTTGTGTCTATATTTGTGCGTGTGCGTGTGTGTGTGTGTGCTGGGATTTGCGGCAAAGGAGCAATAAGGGCCGCTTCAAGAAGGAGATGGTCATTTGGGAGGAAACGGGATTACTTTGAAACCAGTGAGTCCATCCTTTCAGGACCTTGACAGATTCTGCACAGCTGCTTATGCGCGATGACGTCCAGGATCCGTGTAGGAGATTGACGTCGAAGGATTGATCGGTGGGATAGAGGTTTTTGGCGGATTCGACTCGTCGTCGCCGAGCTCGGCCACAGGCTAGAATGGAAGGATCATTGGACTCTGCAGTCTAGGGATATCGAGGTGCCTTGAGATGGTAGGACACCCCGCAATACAGCTCTGGTCACCTTGATCCGCATTGCCTTCGCTAGTACCGATATGCGTAAATGGGAATTTTCCCTCCAACAGGTTGCCTAGAACTAAGCCCCATGGTGTGTGTGGTCCATGATACCTGGAACTTGAGCAAATCCTGCCATGCAGATGGATCTTGTTCTGATTACGGCCGCATACGGACACTTGGATCGCGGCATCAGAGTTTCTACGCTACTGAGGGACGGATACACTTGTTGCACACAGCAAGGCGTTACGAAGTGACGAAGTATATCAAGGGCAGCGCAGTGGAGAGACAAGCAAGCTGAGAGAACCCAGAACTGCTACTGGGCTGTCATTGCTGCGCTTCCTGTTCCTCAACTGACCACTGACCAGATGAAGCAAAAAGTAAAAACAGAGCTCGACCAGACCAGACCTTCCTTACGGGGTCAACCATATGAGGAGAGGGGGGCCGATGGAAATACAATACCCAAGTCTGCAGGTTCTCCGAACGGCGTGTTCACCGAGCATTAGTCTGTCGACCCTGGCTCCCAGGCCTACCCAAGCCCTGAGATGGCCTCGTCCCGCCTACGAATCAGAGAGTCGGAAAAGGGAATCATGGATGGGCTTAAACACCGGGGACTCTGCGCGCCAAGTTCACTACTTGTAAAGAATGGCGTTCATATTGCTTTTCCTTCCCAACCTGCCAGAACCGGGGCGGCCCACAACCATGGATAATGACAGGCATGGTGCAGATCTGGGACAGAATCATGTGTTTGGCAGATCAAGAAAAAGAAAAGAAGGGGTGAAAAAATTAATATCAACCCATAGGTATCCAGCCTTCGTACGTGCGAGTACCCTCCATGACTCGCTCCAGCCTACCATCGACACATGCACCCATGCAGTAGCTCCACTACCAGCCCCAAGAAAGCACCCAAAGAGGAAGTTTACAACTGTGGGTGCGAACAACCCACTCAACGGCCTCCTGTAATTAAACAAATCAGGATTGTCGGGCTCCCGGCCGGGACGAGATTTGACCTTGTCTTACCCTCAGGGCACGGTCGACTCTGGCCCCGCAAAGAGACGCTCGGACGTGTCGAGGTCAAGGAAGGGTTCGCTAGCTAACATGCTTTAGGTTGCGCCGGGGGTAGGGTTCAACCTTGCTTGCACATCCACCGATAAGGCCTCGACCCTCAGGGACTGGAATCAACTGATGAGCCCGAGCAGCTTTATTAGAATGGTGGGCGGGCGGGAAGACCTTTGGTTTGGTACAAGAGTGTTGTCCTCTGGTGCATCATCAACACCTGCTCCGTACTTCGTGCTTGTACTCGCACTTGTACTTGTATTTCGCATAAGGATCCTGGTCCCTGTGCTTCCATTGTACTTGTACAAGCAGTTATAAGCACATAATCTGGTGGTGGTCGGACCCCGGGTCAAGCACGGGCCCAGCATCCATGTTCTCGAGCCGATTCAAGGTACCTACCTACCTACCTACAGGCCTCAAAGGTTGTTCTGCCTCGGCCAGACCGCCCGGCCGAGCAAGCAAATCGAATACGACATAGCATCTGGCTACTTGGATAGGCCGGGCCGTGTGTGTAAGTACCTGGGCTGTTCTCAACGAAGATGAAGCTATGTCAATCAAACCAAATTGGATGGCAGACCAAGAGGGGTACCTGGTGGTGGTGGTGTCGTCGTTGCTGGTGGGATGAGAAAAAGGGCCGGGACCACTCGAAGCAACATTGATGAAGAAGCTGAACCCTGCCACATCCATTTTTCCCTTTTCCACGCGTCTCCGCTTCCCGTCGCCTACTGGCGCGGTGCAGATGGCCACCCTTGGTCTTGGAGCACAGCTAGACCTCAGTAGCTGATCGATAGCCTCACCGGGAGCGGGGATGGGCTTGAAGCCCTGGGGCAGGCCGTGATGGAAGCGGGATAGGTCTTGTTCCCTGGCCGGGCACCCTGGGCCAAATCGTCCTCCGAGATCTCTGTACAGATGTGTCTCATTTTGCAGTTGCTTCCCCAGCTAGCTGACTTGGCTGGCCGGCGAAGGAACCCGAGTCCAATAATATGTACCGAGCTGTGTAGGTATGCGGTGGTGAGCGACTTACTCCATGGTCCGCTTCGTACTTTATCCTCGCTCGTCCCCGTGGCCTGGCCCGGCCCGGTCCAGTCTGATCTATTTCTTCTTCCCCTTCTCGTGAGCCTGTTTGAACCAAATCGCCTGGCTCGCCGCTCCCCCCTTCACACTGATTACTCCTGGCCACAACCGAGCCGAGACTTCTCGACGCTGCTGTTGCAATACGCCTCCTCTTCACGGATCAACCCTACGTCCTCGGTTCAACCCTGGACCCCAAGGTCATCTTCGCTTGCCCTTGGTCTGGTCAGTTTGAACTCTCCCCCTTTCTCCCTCTTCCACATCTGCCTTCTCCCCGTCCTCTCGCAATCCGCCTTTTGTCTCCCATTTCATCACTCAGTCCTCGTTTCCAAGGTTGTGGGAAATCGACAAGGGGGGAGCCCACGAGGCGAGTCCGGCTCGTTGCTAGTTCCCCGATATCCTTACCCATTATCCAGATCGAATGGCTGGGTCCAGTACTCTCTCCTTGCCTCCCTCGCCTTCTTCATTCTAACACTGGCCCGGACGCAGTCTAAACAGCGGCCCTTGTTTTACCCAACCTCTCCGCACTCTCTCTCTATCTCGCCACTCTGGTCCGGGGTTCGAAGCCCAAAGAAAAATTACGCTCAAGAGATCGGCCTAGAGTGCTTCTTCCCAGCAGTCCCAGGGCGGCCAGTCTGGAATGACTGAGAGAACGTACGAGAGACTCGAAAAGTCAGGCGGTTCTCCAAGCGAGTGGTGTTAGCACGGGCAACGACGGCTGGCGCTTCGCTTCAGTCTCTCTCTCCAAGAAACAAGAGACACGCTGTGTCGACGACAACAACTAGACTCGACCTAGCAGCAAAGTCTAGCAGCCGACTCCGCTGTCACTACTTCTCTTCTCCACCGTGCTGTACAGTAGTCGGTAACCTACGCCGCCACCCCGGCCAGAGCGCCTCGACAATAGCGGGCTGGGCACTGGATCACCATGGGCTTGTTCTCGCGCAAGGACAAGGCGCCGGCCAAGGTGCCCCTGGATATCTCTCATTCGAGCACCTCGGTGCATTCAGGGTCGTCGAGCATCAAGTCGCCTTCGCATACATCTCGCGCGCTGAACCGCTCTTCCGCAGGCGGCCACAGCATGGCTTCAACTCCAGCAACCACACCTCTCACTCCGTTCTCGCCAAAGGCTCCGAAGATGGATCTTCCGAGACCACCGGACCCGGCCCTAGATCCGGCAGGGTATTTGCGGAGCCTGGGCTCCGTTCGCGAGCGATGCCGTAAGAACCCACCAACCACCAAACCATCCATCCTCGACACGTTCCATATACTGTTGCTGACGAATTGCGTGCGTGGTTTTCTTTTCCTGCAGGCTTGATCACCGAAAAAGCCGTCCGCAATCAGCTCAAGCATTTTGAAGTGGACATGAGAAAGTTCCCCGATGCTGTCGCCTTCTGTGCACGTATCATCAAGGTAAGGCGCACACACCTCACCAGAGTACTCAAAGTGTACTCTCCCGCAGTCGCTCCGTAGTCCCCCATCCACATCCTGCTATTATCACCTGGCTCGCTTCGGTCATCATGCAAAGAAAGATGTTCGGGTAGATACCAGCGGTCTCACTCTCGGACTAACACGGCGTGCAGAGAGACTACGATGCACCCTATGTCAACACCGTGCCATCGTATGGTCGCCTGCAGCACTTTTCCATTGGCGGGCGCGACAGGATTGCGCAGCTACTCGCAACCTTGCCCGAAAGCGTTGATAACTACGAGAGGTGCCGGCGCGTGCTTGACCTGTTCCTGATCAGTATCATGCTCGATACCAGCCCTGGCCTGCACTGGACCTTCAAGAGCGCCGAAAATGGGCGCATATATAGGCGTGTGGACGGCCTAGCGATCGCCGGTCTCGAGATGTACAAATCTGTAAGGGGCAAACGTCATATCCGTAGAGCCATAGTCCCGAGTCGCTCACAGAACCGGGATAGGGTCTTTTCTCGGGCAATACTTCGAATCGCATGCAAGTTGACAAGGATGGTCTGCGAAACCTGACGGTCGAGAAACTCGCGCAGGGCCTGCAATGCCGCCCCGGCAATGAAATCGCCAACCTCCAGTCAAGAATCGATCTCCTCATGAAGCTCGCCGGGGCACTTGAGCAGCACCCGGAATATTTTGGCGACAACGGACGGCCTGGCAACATGGTCGACTACCTTCTCGCCCATCCGTCGACGCAGGCGACCTCGACGCCGGTCGTGTCGGTGCCTGTGCTCTGGGACCTTCTCATGCACGGGCTAGCACCGCTCTGGGGCCGCTCTGGCATCGTCATCAACGGCGTCTCGCTCGGTGACGCTTGGCCCTGCGCATCAATGCCGCAAACATCGTCGTATTGGGAGTCGATTCTGCCTTTTCACAAGCTCACCCAATGGGTACTGTATTCGCTCATGCAACCAATGCAGATGCTCCTCAAGATCCAATTCGCCGGCGCAGAGCTACTTGTCTGCCTGCCCGACTATCGCAACGGCGGTCTGCTGGTCGATGTGGGCGTGCTGACGCTCAGGGAGGAGGACGCTGCCCGCGGCTTGAAAAAGTATCATGAATACTGCGAGCGGATCGGCACAAAGCCAGTCGAGGTTGTTCCGATGTTTGAGACAGGAGACGACGTCATTGTCGAGTGGCGCGGTATCACTGTCGGTCTGCTCGACCGCCTGTGCTCAGACGTCAACCGGGCATTGTCCAAGGAGCTGGCCGGGCATGAGCTGACGCCATCCCAAATCCTCGAGGCCGGCATATCGAAAGTAAGTGCACTGGATGAACGTCCCGGCTCTCCTCACAACTTGAAGAATGCTAATAAGTGATGTCGGCCAGGGTGGGATGGAAATCGCCGAATTCAGCAGACCGAACACGCAGGAGCCACCTATACTCGTCGATGGCGATGGCTCCGTCTTCCGCACGTTCTCGCGCGAGTAGACTTGTGAGGTGCCTCCTTGGACACTCGAGCAACGAGCATTTGTTGCACGCGTGACAGACACCTTTGGTCTTGGGGAGTCCAGCTCACCAACTTGCACGATACGATACCGCCACTCTGAGACCACCATTGCCAGCGAGGGAGGCCGACAAACACCGTGGTTTTAAAAAATAAAAAAAAATAAAAAGAAAACGCCCGAAAAATCGACCAAATTATCCGGACATCGGATATGAAGGATTGGAGCGAGCCACGGCAGCCCTACACAATAAACGACTCTTCGGCGTGAGAGCTCAGCCTTCCGTACCATGCATGAGTCCCTCTACCTCGCCAAGCACATCTCTTGACAGGGAGTGCGCGCGACAGCAGGGCATGACAGCGCACGGACAAGGATATCAGGATGGCGTTCAAAGAGATGCTACAGGAGTATCCCAGTGTATGTATAATCGTCAATGATAATATACAATTACAGTGTAAGTGACGGGATTGGAGTCTTTCCACCCACTCTCTATGCCGTTCATCGTGCACATGTACATATGTTACATATCTTCCACAGCCATCAATACACGCTTCCTTTCCACTCGGCACGAGCTGTCCACCATACCCTTCGTTTATCGGACTGGCGCAAAGACGCCACCGCCGATATGTTGGGCCAGACGACTTGGGATGCATGCCACCAACACGGGTGCTCTCTGATGCATCCGCCGTCGTCACTCGATTTACTGCCTGCCCTTCTTTTCAAGCTTACGAAGCCTGCGTTCCTCCATGCGCTGGTAGAATTTCTCCTTCTCCTCTAGCTCGCGCTTCTTCTCAAAGTCCTGGGCCTTTTGGTACTCGGTGTCCTTCTTCTGTCCGTCGGCATAATTAGTCAACCGTTGGCGCAAGTTTCCGACCGTGTTCTTGACATTGGTGATGGGATTATTGGTATCGATGCGGGCTTCGGTCGAGGCCTGCTGGTCGCCGGCGGCGGCACGGGTGGGAGCCCTATATTGCGTCTGGGCAGAACTCAGAGGCGTCTGCGGAGTTGATGGTTTGCTGGGATTGGCGGCGGCAGGCGAAGCAAAGATGTTCAAGGCGTTGGCATCGGGGCGGGGAGGCGGACCGAGGTTAGCCCATTTGCGGAGCCAAGGTTGGTAGAATAGCCATGACTGGAGGTATTGCAAGAGGCCGGAGACAAAGAAGAAGAACTGCAAGCCAGACGCCATGTTGGCGGTGATGATCAGGGAGAGAGGCGTCAACACGTATTGGATCATCTTCATCATGCTAGCCTGCTGGGGCGCCATGTAAGGCAGCGTTTGCTATGTGCGCGGTGAGATTAGCGGCGGCTTTCCCGTACAGTGGCGGACGGACGCGGAACGTACCCTCATAATGAGAAACATGGTTGCTGCCGAGGCGATGGGCAGGATGAAATAGGGGTCTGGAACCGTCAGGTTCTGGAACCACAGCATACCGCCCTCCTCGAGGCCTGGAACCGGCAGAGAAGCCATGGACCGCAGCAGGCGGAACATACCCAGACCGATGGGAATATTGATCAGGGGTACGAATGTCCGCCACATCTGCACGCCGGCGGCGCGCTGCATACCGCTCATGGTCTGACGGGCCTCCATCATCTCCGCCTGTGCCTGGGGACCGGAGCGACGTCCGGCGCTCTGCATGCGCGCAAAGGCATCGTTGAACCGGGGGTCTTTCCGCAGGTCCTGCATCTTCTGACTGTGCTCCGAGGCCTTGAGCGACGGCCGAAAGATGGCAACGCGCAGTAGAACGGTAAGAGCAGCGATTGAGCCCCACCAGGGCAGACCGCTATAGACATGGACGTGCTCGAGGAGCCATTGCAGGCATGAGGTCGGGCCATAGCCAAAGTCGAGGCCCAGCGCATGTAGGTAGCCAATCTGCTCGGGCATGTTGAGAAGGGAGGAACCGGTCTCGAAATCAAGGGGTGTAATAGAAGTAGCATCAATAACGGGGCCAGCCGATTCGGCAGAAGACGTGGGCATCGGTTGCGTCGAGTTGAAGCGAATGTGTCTGGGTAGAAGTGCCGCCGACAGAACCGTCGCGGACGTCAACGAGGAGCCCCTGACTAGACCACCTGAGGCCCCCAGGAGAGAGCCTTTGAAAATCCTGGCATTGCGCGAGCCGGGGCTGCTTCCAAATAGCCTCAAGGTTCCAGGCGTGATGATCTGTCGCACTGGTAATGTCGCGGGTCTTGATCGGCTCTGTAGTGCAGCAGATGTGTCAGTTGTCGGCGTCGCGCCAGGGGGGGAATGAGACGGCCGCATACCACGAATCGTAGTCCGAGAGCCTGGCCCGGACGGACGAGACCTCTACCGGGGATCATGTTGGCTCGTGAAACTCTCCGATCCTCATCTACCGAGAAGTGTGAGAACGTACGGGCGAGCTTCCGATTCTATGAATGATGGTCCTGCCCTGGAAATTTTCAGTGGGCCGGGTGTACTTGTAATTCCTGGGTGGCCGGCAGGTGCCTGCCGGCCCGCCAGCCTAAGCACTCAGGACCAGCATCCAGCTTCAGTGGGCTCGATTCTCGGGTCTATGAGTAGAGTATTGACGCATGTCTATGGAAAGACTGCAGAGTGACTGCTAGTGGATTTCGCTTTTACGGTTACTCTCATATGCTCGTTGATGCCCCAGGGGTCATCACAGCCGAGAAAGTCGGTCCTTATTGCTGGGTTTGTTTATGTTTGCCTTCCGTGAGATTGTGTGAATATGTACATCGGCGTGTCTAATTGGTATCTGACGAGGTTCCCCTTTCACTCGCCAGCGACACAACATGTCCTATCTATTCACTGTACTTCCTCCTCTCGACCCTTCTCTGCTTGAAGCACGGCAAAAGCCCAAAATTCCCGTTCCAGGCCTCCGTGGCAAGCCATATAGCAATCCGTGCCTCTATCATATGCGTTCCGGCGACGAGACCCTTTTCCAAACCCAGATTTTCTCGAGGAATCAAGCAGCGCCTTGGTCCGCTCCGGTGGTCGGGGTTCTGGTTTGTTTAAGAATCATTCCAGTGCCGTGATATCGTCCAAGTCCAGAACGGGTCCTCGTGCTGGCTCGACAACTTCGATTCCCGGGCCTATAGGATGCGATCTCCTCCGGGAATTAGGGAAGACCTGTATGTTGGTGAGTATACTCTGCATGCCTAAGTCTAACCCTGTGCAAAAGAACGGTCCCAGGAAGAAAACTGAAAGAGCAGGCTCTCTTACCTTGGTTCCTCCCCAGCCCAGTCGAAAAGCCCACTCGTGCGCAAACAATTCGCCAAAACCCAGCATCATGCCGTTGATAAAAGGGAGGAAGAGGTTGATTGCTGCTCCTCGTAACAAGGACCAGACTGTGGGAGGCTGGTAGAGTATGATGGGCGGCGAGTTCGAGGTTGGTGGTGACGTTGATAGCTCCTCGGCTCCTGAGTACTGCTCGCTATCCGAGGCCATGGTGACTCCAGACTCGGCCATTGGGTTGCTAGACTCGTCTGAAGACATGATCGATAGTGGCAAATGCGCAACCCGAGAGAACGTAAAGATAAAATGTGCGCAGTATGTTTGGAGGAGCAGTCGAGAGACTGTGTTTTCGCGGTATGTCTGCAGGTGGCTTCTCTCCTTTCCGACAAAAAGCTCCCCAAATCCAGAGCCTCAACAGTGCTAGAATTCGGGTGAAACAGGCAGCACTGTAGAGGCTGGCAGCGTGGTTGTTAGGGGCCACTCAGCACATCATGGATTTGAATTCGCTGCGCTAGTCGGCATTGGCGGGGCATTAGGTACACCAAGGCCCAGGTAGGTGGAGTGCAAATATCACCGGTACCTACTCCGTACCTTACTACCTCAGCATTGAACAAGGACGCACCGCACGGTACCTACCTACCCCACCTCACTAATGCGTCGTCTGTTGGAGCTGCCTAGATTGCTAGGTATGACACAACAGCTCGAACAAGCAGTCCAGACAGCTCCCTCACCCTTTTGTCAACCTCCTTCCCACTACCTCTTCGCGTGAGAGTTCTCAGGGCTCTTCATCCTATCCTTGATCAATCATACCACTTTGTGATTCTCACCGGGAGAGACCCTTTTTCTCACCTTCGCAGGGACCGCGCACCCCACCTCACTCTCACACCAACCAACACTTGCCAGTCTCGGCAATCTGAGCCACCAACCGACCGCCAAAACAGCGTCCTGAAAAAGCCCACCATGGCTGATGCGGGACGTGATGGGCATGTGAGCTCGTTCTGCGATCTTACTGGGGCTTCCCCAGAGCAGGTTCGGAGGTCCCCTTCCCCGGGCAGCTTTCCGCAGCATGAACTGACTTGCAATCTCAGGCTACCGAGTACCTCTCGGCCACTGGATGGGATCTCGAGACCGCAGTCGCTTCATTCTATGCTGATGCCGAAGAGGGAGACAGCGCACCCACAACAGCCACACCGACACTCGGACAAGCCGCTGACGACTCGTATTCGGGACCTCGAACCCTAGATGGCCGCCCGGCTCCCCAGTACGCCTCAGCAAGCTCATCATCGAAGAAGGTCCCTAAGAAGAAAGGGCTCGCAACGCTGAGCTCACTTGGTGCTGGACACGCCCACGATGACGATGACGATGATGAGGACGAGGAAGAGGATGAGGGCAGGGGTCCGCGGGATCTCTTTGCCGGAGGGGAGAAATCAGGACTGGCGGTCCAGGACCCAAAGATGGATCGGGGACCTTCAAGTGCTCAAAAGGTCATCAAGGATATACTATCTAGAGCAAAAGCGTAAGCCAATGCCTCTTCCCTCCGCACTAGTCAACTCCAGGAATTAATCCTTGCCCCCATAGCAATGCCTCCCGTCCCGGCCCAGACGAGGAAGAGGCTGGACCTTCTCGATCAGGCGCATTCCGAGGAACCGGCCAGACTCTTGGTGGAGAAGGCGTTGAATCTCGGTCTATACCTGATCCACTGGGTGCACCCACCTCACGGCAAGCCACCACAGAGGGCGAAGGTGCTACCCAGATGCGGACGCTACATCTGTGGCAAGATGGCTTCAGCATTGACGACGGCGAACTTCGCCGGTTCGACGACCCTGCTCATGCCATGGACTTACAGCTCATCCGCCAGGGCCGGGCCCCCCTCCATCTGATGGACGTGAGATATGACCAGCCTGTTGATGTAAAGCTGCAGCAACACGAGGAGAACTGGCGCCAGCTGCCTAGAATTTATCGCCCTTTTGGAGGCGAGGGACGCCGCCTGGGAAGCCCTGTGCCTGGTGACTCCGCTAGCGGGGCGTCCGCTATGAGTGCGTCGGCCGCAGCTGATACAGCAACCAGCCAGCCTGCCTCGTCCAGACAGGCGCCTGAGGTGGACAGCTCCCAGCCAACGATCATGCTGCGCATCCAACTAGCGGACGGCACGCGACTGCCAGCCCGGTTCAACTCGACTCACACGGTTGGCGATGTGTATGACTTTGTCCAGCGCGCATCTCCCGAAACCACCACCCGTGACTGGGTTCTAGCAACCACATTTCCGAACAAAGACCATACAGATCGTGGCCTGGTTCTGGGCGAGATGCCCGAGTTCAAACGAGGTGGCACAGCTGTTGTCAAGTGGACTTAGGCGTTGTGAGTCGAATGCGCAATGACATCATTAGCACGAACATCATTTGCTTCAAAGACCATGGAGAGGGACTAGGAAAGGCTTGCGGTGATATCTTCGTTGGCGAGTCACTGGGGCTGGCTGCGTGATAGCGCGTCAGGAGTTAAGCTAATTCTAATCCGCCGGCCAACGTATGTAGTAGCGGTACAAGGGACTCGCAATAGCCAATACAGATGAAATTTGAAGGCGTCTTTACCGGCGATTGTTGTGGCAAGTCTGCAGGCTCATCTACCGTGGAGGGCTGGCCTTGGACCCCTATTGAGCGGAAATCCCACGACGGGAGCGCCGCTACCAAGCCTTCGTACCAGACAGCACCATAAAAGCCCTTGGGCTCGCCCAGGCCTGGCTCTGGCCGAATGTAACGCAGCGCAATGCGATAACGCCTTGAACTCCGGGCAAGTCATTCCATTCGTCCCTCTGGGTATCATCAGTGCAATCTAGACACAGACCCATCCATTCCCGCTGAATGAAGAGCACAAGTCCAGGTTTGAAAATGCCAACTACCGATGCTGGGCCAATAAAAGCACAGCAAACATGGCCTTCGCGGTCACTATTGCCGACTCAAGACGAGTTGCCCGAGGCGGAGATTGCGACGGGCTCACCCAAGGCGATGTCCTTGGCGCCGGCGTCCTTGGCCGCGGCGCCGTCCTTTGTGCCGGCGGGCGAGTCAAGATATTCAAACTGCTTTGCGGCTATCTTGACGTTGAGGCGCGCTGCATTGTAGCGGGCCTCGCCGGGTGGAAGCGCGACGAGGATGTAAGTGTTTGTGGTGAATTTTGTGATGAAGAGGGAAAAGCGCGTGCCGGACTTGTATTCAAAGTCCCGGAATTGCTCCGCATTACGCGGGGTGCCGCTGTACTTTGCCAGGCTTGACTTGAACGACTTGAGAATGTTGGACATGCGCTCATATCGGTCCTCGAAAGGGTTGAGAGCGCCGACTGGTGAGCACCAGTTGGAGACGACCAGAAACGAGGTTCGCTCAAAGAGCTGGATCTCTTCGGCCTCGATGAGGCGGCCCAGGTGGCCGATGTTGGTCTCGATGAGGGCCAGGTTCGGAACAAGGTCGTGGATGATGCTGGCCCATGCCTTGTAAAGGGACTGGTCCCATATGCTGGTAGCAAAAGCGGTTATGTCAACCTCGCCAGAGGGTAAGGTGGGCAGGCCGACTCCAGCGCTTGCGACGCATTCAGCAGTCTTTTGACGGACAAGTTTGACTCGGTCCTCGAAGATGGACTCGCGCTGGGCCGAGAGAATGAGGTCCATCTTGTGGACGAGGACAAAGACCTTGGCGGTCGGTGAGTACTGGATGAGGGCGGAGATGACAGAGATGTAGGTGGCCATGTCGCGGTCGACGTCCCGGCTCTCGACGTCAAAGACGTAGATGAGCACGCCGACGTTGCTGAAGACATGCATCCGCTGCTGGGAGAGGTAGTTTTCCATAAAAGCCTCCTGTCCGCCACAGTCCCACAGGTTCAGGGTCAGATTGCCGAGAAACTTCACATGGGACAGGTCGATATCAATAGTAGCGCCGCTATCATGAGCAACCTCTGTCAGCGATGATCCGGCGGCACGTAGAGCCATGTCTCCTTCGCCGTCCTCGTCTCTCCGGTGTGCGGAAACGGCCGAATGAGAGAGAGCGCTTGTGGGAAATGAGCCGACTCACAGTCTACGGGTGTCTCTGGCGAGATAATTGCTGAATATGATGGACCGCATGCTCGATTTTCCAGAGCCGCTCTTGCCCATGAGGAGGACCTTCTTCTTCTTGACTTTCTTGACCTCGCTCTTGGGCTCGGCGGCTCCAACAATGCCAGTCATGGACTGCTGTGAGAGATCGTCGTCCGCCATCTCCGATGAAGCGAAAAGGAGGAAGGGAGAGAGAGGCCACACGGGGAGAGGGAGCCAGTGAGAATGCTTGGGGGACGACCTGCGCGCCCTTGCCTTGTGCCTTGTGTGTCTCTTATCGGGTTTGTATCGTGCGTCCGCAGGTAACGGGAAATGGCCTCCATGACTGCTAGAGAACGGTGGAGACAGCGTTGGGATGTAGGTACAAAGTACCTAGGTACCTACCTTAGGTCGTTACGTGATAATTTTGGTGTGGTCCGTGCACGAACCCCACCCACGTCCAACCTCCAGGATACGGGTGACTTTCCGCGTGGAGCACTACCTCTTGTTCGGGGTAAGGTAATTAGGTACACTTATCTTCCGCAACAATTAGGCACCTGCACCTAGGTCATGGTAGGCATTTACCTACTTACATTGTATATTTCTATATATATTCCTATACTAGATATATTTTGTTGGGTCTGGCCTCGAGATGCCGTACCGAGCGAGATCAAGACGTCAAAACGACCCAGCTCGGGTTGACACCACGTTACCTACCTACCTAGGTAGTTACCTACATGGTTACATCTGTACCTAAGGTTGGTAGGTAAGGTGCCTCGTTCACATCTCAACACCGGCGGTGGTGCTTGAGGCCTTGCGCCATTCTCCGCACAGGCCATATCCCGGGTGCCCAAACATCAAAAAGTAGACCGACGCCACGACGGTGCTTTGGTTAAACAGTCAGCCTTCAGACCTCAATGTCAATGTATGTGTGTGCGAGGGTGAGAGGGATTCCAAACTCACACTCCTTCCATGCCGATGAACAATCCCTCGTCTTTGATCAGCTCGCCCGCGTACCCCTGGTGCAGTTCCACAAGACGGTAGACACAGCGCGCCGTGATGATTAGTATCGCTGCCCCCAGGAACCCAAAGAACAGTGCCAGGCGGCGACCAAGCGCTCCTGCGCGGGCTCGTTGTCCCTCTGGGGACCTGAAGTACCGGATGAGATAGTCGGCAAAAAACAGACAGAAGGCAACGATGGTCACGACCTGGAAGCTGAGTCCTGCCAGGGCCAGGTCGACCCCTGTCTGGCTCGAGCCCTTGGACGCCACCGAAAGAGCACCGCCCGACGCTTGGAGTATCAGCGAGACCATGTCACAGGGGATGAATACATAGTAGAAGTACTCCGGCCTGAAACGCGACAGCTGCGGACTCAGGTAATTGATACTCTGTGATAGAGTCACATATATCGCCGCACAATAATAGACCGGGCCACTCGTGATGCATACTGCGTATCCGTTCATCAGCATCGCCCCTGCCATACCGCGCCTAGGCTGGCCGGGCCTGTCCACGGGGTGGGCATACATACTGATCTGGGCCATGAAGGCGGCAAAGTTGAAGGGATTGAAGTACAGAGCGAGCCGGCCCGAGTAGCCAGTGATGGCGTTGGCTGCCCCGACTATCATACAGCCCATGAACCACCACGTCTTCCACCGGACACCCAGATAGGCGTGTACGGGCATGGCCAGGAAGAACAGGACGAGCAGGACAGAGTTGGCCGCCAGCGAGGGTCTGTACCCGTAGACGCTGTATTCGACAGGACACAGGTCCAGCGTGCAGTTGCCTTGGGGTCCGAAGACGACCACGTTGGGAGGCAGACGAGACGCCGGGCTCAAGGACATATTCAGTGTGAAATACTGTCCGTCGGTTCTTCTTGGGGGGTTCCAATCCTATTTCGGAGAGGGGTCAGTCGACAGGAGTTGGAGAGCTGAAGAATTTCAAGTGATCCTGCCCTCCTCGTCCGAGCGAACAGCTCTACTTAAACTCGCTCGCTACTGGAGCCGGTCAGAGGCATGTGGGAAACCTATGCCATGTTCATTTCCCCTGACTGTACTATCCGTCTTGGGTTGTTATCCATGCAACCCCAGGGCTGGCAACGCCAACGGCTGTGCCAGCAACGACACAAGTATTCCCGCTCATCTGCTCCGTGGCATGGCTGTTGTTGACGAGACTTGGTATAGCCCAGGTCTAGGAAAGTGATCCCATCCAGCGGCGAATCACATCACAAGTGAGTGTGCGAGAAGGGGCTCGCTCTACTTCGCATTCGCTTAGGGATCCTAGAAACTTGGCGCCCACGTCACTACTTATAAGTACCTTACTCATAGTTACGCGCAAGCAGGCGTAAGCGAATGCGAGTAAGCAGCTCCATTTCGGGCAACCCACCCAAACCAGATCAGTATATTGGTAAGTCATGGCTAGGGTAGTTGACGGCCTGGTGATAACAGAAGTATTTTCCCTTCGTTGTTTAAGAAAATCTTGTTTCGGCGGCGGGATAACCAGTGCGACCTGTAAAAGTATTTTGAAGTCACAAGGCCAACTTAGTAACCACCGATCCGACAGATCGGCCGAGATGATCTCCTTGTAGAGCTAGCTGGACTTGACGAGTTGAACTCAGAGGTGCTTGTGTTGCATCCTCTCCTGGATCATCGCCGTACATCGCCGAGAGATGTTTTCTTTCTGTCGTCCTTGGGGACTTCGGAGCTAACTACATATACTCGCTGCATGTCGCTCTCTACAGAGTCCTTCGGATCCGAGGAAAAGAACATTTGTGACTGACTCTGCAGATTGCACACATCGCATGTCCTACCCATTGCCTAACTGCACCAGTCCGGGCGCCATTTGACTCCACGGTATTGCTTAGATATACCTCAACTGCCTTCTGTCGATGGATCTGGAGTCAACTGTGTTTCTGGCCACCTTCTCCCTCCATGACCGCCCGTTGCCAAGTCTGCTTGCGCCTGCTAAAGGTGGATCGAGCTTGATTGAGGACCCTGGGGTCTGCAGCTTGAATGGACGTTATTTTTAGACACAATCAGTGCTGTGATCAGAGACCCTGCGTAGGGAATCGTTTTGTCGGCTTGTTCAATATGGGTAAATGGAAAAGTTGTAACCGTGGGTGGCCCCGAACCCAAAGATGCCGGATTTTCGAGCAACGTGCCCTAGCAATAAGCGACGAGTGTTTGGTGATTTAAAGAGACAAATCTCTGCCCCTCTCCTGACGCATCCAGGACATGGAGATGTTACACCCACCTGAGTCCAAAGCCTTGCCAACAGACTGTGAGATTTGGACGAGACACTCATCTCTGTCTCTCATGATGGCATCATTGGGCTCAAGCTGGGGCTTCGGGTTGCTAGCTATAATTTTGCCGAACATAGTACTGCAGGGTGGTTGGGCCAACGTCTTTTATATCGAGCCTCCCTCGTATCCAGCTATCCTGTCCATCAGCGCGTCGGGCAACGGTTGTCCACAGGGCACGCCGTACTTCGTCCCGGCGCCAAATGGGACTTTGGACTGGGATGACTGGACGCTAGTTATGCCCAACTTCACTGCGCGCGATGGTCTCGGCTCCGATCCAACAGAGCGCACAAAGAACTGCCAAACTCACCTGAACCTCGCGGAAGCACCCACGGGCTGGCAGGTCACGCTTCGAGGCCTGACAGCGCGGGGCTACGTCCGTCTTGACCCGGAGGCGACTGTCCAGGCTCTCGGGACCGTGTATTGGTCTCAAGACCCAACGGCCGCAAGTTTCACGTGGGCCCCAGCATTTACGTCGTGCCTCCTTTCTGACATGCAGCAGGCCACTACCAAGAATGTCACACTCAAGGCTGATAGCAAGATGGAGGGCCCGGCAACCATTGAGCTCCGGTGGGACACGGATGGCCCTGGGATCTGGACCCCATGCGACACGCCTGGTCAACGGGGGGGCCATGGCATTCTCAACGTAAACTTCAGAGTTGTGACGCGAGGCACGGAGAACGGTGGCGAGGCATACTTTGGCAACTATGGGGACCATTTTGTGACGGAGAAACTGGACTGGATGTGGAGGCCATGCACTGTGCACGCGCCATCTATGTCGGCGACCCCTCCAGCAAGCCTCTCGGGTCTGCCAACCACGGTCAGCATACCAGCAGAGAGCCCGACAGATGCAGGTACCAGCGGGTATGAGCAAGATCCTCCTTCCAAGACCCTCACAACCTCAGACAAATTTGCTCCGACATCCGCAGAGATGGCCTAGAGCCATGCATGCCGCCAGTGAAGAGTATGCTCGCGGCGAAGGGAAGCATACACCTACGGATGGAGCTCGAGAACAAGTGATGAACCTATGAAGGGGGCACCAGGTTAAAAATCCGAAGCAAGGTAGTCCACCGGCGCCAAGCCCGCCTTTATCAATCTGGAATTATGGTTCCCCTGAGCTCGCTCCTGGTATCGTACAGCCCATACCCAAACAGGCGACGGGCTTCTAAAGCGTGTACCGGAAAGATGGATGGCGATGCCCCAGCCTATGCGCATCTGGCTGCAGCAGTCGGTTGTTGCGCTCGCCGCGCTCTCGCTTTTGATTCTCCCACCCAAGGTAGGCCATGTATGTGATAGTCAGGAGAAGCGACAGAACGAGTGCACCCAGGGCGACGGAGTGTCCCAGCCGATAATGTGGTCTGAGTAGTACTGGGTCAGTTCCCAGCACACCGGGCGTAGACTTGTCGGCAAGGGCCGAGGGAGGAGAACACAGCACTTACGCATCGCGAGCGAGATAGACAAAGGTCCCAATGAAAGCGGAGCAGTTGGCAATTGAAATGGTCACGCCACTACTGGTCGCGCGCACATAGTGAGGTGCCAGATTATTAGATGTCCAACCCTCCGAGGGAAGGTGTCAGTACAGTGACGCACACGTGGTAATCTCGACGAGGGAAAAGGGGGTCAACTCACCATGAGCATTGACGAGCACTGAAAGACGCCCAGCCCAATGAAGAAAGTTCCGGCATACTTGACCGGGTTTCTGTCAGAAACCAGCAGCATGATGTAGCCGCAGATGCCCAGAATGCAGCCGGCCACGATAAAGGGGCCTCTGACTCTGACCCTGTCGGAGAAATAAGATGCAACGATGACCGAGATGAACCCCGTCATGTTTGGAGGTACAGTGAACAGCTGTGCCACCGTGGACTTGTAGCCCATCCCCGTCACAATCGAAGGTAGGAACAGGGAAAAGCTCTGCCCGGGTTGCACACGGAATACGGATGGTTAGCCTGCCTATATTCCCTTTACCTGGGGTATCTTGGCAGCGCATGGAGCTTACATATAGAGGCACCAGGAGGAAGAACCAGATGAAAGCCGTGAAGTAAGTCTGGGGTGCCAGGAGGGCCATTCTGACCCAATGCCAGTTGAACTTTTCCTCGTCGACATCGAGAGTTGTGGCTCCGCTAGCATCCACCCTCATCCTCCGCAGCGCGTGGTTTCGTTCGTCGTCGGTGAGAAATTTGGCTTCCATGGGGGTGCTGGGCATAAAAAGAAAACAGACCAGACCAAAAACGACGGTGACGGCACCCTCCACTGAGAAGGGAAAGTCAGCTACTCGGAAAGCGCTACTCAGAAAGCAAGGATGACAAAAACACAGACGCATTGCTCAGTGCTACCAGAGCCAAACTCACCAAAGAAAATCCAGGGCCATTTGTTATAGCCATGATACTTGATCCGCCCGAGTGCTGATGCTAGAAGACCGCCAAATGCTCCCGATAGGGGGGCTGCTGAGTAGAAAAGGCCACAACGGAAGAGCATCTGGTGTCGGGGGTAAAACATAGCCAGATAGACAATGACACCGCCAAGTATTCCTCCCTCGCACAGACCGAGCATAATACGGCAGGCGATCAGGCCTCCCAGGCTGGTCACGAATCCGGTCATGGTACATACGAGGCCCCATGCTGTGATCAAGGTGGGGAGATAGATGCCCGCTCGCACACGCTTGATGATCCAGTTGCTCGGTACGTCGACCAGTATATACGGGACGTAAAACACGAGAAGGGCGATATTGAAGCCAGTGCCTGTCTCAATATGGAGGTCTGTGGCCAAGCCGTCGATCTTTGCATTGCCAATGTTGCTTCGGTCGATGAAGGAAAGGAGCCTGGTCAGGCACAACCCACCCGGTCAGTAGGCCATCCATTTTGGCAACGCAAGACAGTCCCCAGGGGCCTTCTCACCAGATTCCAAACAACCAGGGGATGATGTGCAGATCAAATTTGCGGTCCAGCTTCTTGTCGAGGTGGGGATCCAACTCGATGGCCTCCTGATCCAGCGTTTTCTCAGTCTGGTGGGCAAGTGTAGCTGCCAAGTTCTCGGCGGTGCCAATCGAATTCGCCATGCTGGTTGTATCATAGGACGAGGGTCTGAAGCTCAAAGTCTAATAATGCCTGGTCAAGGACAATGTGAGGGCATCAGATGCCAGGGTCGTGGGGTAGTACCTAGTTATAGAGAGCATACCCTCAAGAGCAGCAGTGTACGGACAAGCATTCTGGGCGAAGTGCAGGGTACATGCCAGACAATCGGGAACCAGCATACAACCGGTTGACTGTGCCCCTCTTCCCTCCATCCTTGCTCCCTCTTGGCCCCAGTATGCATTGGTTCCCCCGGCCTTGTCAGTCCATAGTCGATGCTGGGGAAGCTTGGCAATAGCAGGCATGTTGACAATGGCCCAATGGGAAGAGCGAGGCTTGCTTACCCCATCCTTAGGTATCCATTTCGGTAATTCAACTAGGTTCCGAGCAAGAACCGTAACTTCCCCCCTTTAGACGCCGCAACTGTAGCCATGTGCACTGATTGCCCTCTTCAGTGATCGAGATCCCTGTAGATCCCTGCCTCTGCCACCAGGGTTGTGATTAGTCTGACTAAAGTTAGTCTACACCTTGACTAAGACTAACTAAAGACTAATTTAATCAGACTAAATTAGTCTTTAGTTCTTAAGGCCTCTAACTAAGACTAATAACTTAAAGACTAAATTAATCTAACTAAGACTAAAGACTAAAATTCTTACTTATTAATTAACTTTTAAATTATAATATCTTTTAAAATAACTTTCTATCTATTTATTTTATTTATTTTTAATATATCTATTAGATATAAGTTAAGTTATATTATTAATATAATATAATTAAAAGAGATATCTATCTATCTATTTTATTTATTTTTAGTATATCTATTAAGTATAAGCTAAGTTATACTAATAATATAATATAGTTAAAAGAGATATAATAAATATAATATCTATATTCTAGAGATATTATAATAATATTTAATAATAAGAATATAATTATTATTATAGATTAATTAAGTATAGTCCTTTAATTATAAAGACTCTTAAGTCTAATAGCTATCTTTAATATAGATTTAAGGCCTAAAATTAGTTCTAGACTTTTAAACCTCTTAATTATAGTTAAGATCTAGAATTAGTTCTAGACTTTTTAATCTCTTAATTATAGTTTAGCCTATAGCTAGCTAATAAGTTAACTTATTTAGATATCTATATATATAAGTTTATAAGTCTAAATATATAAGCTATCTACTTAATAATAATAAATATAACTAAATTATTATAATAAATAGTCTCTTAGTAATAAGTAATCTACTTTATAAGTCTTAATATAATAATAATATACTTTAAGACTATTATTAAGAGATTGTCTTAAATATATATAAAATAATCTATCTTTTTATTCTTTTAAGTCTATCTCTTATACTTATCTATATTAAGACTCTTAAGTATATTCTCTATTAAATAACCCTATCTATATATATATATACTTATATAATATTAATATATATACTTAAGATTATTAAAGAGATATTATTCTTTCTTATTATTATAATATTTAATAAGAAGAATAAATAACTCTTTAATAAAGTTAAGAAGTTTATCTTTTCTAAGTTTAATCTAGATAAACTATATAGAGCTATTAAAGAAATTAATAATATTAATAATTATAGTCTTCTAGGCTTTAGATATAGCCTATTAAAGATTATTAATATTATAAAGCTATTTAAAAGTCTAATTATTCTTAAAGAGATATAATCTAATAATCTAAATCTTAATTATCTCTTTAATATTAAGAAATATTAATTATAGCTAGAATATTTAAGAAAGATAGTTAAGTATCTTTAAAGAAGAAAGAAAGAATAGAACTAATAGTAGTTTTATTATATTAATAGTTATTCTAATAGAGTTATAAATTAAATAAAGTTAATAGAAGTTATTTAAATAACTTATATATAAGGTTTTAATTAATTGATTAATTTAATATTATAGAATTATATTATAGTTATAAATCTTTTAAGAGAGATTAAAAGAGATATAATAAATATAATATCTATTTATCTATCTATTTATTTTATTTATTTTTAATATATCTATTAGATATAAGTTAAGTTATACTATTAATATAATATAATTAAAAGAGATATAATAAATATAATATTTATATTTTAAAGATACTATAATAATTTCTAATAATAAGAATATAATTATTATTATAGATTAACTACCTCTCTTAGAGATTTTATAACTATAGTGTAATTCTATAGTATTAAATTAATTAATTAATTAGAATCTTATATATAAGTTATTTAAATAGCTTTTATTAACTTTATTTAATTTATAATTCTATTAAAATAACTATTAATATAATAAAACTATATATATATATAATATAATCTCTCTTAAAAAGTTTATAATTATAATATAATTTTATAATATTAAATTAATTAATTAATTAAGATCTTATATATAAGTTATTTAAGTAGCTTTTATTAACTTTATTTAATTTATAATTCTATTAAGACAACTATTAATATAGTAAAATTATTATTAGTCCTATTTCTTCTTTTTTCTCTAAAGATACTTAACTATCTTTCTTAGATATTCTAGCTATAGCTAATATTTCTTAATATTAAAGAAATAATTAAGATTTAGATTATTAGATTATATCTCTTTAAGAATAATTAAACTTTTAAGTAGCTTTATAATATTAATAATCTTTAATAGACTGTATTTAAAGCCTAGAAGACTATAGTTATTAATATTATTAATTCTTTTAGTAGCTCTATATAGTTTATTTAAATTAGGCTTAAAAAAGATAAACTCTTTAACTTTACTAAAAAGCTATTTATTCTTCTTATTAGATATTATAGAGATAAGAAAGATTAGTATCTCTTTAGCCTTAAATATATAGATTAGTTTTATATTAGATTATTTAATAGAAAAGAGGCTTAAAAGTCTTAATAGAGAATAAGTATAAGAGATAGACTTAAGAGAGTAGAAGAATAGATTATTTTATATATATTTAAGATAGTCTCTTAGTAGTAATCTTAAAGTATATTATTATATTAAAGCTTATAAGATAAATTACTTATTATTAAGAAACTATTTATTATAATAATTTAATTATATCTATTATTAAATAGCTTATATATTTAGTCTTATAAACTTATATATATCAATATTTAAATTAATTAACTTATTAGCTAGCTATAAGCTAAATTATAATTAAGAGATTTAAAAGTTTAGAACTAATTCTAGATATTAATTATAATTAAGAGATTTAAAAGTCTAGAACTAATTCTAGATCTTAGATCTATATTAAAGATAGTTAATAGTTATTAGACTTAAGAGTCTTTATAGTTAGAAGATTATATTTAATTAATTTATAATAATAATTATATTCTTATTATTAGATATTATTATAATATCTTTAAAATATAGATATTATATTTATTATATCTCTTTTAACTATATTATATTAATAGTATAACTTAGCTTATATTTAATAGATATATTAAAAATAAATAAAATAGATAGATAGATAGATATATAGTTTTATTATATTAATAATTATTTTAATAGAGTTATAAATTAAATAAAGTTAATAGAAGTTATTTAAATAACTTATATATAAGATTTTAATTAATTAATTAATTTAATATTAGAGGATTATATTATAAATATAAATTCTTTAAGAGGGTTATTAAATTTTATATAAGAATTAAATTAATATCTTAAAATTTTAAATTAATAGATTTTTATTAGAGTTTTATTAAGATATTTATCTTCTTACTTATCTTTTTATATATCTTTTTATTATTATTTAAGATATCTCTTAATATTTCTTTATATCTATTTATTTTATTTATTTTTAATATATTTATTAAATATAAGCTAAGTTATATTATTAATATAATCTATCTATTTTATTTTCTTTTAATATATTTATTAAATATAAGTTAAGTTATATTATTAATATAACCCCTCTTAGAGGGTTTATAACTATAGTATGAATTTATAATATTAGATTAATTAATTAATTAGAACCTTATATATAAGTCATTTAAGTAACTTCTATCAACTCTATTTAATTTACAACCCTACTAGAACAACTATTAATATAATAAAACCACTATATAGTATAATACTAGTTCTATTCCTCCTTTCTTCTCTAAAGATACTTAACTATCTTTCTTAAATATTCTAGCTATAGCTAGTATTTCTTAATATTAAAGAGTTAGTTAAGATTTAGATTATTAGATTCTATATCTATAAGAATAGTTATACTCTTAAATAGTTCTATAATATTAATAGTCTTTAATAGACTATATCTAAACTTTAAAAGATTATAGTTATTAGTATAATTAATTATCTTAATAGCCTTATATAGTTTATCTAAATTAGACTTAAAGAAGATAAACTTCTTAACTTTATTAAAGAGTTATCTATTCTTCTTATTAAATACTATAGAAATAAGAAAGAATAGTATCTCTTTAATAGTCTTAGATATATATATTAGTATTATATAAGTATATATAGATATAGATTAGATTATTTAATAGAGAATATACTTAAGAGTCTTAATATAGATAAGTATAAGAGATAGACTTAAGAGATTAATAGAAGAATAGACTATTTTATATATATTTAAGATAACCTCTTAATAATAGTCTTAAAGTATATTATTATAGCTTATAGAATAGATTACTTATTATTAAGAGACTGTTTATTATAATAATTTAGTTATATCTATTATTAAATAGCTTATATATCTAGGCTTATAAGCTTGTATATATAGATATCTAGATAAGTTAACTTATTGGCTGGCTATAGGTTAAACTATAGTTAAGAGATTAAAAAGTCTAGGACTAATTCTAGATCTTAATTATAATTAAGAGGTTTAAAAGTCTAGGACTAATTTTAAGCCTTAGACCTATATTAGAGATAGATGATAATAATTATATTCTTATTATTAGGTACTGTTATAATATCTTTAAAATATAGGTATTATATTTATTATATCTCTTTTAACTATATTATATTAACAGTATAACTTAGCTTATATCTAATAGATATACTAAAAATAAATAAAATAGATAGATAGATATTATTAATATAATATAATTAAAAAAGATATAATAAATATAATATCTATATTTTAAAGATATTATAATAATATTTAATAATAAGAATATAATTATTATTATAGATTGATTAAGTATAGTCCTCTAATTATAAAGACTCTTAAGTTTAATAATTATTAATTATCTTTAATATAGATTTAAGATCTAAAATTAATTCTAGACTTTTAGATCTCTTAACTATAATTAAGATCTAGAATTAATTCTAGACTTTTTAATCTCTTAATT